GACTGTATAATCAGACTGTAAAATACCGTTTTACAGTTCCTGTATTTTGATTTTTGTCAACCCCAGCGGTAAAACTGTAAAACATCCGAATAATGATATTATCCGGAAATGAACGCCTGGCGCGATGGCGCGGGAGGACGACGATGATGACATGGATCAAGCTTGGGAGATTCTTGGCTTTCATCAGTCTTCTGCGCGCCCTAAAGGCTCTACTGCCAACCGCCAGCCAAACCTACCACGAGATAGCGAGGCTGCGCATGCTCGGATTTACCTACTGAGTACTACTTAGGCCCCAATCCAATCTACGGCGAAGCCAAGTTTCGCCGTTGTTTTCGAATGGCCAGACCGATGTTTGAACGAATCATGGACGGTGTGGTGATGCGTGAAGAGTACTACCAACCCTTGGACGCATTTTGAGAGATGTTGATCCATGACCGGACAAGCTGGCAGTCTTCGTCGGTCGTGAAGTTGGAGCCACTGACGGCCTTGGCTGATTCCATTTCTGAACCAACTAATTATTGACTCCATAACGCACATGATTGGACAAAATTATCCATTGATAGCATGTTATTGGCTAATTCGTAAAAACTGTATTTTACAGTCGCGACTGTAAATCTGGCCGATTTGCCGTCTCGCGGTAAAATTTACAGTTTCCTTCCTGTATTTTACAGTCGCCCGGTGGGGTTGTCAAAACTGTAAATAGTCCGGATAGAACTGTATAATAGCGTTTACAGTCGCACCGGTGGGGATGCTCTAATACAACGCAGCACAACTTGCGAACTGCTAACGTGACATACCTAGTGCTATGAATGGCATTACCATTAGGACGCCTCACTTTCCCTTTTGGCATGTGACATGTACAGTACGATAGAGGAGGATTGGCAATTTGTGATTTTCTTGAGATCTGATAGGATATGAAAATCGTAGGACCAGCTCCCTACGATTTCGTCAATTCACAAATGAACTGCTAAAATTTTATGTTTGCTACAAATTCGTATATAACTTGAAAAAAAAACGAGGTGGAGGATTTCGAAATGGCGAAATCGTAGGGTGTGCGCCTACGATTGCATACAAAAGTCAAGTTCTGGCCTACGAATTCCGTAGAATGTCCTTTTACTCAAAATTTGCACTTTTATCCAATTGGATCTATTGTTACAATCCCCAGGTTTCGAAAAATTTATTTTATTCACGAGTGCTACTTTCGTCGAGTTTTCTGGCAAACACTGTAGTAGCTAGCTAGCTATTAACAGTTAACACCGAATTATTGTGTGACTGAGACTAGTGTGATACTGTACTGGACGATGTAAACATACAAAAGTCAGGACAAAGATATCGATCGATAGATTTGGCAAAGAATCAGCACAAAAGTCCAAATTTTTGGGTAAAAGAACAATACCAGCAAACGACACTATCTAGCCCAACCTCTCCCATCGCGCTTGCATAAAGGCGCTGCACCGTAGTCTGCGCAACTTCTCAAACCAAAAGTACAATACCACTCCGCGTTCACAGCAGCTTGGCGTGATTGATTCCGTATATGGGAATCAATCGCACGTGAACCATTCGGATCTTCTGTGTCGTGATGCAACCCCCTTCCGACCACCCCCGTCCCCCCACCCTATTAACCTCACCCCAAAGCTCAAATCATTGTACAACCAGACAGGTATGTAGGATTATGCTTCTTCAACTCCCCCCAGCCCCCACTCAAATAAGCACTATCGAACCGTTCATATCACAACCAACGTCAGGACTGCTTCCCTCTCTAAAGTGCCAATTCATGGCTTTAAAACTAAGCCAATCACTGATCCCTAAATTGGAAAAGCGCAAATCACAGACCAAACCTCTGGATATGTATACTCGTAGAAATAATACGTCAACAATTGCACACCACATTATAGAGTGGTCGAAGAGTGAATTTGATTGGCCACTTGCTTCATGTTCTGGGTTTTGATTGGTCGATCGATTGACTGCCGATTTGGTGATATTGCGAATACTCTCTAATAATTGACAACCCCACTCCAATTTCGAATCGACTTGACAATGCTATTCGCCATAACGTTACGCGTACAGTAATTTCGCTCGGTACGCCGTAAACGGGCGGCGATTAAAGCTGTTGGGCCACCAGCGGGGGAATCAATTCACGACACCCCCAACGACTGCCTTGAGAATACCATACATGCTGCTGGTTATGTGCTCTGGTCAATGTATGCCTTCACATTGGCATCGGCAGCCCCAATTGCTACTACAGACACCTCTATGTGTTGTGCGTGTGTCTGTAGACCAAGCGACGTTGTTTATACCATGGATATAAGGGTACTACTATACATGTAGCTAGCTCACACCACACACACAACCTACTGTCGTCCTATTCCGGTGGTTATCGAAATTTGTGAAATCTGTGTTGCCACTTGTATGATGTACGTCATCTAAAAACTTCCAACTGGCCAAATCGAAGAGTGGAGGTTTTATTATTTAACGTACAATTAGAGCTTAGGAGCAGTAGGTATCATCATGATCAGTGATGCAGGTATATTGTATATAACTTATGTGAATTACAATATAACTCATCACTTGGTTGTACTACAGTCAACGACGAATTTTAAGGGACACTTGCTTCTTCGTATTTGGCAAGTAATTCAAATATGATTGGTTAATGTACTTCGAAATTCGATAGATATAGCAGCCAACCAAAATGTAGAAGCTCACGCACCTGGGGTCTCAGCACCTTGCGAAGGTAAATGGCCGAGACGCGCGAGTCCATCCAGGCACGTTTTTGTACTGCATAGGAATGTCCAATTGGGTAGGAATCGAACTCGTCTTGCTCAATGGGGCCACCAGGGATGCCACGTAGGATGAAGAGGATAGGAAGTTTCTCCCCGTTGGCACGAACTGCAAGCACCGCCGTCATCCGGTACGAGTTCTTGTCACCACTTGAAATCTTCGCGCAGCTGCCTTTGACTGCCCAAATCGCGTTAGGAGGCATGTCATAAGTCATACCAGTCTCATCGACGTTGAAGATGGCATCAGATGTGTATCCGATGAATACTTTGTTGAAGACTTGAGCAAACACTGCTCGTGTAGCGCTGAGCTCTTGCTGCGACTTCTTGGCCTTGGAAGCTTTCTGTCGGGTAAAGTCGTGCTTGGCGCAGAACCTTTGGAGGAGCTTGAGCAAAGCCTGGTAGCCGCAGTTCTTGTTGGCCAGGTATTCGTCAAGCCAAGGACGCTCATGACGCTTCAGGAAGTTGACGAGGTGCGTGCATGTGACGGCCCGCTCAGCATCTCGAAGCATGTGCATGTAGGTCTCGAGTGCTGTCGTGTTGGGGATCTTGGTAGGCCTGCCCGCGCCATCAAGGTTGTAGCGTCGCTGTGGTCCGTTGAACTGGAGGAGCTCAGCTGTCTGGTTCTTCCATCGGGAGAGGTTGCTCTTCGGTATCGCGGTGGCTGCCTCGAGGTCGCGTGTTGACGCGCTTTGCATCTTGACTACCATGACAGCCTGGGTGTAGCGTCTTCTTGGCTTCTTCTGGGGGATAATCTTGTTGCGCTGCGTCCGGGGCATTTTTCAAATGAGTGGCCACCTTGCCATGGTAGTCAATTGCCCGCGTATTTAAAATGTTTTTGCGCGGCATAATGTTATTAACCAATCATGTGATCGCGTTTTCATTAATCGAGTAGGATTGGTAGTAATAATTTGTCATGGAAAATAACTTCGGTGTCCCTTAAAAATCGTCGTTGACTGTAGTACGTAGATTGATGTACTGATCAATGACAGGATGTCTCACTTGATGTACTCTCACAAATTATATAACTGATACAATCAGTTGTTATGATACTACCTGGTTCTTCACTGGTGTTCCTGACAATTTACCTAACGTTAGTACGCGAAATTATAGCTGAGTCTCGCGTTGCTTTCGGCGATATTGCGTTGACGTGTGCTCATGAAACTAGGTCCAAGCATCTAAACGATGAAAGTAGGTACACCCCCAAAGTATTACGTCAATACCTGACCTGCACGCCGAGTGCTGTCCAAGTTCTCCTCTGACCTGTCAATTAATGTAGTTAAACCCAAAATCCAAAACGTTAAATACCAAATTTGTGCGTTTTATCACTGCAGTGGGAGGTTAAAGGTCCCAACTGCCACCGGATATTACATACGGATAAGAGTCACATACAAAAATCAAGATACATCTCAGCGGCCACCCCTATGGCCAAATATCCATGCGCCATGTAAAATACCACTAGGTTAAATATCTATTTCTGGACCAATTCATCACCAAATTTGAATCTGAGACGTCGAATTTCTTCACCACATTGAGATCTGTCGATTCTACGTCTCAATTTGCTGAAATTTTGAGTAATGAATACGAAATAGAAGTCAGAAAATTTTGTGAAAAGTTGGTAGTTTATAGGTGACGAGCATCATACTGTACACTGTACACATATACAACATCTACACCCAACACGAGTACAATAACGTTACAGTAACCATCGTCCAATGTGTATAGCTCGTCGAATGTGTGTGCTTCGTTTGACAACATGTTGAAATCAACCGAGTACAAACAACGTGACCTCCAAGCGTGTCAATGCGGTGTCACAGACGCGCTCTGGAACTCGATCGCCAACCGCCGAAACTCTGCATTTTCGTCCTCTGCCACAAGCGCCATACTACCTTGCAGCAGCAGCGCGTACGCTGCCAACTTGTGGTCTTCGTCTTTGCACGCTGCAATTTGGGGGCCGAACGTCGTGCTGTCTTCAATCGTGAGGGACCTCGTCGCATCGCGCAGGCCAAACCAAGTCGTGCCTTGGCGGATCACCGAGTGCGTCGCGTCCACTGGTTCTACTTGCACCCTACAAAACACAAGTCCAATCATACTGCGAGAATATGGTTATCAACGGATTTTTGACTAATGTCTTGGAGTCTACAAACTGACCAGCAGCATATTTTATATAGTACACATTCACATCAAGCCCACACTGTGGCCAAGTTCATCAAGCACACAACGAAGTGCACATGTTTCAAGTGTCACAACGCCCACTTGAATGACGTTAGCACCATATATATACATATATATATATAGAGTATAAACGTTAACGTGAATCGAACTTGGCCCCAAGACTACGGAATGTGACAGAGGTACTTGAATAATGACGTTCGCACCAAATATATACTGTATGTGATATAGGTACATGAATAATGTTAGCACCATATGTATATATATATATATATATTATTCATTCGATTCGAAATTGGAATGGGGTGTGCTCAATCGAATGAGCAGAACCAAATCGGCAGACAATCGATCGACCAATCAAAACACAAAACATGAATCAACTAGCCAATCAAATCCACTCTTCAAATAATTCAACATCGAATTAGTGTGTGATTTCGTGTGATACGGGACGATCTTTACATGCAAAAGTCAGTACAAAGAATCGATCGATAGATTTGGCAAAGAATCAGCACAAAACTCCATATATTGGGTAAAAGGACAATATATATAGCCGTTAACGTGAACCAAACTAGCTTCAACAATGTGTGACAGAGGTACAAAGCATACCATTGGGTCCAATTGCGGCGAAGGCCAGAGGTAGGGTACTTGTCGTCTTCGGAAATGATGAGCACGACGATGGTGTACCGGTCGTCTTCTTGGAACTCGCGCATGAGGGTGTTCTCAAAGTACTCATTGTGTCCGACCGCGGCCCTGTATCGCAGATACGTCATGTCTGGGGTGGTCGGGTCCAGTTCCTACAGACCAAATATTATAATTGTTATACTTGTTATAATATACCAACCTCGATCGATCCGGGGTACTGCAACACCATTTTGCGCATGCACTGCACGGCAATGTGAAATGCCACGGGCTCCACGCGCTGCGACGCGTGTGAGATGACGTGCGTGTCGTCGATGGGTTCGGCGCGTACAGATAAGTACGGGTCGTGGGTCGATGGAAAGTGACAGTGGTCAACTTCGCGCTGGAGGTTGTAGAACAAGTGCTTGGTGATCCAGTCAAAGCCCAAGTGCCGCGCCGACTCAGATTTCGGCAGCGACGTGTAGCGCAGGCTGAAATGCTGCTTCTCCACGAGCGGGTACTAGACAGACGAATGGTCAAGCACGTTGGACATCTCGGGGGAGTTTGAGGTGGGCGATACATACCGGCACGGTTGGCGCGTGTGACATCACTGCAACCCACCGACTCACGTCGGCGGCTAGGTTCTCGAGCTGGAAGAGATCCCCGCGAAGCATGCGGTTCGAATCGAAGGACTCTGCCGTCTCACGACCCAACGCGATCGCAATTTCTTTCCAAGGCAACATGCTTTGCTTGAAATACTTGAGCTGGCTGGCCTTGGCGACGAGGTCGGTCACAAGGTTCTGTAGCTTCCTGAGTTCGTCGACCTTCTTCTTTTGTTTCTTGCGGTCGTACAGTCGCCTTCGGGCCTTCTTATCTACGTCGTCATGTGCTTCAGCAAGGCAGCGGATGTTGCAGCGACGCTGTCGTCGGCCTACCTAGGTCATCGAGCGTGCCTTGCATCTTCGCGACTGACACAAAATAGGCAGCACAGGCTAATTATGGACTTGGCTCATCCGGATAACGCCATGTGCTATATCCGTATATCCGGCATTATAGCACCAGTCATCATCATGGAACATCGCTCGCTGTAGACGATCTGGTACAGTACATTACTAGTATGCATGCGGTCCAAGTGAAAGTTCAGGGTGGAGAGATGACAAGGAAAGAGTTGGGAATGCTAGGGCTGCCAGCTACAGTACAGATCACGGGGCAGTGGCAGATGCTGCTTGCCTTTTGAACGCACCCTGGTTGGTACATACAGTTGCCATCAATAGGTGCTGCTACTTTCTCACATGACATGTAACGACACCTGTATGCACCCGGTACGTACGTACTGTACCAGTCGGTGCATCCACACAGAATAATTCCCTCATTAACAGAACAGTTCCAGTGTTGTTTTGACCCGAAATATGTACTAATTTCAAAAATGAGGGAATTATCCCATCCGGATACACCTTGTCGCTAGTAGCCCTGTTTTGACCCGAATTATGTACTACAGTGATCCCTCAACGTTTGCTCCCTGGTATAAATTTATACTCCGTTAAATTTTATTCGATATTAATTTACTAGGGGCCTTATGACATGCATGCATCGTTTGAAAATTCAAAATTGAGGAGCCAAACACCTCACATTGACAACTACACACACAAAGACATTTGAGAGCATGCAAAACAAGCACAAGCAAAGCAAGCGGTTGACAATTCACGACAAGAACTCGATTAGAGAGTACTTTAAGGCAAATATGCCGATCTTCAATTCACGGATGGCAAGTGAGGGAAAGCATGTCCTCCTCATCCTAGACAACGCGTCATCGCATGACCCTCTGGATGTCATCCTTACCAACGGGGGTTCTACCTCGGAACTTGGGCCATTCACTTCAGCTTTTGCTTACTTGCCCAGCAGATAGTCACCCTTCAAAGTTAATGTTTGTGGTTTCTTTGTACAATAGGCTGACTTGGAAAATTTATATTTGGAAAAGCGATCAAACGTTGAGGGATCACTGTATTTCAATGAGGAAATTATTACATCTGGATACACCTTTCCTGAGTACATCCGATGCGAAATCTCCAGGGTGAGGTGGTCTGAGCATACAAAGCTCCATATAAACCTCATTGAAACAGTATTTCGGGTCAAAACAACAGTGAAACTGTCTGAATGAGGGAATTGTACCCCAAGTCACTCTCCACCATCGACGTATGTAACATAATTAAGGATAACCACCGTCGTCAGCTCCCTTGAGTGGATGATCACCTGCCGACGAAGGTGTTGCCAGGACGGAGCTCGCGTCATATTGATCCGTCCGGTTGGCCAGTCGCATGCGCATCAAGTGCAGGAGCATCTTCTGGTCTTCCAGCGATGTTTGCATGTGCTGCAGCATCTCCATCGCTTCGATGGTTGACGGTGCGTCGGATGGCGCGCCTTCTCCATCCATCCATCCGTCCATGGCTTCCGTGGTGGCCGCAGTGGGGCCCGCATCCCGTCGATAGCTCGACGAGTTGGTCGAGTTCGAGTACGACGAGACCTGCTTGGACCGTGGCGGAGGACCCGTCCCTCCGTACTGATGGTGCTGAAGCGGGTGTTCATGCTGCTGCACGTAGTCGCGGTGTGGGGGCGTCGTGTGCTCAACAATCTCAATCAAGTCGGTCCCCCGGCTGGCGCCGCCTGGAATAATTGTCAGTAATAATTTTGATAATTGGTTCGACTATACCCGATGACGACGACGATTTCGCGCGACGCGGCGGTGGCGCCGTGGACCGAGAGAGACGGGCGTCAATGGAGCAGGCTTTGCAAAAGCACAGCTTCACCACGGGGTTCACTGACTTGACATGCAACGCGCGATACACGACCACTCGACATGGCTTGCATGTTCCCTAACGTCCAAGCACCGTTGAGACGGGATGTCCACGACTGCCAAGGACGACACACACATGTGGACAGCAGACAGACTGACACTGATGGATGTAGCGTTGGCATTTCCACGTACATGTCCACATGCAGCACAATGCGAGACCGATCTGAACGCCCCAAACTTTGCCGCGCACGTAGTGCACTTGCCGTCTTTGCTACGTACGACAATGGAGGTGCATTGGATACGATATGGAGAGATCGCCAAAGTAGAGGTGGGAGAAGGAGGAGGCTTACATGGTGGGAACCACAGGCGTGATGCCTCCGTGGGAGTTGATGATCGAGTTATCCAGCAGCCGGCGCTTCTGCACGAGCTGGGGCAGGTGCGGGTCCAGGATGAGGTTACGCAGCAGCATCTTCTTGGCGAGGAATGTCGGCACCCCTTTGCCTAGGCTTCCGAGGACATAGCGGGTCACAAACTCGACGCGTCCTTCGCTGACTTCCGTGAACAAGTGCATGAGCGTAAACTCCATCCGCACCACTTCCGGCACGGGTGGGAACGTTGGAAACACCTTCGAGTCCTGAATGAACACCACGCGGCGCCGCCCATGGACGTCCACGGAGCTGGCCGAGTACTCGAGGTACGTGGTATCGCGAGGCTCAAACATGGTCGTGTTGGGCAGATAAGTCTTCTTGTACTTGGCTCCGAGCCACAGGAACGGGTCGTCGTGAGTCCGCGACATGGATTTGTTGAGCACCGCGCCTTCGAGGTAGTCGGTTGCGTAATGCAGTCCGAGGAACGTGCGGTGATCGTTCGACGTGCTGTTGTACAGCGCATACCCCAACGCGTCCATCGACAGCGCCATCGCGCCTGTGGACGTGAGTTCACCGAACGGGGTGCCTGCCACCTTGCGCTGGTACACGCGCGTGTCGCCTTCCGAGTGAAACAACGACAGCGCGGTCTCGCCAAGCCCAAAGGTGGACAACTCGCTGATGGCCTCCGCCGCCTTGATTTGCATGCGACGGAAGTCGGCGACATCCACGGTGATGCTACTCGTGTCCCGCTTCATCTATGTTGACAATGGTAATGCAATGAGAAAGTACGGCCATGTATATTATTAATACAATGCATACTATTAATAGTACTACTGGTCCTGTAATTAAGTACAGGTCGGTGGCCAGCAATCAATAAGATTGGTTGGAACGTACAGTGAGAGCTGCTAGAAGGATATAGCCGTCGGTTGACGCGCAGCTGGTGTGTCCAGGTATGATGCAAGATTGCCTACCTCGACGCGTTTCACAGGTTTGCCCACCTGCTCCAGCAAACTTCTCTGGTGAATACCATCGCGCACGACCCTCTGTCGTACTGTATCCAACTGTTGACACGTAGAAAGGGTGTAATGCTGACATCCGGACTGACAGGTTTTGAACATCTCACGTCAGTAAGGAAATACCGTATTGTTTTACAGCGTTAATGATAGTTGTACCAAGGGTTCACTTTGGACCTACCGGTACTTAATTCCCAGGTGTACCCTACCTTTAAAACGCCCAAACTATACCTTTAAAAGGGGGGATTTCTGAGATACCTTAGAACAGCCAATCAGGACGGCTGAACTCAGGATTTGTTGCACAAATAAGTACCGTGGTGGGATTTCGAATTATACAGCCGCGCATGTCGGCTGTTACAGGAAAGTTTGTTTTTGTATATTGTGCTTTCGAGTGAAATTTCATTGTATTGTGGTTTCTCGTTGGAATTTTAAATCGATTTGATTGGCTACTTCAGATGAGCTCAAAATTATGAACCAATCAAAACCTTCTCAATGAAATTCAACCAAACAGATCGATTGTGGATCGGTTTGGTCGGCGCGATTGATTCGATTGCACCCCCTCCCCCAAATTTGTACTCCGGAGTATCAAATCGACAATATGTGTCGGGAGTCTTATCTGGGGAATTCCCCCACTATGTAAAGGTATAGTTTGGGTGATTTAAAGGAAGGTACTTTAGTGGGGGAATTCCTTAGATAAGACTCCCCACACATATGCTGTGGGGGAATTATTCGTTCACTTTGCAATTATGAGTCCAAGGTGTAGCCATATGATTTTCCGCATTGAGCCGTATATATGGGGGTTTGTATGGAAGCCTGAAGATTCTTACGAATAGTATTGGAATGGATGGGTACTTTTTACACATGATGAAACGCGAATACCATTCGTACAATTCCGCCGTAGCAGATATTTATCTATAGCTTGCCTTCAAAACACCCAAACTACAGTACAGTAGACCTTTACTGTCGGTGGGCACGGATACAGACCTACTTCAAAGTATAATGCTTTTCCGGGGGTTAAGCGCATCACAGTGGTTAGCTATGGCGAACCACTGAGACAGACGCTTTACCCCTAGCTGACATGCCTTGTCGTGGTGCTCGCATATGAAATCTCATCACTATACTTATTTGTGATCAAATCGTCAATTCACGCGTCGTGATTGGCTGTTGGAAGTCAGAACAGGTATTCTGGTAATAGTTTGGGCGTTTTGAATGAAAGGTGCATACAGTAGTATATATATCCGAAACTACCGTACCTGCTGTGGGGGAATATTAGTCGCTATGATTATTCTGTTACTAGCACTGACCAAAGGGATGTGCGTTCGATCTGGACTTCTACACGCCACCAATCAATGGACCCTGTCATGAGGTAACGTCGTCAAGTCTGTATCAAGTGAGTCGTCGATTTTCGTGAATGTACACGTCTGTTTCGAATCAGCTTTGGACAAAAAATAGTAACTAATACGACCAAATATCGACCCTACCCAACCTGCGACCGCGACTCGAGGCGCTGTTGCATTTGAGACACGAGCGCCTTTTGCTGTTCGATCGACACTTGCAGCTGTGTGAACGCTGCCGACGGATCGCGCGACGACAGCGGGGTCGAGACCGAGTTGAGGCTCGTGGCAGCGGACGACGACGTCGACGACGCTCCTCCTTCCTTGGCGAACATGCCAGGCTTGACAATGGCATTGCACGTGCTCACATACGTTTCGAACAGCTCATCTTGGGTGGTCGTACTCGTGAGGTTGCTGCCTTCCACGTCGACGTTGTTGCCCTTGGTTGAGAAGTCACCACTACTGCTGCGCGAGCCTGTCGCCGCCGACGGCACGCGGCCGGTCTGGGCTTCCACAAAGCATCGCTTGCAAAAGTCGTCCTTGGCGCAAGCGGGGGGGGAGTTGGTCTTGATGGCACGGGGTACCGGCACGACACACTTTGCACACATGACCTATACACATAAAAGCTCCTATGAACAAGGAGAAATAGACCACGGCGGTGTCAACACCTACCTCGCCGCAATACGCGCAATTGTACAGCGCCTTGAACGTAAACGCACTCATTTTCGAATTGCACGCAATGCATGTTTTCCTGAATATATGACGTTCAGTATACCACCTCGGAGATAGCACATCCGGATGTCACGTACGCGCTGAATTTACGCGGCCTCCTCGCAGGGTTGAGCTTGACCTTGTCGAGAAATCGCTTGTACTGTAGCGCCGTGGGAAGGGTCTCAATGAGGGCGGCATACCGGACGAGTTGACGATTGCACATCCAGGCAGGAATGATGCCGTTGGGGTTCATGAAGTTGCGGCTCACGCATTCCACGGACCCATCGTCGAGCTCTGTGAACAGAAACAGCGCGCGGAACTGAAGGCGCACGACGTTTGGAGTTGGCGGCACGTTTTGAAGGAACTCGGAGTCCCGGACGATGAAAAAAACTCGGTTGCCAGCGGCGTCGTGGGCCGTGCCAGAGTACTACTCAACGTTCGTTAGAAGGGGCCAGGAATGAATGCATGCTGCTGTACCTCAAAGAAAACGGTGTCGCGCACTTCGGCCAGACCGCTGCTAGGAATAGACAACCGCTTGTACTTGACACCAAAGTAAAGGAACGGATCGTCGGCCGTTTTCTTGTGCACGTTGGACAACACCGCCGCGTCGTGGAAGTTGTGCTCGTAGTAGATGGCCTGGTCGGATTTGAACTGTTCGGTCGTGTCCGAGTACACCAGGTAGCTCAAGTCCTCCAGCGACAGGTCAGTTGTGCGCCCGATGGTCAAGCACTCTTTTAAGGACGGATGTGCCGCACGGCGAGAGTACACGCGAGAATTTGGTTTGCTGGTCACGAGCTTGTACCCGTCGTGGAGGGCATCGACGTCCCGCGTTGCGACAGTGCTCCGCGCAAGGAAATCCTTCACGACAAGACCCATGGATGCCTTGATGGCCATACAGTCCCCTAGTCCGAGCTCATATCCTTGGAGCCCAAGCATGATGATGGTTCGAGGCCAATGTGTATTATTGATGTGCTTGAAAAGGCAATTCTTTTCTTCAGACCAGATTGTGGGGACTTGGAGCCGGGTCTATGGGTGTGGGTGGATGTTTGAAACACGCACCTTCCGGATATGTGGCGAATTATACACTGGTAATAATCTTTATCCGGTTGATTTTGAAACTAGGTGCGTGTATTTGCCATATGTACACGCATGGATACCGATAAGTGGTGCGTGTTTCGTTGTGACAGTAAGGGTGGGATCACAACTTCGAGTTCAAGTCGAAGAACCAGCCCAAATCTCTGAGAAAGATGACCAGGAGGACTGGTGTCAGGACCGCTGAGCTAGCAATGACGTTTGCTAGCCAGCAATGACGTTTACCAGTCATGGAGACTGTGTAGTACTAACTAGGGGCCTACACTTGCTCTCAGTGTTGACCACGTTGCCACTCGCTTGTCCGTGACTGTTGAACCGATTTGTATGTGGACAGTTGCGAGTATCAGTGGACCTGATATTATACATGTATAATATCACGAGAAAATGAAATGCTGCATGTTTGGGTGAAAACCGGGACTATGGATCCAGCTCGCGCAATGTGAACGCAATGAATGACAGGAAGGAGTTTACCACCACGACTTGTACAGTACTCACAATACAAGCCCATACTAGCTGTAGTACTAGTACTGTATTACAAGCCTTAAGCTACTACGTAGTACAGTACTTCGAAGTATGTAGTATACTACCGGTAGTACACAATTAGTTGTTACTACCGGTACTACGAAGTACTACAGTACATACAGTTCTTACTACAGTACGTAGTACTCCGGAGTACTAGTATAACGTTACTATTAATAGTATACTCCGGAGTACTAGTATGACAGTAACAGTTACTGTATACTCCTATTAATAGTACACAAATGAGTACTACCCGGTACTACTGTAAGCACTTACAGTACAGTTAGTACATATAACCAATGCTACAGTCTAAACGTACTGTACTAGGTGTAGTAGGTAGTCCAACACACAAGTCGTTTTACATTACTGTATTGTACAGTACTAGTATGACTGACTAGCACTCGAAAATCTCGGAATTAACAAACACTGCCACCTGTGAAAACTGGTAAAGTTACCAGGTAGTACTATTCTTACTAATACAGTCCTAGTACTAGTGTACTACTAGTACGTAGTACTACGTATTATAATAGTTAGTTAGTACTTACATTAAGGAACCAATTAAAAATATTATTAATAGTACTAACGCGATGCACTAGTATAGGAGTACCTGGTACTACTTCGAAGTACGTACAGTAGTAGTACTCTGGAGTAAAGAAATACTACATCGAACCTGTCGTTGCAATCGTCAGTCCGAGCCATGATAGTCGTTTTTGGGGAAGCATTGCATAACGATTTGTATCGGGACATGTAATCCCTCCCACTCAGCGCGGTGGTGAATGCACATACAAACTACAAGATATATGCTAAAGTGGTTCCATTTTTTTATTCACAAATCAAAGTGTACTTGAGGTTTGTATGATGTATGACGTAGCTAATTTTAATCAATCCGTAGTTTAGTTCTGCAGTAATTGTTGCCTATAACGTTACCCAGTATCCAAATAGTCGGCGAAAAAATGTCACCAGTTTGGTGAGAATGAGAATCCAGATGCAACATTGCTTGTGTGAGTGTTATCATGCTGCTGCGAATGCACGTACAGTTTGTACTACAGTAGATGAGGGATTTCAGGGGCCAGCAACTCGTCGCAACGAACGTAGGGTGTTAAGTTAACCTCGCAGAGGTGGGATCATCGACAGCGTGGCCTGCTTTGTTGATGGAGTCTTGTAGCCGCGACGGGAGGTGGGCATGGACAGCAGCGATCGATTCGATTGGTACGTCGTCTCTGAATCTTTGGGAAAGTGGCGCGACGACAGCATAAACGTGGCGCCCCCTACGTCGGGCCTGCCATGACGTCCATCGCTTTGTTGAAAGGAACACGTACCGCCAATGCTGGACGACGACGTCATCGAAGACGACGTGGGGCCGCGCACGTGGAGGTAGCAAGTTTTGCAATACTCTTCTTTAACCACGCTCAAATGCGTCTGGAAGAGCTGTTCTTTGGGCCGGGGAATGAAAATCGCACAGTTGCCACAGATCACCTTTACACCACGATAACGTCACCGACTTTGCTGTCCACAAGAGGAGGACGACATGTACCTCGCCACACGACCGGCAATAATACCGTGTCATGAGGGCCCAAAACGACCGGTCGCACGATCCACACGCTTTTCTAAGTTTGGATGATGCACACGAGCGTGCCACGTCATAGGACGCAACAATAGATACGACGTACTGGCTGTGGGGGAAAAAGGTGGTGCAGTGCTTGGACAGCTCCAGCATGCGCTTGAAGTGAATGAGCTCGGCGTACCGCTCCACGAGCGTGTTCATGCGAAGCTGGGTCGGTTTGAATAGAAAGGCAGGGACCGATCTACAGCACCCATTTTGCCCACGGAAAATAAGAAGATCGAAATTTGGTCAAAACATGAAAACAAAAATTGACTTTTTTTTCAAAAAGAACGGACTGACCTTCACTGTCAAGGAAAAATACGAACGAAATTGGTCAAAAATTGGAACCAAATTCGACCTTTTGTTTTTCGAAGTATCCGATCCAAGAGGACCTCCTTACCCGAATGGATTCAGGTACGAAAAATGGACATGCTCGATTGTGCCGTTGGGGCATTCGGTGTGCAGACTGAGCGACTTGACGCGGCCGCGGATGGCATCAGGCACAAGCGGCACCGAGTTGAGGGTCATCGATTCCCGCATTACGTACAGTACGGTGTTACCTTCCATATTGATCGTTGTTCCTGAGATCTATCCCATGAGAGATCAGAAAGGTTGCAGCAACGAGGGGGGGTGCTGAACCTCGACGTAGCAGAGGTCGCGGGGGTCGACAAAACGGTACGACGACAGCGCCATCTTGGTGTACTTGAGGCCGTACCATTGAAACGGATCCTCGTCGGTGGGGGATAACACTGTGCTGAGGACACATCCGTCGAGGAATGCGTCATCATGAAACAACGTTTGCTGTATCCGATGTTCTTCGGTCGATGGTGCCAAGAGGAGGTACACGAGGTTTTCAAATGTGAGGTGGTTCTGGCTGTAACTCACAGACATGGTCTCTTCCCCGCCAGACGCTGACTTGCGCGTGTACACGCGAACGCCATGGTGTTGCTCGTAGAGGCGATACCCCTCCTGTCGTGTCGCGTGGACGAGGCGTATGGCCGGTGTTGTGAGGATGGAAGTCTGCACTTGCTTCATGAGAGCCTTGTAGATACCTTCCTCGTCCTCGGATGACAAGATCACCCGATGGTGCTGCATCGTTGTGTTGCGGGTCGGACTTGCAAGTTGGCCCTCACAGATTCAACAAATGCCCCAAGGGTTTGTTTGAATTTTTGGCGTCACGTGCGTCAGATGGTCTGAATTAACACGTTTTTCAATAAAAACCGTTTTTAGGAGAAAGGACACCATTACACGAGATCAGGCTCACTAGGATTTGTTTGGTTTATTGGTGCGGCAGCTAAGCCACGGGACACGAGGGGCAGCAAGGATCATAAAATCCCTGGGCAGCCTTAGCAGCTTGCACCGATTGCAACCGATTGGAGTTCAGAAAGGTAGGATCGTCTCAGGAAATACTACAGTACAGTACTTCTACGTACTCGAGTAGTACTAGTAGTAACTCTAGTACTCCATACTATTATACAGTACAGGAACTTACAGTGTTAGTATGACATACGGTATCACAAACAAATGGCTGTTTGAGCATGCGTTTTTTATTTAAGCGTAACTCGTTGCGTGCGTTTTATTCAAAACGGTGTCGCCAATGTTTTGTCACCGCCTGCGTTACAGTTGTAGGCTGAAACGCGTTGACTAGCGACGTTGTAATGGCATTTCCAGCGTCGTCCGGCTGTAACTTCGGCAGGTCATCCACTTGGCCCGTGAACTAACCTCGGTCCTCTTGACGCGATGGAGGTTTGCTGGTACAGAAGTGGCACCCTTGGCCTACCCGTGTGACGACGCCAAAAGTCAATAGAATTGCACACAGCTACAAATTACCTGGACGCAGGTGCCTATTCTCAACCAGTGGGTTGATAGATTATTTCTTATATTTTCTTGTGCATGAAATGATAACGTTAAAGTTAGCTTATTTTTCCCGTGGCACAAATAAATACTAGTAGTATTAATATATTAATACTACTACTAATAATAGCACTATTTATATATTGGGTAATCATGCTCGGTCAATCATCGAAAGCTCGGCTGAGGCTTTCTAGTAGTTCTGTGCTAACACTTAATATTGACCATCACTCATGACGTTTTCTGATTGGCTCCAATTTCTAAAAGTTCCGGATAGTGCCAAAATAGCAACCGTACGTACATTTACAGGATCGCGGCTGGGTGCGAGCACTTACAAAGTGAACAAGCTCGTGGGTGCAGTTGTCACCTGTCATGGTAGAAACAGAGAGGTCGTTGGCGCCAACCCAAATACACTATACTGGACTGTAGAGACTGACGCAGAACAAACACTGCGCCCAGCTCATCATTCCATATCCCCAATACAAGTACAGTACAAGTACTCTAAAACTGAAGAAAACTCTACAGTCAACTTTACGCATTGTTCGCGAGCCAAATACCTGTATATATATAGATAGATATGTAAATACCTGGTATGTAACATACAAATCTTCAAATGACAAATTTTAATGAAATCGTTCTAGAAATCGATAGTTTGCAGTTAGCGCAAGACGAACCGACTACATGTATACGTACTAGTACTGGTAAGTTATAATAGAAGCCAATCGTGGAAATTGACAAAATGCATACTATTAATAGTACTTCGTAGTACAGTAATAGGCAAAAGTTGGTCACACGAAGGCCTATTAATAGAAAGGTCCCAAATTGAACCAAATAAATGGCCAGCAAACACTTTATAACGTTATGTAATTTTTGAGCAGTATGCAATTGACGGTATTAAATTGTACTTCACTGTCAAGTCGATTTCTCCAATAAATTACCTGCTCCAAACTAAGGTGAAAAGGACAATATATTAATAGTATTATCACTTCAATAAGAAGACAGCGCCCAAAGCGTAAGCGGTATACAATTGGTCGTCGTAGACCGAACGAGATGACTGTACTGACTGTTACTCTAGCTGCTTATGAATAAGTTGTACATTAACGTTGTAATGTCTGTAAATTCTGCAAAATCGAATACTGTTTGAGAGGTTTTGGTATAATATAGCAGAGGTTCTTTTTAGTGCTAACTGTAAACCACAACTATTATCGTGACCATCATTCTCTCTTACAACAATGTATTAGACAGATTTCGGAAGCACTGCCGTAGACTTCCCACGCACGGAAATTTTAATGCACGGGAAATATATGGCAGACCCAACTCATGATTTCGTCAAAACTTCTTTGCATTTACCACATCCGCATGAGGAACGATATCCGTATGCTTGCATGTGTGGTGGCGAATCCACACCGCACATAGTTCCCTGTTGTTGCATTGCATAAGCTTACTCATGTGGACCCATTACCACAACTGGCATCACGAAGGGGTCTTGGCACACACCTCATGGGTCCACAACTTTACTATCACTATGATCCCAGTTTTTGCGTGCCACGTTGAGCAAGGGAGTGGCTTTATGACACCTTACGAAACCGCTTGGTGATTTTAGTTCATGATTAGAGGGGCGCAACTGAGTACTCGACCATGTCCCTTATGTGCACATGCGGATGAGAATTGTGAGTTTTCTGTACGCTTCATGCGCCTATAGGCGAAACACCGAGGCCCCATATTCAAATCGTCGTGGCAGGACAACGAACCAAGGCAATAACGCCGACTGCTGGAGAAGGTTCAGGATAACTGGCTGAATGAATAAGACAAGATAAGATGCACGTAATCGCTCCACCTGAACTCTCGGAATGGCCTAACTTAGCGTGGAAAAGGCTGGACACCAGGCCACGTCGGGCATGGAAGGGTGAAGAAGTGTGCATTATGCGCGACTGGTTGAAATCCACGATTTAAGACCAATGATGTAGCCCTAGAGGAGGGGTGACCTTTGCCGTACAAATGGCCGTTTCTACGGCATCCCACATAAATTTTGACAGTTCCCGTAAACTCGATAAATTTTAACGAGGTAAATTGACGGCAAATGCATGGGAACGTGTTCCGAAATCTGTCTATTGACACTATTTAGGAGTGTTGGTAATTGTTTCGCAACATGCCAACTAATGCGTAATAGTAGTCGTGTGAAACTACCGGATAAATGTGGCATTATCCGGTACAATCATACTACTACTCTCTAGGTCAAACATCGCTGAAGTACCATTGGTTGAAATGTTGGATTGAAACAATTTCATTGGCTCTTCGATTGGACTAGAAACTCCAAATTCTAAGGGCCCGTCGGATACCACTTTTATTGAGAAATATTGCGATAATTTTGCAAAATATTCAAGAATCTCAGCGACTTCAATTTGGCGTGTCTGGATGCCATTTCTTGACCAAGTTATATTCCATAATTTTATTAGAAATATCGTGAAAACCACAAGAAATAATATTCTACTCATGAGTAGAATATTTTTACGATATTAACAGTGCGCGTTGAATTCTATGGCATCCAGACACACCATCCAAAATCATTCTTGGATCTTGAAACCCAAGAATTTCCTGAAATGTCGAAAAATGTTTTTTATTCAATATTCCAATATCCCATAATATTGGTGGGTGGCATCCAGACGGGCCCTAAGACGAATTCATAACTCTATTACTTCGAAGCACTATTATTAATAATAATAGTACTAATACGTATTATTAATAGTTACTATTGATAGTATTAATATGCATTACAGTCATCTCGTTTAGTCTACGACGACCAACATTCTTCTACTATTCTTACAAATGTACGTCCCTCTAGACAAACTCGACGACGGTGTGGAACTCGCCGTTTTCACCCATCGCGTCGACGGTGCCTGGGACAAGGTGCGGCTCGTACGCGTCGCCTTCGCGGATGGTCGGTGGCATGCGGTTTGTGTCCACGGCCGAGTACCGGACGGTCACTTTGTACTTGTCGCAGGCCGCCGCGAGCTTGGGCAACAGGTCCGTGCGCATGTCTCGCCCCCACAGCGGACTGCGCATGTCGTAGGTCGGGAACGCCGCCACGCGCCACTCATGCACGTCGGCCAGGTGCAAGTCGCCCACCACCAGGCCCACGACGCGTTGAACATGGGGCATGCGCATGCCGGGGATTTCAGACAAGGCGTCGTGCACCAGCGCGGCGTAGTTGCCTCCTGTGGGTACCTGCATAGCGATATTAGATAGACCCGTGTTGGACACATGGCGATTTGATGCGCAAAACACCACCTTACCGCGACGAGAAACAAGGGCAAGTTGATCGCGGCGGCCTGGGCCACGATCGTGCGGACGTCGATGTTTTGGACGGGCACAACCCCTTCGTCAGGGTTGAACGTCGTGAGCAGTACAATGTCCTCGGCGGATCTGTCCAGCGTGTCTATTGTGTCTAGCAGCGCCAGCAGCGAGTCCTTGCCGCCGCTCCAGAACACGACGACCACGTCGCGCGGGACAGCGCCTTTGACTGGCTTGGGGTTGCGGTAGCCGAGCCGGCCGGTGGCGCTGGGCTTTGGCGGCCGCAGGAACACGGACGACGTCATGGTGTTCTTGGACTTGATCAAGTGCAGCTGCTCCAGCGGCACGTTTGCATGGCCGTATGGGCAGTGGCGGCACCGGTTGCCGCAACACGCCTGCCGATCCAGCAGGTACGCCGATGTAAACACCCCGTAGCCCGTGGCGGGGTCGTTGTACCGCGCCTGGTTGGCGGCGCAGGCGGCGGCGTGCGCGGCGACGATGGCGGCTTCGATCTCCGACAAGATGGGCGGCGCGGCCGCGTCCGAGTCGAATGCGTCGACTGGGAAACCCTGTATGGAGTTGAAGTGATGAGGGTTGGCCACAACCACTCCCAGCCATTCCATCGCGTCTAAGAGCCTATTCGTCGGCCGGTTGAACATTTGGTTGCCGTCCACGACAAACACATGACCTACCAGAACGAGAATAATATTAAAAATATTCGTGAAAATTATCAAGTCGACTTCGAAACAAGACAATCGAAAATCGACCAATCAAAACCCAGATCACGAGCCAAGTAGCCAATCAAACCCACTCTTCGACCAATTCATGAATGTGTGACTTTAATCAGTGTGACACGATCGTCTGTACAAAGAATCAATCGATAGATTTGGCAAATCTGCACAAAAGTCAACCAAATTTGGGGTAAAAGGACAATCTACATCACAACCAACACAGTCAACCAAAAACGAGGAAAAAGAATGAGACGGGTACCAGCTTGCACGGCGGGGGACGACCGCCACCACGGCGGAAACGGCTTCGATCGAAGTTCCTTGACGGTGGTGTGGCGATCCAGCCCGCACAGCGCGACGACGATGAGGTCGGGCGGTTCCAGCACGGACGGGTCGGCGATGCGGCCGGTGGTCACGGGGGCTTGGCCGCCCACCAACGCCACCATTTCGTCTGCCCAGCCTTTGGCCAGGAACAACGGCTCCATCCACTCGACAATGTACACGATAGGTCGACGGATCGTTTGGGTGGTTACGGTTAGGGCAGTTTGACGCGCCCGGTTGGCCGCAACCACGGCCTCGGCGGCGTCCTCCAAGTGAAGCGCTTTGCCTAGAAGCCTCACTGAGTCCTCGAGGGCGTTGGCGAGCGTGCGGCTGTTGACGAGAAGGATTTCCGTGTTGGGGTTGGATGCCATCGCGCACGACACGGTCGGGCGATCTATCGAGCACACATTGCACACGTCCTGGACCTGTATGTAGGATACATGCATGTGAGGACGATGGAACGAGAATAGATACGCGGCACGTACGAGGATGAGGTCGGGCGCGAGATTTGTGAGGGTGGCAGCGTCGATCTCGTACAGCGAGTCGTCCGATTGAAGCAGATTCACCACTTGATTGTGCGTGTCTTCACAAGATGTAAACGTTGTGCGTGGCTTCGTTATGGTGGGGATGGATGCGTACGAAGTGGGGAAGTCGCATTCATGCGAACGTCCAACCAACTCCGGCAACGACGTGTGGCCCAGGCGAGCTGCCGCGGAGACGAGGGCGGCGAAGTGCTCCGTCGCCGAGGGCAGCAAGGACACGACGCGACGAGGAGCTGGTTTGTTGGTGGACGGTTCCATGGGTCGGATTTGGGGTTTCAGCCACGAATGAATCGAACGACGGCGAAGGGCTCGTCGCAGTAGCATTCAAGGTTGATGATCACCAGATGGGATTATCCTCACTTTGATTGGCTCGTTCGAAATCGACTTGTTGCAAAGGTTATACGGTAAATCAATTTTTAGCTTAATATGAATATGTCTTGTATATTATACACATGGAGGTATTCAGCGCAAACTTGTTCTTTCGGATATATTGTGGTACAAGTCTCTTCCGAGAAGTACATTTCGGGTATATCCGTTTTCTTATTGGATAAAATACTGATCCGACATTGCAAATCCCCAAATAAGGAAAAGCGAGCCATGGCAACTGCCAACGGCAGCGGCGGCTACGCTAGTGTGAAGCGTCCAGAACTACAGGCACTGAGCTTGGCGGAACGCATAAGCTTCTTCTACTGCTCGTCCGTGCAAGACTTTATGGGGGTAGCAATCAACCCTTCCGAGTTTCTCGTCGCCCCAGACGATGTGCCGTACTACCTTCAACTTCTCGAAAGCCCCGATCGCGAGCAATGGCTCAAGGCCGAAGCCGTCCTTATTCCGTTTGCACAGGGAAGGGCCGTTCCCGATGCAAACCAGCATCGCCTTCTGGTCGACTTTGACAAGGCATGTGTCCACAACAAACACCTCGTGGACGCTGGCGCGTTGCCTACCTACACGCAGCACCTCCTCCGCGCAATGACGTCTCTGAAAGGGCTCAACTTTCAGTATATGGAACTTGAGATGGTGGAGCGTCTGCTGGGCCAGCTCAACCGCGCGATTACCATGCTGTACTTGGTTGTGACGTTGAGCCCTCACGCGTCTCGACCAGCCATGCAGCGATCGTTGGTCGACATCGGTCTCTTTCCCCCGCACCAGCTTCTCGTGGACATTTTCGACTGTTTGCAAGTCCATCATGCGATTCCTGGGTTTCCCATCAAGCGACTCATGTTGCTCGTGTACGTGTGGATCACGACCATTCTCGGAGACTTGAACGAACTGGACCGCCTCAAGGCAGCCCGCCGTCAACATCACCACCTGGGTACGAACAGTGACGTTATGACATGCCATATCATTTTTTCTTGCCGACACTCACATATATATCAGTTTTTTCCATGATCTGTCATGATGACGTGGCTCGAGTTTGGTGTTTTGTTTTGCGCATAGACCATGACGTTCTCGTTCCATTATACGATATATATATATATATATCAGGGCCGTGTATATATATGTATATCTGTTAAACGTCCATCGGACTTGGTGGCATTGCATGTAGCGGTAGACGACAGCTCAAAATGGACATGCAAGAGCCTCAAGAAACCGGCGACAGTGCCCCTGGGCGACCCTGCCACGGACCCATTGTACCCAACACGAGTGAAAACCCAAGCCGCGCGGGATGCCATCCATGCCAAGTACCTCCATCGCCCCCACGCAGACCTTTCGCCAGTCCCCCCCGCGTCAGTGGATGCACTCAGCAGTGATGACGTGGCGCCACTAAGTGATGACCAAGCGTGGGGGGCCAGGGTCGAATTGCTGTACAAACTGGTGCTCGTGCCCAAATGGAAGGAGTACACGGGGCTGCTGGGTGCAATCATCACGACCATGGCCGCTGGGAACGCCATGGACAAGCGCGGATACTTTTCGAAGCGGAAATTTTCCGTCGACGATACGGCCACCGGCGTCGGGTCGTCCAGCTCGGGCAGTTCGAACCCCGACGAGCAGTTGTATTGGAACTGGATGAACCGCGAAAAGGCTATTGTACGCCTACATGTTATACACTATTTAGGGGGCGGCACATTCGATATAGGGAAACCCTTGTTTAGGTGCTGGATGTGACGTCGCTGGTGATCCTGCACCTGCTCAAACACGTCCGGTCGTCACACTATTTCAAGGGCGAACTGCTCGCGCAAGGGCTCGTGGAAGGCGCGTTGCTCCCCGCTGCTACCGTACTGACTTGATTTGGTATCGAATTGCTGACTGACTGATGCGGAGGTAGAAATTTCTCAACAGAGACACAGCCACGTACGTCCAAGTTCGCGCCGAAGATGCATCTCACCAGCGCGTGGAGATGCACCCCCCCATGCAAAAGGCCGTCGCAGTGCTGGCGGACGACCCCTCGATGGAGTACGCCCTCGCGCCCCTGCGCACCGTCACGAGTCTCCTGCGGATCGTTCAACGACTGACCAAGCGCAAACCGTCGCTGATCCGAGCCATGTTGTGCCGCACCCAATCGTTGGTATGTCCAAACACCTTTTGCATACTATGGGTGCAGGTTGGTCGGTCGGTGTCCTGCACCTATACAAGCCCCTAGCCGTTTGTTTAGTGGAGAGGGATGTCTAGGTGTGGCTCAAACGCGTACTCAACCTCCGTGACCCCACGAGTCGACTGTACGCGTTGAAACTGGTGAAATCCCAGGGCCGGTACTTGGGCCATCAGGTACTTATATATAGATATAATATAGATACTTATATATATATCTTCATATATAGATACTTATATATATATATATCTTCCAAAACCAGACGATATCATGTTACGAATATATATATATATATATATATATATATATATATTGTGGATTCGGTACAAAACAATTTCTAGACCCCGTCGAATTGAATATCTCGCCGAATCGAATCAAGAATCGACGCTATTGGCTAATCCAACTTGGAATGAATTTGATTGGCTCTTTCAGGATATTCAACCAATCAGAACTCCAGCTTGATTCAATATTGATTGCCAAAATCATGCGAATTTTCGAAGTTTATATCGAATTCACAATATACTCCTATATGATAGCTCATGATCGTCGTCGTCGTGTGTATGGTTTGTAGTGGATGCGCAAGTTTACTTGTGTGCATTTGCTCACGGAAGTGTACTTGCACGTCCGTCCGGAACTCGAAGACGACTGGCTCAAGAACGACGAAGACGAGGCGAGTCCGCTGGCGAAAGCGTCCGAGGCGCTGCTCCAAGGCGAAGTCCATGCGTTCCATCACAAGAATTACTGGTCCAAGCCCCAGCCACCCGCGGCGCCATCGTCCGGAGGTGTGAGCATTGCCGTCCAGGGTCTGCTGGATTTGCAGCATGATACCCTCGACGTGGACGGCGGCAGTGCGCGCAAACTTGTGGCCGACCTCAAGTTGGACGCGGCGTTGTGTGGCCAGTATGAAAAGTGGCTCGATGCGCGGGGAATCACTAGTAGTAGTACAACGACTAGCACGTTTGCGGACGACGTCGTCGCGCCTTGGCCGATTGCATTTCATTAACACTCTCGACTAACTACTAACTAACGTTACCTACGAATCCAATCTACCTTGGGTGCGCTTCCTACACTTCTCGGTCACCTTTGAGGTGGTGCAACAGCATCATGGTCGAGTACTTGGCGCGCCGAAACGTGTCAAACTGGTAATGATGCTCTTCGCATTGTTTGAGCAGTTCCGACCGGTGGTTCACGAGCGGACACGAAATCTCGTCCACGTCGTCGACTTCCAGCATTCCGTTGCCATGAGGCGGCGGCGGCAACTTGCTGCTCCACGGCTCTGCTGACACGAGCACGTGCCGTCCCCCTTGTTGGAATGCCCTTCCATTCGCGTCGTTCAACGCTGCCAACTGGTTGTGGCACATGTCACACCACACGAGGGGATTGTTGTTGTCGTCGTTGTCGCTCTTCCAGTAGGCAGCGTTGACGACGAGCACTCGGCATTGCACACATGCAGGTTGCAGCAAAATCACAAACAACGAGTCCTTGGCCGAGGCCACGGACGCCGCCACTTCGACGCGGATCGCTGCGTCCGATTTCACCAGCGGGGCCACTTGGTCCACCGCCACAACATGGGGTTCAGTCTTTTTGCGGCGAACTTTGCGCGGCCGCATGCCGGCAATGCGGTCGGCTTCGGCCACCCAATAGTCCCCTTCAAAGTATGGTGGCAGCACCGCAAACGATTCTGCCGACGACGATTGAAAATGGGTCGACCACAGCGTGTCGTGCCCAAACGCAACGTGACTTCGTTTCGCCGACGCAATGATCGCTTTGTACCAGAGCAAGAGCCGGTCCTTGTTGGGGTTGCGTTGGTACGTGGGATGGCACCAGTAAATAAAGTCGCCGCCGCGGGTGGTCGGACATGCCCAAATGTGCGCGTGGGTGAACCCCCGCAGCTTGCAAAATGCCAGGTACGCGATCACAAGCTGCTGGTACACTGACGACCGGGCATGACGCGGACGAAAGTACCCGAGCGAGTCGAGGTACGCAATGTACGTTCGCTTCACGTTGGACGAGACGCCGCAATTGTCGCCGTATTCTTGCACGTACATGGAGAACAAGCACACGTCGATGCCGTGGATCTTCTGGAACACCAAGATCGTCTTGGACGTGTACGTGACGTGGGACGGGTACGTGGAATGGTCGGCCGCGACAATATGCTCTTGAACGCGGGGATTGATCGGCACAGTCTTGCGGATCGACGCGGCGAGCTTCACGCTGATCGAGGTCGCGGCATGGGGCTCGCCCAATGCAATCATGTGGTCGCGGATCCACGTCTCCATGAATGTGCCCAAATGGGAAGTGGCGCTCGAGGACGTGTCCGTGCCCTTGGGGTAACAATGCGGCTTGCGCTGCTTCTTCACAACTGGGCTGTGTGTGCTCATCTCGTCGTGCTTGCTTCGCTTCGCGACCACAACGTCCAACTCGTTTGAACTGACCGCGCAGGGAGACAACGGTGGTAGCGACATCGGCGACTCGGGGGCTTTGGCGACTTCCATCTTGCTCAAACGACATATCGGGCATGTATACGGCGTGTCGTCGTCGTCAGCTTCTACGGACGACGCATTGAACAACGCGCAGATCTGATGCACCCAGCCCGTGCAAGAATCGCACTGGACCCATGGCTCAGTGAGTTCGTCCTGGAACTTAGCTTTGACCAAATCGCGTTTGCCAATCTTGCGGCCAGCAACCACGACTTCTTTGAGCTTGGGAACGCACTTCGCACACCAATTCAACTGCCGGTCCACAGTGGTAAAATATGCGGCATGGCGCCGCAGGCGTTGACCACACTTGCCAACACACATGACCAGCGGAGGGTCAAAGTTGATGCATTTCTCGTTGCACAGGGCACATACATGTGATTGGCAATGGGGGCATGAATGCGCGTTCCGTTTGTCCAGTCGATCGGCTTGTTTCCGCAGAAACGCTACGTACTCGCGCTCAAACTCCTTGAGCAAAATCGCCGCCGCGTCGTGGACCACGTGACCCGGGGGGTTGAACAGCATAGCATTCTGAAACACGAGGCGGATGTCGTTGGCGGCGTCGTCAGGGTTCGCGTACTCCAATGAACCCAATCGTTGCTTGATCGTACCCAAATCCATGGGCGTTTTGATCACGTCGTAGTACGTCGGACACGCCAGTCGCACGACATCGACGGGGGTGTTGAAAAAGGATTGATTGATGCGGTGGATCATCAACCGAGTAACTACACCTAGCATGGGCACGGCCATTTGTTCGCGTCGCAGGTCTTGCAGATGTTGTCGCAGTTGCGCCGCCGACGCTGTGTCCAACGGTGAAAACGTGGGACACGTAGTCGTAGCAGCTGTGATATCCACGGGAGGGACCACGGACAACTTGCCCATTTCCCACTCGCACTCGACCTCGATGGGACTATCATCTGCTTCATAACATGACGATCGTGGTCTCTTCATTGGACTCATGTGATGTGATTGCTGGTGGTCTCTACGGGAAGGTCGGGATGTGGTGCTTGACGACCTCCACTACAAAAACCCCATTTGATAAACAACCTTTTCGCATTACGTTAGCACGTTGCTGCTGCTGCCCTACGGTTGCGCGCTATCCGTGCCGCCCTCTCTCCCATGACCTCTTCCTACTTGATGCAAGAGGGGGCGTACCTCTGGTGGTGGTAGGGAAGTGCGCGCCAAAGATTCAAATTTCGCGCGTCGTGCACACCTCACAACGGCGAGGTAAAATCCAAAATGACCGCAAAACTCCTGATGCTGCTCCTTTTAAACTTGGAATTTCTATTGCATACAAAATGCAGTCCAAATCGGGGGGAAAATCGAATGATCCATCGACATCTCGACCAATCACAACACTCCACCACGGCTGTTCTTTCTGGAAACCTATCGCGGGTAGGGCAAAAAGATACAAAATTCAAATCAAAGCGATAGGGGAGGGATTTTGGCGTCAAAAGGCGCACGTCCAACGCGCCAACTTTATCATCTAATTTATTCGAATTATACATATGTTCAATCGCATTAATAAAATACAGCATATTGAAACACTACCTGTTACAATCAATACCCTATGAAATACCATAGAATATTGTCGACGGGGGGCGAGGAGTGAAGGGCATTTCTTTGTTCTGGCCACGACTGTGATTGGTGCATTTTAAAACTACTTCGACCACCTTGCAACCAGTTCCATTTCACACGGAGAATATAAAACAGTATTTTCCAACCTCCACAGTGTTAAAGGAGGTGACGCCAGCGACACACCGATTATTTACCTTGGTTCTTGTATGTTCCATCGTAACACGTGGAAAATCTATCGAGTAGCTCCGGCACTTGAGACTTGCATGTTAGGCCAAGAAATTACTCCGAGTAACTGTTAGGCCTAGAAACGAGCACACGTTTGACCTGCAGTTGATCTCATCAAAGGACACGACAAGGTGGAAGGAGGTTGGCCAAAGGCGCTCGCGGTACATGTATTGGCATGGGCTCAGGCATGGGATGGGCTTTTCACCTCATTAACGTTAGATCGAAATCACAACTTTGTTACCTCTTGCATTTGATGAGGTTGAACGAATATGAATTGATGGGGGGTTTCTATCGCGTTTCTGATTGGTCAGATCGAAATCGCCAAGTGACAAGCCATGGCCCGACCGCCACGGATGAGCTTGCTCCAGCGGTTCTTCTACGTGACACAGACAAGCCTTCGACGGTTTGATGCGTGGACGGAAAAGCACATGATTGGTTTGCCAAACCCTCCATTGACGGAGGAAGAACGTCAGGACAAAGCTCGTGAACAATGCGTGGACCTGTGGACGTTGTCGCTGGCGGACCACGTTCGCTTTGCGCGGGAAGCATGGGCGGAATACAAGGATACGCTTCGCGAAGACTATGAATTCACAGAGGTGGTCCGAGGAAAGGTCATGGACTTCAAGGACACCGTGGAGGAACAGCGCGCCAAGGTCGACGAGCACTTGGATTCGCACCATCCCGAACTCAAGCAACACATCAACACATGGAAAAGTGACATCCAGCAAAGTGTGGGTGACATCCAGCAAAGTGTGGACGACACGACAGCGCGAGTCAAGGTGCATGTTGACGAGATGAAGGTCCAGGCCAAGGATATTGATGTCGAGAGGTTCGTCTTGTGGCTTTGAACTGCAACGTTCATCTAACCGTGGCATAGAATTCCAGAGCATATATCTGATGCCGTCAATGCCTTGAAGAATCGGCCGGTCGTAGATGTCAAGCGAGACGTGGAAGAGTGGGCGCTTGACAAGCTCGTGGTGGGTCGTGCAACCATGTCGGCGTTCGTCGAGGGTACGACAGACAACCTTAGACCATGGTGTGATGGGCATATGCATGTACAGGATACAAGGCAGGCAAGGAAGAGGAATTGATGCGGGAAACTCCGTTGCTGAAAGAACTGGCGGAAAAGGCGACCGATCAACACAAAGACTTTTTGACGGCCAAACGCAACGAATTGCTCCAAAAAGTGGCCGATTTTGAAGTGAAAAGCACGAGATCATCGCCTCCACCCGTTGTATAACGTTAATATGAACGAACACTGCAGACCTCACGCACCATCTTGTCCGTTTCGTACGTGTGCGCAGCATGCAGCTATCTTCACGCCATGAGGAATGCGGCCCTTTGATGGACTACTCTTCTTTGTCATCAACATGCAGCAATGGTTCCGTCTGGTCGTAATGTCGGTCGAATTCTAATCCAGAAAAAAGTACGGAATATCCGGATACCAGTTCTCCGGTTTCAAACTACGCGCACTTTTTGAAACGTCGGGCAGTAGCGAAGGGACGGCACGATGGTGAAGCCTGCGGCGCCGACCAAGCAAAAGTCGCTCGCGGACGATGACTTGCTGAAGCTTGAGAAGATGGAACTGTCGGATGACGAGGATGACTTCCAGTACACGAACGTCGACGTGATGGACGACGACGACGACGATGACGAGGCGGACTTCCAGACCGTGCTGCGAAACCTGAACAAGGAAAAAGACGTATCGAGTACCGAGAAAGCGCCATCGCCAGTGTTCAAGGGACAGAGCGGGAGTGGGGGCTCGAATATTCCGTCCCGCACCATCAGCACGCAAGTGCGGCCGTCGGTCGTCGACGACTTTATTAGGAACTTTCTCATCAAGATCAGTATGCCACGCACGTTGGACGTGTTCAACACCGAATGGTATGAACTCATGGCGAAAGGAAAATTGAAGGAAGAGGACATTGGAATTGTCCCGGACATTTACTTGCGCAATCAGTCGCTGGACGACCAGGTATCTCATTTGCATCACAACGTCCAACAAAGCTCACCATGGTGGGTACTGCGTAGGTCAAAGCACTGCGAAAACAATTGGACGAGACCAAAAAAATCACGGAAAAGGCAAAAGGTTCGGCTTCGAGTAGCTCAAACTTTTTCTCATCGTCCTCGGCGTGTAGGTACATGGGACAAGTTCCGCCATCAACGAGACGTCCACAAGATGCACCATCAGCGCGTCGTGCAAGAGAAGAATTCCCTCATGGACAAGATCAAGAAGTTGCGAAAGAACATTGCTGCGTACGAGCCGTTGCTGTCCGAGTTGCGAACGAAATACGAAGTCGCGATGAAGGAGAAGATGCTCATGCGCCTCGAACGCGATCGGTTCATGGCCAAAACCGACGCTCTGGTGCGGAACCATCCACTGTCGTCCATCTTGACTCATGGCATGGCAGGAAGCGCAAGTTCGAGCGCTCGAACAGAAAGACAGCAAGGGAAGCACGAGCAAGTCGTCTCCTGCGAAATCCTCTGGGCTCAAGAAAACCAAAAAAGGCGACACGAAATTGCCAACGGAAAACGCTCCCAATCCCAACGCCGACAAGACGTTTGACCCCGTGCAAATCAAACGGTACGACAAACCCAACTGATGAACATGTGATGCCCCCCCATCCCATACTCATGGTTTGAGAATGCAATTTTAGAGTCGAACTGGTCAAGGTGTTCCAAGGCCACCAAAACTCGATCGCAGCCGTGGCATTTCACCCTAAGAATCCCGTGCTCGCGACCGTCTCGGACGACGAGACGTGGAAATTGTGGTCCATTCCCACCTGCGAGCTCATCATGAGCGGCGAAGGGCACCGCGACTGGATTGCTGGCATTGAGTTCCACCCCCGCGGGACGCACATCGCGACGTCGTCGGGCGACAACACGATCAAGATATGGGACTTTGTCAGCGCGTCGTGCACGTTGACGCTGCAAGACCACGCACACCCGGTGTGGGAAAGTGCGTTCCACCACGACGGCGACTTTCTCGCGTCGGCGTCCATGGATCACACGTGCAAGCTGTGGGATCTGAACACGGGCAAATGCCGCAAGACATTCCGGGGCCACGTCGACTCGGTCAACAGCGTGTGCTTCCAGCCGTACACTGTCAACATCTGCACCGGGTCTGGGGACAAGACCATCTCGATTTGGGACATTCGGTAAGCCAAACGAGACGTGGACTAGCCACCTACCTCTACAAATGACGAATATTGAACTTGATGGTAGATCTGGGCTGTGCGTTCAAACGTTTTACGGACATCAAAACACGTGCAACAGCGTGGCGTTTTCGACGGCAGGGGACACGATTGCGTCCTGCGATGCTGACGGGTTCATCAAGTTGTGGGACGTGCGCATGGTGGCCGAGCGCGCGACGATCGACGGCGGACAGCAACCCCTGAACAGCGTCGCGTTCGACAAGAGCGGGCAAGTGGTCGTGGCTGCGAGCGACGACGGCATGATCAAAATGTGCAACGCAAGGACGTTCGAGTACGTGTCCGACTTGAAAGGGCACGATGGTCCCGTCCAGGTAGACATATATCATTCTGATACAAGTATTCCGAAGGCAACAACACTCCTATTATGTTGTGTGTGTATCGTGTGATGTGTAGTCGGTCAAGTTTGACCCCGTTGGACGGTACATTGCGTCGGCCAGCTCGGACTGTACGTTTCGGTTGTGGACTTGACACTAGTGTTTACGATTGGTAGTACTGCGTGTATCCTAATGTTGCGTATAAATATGGCTTTCAACGACAGATGCATTGACTTGGTCCATATCTGCTCAGTGGTTTCCATCGCTGTCGGTGGCCATGTCAGGCTCGTCCAAGTACATGGCCGCACACTCGGCTTTTGTGGTGGTACCAGCGACGTCCACGACTTCGAGGATGTAGTCGGCGGGGGTGGCGTTCGTTCCAATGACGTGGCGCCACCACGAATACGACACGAACCACGTTGTGGGAAATGGATGCCCATTCTCATTTGGCCAAGGCAAGACATGCTCGACGAGGTCGTACCCTTGGTTGATTTGCGTGAGGATGATCGCAGCGATCCCAAGTGTAGACGACACTTGGACGTTCGCTTCATCGAAATCAGACCGCCTCCACTGCCATACCTGGCGGTGTGATTCCAGATCCAGACAATTTCGAGGTGGGAGCTGGGCGAAGGAGACGTCCACTGTGTCGTGCCGCACATGAAATGACTCAACCTCGAACCCCGTTGGGGCGATGACAAACTCCAACCGGTTGGTGCGCCCGCCTTGCCATGGAAACGCTCGAAAGTGCGAATGCAGACCCACGCCACACACGACTCCGTCGGCGTCTTTCGCCACGTCCAGCTGGACAATGTGTTCATGACGCAGCAAGAGGTGATGGGCTCGCTCGGTCCAATTCTGCATCGACAAGAATGATGTCCACGGAGAGGGGGGATGGAAAAGGGCCGATGATGATGATGGTAGTGGTGGTGGTGGCGATAGTGTCGTTGGTGGTGGCAGAGGGATGGAAGGAACATGTATGACCATTGTCTTCAACGCGGTGGTGCCAAATAGTGCAGAGGCACTACATCCACTGTCGTTCGTGGTTTGCAGGGGCGATGTGTATACCCCCAATCGGCCAATATGGCGCCGTCCCAACGTTCCTGCCAACGCCGTCACTTGCATGCCACGAGGGGCTTCAAAGCGGGCGGGGGGGAGGTCGTTGGCGCGGCCGTACACTTTCGTGACCCGAACATTCGTGTGCAGTTGGAGGCCATCGACCCACGCCACTGCATGGACAGTCACTGCCATGACAACTTCACTTTCATCTAGACAAAACCGCATATCGTCATCCTCGTTGGCACCACCACCTACAACAATGTCAGCCTTGTCTAGGAGAAGATCCATCTGGATGCAACCCCCACGGCGGAAGTTCACGCGGAACGGACGCTGGGGACCGTCCATGTAGGCGAATCCCGCCGGCCCAAGAAAGTCATGGCGCCACTGTATCGTCGGTCCGTTCCTGTTGTGACGATGTTGATGAAATAACGTCAGAGCTGGCGACAACCGGCGGAGATACGGCGAGTGGTCCAGCTTGACCGCGTTGGCCGGATGCCACGCCGCGCCGCCTCTGTCGTCGGAGATGTGGCGTCCGTCCATGTCAAATACGCACACCAGACGATGGATGTCGTCCCCGCCCCGACTCATGATCGTTCCTGGCGGCGCGTGACCCAGGCCGAGCGCATGGCCCATCTCGTGCAAGAGTGCGCCGATGCCCGTGGCGTACGACCCCCCAAACGTGCCTCGATGCCCACTGTCGTCCAGCAACGTCGACGGAATTTTAGTAGCGTCGGTGAACTTGGAGACGACGTCGCGCACGCTCGAGGCCCACGTGTGGAGGCCGCATCCGCCAAACAGCGCCACGCGTGGCAATCCGTCGGCGCCGTTGGCGACATGCCCTACAGCGCGGCCGGACGAGGCGTTGAATCGGCAACAGCCCGTCACGATCACATGGAGAATGGGATCATGATTCACTGGAAGTTCTCGCCGAATCACGCGAAAGATCTCTTGGTCGTCCATGGCTGCCATGGTGGACGTCGTGAGTTTAGGCGAGGACCAGGCATGCACACGAGGCTGTCCAAATGTGTCCATATCGTCGAAGGCAAATGTACGTGCCGGTAGACCATGTGCTTGCTGCAACGTGGCCATCATGGCCTGAAGGAGGAGCGCATTGAATTGGAGGATGGCGAGGGCGGCGGGGAGACTGCCGTCGACACCCGCGGGGGCATCAATGGATCCGTCTGTGTCGGGGCATGTCTGGAGAGCAAAGCGGAGTTTATACGGCGATACAGTTTGGTCTGTGGTCGAGGAAGGGAGTGGAGGATCGTAGTGGAGCGTATGCGTGCGACGATGGAAAGTTGGGGTCGTGAGGGCAACGCGATGCTGGCCGGGAGATGGAAGGTGGGCGAGAGCCTTGAAGCGGCCAGCGGGCCAGTCGACCGGCCATGATGTAACCACGTACTCAACGCGAACATACAGTATCGAGCATGACGGTGGAGGTGGGGTATAGTGATGAAGAAGAACTTGGCCTTCTAGTAGCACAATAGGATGGTCCACGATGATGGATTTGGTTCCCGCGTCATGCAAGAAGAGTTGAATTCCTCCATCGTCGCCGTCGATTTCTAGCCATAATTGATGATGCTCACCAGCATGGATTGGTGGATCGTTGATGGACATCGATGGGATGGAGGTCAACGCTGTCGTCTCATGCACGAGGTACTGTTCCATGCAGTGGCAATTTATGAGCGAGACACCTGCCATAAACGCCACCAACACCGTCCGCCCCCAACTTCGTCGCGGCATCCTTCTCTCCGTTCACTCTTTCGAAATGACATCATACAGTCCGACGCGAAAGGTTATCACCACCATGTTTTTCTCAATTTTTTTCCAAAGTATTGAAAATTAAATTAATCCAAAAACATGCCCAGATTTGTATACTAAAAACAAGCATTTCTAGCTTTGAATTGCAATAAAGTTCAAAATATTGAGTGAGGAGTGAAAAAAAATACGTTTTTACACCGACCTAAAAGGTTATAACCACTGAACAACCCCATCAGTTCGCCCACGATAATAAAAGAATTGATACGATAATTCACACGCAAATCCATTACTAGTATTTAGTTGTCATTCCGTTAGCCGCAACAACACTCAGGCATCTCGATTTCATGCTAAAAATCAGAGTTTGAAGGTACGAAACCTCCAACGAGTTCCAATGACGCATAATTGAGGCTTTGAGCTCTTCTTTCGTGTCATACTGCTTCCCGCCAGCATACACTTGCTCAACAAGATATCCCCAAATATTCTCGATGGGGTTCAAGTCGGGAGACAACGCTGGCCAGTCCATAACCACAACACCTTGTTCATCCAAAAAAGCTTTTGTTGCGTTGGCAGTGTGAATGCTTGCATTATCTTGCTGGAAAACGAAATCAGTGCCAAAACGAAGCTGGGCTGCAGGCAACATGAACTCGCCAAGCGTGTAGATGTAGTCTTGGGCTGTTTGTGTTCCCTCAACGAACGCCAATCGAGTCGTTCCATCTGCCCAAATACCCCCCCACACCATGAGCGAGCCACCACCATTTTGACGACTGAAAACTGTTTTGACATCACGTCCAACGCAGTGCCAATACGACTTGAGACCATCGGGGCCATCCAGGTTCCACTTTTTCTCATCGGAGAAGACAACCGAGCTCCACTTTTCGGTTCCGTAGTCGACCATTTCAGATGCCCATTCTTTGCGACGAAGCATGTGCATGGGGGTGAGTTTAGGGGCTTTTTTCATCTTAATGAACTCAAACTTGTTGTTGGAGCGTAAGTAGCGGGTAACGGTAGATTTGTGCAAGTCAAGGTCGAGTTGATCGTTGAGTTTTGCAGCACTCAATATCTCGTTGGTACTTGTGCGATACAGTCGCCGCTGTTGTTGAGCGTTGAGCTTCTTCGGGCGACCTTTTTTCCTTTTTTCCTTTTTTGTAGTTGTTTCCATACGAGGTGGGGTCCTTGAGATAGTTGGAGATTGTGACATGGTTTCTGTCGAGTCTACGTCCGATTTCACGCACACTGAGACCCTCCGAAGACCAAGCCAATGCTTGACCTTGTTCAATCTCACTTAGTTGCAAAGCACGTCCCATGCGTCGGACACAAGGTAGGTTTGGAAGTGTATTACACGATTTACAATGCGTGTGAGCCAAACTGCACCTATACACGTGGCCAAATGTGGTTTGAACGCGTCAGTCACCATGTGGTTATAACCTTTTGCGTCGGAGCAAAAACGTTTTTTTTTTCACTGCTCACTCAATATTTTGAACTTTATTGCAATTCAAAGCTAGAAATGCTTGTTTTTAGTATACAAATCTGGGCATGTTTTTGGATTAATTTAATTTTCAATACTTTGGAAAAAAATTGAGAAAAACATGGTGGTGATAACCTTTCGCGTCGGACTGTAACACCTCTGATGTTCCACCAATCACAAAGGACAGTCAAGTGACATACATTCTCACTCGCCATCCATGGAATTCCCTCACTTTAGAGCTCATAGTATATATTTCTATCAGCGGGTCAACACGAGCAAACTGCACTTCTGCATATCAATATATTCACTCTATGGTAGTAGATTAACGGCGACCTCCTCCCCGGCCCCCTCCTCGGCCTCCACGTCCGCCGCGACCCCCTCGGCCACCAAATTCAACTTGTCGCTGACGTTTGTTGCTGTCCGACTGGGCATACCGCGCGCGGCGCGAGGCTTCCGCATCCAACCAGAACGCCTTCTCTTCGTCGCCAGTCAAGATCTCGGCGGCGCCGATCTTCTGATCCTTCACCGTCACGTCGCCGGCCGTGATGAGTTCCACGAGCTTGGTTGCGGCCGCCACCACATCCACGCGCAGAAGCGCTTCGGTCTGGCCAAGCTGAAACTTAATGAATGCCACGACGCCGGTTTCGCCGAGAATGTCGTTGAGCTTCTCCTTGACGACGTCGCGGGACACGTCGGACGGCACCCCCGTGAGCTTGACTACGAGTCCGTTGTCATAGTCTACCTCGACGGCGGGCTCTTCGCCGACCGTCAAGAAGTGGAACTGGGGGGTCTTGCCGCCAAGTTGGGGCACCGGCGACAGCTTCGAGAGCGCGTCAAACACTGCCGTGGCTTGGGTGTTGTCGGTGCAGTTGATCTTGGCCAGCGACGCTCCCGTCTGGAACTCGATGAACGGCACGCGGACACTCGACGCGCCCAGCGCCTGTACGACGAGGTCCTTGACGTCGAGCACGCGCACGGCTTTGCCGATGGCTGTGATGGCCACGTACTTGCGCTCGCCGGCGGCGTCCGCCTTGCGTTTCTTCGAGTCCTTGCGCGGGCGGCCGGCGATGGCGGATTCGTCCGACACCAGCTCGAAGCTGAGCTTCGTGCCAAGCACTTCCACGGGGTGGGCGTCGAAGTAAGCCAATGCCTCGGTGGCCGCAGATACTTGCGAGTAGAGCAAGTTGAGTTCGTGTAAATCTTCAAAGAAGTTGACCAGAGGCTTCTTGTCGCGGTCGTCTTCCCACAGACCCTCCAGCGCCGACACGGTGTCTTGGAACGTGGCGTCCGCAGGCACGCCAGTCGCCTTGAGCAGCGCCTGGATACCCTTTTCAAAATCGCGCTTGTCGTCGTGCGACAGCGCCAAGTACGCAGACAAGCGGATCTTCTTCGGCGACCGACCGACGATCGTGATGGACTTGTCGGCGAGCACAGCATCCGCCGTGGCTTCGTCTTTGAATTCCACATGCACGACGCCGAAGAAACGACCGGCGGCCTTGACTACGCGCGTGTACCCGACCGTGTCGATGTTGAACGATGCGTTCACTTCGTCGATGCTGGGCGGGAGCACGCCGAGACCACTGAACGCGACGGTGCGCTTAGTAGCATCGTCGTTCGACAACGCAGCTTGGAGGCGGCGGAGCGCAGTGCGGTCTTCGTTGAGTTCGACTACCGTGGACTTTTCCAAAGCCGACGCCAACACCTCGGGGTCGGTCGTCAACGCCTGCAGTTTCTTGAACGTGAAGAGGACCGAGAACGGCACAAAGCGGTCGGCATTCTTTTCCGTCTCCGCCTTCAAGAACTTGTCGCGGCGGAAGTTGCTGTCGGAGAAGTAGAACTCCACTTGCTTCTGGATCACGGCGAGGTCGGCCATGTTGGGAGTTTGAAAAATGAAAGCGAGTGGACACTGGTGCCGGTGGGTCGACCAATCATTTTGGGGTATCCCAAATCACGCACTGAATGTTGATTTCCGCACCTTTCCGTGTTCCATTCTGTAACGAATAACGCACCCAATTCTCCGAGAAGTCGAATATTCACATATATATTTAGCTCTGGTAGGAAATATATATCGTCATAATAGTCGTCACTTTGAATTAATTGGTAGGCCGACATTGAAATATTAACTGAATAGAAATCAATCTTCCTTCTGCTATCAATAATTCTATGATAGAATTTGAATTTGCCCCGCTCATTAAAATGGACGCACCTTCGAAAACGGTGCGTGTTTGGGCGTGACGAGCATTCACCTCAACCGCAAAAGGCGACGACGGCAAGGACAGGTACGATAGATCGCGCTACAGTTCTTGTGGTGTTGAACATGCATGTAGGTTAAGCGTCACGATGTCGAGTCGAAGCAATGCTGCATCGGTTCCGTTTATGATCACCGCCAAGATGAAGTACGAGCTCAAGACGCTCGGGTACACGGACGAAGATATCCACAAGGTCTGTGGGTCCGAAACGGGGGCGTAGCCAATCTAATGGGGGTTGCACGAGTAGATGAAGGTGGACAATGCACACAAGATCCTTGACACGGGGTTGCGAAAAGGTGAAGTCAAGAAAACGATTCCGTTGAACCCGACGCAAGCTCTGGCGGCATGGGCTCCGTCGGTGGCGGCCCTGCTGGTCACGCTGCTGTTGCTGTACTTTGTATTTGGCACCACGACAAAGTAGACCCGTCGGTGTAGTAAGCCAACCGTCTCCAGAACCCGACGATATGAAGTCTTGTTCCCAGGAGCGGTTGTAGGCTGAGCGAGCCAGGCGGCTGCCTTTCTAAATGCTTCGAAATCAAATGTGTCGAGTGCATCATGTGTACGTGTGTGTGTGTGCTTTAGAGGTCGAGGAGGGCTCACTTCCGACGACATCTACCGCCGCCGCCGCCGCGGGCAGGCCACAACCCGTGGGAGCTGGTCCATCGACACACCCGTCGACTTCAACCCCTCCATCTTCGTCCATTCCGTTCATGTTGACGGCCGCAATGAAGCACGACCTCTTGCAGCTCGGGTACTCCGAGCCAGATCTGTACAAGGTACAGTCCATGTCATATAAACTGAAAACGTATCACATATGTCTAGATGCCACCAGACATTGCCCACCAGATCCTCCGAGCCAAGCTGCGCAAGCGCAACAAACCTCCATCATACACGACCCGCCCGCCTTCCATCCCTCAACATCCCCAACCCAGCGAAGACGACGACAGCGACGACGTGCCGTTCTCGCCGTGGGCAATCGGGGGCTGCGTCCTTCTCACCGTCGTCATGCTTGTCGTTCAGTTTGCCACTGTCTCGTGACCCTTATCCCACAGTACAACATATACAAATTCTTGGCAATGTTAGTGTCCCATTTGTAGGCAAACTGTACTTGCCATGTACTAGTATTACTACTTCTCCAAGTACTAGTACATACTGGTCGGAGAACCCGGAGTACAGTGCTGTAGACTCATCGAGTCTTGTGTAATATAGTTCTTGTGGCTATTCGATACGAATCTCGCCGCCGAATCGAATTATCATGAATCGACGCTATTGGCTAATCCATTTTCGAGTCGATTTGATTGGCTCGAAAGGACACAAGTATATTCAACCAATCAGAACGCCAGCTTGATTCAATATTGATTCGCGAATTTTGGACGTTTATAGCGAATTCACAATAGCATCAAAACAAATCCTTGTCATTACATGGCCCCGCTTGCATGCTGGCCCACGAACGCGTTCACTTCAACCAGCACGTCGTCGTAGGTCGCCACGGCTTGGGGGTAGACGCGGATCCATCCCGAGCCCGAGTCGTGACCCAACTTTTCCACGCGGTTCCAATGCAAATGGCGCTGCAGCGTGATGGAAACCTCCTGCGCGCCCGCGGCCACCTTCCACCCGGCAAACCCCGCCTGCTGGATGCTCTCAGCGATGCATTGCGTCAGCACGTCGGCCGTCGATTGGGTCGATGGGAGGCCCACGACCAAGTGCAAACATACGCCCCACGTGCCCCGCAACGCATGCTCAAACCCCTCTTTGATGCACGCCAGCTACAAAGATCAACCAACACCCCATGGGGTCAAACGTGTTTTTCCCAAACAGTATCCCAGATGTAAAGGACCCTACCCTACCCCTTAAAATCCTAGGTACTCCAAAGACCCTATCCCGCTACAACAGTAGGACGCACCTGCAACACCAAAATCAGCCGTTCGTAGCGCGGGTCTTCTTGCTCACGTTCTTGGACTGGCCACCGCAGCTGAAACTCGAGCGTCGCGCCATGGCCCATCCGTGTTGTGAGCATATCCGTGCGTTGCTGTGGAATGAGACAATAAAAGAAGAACGAGTTTACGACGTGGCAGACACACGTTGCCGTATATATATATATATAAATCCGCACCTGGGACGACGGGTAGAATGCCTCCATGCCCACTTCGATGGCCGCGGCGGCCTGCAGCGACAGTGAAAACAGCGGGTCCGTCCGCTTCGTACCCAGCGGAATCAGATGCTCCAGCGCCTGAATGAGCTGGTCCTGGCCGTCCTGAAGCCCCACTTCAGCAGGGTCCACATGACTTAGCACGAGGCGGCGAACGTTGGACGTGACAATCTACAGGAAAAGTAGGAGCACTATGTACATAAAATAATATATTCAGTTTTTTTATTCATATATATATATATATCCATTATGCTTGGTAGATTTCTATATACACATGTAAATACAAGAAACAATCCTTACACATGGACGAACCACACACACACACAACAACAACGTTGATTCAAACCCAAAATATAAGAGTATAGAGGTTGAGAGAACGGGGTAGATAGGTATGTACCTGCAACACGGCGAGGCCCATGGCATTTGGTGTAAACCGATGCTCCACCATACTAGGTTGGCTTGCGTTGGGGCGAGTGTCGGCAGAAGCATGGAGGATGAAGGCTGGGGGACTAGTCTGGGCCAGCGACTGCGTGAGCTGCGTGGCCGCGGCGGCAAGCGCGTCGTGCAGGTGGGTGGGCTGCGACGGATTGAGCCACGGCGCGAGCAGATCCGTGAGCAATGTGTACCCCAGCTCAAAGAGCTCGGAGCTGACTTGAATCGAAAACGGATCTTCCAGTCGACTCAGCTCGTCTTCTTGGCGGCGGCCGACAAACTCTTCGGGGCGTTGCATCCGCTGCATCTGCCACACACTCAACTCACTCAACACGCTCAAAATCACCATCGCCAACTACCACCATTATCCGTTTAATTTGGCTCAAGTGTAGTAGTACTGAACAAGTAATGTATATATATAACAGTATTACAAGGACAACCGAGACTACAAAGCCACGGGATCGATGCAAGGCGAAACAACATACCTGCGCGCGAGACTGAATGCACTGGACAAACGACGGCTGCTACATCCAATAACAGGTAAGTTGTATATATATATGGACATTATAAATGGACATTATAAACATATATATATATATTTGTGCAGTCGTAGCTCGATGCCAAAAATATTCCGTCGTGTCTTTCTACCTGGCAAAGCAGCAGCACCAAAACGGGGTACGGCGTGCCGCCGGTGGTGGCCTCTTCGTCGAGCGACGTCGTTTGAGGGGACACACGCGAGTCGAGTCGGTCCGCCGCCGCGTGGTCCAAACTGATGCCACTCGACGGGTACACTTCGAGGCCGGGGATCGCGGCCACGTCCGGGGACGTGTACACTTCTAGGCCAGGGATATTTTGCAAGATTTGAATCGTGCGGCGCGTGACTTGGTCGTGTAGGTTGAGCGACATTTGCTGGATGATGAGGCGCTTCTCCATGCACTTGGCTTCGTTTTCGTCGGCGCTCGAGTGAGCCATCACTTTGTGGACGCACGTGGCCAGGTCGGTCAAAAACGACGCCGTCTGGATCGGACACAAGGGCGTCGTATCCCCCGACTGCAGCAGACACTGCACCACGCGCAGCAGCGCGCAGAGCGACCCCGACGCCAGCGCCAGCGTCTGGCAGCACCTCGTCACAGAAACACACAAGTGGTGGACGGACGCACCTGGAGGATCGACAGCGCCAGGTCCCGGATGGCCGCGTGCGGGGAATGGGTGGCTGCCGACGACACCCACGCCACGAGGTCCTGCAGCAGCTGGCTCGGCGGTGTGTACACACACTCGACTGTCGACGGATACACGTGCACGTGGTAGATGCCAAAATGTACACGGTCGTCTTCTACTCGTGTTGTTTGGTGTGGGCAGATGATGGAATACCAGATTTTTAATATATATATATTGGAATACCAGATTTTTAATATATATATATATATTAAAAAATTGCCCAATATATATATATATATTAAAAAATTGCCCAATATATATATATATATATTGGGCAATAAAGGAAAGCCATCTTGGCTCCCAAGTCGTGATACAAACTCATAATACGAGTGTGTGTTGGATATATATATACATATATATATCGAGTTGGATGTATTGATTTTGTACCGGCATGAATCTGTGGACGTGCCATCGAGATCTTGACATGGGACACTGCCACCACGGGCTAGAATATAATATAATATATTTATTTATATTATTCATAGTGTATATATATATACATAAATTCGGCAATGCCACCATAACCGTTTTGATCACAAGCATAAAATAACAGGTGACAACAAGGTCGAACACTACTCACCGACACGAGGTGAAGTCGATGATCATGGGGCTCGTTCCCCGCATGTTCTTGTGACTTGTGTGCGCGGGTGAGTTGAATGTCGTTAAATGTCTTGCCGCCATCCGTCGATACTTGGATGGCGTAGTCGCGGCAGCGATGGGTCGGATGCCATGCGATGGAAACGGCGTGGACGGTCGTGGGGGGGTCGAAGCCGAGGGTCACGTGTGTGTCGGTCGACGACGAACTGGCGGCAGACTGCCAGAACGAGCTCGAGCCAGTGTCCAGCAGCCTAATTGAAATCCCAAGTAAATGCAAGTAATCAAGCCATGAATGTACTGTGTCGCATTGTGCTGGTCGTCGGCATGCGACGTCGCGACGGCCGACGACGGAACAACGTGGGTCACAGGGGGCGCTTGAGGTGGCGCCCAGTCTTGGAACATGCGCAAGGCGTCTGATTTTTCAAACAAGAGCGCAATCTAATGGGATCATGACGGATACATATATATATATATTGATACAGAAAACTATTGACGATATATATATATGAATTATACTCGCTTGAGCGGTTCCAACGCTTTCAAGCTGTGGCTGTCGAACGTGGTGACGATGGTCGAGAGCAAGCGGAGGTAGATCTGTGGACCACCAGCAAATGAGATTTTTCACGACATCGTCGTAGGTCGTCCAAGACAAGTCGATTCGAAATTGGGAGCAGCAGCACCAAATCCGCAGACAATCGATGTACGACCAATCAAAACCCACAACACGAATCAAGTAGCCAATCAAATCCACACTTTGACCAACGACTGAAATTAGTGTGAGACTGAACGACATGGATGATTACAAGTCAGTACAAAGGACGGTTCGATGATAGATTTGGCAAAGAATCCGCACAAAAGTAATCCAAGTTTGGGGTAAAAGCACAATACCTGGTGCAGTTGGTTGGTGGCTTGGGAGGGCGCGAGTTGGCGCTTCCGGTACACGGGCCCCATGGAGATGACAGGGGGGACAGGACATTGGTCGATGCGTTCGAGCACAAACTTGAGCTCGCTCTTGGGTAATCGCACGGCCACCTAATGAGTCCAACGAGGACATACATGAGGAAAGGGAGGGAGGGAGGGGAAGGAGTATGCATGTACGGCGTGGAGCGGCATGCCATGGCGGGGGCACCCCGGGACATGAGGCATGCTCAGTTGGAAGTTGGACAGTTTGAGCTGGCGGTGGCTGCTCGTGACGAGGGCGCTGGCCGCCGTGCGGGTGGTGAGGACTTCGCGGGAACTTGGGAAGACGACGCTGGCGCAGCACTTTTCGTCGCATTGAACGACTGTGTGGTCGATCTCTTCGATGCGGGATGGAAAGTACCTACACGTATGTGCCAGGTGCACGAAGGATCATCACCTCTCCGGACCAATGGCGCATAACGTACCGGAAGGCCTGCTTAATCTCCTTGGGGCTGCAATTCCACATACGAATGAACGTATTGCCTTTGCATCGACGGCAGCCTTCACGGAAAGGTCGTTGGTTGTTCGTCGCGGCCGAGCACTTGGGGCACTTGGCATGGGTCGTCGTGCCTTCGAGGACGGACTCGGTGTACAGGAGCTGATGGGAGTCACATCCCGGGAACTCCAAGTACAAGCAGTCACGGCATACGATGGACGCAAACGTGCGCAAATCCGTCGCCATCGAATTGTCCACCGCACACACGACAGATGCGGCGATGGATCTTGTAACCGTTTCGGGACGAAGGTCAAAGGGCGTCGTTGATTGGACATTAAATATATTATTAGCGAATCAAAGTACGTTTTTTGGAACCTTTATAGCGAATCAAACGGTAGGTTTGAATCCACCAATCCGTGACCCGGAATATTATCCGGAATATCGTCGGGGCGCCGCTAACGAGACGGCGGCTGCATGATGGACGACACTTCCAGGCCGTGGCGGCAGGCCTTCCAGTCGTCCTCCATGGATCTCTCCCGACATGACGTGCTTGTGATGGTGCAGTCCTTCATCGAAGCATTCAACGACGGCTCGAAGCAGATTGCCAAGAACAACGCCCTGTCCGAGTTGAAGTCGCGATGTCAATCCATGCAGTTTGTCGCACACTTCCACGCGCTGCCCGCGCCTGTCTTCTCGCCCGTGCTGGACATTGTGTCTACTGTATGCGTGGACTCGAATGACCATGATAGTCTTCGAGACGACCTCGTTGCGTTGCTCTTTGACGTGGTCGGTGGGGCCGCATGTGTCGGGTACCCCACGCCGCCGTTCGCCAAAGCGCTATCGACTCTTGTCCACTCCGTCGTGCATGCGATCGTCGGGATCAGCGACGTAGACCTGGATGCATCTTTTGCCCTGCATCTTCAGACGCTGGCAGCGTGTCTCCGCGGCAACGTCGGCGTGCGTCTGTTCGTGTCGGAGCTGCCCACGCGGAAGGAACTCGTGCGGACGCTAGCGTTGCTGCTCAATCGAACGGACGACGCCAGCATCCTCATCCACGCCATGTCGGTCCTCGCATGCCTTGTCTTGCAAGAACCCATGGGTCGCAAGCTATTTCAGCCCAAGAATGTCGCACATGCGCTTACGTTGGTGCTGTCCATCGTGGACAACAACCCTGGGACGGCGCATGCTTCATCCATGCTAATGACGACGCGGTTGGACTCGTCCGCTTGCTGGATAGATACGACGTACGTTCGTATTATGTAGTACGTTCCAAGGGTTGTTCAAGTGTCTACATATTATTACTAGGAGATATATTGAATTTCTTTTACCCAAAATTATGATCATTCGACCTCTGAAAGCTATGGACATGATCACACATCCACATCACCATGGCGAAAAAGGAGATAGAGAGATCATGATAAGTACATGTTGGGAAACAGTATATATATATATATATATATATATATATATGGAATATTGGACTTTTGTGTGAATTGTGTGCCAAATCTATCATCGATCGATATTGTTTGTACTGACTTTTGAATGCAAAGATCGTCCAGTGTCACACTAATTTCAGTCACACACGAATTCGATGATGAATGGATTTGATTGGCCACTTGATTCGTGATCTGGATTTTGATTGGTCAATCATATCGATTGTATCTGCCAATTGTTTGGTCAATTGATGTTGTGTGTTTTCTGCCCTTTGTAGTGTGCCTCTCCACATGGCCAGTGTCAACCTGGTGCTGGATTTGGCCGCGCAGCCGTGGATCCTGTCGCAGATGGAAATTGCCGACGAAATGCACCAGCTCCTCCACATCATGCTGCCCCGTCTCCACATGCAAGAGACGATTCCGCGGCTCCACGTAGCTTTGCACTTCCTGCATGGCGTGGCCTCCATGAGCTACCGCCTGAGGAAAGCCATCGGCGCCAAGTGTCCGCCGCTGGCCACGTCCATGGCGGGGGTGTTGCATCCGTCGCCCGTGATCGCGATCGCCGCCACGAAATTCTTCGTCGCGTTGTTTGCCGACGACAAGCCACTCGTACAAACGTTGCTCGATGCGACAAGCTCTCCAACAGCACCCTCCTCGTCCTCGGTACGGAACCAACGGGTCGGTTCATATTTCACGCAGCTGGCGTTTGAGCCCAGTATATATATATATAATTTATATTATACATATATAATTTATATAATATATATATAATTTTTATATATAATTTTGTACATAATATGTATATAATTATATATAATGCATATAATATATATATATATAATATGTACATATATATATATAATATATATGTAATATGTACATATATATATATATATATATATATATATATATAATTTATATAAAAGTTCCATATATATATAATTTATATAAGTTCCATTCCATATATGAATGTATTCAGGTATGGTTTTTGGTGCATGTTGTGTGGAGGATTCTAATACTGGAATGTTGTAGGCGACGACGTCGTGCCTTCCAGACGCTACGTCCACCAAGATTTTGGCGCCCCTGCAGCCATTGCTCATTGGGATGTTCCGCACACTGCATGCCACCATCACCCACGTCGTCCGGAACAGCAGCGGCAGCCACGACCACCCCAACCATCATGTGACCAACGACGACGACGACAATCCCATGGACGGGGGGTCCCCTGCGTACGAGCACGCCGTGTGGATCTGCCTCTTGCTCGTCCAACTCGGCGCGGACGCTCGCGTCGTGACGCTCAGTGTACCCTTGATCAACCTCAGTCAGGTGATACAATACCGTAGGCGGACGTCATAAACATGATATATCGTTTTTCCATGTATATCGAGACTTTCTGTGAATATTGATATTGCATTAACAGTAAATTTGGACTTTTGTACTGATTCTTTGCCAAATCTATCATCGATCGTTATTCTTTGTCCTGACTTTTGTATGTTAAAATCGCCCCGTGTCACACTAATTAAAGGCGCACACAAATTTGACGTTTCATTGGTCGAAAAGTGGATTTGATTGGCTACTTGATTATTGATCTGTGTTTTGATTGGTCGTCTATCGATTGTTTGCCGATTTGGTGATTCTGCTCGTACTCGATTGAGCACTCCCAAATATATCTGCAATTTCGAATATATATATCGACAATATATATATATATATATGTATAGCTGGTGGGCCTGTCGCAGCGAGAAGCCTCGTACCACGACACGTTGCCCCTCGAGGCGCGTGCGCAGTTTACGCCTCGGTTTTCACTCGGGTTTGTCGTACGTAGAGAAGACGATATGTACTACTACAGTACTACACTAACAATGTAACCGTGTCGCACACGTAGACACTGTTGGGTACGTTGGTCCTGCACGACGACATGGACGAGGACCTGCTGCGAGACTGCCACGCCGCCCTGCATCACCCGGCGGTGGCGTTGGTGCTCGCCCGGGGGCTGTGCCAAACAGACGACAAGGCGTGGACGCTGCGTGTGCTGTCGTTCGTCCGCCGACTGGTGGGCTTGTCCACCACCAAGGTGGTGCAGCTCCACCCACTTGCCGACGCGCTGTTTGCGATCCACCAAGTACGACGCCCTCGTTCGTGTACAGTAGAAGGAATTTATCATGTCGTCCACACGATAGAAAAGCCACGATATGCTACAGACGTGGGTCGATCGCGTGGCGCAGCGCGATGCGGCGGTTCAGCTGGCGTCCAAGCAGGTGGAGCGGGTGACTGCGGAGCTGGACCTGGTCAAGATGAACGCGAACGACGAGCGGGTACTGAGCCGGACGGAGCACGCGCGGCTGCAGAAGGAACTGGACGTGCAGCGCACAACCCACGAGCATGTGCTGGAGAGTCTCACGGTGAAGATGGAGACCCAGCTGGGAAGGGTCAAGGCACATTGCGATGGATTGCACCGACAAGTGATGGAAACAGTATGCACTTTGATGAGCGTTAAACGAGGCGAGATTGGGGTTGTATATGCATTGGGTTGTATCTTGAGTGATGAAAAGTATATGTTGTTATGTTTGTGCACTTGGTGGATGGTATTAATATATATTGTGAATTCGCTATAAACGTCCAAAACTCGCGTGGTTTGTCGAATTAATATTGAATCACGCCGGAGTTCTGATTGGTTGGATATACGTGTCCTTTCTGTAAGAGCCAATCACATCCAGTCAAAAAAATGGATTAGCCAATAGCGTCGATGATTCGTGATTCGATTCGGCGGCGAGATATTCGATTCGATGAGGTCTGGAAATCTGTACCGAATCCACAATACATTGTCCTTTTACCTAACATTTGGTTGACTTATGTGCTGATTCTTTGCCAAATCTATCGATCGATTCTTCTTTGTACTGAATTTTGTATATATAAAAAGAAAGTCTGTGGTGATTGGTATCACACTAATTGAAATCATACACTAATTTGACGTGGATGATGGTTTTTCCTGCAATCGGATTGGCTAGAATCCTTCTGCCGATTCTTTCTTGTGTACATGTATTTCTATGGTTGTGTCGTCGATTCAATACATTATTCTCCATATTGCTCCAGTTTAGAATAAACCCATGACAATATATATATACTGAATATGGTGTAGACGGACGCGTTAGCAAAGAAGAAGGCGCAGCTGCAGGACAGTCGCGTACAACGAGGACAACTCGACCAAGACAACCACGCGTTGCAGCGCAAGTTGCTCGTGTTGGAAATGCGATTGGACGAACTCGGACAAGCTAACGTCGCCGCCACGGCCGACGTCGACCGCGTGTACTGACGATTCTTGTTGCTCAGAATGCTATGACATATCACTAGGACGGCGGCGTCCCGCCAGATGCAAACCGAGTTGGAGGCCATGTCCGAGGCATACGCTGCTCAAAGCGGCGACCTCGTCGCGGCGCACGAAGCAAACGTTGTACGTATTCTGTCCGGATCGAAACGATGAGGATATTACTGTGAATTCGCTATATACTTGCAACACATTCGCGTGGTTTGTTTAATCGATAGAGAATATTGTGGTGTTCTGATTGGTTGAATATACTTGCGTAAAAGCCAATCAAATCCACTCCAAATTGGATGAGCCAATAGCGTCGATCATTCGTGATTCGATTTTCGGCAGCGACAGATTCGATTCGACGACACGGGGTCTGGATATTTGTACCGAATCCACAAGAATAAATATTTTGATGGCATTTTTCCGTTTTTGATATGGTACGGGTGCTGACATATTGCCTGGAGTAGCAATTGAAGCAGACACTCAACCTCCAACAAGACAAGCACGAGACGTTGTACCGGCAGCTCGTGCTCTTGGCCAAAGCGCATCAGCAGCAAAGCGACGACTTGCATCGGATGACCGAGGTAAAGAACTATTGTCGATTTGATACAAATTTAGGGAGGGGGTGCAATCGAATCGCGCCGACCAAACCGATCTGATTGGTTGAATTTCATTGAGAAGGTTTTGATTGGTTAATAATTTTGAGCTCATCTGAAGTAGCCAATCAAATCGATTTCAATTCCAACGAGAAACCACGCCACAACACGAAATTGCACTCGAAAGCACAATATATTGTCTTTCTTTTACTCCAAATTTGGTTGACTTTTGTGCTGATTCTTTGCCAACTCTATCATCGATCGATTCTTTGTCCTGACGTTTGTATGTAAAGATCGTCCAGTAGCACACTAATTTCAGTCACATACACTAATTCGGTGTTGACTTGGTCCAAGAGTGGATTTGATTGGAAGGTTGATTTGTGTTGTGGGTTTTGATTGGTCGATCATCGATTGTGTGTCGATTTGGTTAGTCTGCTCATTCGATTGTCCAATTTGGAATCGATTTGACAATACCGTATGACCCGTGGCATACTAAAGTCTTTTGTGGGAGTTTTCCTCACGTGGTCGATGGGATTTTTCCTATGTGTGTGTGTGCAGGAGCGGGACGTGGCCACCCGAGACCTCCAAGAGGCCCGCACGACGCTCGATGACATGCACGCCCATGTTGAGTATGTACACTTAGTTTTTTGCATTTTAAATCATGGGGTGACCGCATGGAACTAGGGACCAAGAGACACGACTTCACACACATAAAGAACACATGGCGGAGCTGGAACGCGCCGTCGTGCGCTACGAGCAGTCGGTGGCGGAGGAGCAGGCCAGGAGCAGCACGTTCCGCCACGACTTGGACACGCTGCGACATCATCATGGCAGCCTGCAGGTATACGATGTTGCTTGCTGGGAAGGAGATAGATGATGAACAACCCGATCGTGTAGAACGAAATGGCGGCCAAAGTGGCGAAGGCCATCGACCTCGAGCGGCAACTGGACGCGGCCACCACGGCACTCCACCAGAGAGATGGAGACGTCCAGCGACTGGTAATGCAAAAAGGGGGAGCTCGTGTCTAACGATGGTGTGAGGTAGAAAGCGGAGCTGAAAAAGTACGCCAAGATCCAAGCGATGATCCATCAGCTGAGCGACGGAGCTGCAGTGACCGCGCAGTCCCAGCAGTCTTCTCAGGGCGGTGGCGGCGCGTCGCAAGGGTCGTATCATGGGTTTGTCCCCGAAACGCAGTTCAGTCAGTGACGACAAGGCACTCGTGATTGCCACCATCATATTTAACATCATTCCCCCTTGTACTATGTACCAATGCGCACTTGATATCGACAGAAGAGGAGTGAGTACAAACAACGAGGGAATTTAAGGCTCATCGAAGTTCTGTGTGTAGCGCAAATTTCACGATATGACTGGATAGCGTAGTTCGAAATTCGAAACATATTATAAAAATTCACCAATAGAAATTTAAGTATTTCGTGATTTGCGCTGATTGGCTGAAAAAAGTGTGTGACACTCAAAACTTCGATGAGCCTTAAATTCCCTCGTTGTCTGTATGTAGGAGTACTGTGTAGGCTTCGGTCGTGGTGGACGACAGTGTGATTGATGGGTTGACTAAACTGCGAGAATGGAAGGGTGATATACCACTTACGATGATTCCTCGCGAACGATACATGCACAGGCCCATCAGAGAACTCATAGTACATGAAGGAGGCGCTTTGATTGTGGTTCTGTCTGTACCTGGTCAATTTCAAAAGTTATTGTGCATTTCACCCAAATATTTGGACTTGAGAGAGTCATTTCACCAAATCTCATTCGAATCCATTTGAACTATTTTAATAGTTCAAACTACCAGTATTAAAATACTGGTAGTACTACGTAGTATACTTTACAACGATTAATATAAATGTGGTTTTGCCCAATAAGGAGGGTCAAACGTTTGGATTGGCAGAAATTTGAAATGACGTGATTTGATTGGCTCAGGCGGTTCTTTAATCGATTCTCTTCAAGGCATTCGGTGCCCTCGCTCATTGGTCAGTTTGAATTCTGGGACAAAGCACGTACCGCGATATGAGCATGAGCGTCCGTGTGGGAAAAGCGGTACTGTGGAGCGGCCTCACGGCGGCGTACCACCGTCCTCGGGCCGTCCTGGACTTGATCACGCACCTCACCTTGGGCAGTCCGTTCGTCCTCCCTGTCTACGCCGACAAGATCATCAATGCAAGCCAAGCAGAGCTTGCCACGCGGCTTGCCTTGACCATCCTCGCATTGACGCCAGCAGTAGTTCGAACATCGTCGACGGGATATTTGCTGGTCGTCGTAGGATTCCTCGTCGCCGTGAATTTGGCCGCTGTGTTTGCCCTTTCGACGAGCCTGTCATTCCCAGGCCTGTCGTGGTCCCCTGCCACCCAGCAGGGACTTGTGGATGTCGTCGCCACTGGCTCGTATGCGTTGCTACTGGGTGTGGGGTATTTTTCGCCAAGACCAGAACCAATCCATTCGTTGCGCCAAAAGCAATACCGTGCCGCACTGGTTTCGTTCTACGCTACGAATAACCCATCCAAGCTCGACAGTGTTGACGACCTCTTGCGCCGATACCGGTTCCACGAGGAGGTGCTCTTCACGCGATTGAAGAAGAAGTACCTTGAAGCTGACTCGGCAGAAACGGTGGACGACGAAGAAAGCAGTGATGAGGACGACGATGCCGCTGCCGAAAGGTCGGCCAAACAACTTCCACAAGTCGGCACGTCGGTACAACACGAAGACACTGAAGGCGAGGAGGAGGCAGGCCCGTTTGAACGGGCTGACACGACGCCGACGGTCCAGAGCGCCATTGCAGACGCCCGTGCCGCGCAAAGCTCCCGTGTCGAGGAACGAATTCGTCGTATGAAACAGGAATAAGTACTATCATAACGTCGTCATAACGTCGTTGCTTTTGATTGTCCTTAAACTCAATGATTTTTCCGCCCATCGCGCACACCTTCCTATTCCTATGCGATGGTATCTAAGCGAGCAGTGGCTTGCTTGTATGGGGAGCGGACGCACTAACAGACAACTTGGTTTGGGGCACTACAGACCCCCTTCACGTTTGGTACATATCGTTACAAGGATCCACTCAGCACGCATAGAGGTGGAGCTCTCATGTTGGGAGATCGACGATGTACACAACCTCAGCGCTCGTGCAAGGAGGGCATGACGTGTGCCACCACGGGAATGGCTACCCTCGTCGCAACCCTTGCTCGTATTCGCCCTCCGGCATCGTGCGCCTTGTCATTGCTTGTCGCGGATGAAAATCTGTTTTGGCGCGCAAAACGGAAGTGTCCGGATAAACAAACCTATTGCATTTGGATTGGTCAAAAGTAATTGATTTGACGTTTCATTTGAACTCTGTTGTTTAACACCACAACCGCAACATCGTCTACATCGCGCGCAGAAGGGACATCCGCGACGACGAACTATGGAGGACTGCGAGGATGACATCTACATTGTGGATGATGTGGAGTACGCGAACGAAGTCGCCGCGGCGGAACTCGCCGACGAGCTGCTCGTGCTGGACAAGAAGCAGAACCTCATCGATCACTGGAATCGGGTCGGGTCATTTCTCACAAAGATCAAAGACGAATCCAAAGCACGGACGACGCATTGGTGGTGTCGGCATCGATACGCCGAGCTCAGTCGATTCATGTTGCGACTGGTGTACTCGAGAAAGGACAACAGTGCCACGTTGCAATGGATCAAGGAAAGTCACCGGCAGTTGGGACTCTGCACCGATTGGTATGCCGTGCCTAAGAATGCGCATCACATACACTTACTCCTTTCGTCATGTAGCATGCAGGGATACCAAGATGCATTGACGCTTCTCGCGGAGGAACTGAAGGAGGAACTCGGCGTGGATGGCACTAAGAAGGCATTCCAAATCCTCGTGGACTTTGACATGATGCGTTTCAAAAAGATATGGTCCCGAGGCGCAGTGGAAAAGAGCATGAATGCCAGGGAAAGCAAGGACCAAGTTACCATGGCCCTGTACGAGCTATTCTCATCTCCCCGAATGCTGCGAGATAACCGTTTTCTCAAACCCTTGCAAAAGGTACCTACCTACCTACCTACCACCACGTCGATAGCTTTTGCTGTGTATTCACACAAGTCAGTAGTGGATATCAGACGTACCAACCGAAGTCCAGGAATACTGCGATTTTGCCGCGCTGTGTTCGTTGCCTGGGCTGTTTGTCTTGTCCATCTGTCCCGACTCGACACTGCGGTACTTCTAATTTTTAGTTAGTGACGTACTAATGCATTTCGTGGTAACGACGACAACGTGTGTCGTAGGTCGTGGAGTGCCCAGAAAGCGCCGAAACAGACGGCCAAACTCAACTCGTCGCTGATTACGTTCATGGACGAGCTCATGTACGTGCTGGAGAACGACGCATTCGACAAGCCGTGGACCGAGATGGACGTTCCGTCGACAGCCCATTTTGATTTGGTATCTTTTTCAATCTTTTTATCATGCTGATGACATATTGTCGTGGTAGTTTGTCACCCCTGGGCAATGCACGAAATCGCCGACGCCCCAGGTGTTGTGGGCGGGCTTGGATACACTCTTCCAAGTACGTTATGCAGTCCACTATACCAGTTGTATATGGCAAAGACAATGTGAATTTATTTACAGGCTCTGGACGAACCAAGCAAAGAAAAACTGCTCCGACGATTTCACAATTTGCCAGATCTTGTGTTTTCATGTCTACAAGAGGCGAGTCCCCACCAATCACATGCCTTGCCCCTACAGGGTCTCTTGGTGGTAAGTTGTTTGGATGTCACTGTCATATTGTGTGCATTTCACCTAATTTGGACTTATTTCGCCAAATACCGTTAGCATTCGAATCCTTTGATCCATTTTAAGCTTGTACAAACTATACTATAAAATGATTAGTATATATTCAGATTTGGTCAATGTGGACGGATTGGTAGAAATTTGACAGGTCGTGATTTGAGTGGCTTAGGCTGTTCTTTAATCCATATTCTCGTCAGACATTCGATACAAGGCTCCAGTTTCGAATCGATTTGACAATAACAAATGACCTTTGGCACAAAAATATGCTTTGATTAGCCAAAAGTGTTTGATATGTGCTTAAAAAGAGTTGCTTGTATTTTTCACTCGTTGTACGTCTATCAAGGGCGGCTTCAAAACCTGACGATGTGATTGTTGGATGCAGGTGTCGCGATGCTATCGCATGCTGTTGACCACGTTAAAGTATCGGTTTTGGGAGCACACGTCATATGAACCGACCGCCGTGTTAGACGTGATTCTCCGCCAATGTCAAGATAAAGCGTGGAAAGAGTTCATCGTGATTGGGTTTCTGGAGCTGTTGCCGTCGTTTCTACGGTCGCTGCGCCCCGAGTACGACGGCGACATTATGACGTACGTCGACGATGACAAGACGCTCACGTACTTTTCGACGCGGAAGTCCATCTACACGTTTCTTCTCGCAAGCCAGCGCGTGTATGCCAGCCACGCGGTGCTGCATCCCACGGCGGTAAAGGTGCTGTACACGATCGTTCGGGAAGCCTACGGGGTCCCTCAAGCCTCCACCACCACGGCGAAAGATGGGGACCTTCCGGGCGACCATACTGTCGAAATCATCGCGTCCAAACACACGTATTGGTGGCCGTACCCCACGCCAGAAAAGCTGGACGACGACGCGCGCAACTCGTCGTGTTTTGCTTCGGAATGGATGGAACACCTGTTCAACACGCTCAAAACGTCGCCGCTGCTGCAACTGGTTGATGCCGCGTCGGCCACGATCACACTGGTCCTGCAAAAGCACTTGTACTTGATCCGAGACGCGTTGATCGGGGGCTTCGACGTCCCAGGCCTACTCCGTAGTACATGGTTGCTCGACAACTTGTGTTCGTGGAAAGACGTCGAGAAGATCCCGCTCACCGTCCACGCGGCGCTGTTTGAATGCATCGGGGTAACGGCCCACCTGTGCCACGTCGTGCCAGACTCGGCGCACCTGCGGGCGTTTCAAGATCGACTGGTGCCGTACTTAACTGTCATGACGCACGAAATCGCCGACAAGGGGCTGTTCAATGTGCTCAAAACCCCCGTCGTGGCGCAGCACATGACGATGTGCTTGATCTCGACCCATCCTACCATTCGAGCAAATATCAAAACGTACGATTTATGTGGGTTACCATCGTGATTAATTTTATTTATTGTGCTATTCGGATTCTCCTGAATATATATATATGTTATTTATGCGCTTTGGGACCTCAACACAACCATGACGTGTAGACTGGTCATGCATGGAGGGTCGCCCGCGAATACGTTTGTGAACAAGATCTCCACCGAGCCGATCAACGTCTCGTACAAACGACTGGTGGAAATGAACATTGTGCCGTTTTGTCGTGGCATGATGTCCACGTTAATGTACATGCGCAGTCAAGGTCACCACGCGGGTGTGTTGAAGGAGGCGCTCCAGTATTGGACGTACGTGTTGGAGGGATTGCCCGACGGTTTGTTTGCCGCGATCGTGGCCGCGTCCGAGAGCAAGTCCAAGTCGGGCGCGTCGCTCGTCCGCTTCCCACGCCTCCTGCATGACTTCTTTTGCCATGCGCTGCAAACAAGCGACAAGGCCGACGAGTCGTACGGCGTTCGAGTGCTGCGATTTCTCAAGGTGCTGTGGCGGTTTTGGTGGGTGTTTCGTCCCCGACAGCACAAGTGCACAGAGTACGCTGGCAACCGCGTGCTCCTCCTCTTGCTCAAACATACACTGCTGCATCCCAGCATCACAATCCAAAGACGAGTCGTGGAGCTGGCGACGTACATTATCGGCGAATTGGGCCATGCCAAGGACTACGACTCGTTTCGCCTTGATTCGCATGTCCAAGCCGAGGTGTTGGCATTGTCCAAGACGTGGCAAACCACGGCGGAACCGAATGTTGTCATGATTGACGTCTGGAACGCCCCCACTGAACTCGGTATGACATATGACCATGGGACTCGGCGAATGTACAGTACCTCTCCTCATCATGATATACGTAGCCAAACTCCGTGTGGCGATCGAGACACTGTCGTCGGAAATGCAACAGCGCAAGGCTAAAGTGATGCAAGTTGACGAGGATGACGACGACGTGGACGAGTGGAACTCGCGCCCGTCGGCATCGTACAGTCCATGGTGTGCAAAGCAACGTCGAAGGAACGCACGACAAGGCGACAATGCGGTCGAGGTATGGCACCCCGCATCGTCGGATCCGTGGCATCCCAAGCCGAAGCGAAACAACGTGTCGCAGTACGATACATCCAAATTCTTTGGAAACAGTGCCAAGACAAAGCAAGATCGGCGACAGGAGCGCTGGGACGAGGCAGAAAGCGAGCTGGCCAAAGTTGGCAAGGATCAACCGCCCTGGATGAAACGAACGTCGTCCAAGGGCATGACGACGAAAATGACAGCGGACACGGTCAAGAACGCCCCCTCGCAGCAAAATAGTTTTTTTGACGAACCCGACTACAAGAAACTCGCCCAGGACCTGGCCGCGTCCAAAGTCCGACAGGCCGTGCAGGCGCGGGCCATCCGAGAAGCCGAAATGAAGGAGATCATGTCCCACGATGTCGCCCCCACGAAGGTGCGGCCATCAGCGTCGTCCTCGTCCGCCCGACCAAACCACCCGGCGCCGGTGACCACGGAACCAGCCATCCCAGTCGAAAACTACAAACTGTTGAGCGTGGTACGTCAAATCCGGACCATGCGCACGCCGATTGCTCCGGCATCGTTGTACCCGTTTTTCCGCCAAGTGTTGTTGCTGGTGTCGTCGATGGCAGAACGAAGTGACGAGCACGCCGAGCTGTTCAAACCGGGCGTGAATTTCAAGAGTGCAGGGGCGTACCATGCAGTGTTTGCGCCGTTGATGCTTGAAGAATGCAAAAGCGACATGAGCGAAGCGTACGTAGCATCGATACGGTAGGTCTTGCTGTCTCACAAGTGTGTGGTAGATGGAACAAGATCGGGGCGTTGCAACCGACAAAGCTGCGCCTGCAGTCGGAACAATCTCGAGACAGCATGCGCTTGATTGTAGTGTCGTGTTCGATAAAGCAAGCCAGGAACTTCCGCAACCACGACGTACTGCACTTGCGAGGCTTGAACGTACGGCCGATATGAAAAATCTGTTGATCATGGAGTTCTCAAACATTCGGACGATTAGAACGCGGATGCTTTTGTGGGGATCTTTCTCAAGCCCGAGCGCAAAGACCGTCAGAAACTGAATCAAAAACCAGACTCGAACGGAGGCACGGACGTGCAGATCTTGATTCTGTCGAGCGACGACATGACGCAAGACGTGATGCTAAATTCCATGGACGAATTTGACGGCAAAGTGCTGGGAAACCTCACGACCGCGGCCCGCGAGTACGTGGCCATGATGGCGTTGGACTTGCTTCCCATGCACTTGCGCAAGGTCGTGTTGTCCCCAGAGTCGTGCCAGTCGACCCATACTGTGTTGATCTCGATGGTGTCGGACTTTGACAAGTGGAAAGAGTCGCCGGTACGTGTCCAAGTGTTTTGACCATCCTCAATACACTAGTATTCAACTCGACATGTGTGTATATTGCGTATGTTGTAGGGTGAAACGTCGACAGATTTGTTGAAGCGAGGCTTGAAGCGACTGAATAAAATGTCTATTCAACTCGAAGACTTGAGGGTATGTAGCGCGTTCTCTGTCGAGCCGTTGATGTTGTGTTGTAGGCGACGAACATTGGGGTCGCGGTGCGCAAGCTGAAAAAATACAAGGCGGACGACACGATCAAGGCCATGGCACACGAGTTGATGGGGCGGTGGCAAAAGCTGCTGTCGTCGACGACGGATGCGTTGCACAGCGCGCCAGTGTTTGTGCCGCAGTCGTTGTGGGATGTCCTTCGTCCCATGTACAACAGTTCGCAACTGCAGTCGATTCACTCGGTCCTGAGCAATTACGAGTCTGGCGTGAGTCTGTTGCAAGGGCCACCAGGGACTGGGAAGACCAAAACCATCTTGGGTGCGCATGTCATCCATACTATCCTTGTCACAGATCAAACAAAAACTAACGTTTGTGTGGTCCATCCATGGTCAGGCCTGGTCAGTGGTCTGTTGGCGATCCAGCTACCGGCGGCAGCCAAGACCCAGATGCCCAAACCGGCCATGCGATTCAACGTCCAAAGCGACGCTGTGAGTCGAACAAGCATCCAACAAATCAAGAACCAGTCCCTTGGTCGCCAGCGGTTGAGCAGTGTCATGGCCGGCACGTCCAGTCGCATGGGCGTATTGCAACGCGTACCGCTATCTTCGTCGAAACTTTTGTCGGAAAAGAAGGTACAGTCCAATCACATTCTCATTTGCGCACCGTCCAACGGCGCGGTCGACGAATTGATCGCGCGTCTTGTGGCCGACGGCCTCGTCGGCCCCGACGGAACGCAAGTGCAAGTTGTGCCCCCGACTCTTCATCGCGCGTCGACATTGCCTGTGGAATGCAACACCACGGAAATGACCATTGTTCGACTGGGGGCGACTGCGGACACGTCTTCAGATGCGATCAAGCGCGTGTGCTTGAAATGTAACTTCGCGATGGTTGTGTTTCCCACTTCTCTGTTGTTGATATCTTCTCGTTTCGTGGTAGCTGTGCTGCGCCGAAACATGGAAGTGCACCCGAAATTCCAAGCGTGGAATGGCTTTGTGAAGCGGGAAACCCAACTTCGCGAGTCTATTCGAGGCTTTCACGCGCAAAAAGACCCCGACTTGAAAAAGGACAAGCGACAGATGACCGTGTGGCACCGAGAGCTCACCGAAGTGCTGGGAAAGAAGCGACGATTGGAAGACGAAGTACAGAGTTTGGAGCACCAGATCACCACGTCGCTACTCATGCAAGCCAACATCATTGTGTGCACCTTGTCCAAGTGCGGGTCCGGCGATTTGGACGCCCTCACACGCGGGTACGGACGATCGATCGATCGATGGATCGTTTTGTGGCATTGGTTTGTATAGGTTTGACGCTGTGATCATTGACGAAGCTGCCCAAGCAGTGGAACTAAGCACGTTGATTCCATTGCGGGAACGGGTGGCGCGGGTCATCTTTGTGGGCGACCCCAAGCAACTCCCGGCGACAGTCAAGAGTATGCGCGCGCAAGAGTACCAGTACAATCGGTCGCTCTTTGAACGGCTGGCAGAAGGCGGGATGCCCCGAGCCATTCTTCGGGTACTTCACGTATATTTTGTATCGAACGGTGTTGTACAATGACCTGGAACGACGATGATCATCGTCGTCACTAGGTCCAATACCGCATGCATCCATTTCTACGGGAATTCCCGTCCAAATGCTTTTACGGCGGTATTTTGAACGACGGCGACGTGATTGGCACGCGAGTTATGGCGCTCGGCGACACGGTGTACCGGTATCCATGCTTTCAGCCGTTTTTGCTGTTTGACATTGAAGGACGTGAAACGAATGGCTCTGGCGGATCCAAGTGCAACATGGACGAAGCGAATTTTGGCATGGCGATTGTACGATTTGTATATACTTGTCGATACGCAGGCAGTCTGCGATACTGTATTACTTACTTGTGGGTATATATATATATATATATATATATAAAGTCTCGACGGATGTAGGTGAAATTGCTGTCTCAAAAGGTTTCGCTGGTGAAATCCAAGCGATGGTCGATTGGGTTTATCACACCGTACAAGGAACAAGTCAGCACGGTGCAGCTATTGATGAAGAAACAAGGCTTTCACGACGTCGAAGTGAACACGGTGGATGGGTTTCAGGTTGGGACCGCCCTTGTTTGTATTTATTGCTTTCAACGTTTCCATCATGGTGGAACGAGTACCATAATCATGTCGTTGCATGTATATGACAACACTGCTACGGTGTGTGTTGGTTGTAGGGACGAGAAAAGGACGTGATTATCTTTTCGTGTGTGCGAACTCAGAGCATTGGGTTCCTGCGGGACATTCGTCGCTTGAACGTTGCCATGACCCGGGCTCGGTACTGCTGCTTTGTTCTTGGTAGGCTGCATGCATGTGGTTTCAAAACCTGCCTATTCACAATGCAAATGCACACTCCAGGTCACGTGCCGACGTTGAAGCGAGATCCAACATGGCGGCAGCTTGTGGACAGTGCCGAGAGTCGCCAACTGCTGGTTCGAGCCGGCCGACGGGGATTTGACGAAGTGGTCGAGCGCATGGACCGCGACCGGGTATTGAACGACCATTTTGCATCCATGCATGCTGCTTTGAAGGACAAGTACACTGCCAGCGAAACCACCAAACGAAAGCGGTCGCCCAGTGTCGTACGTGACATATGCAAGCGATATTGTATGTATCCTGACGGTGTGTTAACTATGCACGGTTGTCCTTCACTGTAGGAGTCCAAGGATCGAACTACCAAAGTGTCGAGGTAACCATGATAAATATATCATAAGTCAAAGAGTCGTCATAACGAGTGGATGATGGCGATGATTAGGCCGGAGAAACAAGCACCTCCGCCAGTGAAAACAGACAAGGCCAACGACGCAACACGTGATGAACCTGTGTGGAACACACTAGCGCGAGGCCGCACCAACAGCGTGACCACTGTGGTGGAAGACTAACACTACTGGGAATTTCCATATATTATTAGTTTGAAACGGGAGATATATATATTCATGCCGTTAGTGCTTTTCGATGATGGAGCCGAGGACGCCCAGGATGATGGCAATGGTCGATCCAAACGCCATGACTACACAGCCCCACGAGGTCACACCAGAGCAACATAGCACGGAATTACCGTAATTCAGCACTCGCTTCTCCAGCCTGGCATTGGATTTGACCAAGTTGGCAAACATGTCGTCGCTGGCGTCCTTTTGCCCTTTGAATTTGGCTTCCACTTGGGCGATTTCATTCCGCACGGCTTCAAAGTCGAGCTTTTCCATCATGTGAATGTCTTGCTTCAACGTCACAAAGTCGTGCTCTAGGAAATCCCGCATGTTGCGCTGGGCAATGTCTAATGCACCCAACATATCATTATTGGGTCAGGCTTGGAGAATCATGCAAGCGACGGGGTGTACCAAACTTAAGCGTCGAGTTGAACACGTGCTCGAGAATCTCTGACTTGAGGGCCATGTGCTCCGCCTTCGTCGTCACCTAATGCGCATGACGAATTGGGTATGCTCAATAGAGTAACATAGATTGGTATGCGTACCACCGCGACTTGGACGTCGATGGAATCACTGAAGGCCAACTTCATCGCGTCGACAAGTCCCTGCGCCTGCACAGCCGAGTATCCTGTGGACCCCATCAACTTCCACACACAACGAAGATGGAGATAACGATAAGTGTACCTTGGCGCTGCAGCTGAGACACAACATGGACGCGCTCGGAGTACGATTCGACTTCGCCGTCAATGTGCGAAAGTGCCTGCGTTTGTGAGTCCACGATGTCGACTCCCTCGTGGTATCCCGCGGCGGTAGCCTCTACTTGCGACTCCAATGAATGAAGCGGCGCCGTGCTAAAGTACTCAGCCATGGAACGTGAGCATGCCGCCTGTGGTCGCGTCGCCGCCACCAGGACCGCCGGTCCGACCTTAAATGCTCGAAGCATGCAATAAATCAATGAAGCGAAAAAGCATCACTCCTAAGATATCCGGACGTTTGTCCGGATAATCGTGTTAACTTATGTTATCATTCAAGATTTCTCCAAGTACGTCCCAACGAGGGCAATCAAGACGACGAGGGTTGCGCCGCCGGCCACGGCTACCCATGAAGGAGTAAGAGACACGGACGTGAGAGATGGAAGGAGCGATGGTATCTGTCCTACGTACAGAATTTCATGATCATGGTCTCCATGGTTTCATTCGCCAGGTGCAACTTGTGCACCATGCGGTCCGTGATTTGTTTCTGCATGAGGAAGCGCTTCTCCATGTCCACAATCTCGTTGCGAACTTTGTCAAAGTCGTTCTTTTCAATCATGCGGATGTCTTGCTTCAAGTTGTTGAAGTCTCGCTCGAGCAGGTCGCGCATGTGCCGCTGCGCAATATCTACGCCTGGCATGAGCATTATACGCTCTAGGAAAATATCTGTGATGATACCGAATTTCAACGTCGAATTGAAGACGCGGTCGGTGAGCTCGGACTTGAGCTGCACGTGCTCCGATTTGGTGGCCAGCTACCGTGTAGCATGTCATGATTCGTTGGCACGAGTGCGAGTTTGTGTCATGTTACCAGCGCATCCTGGGATACCAGTGCTTCCTTCATCGTGCTCCTCAATGCATCCAACACTGCTTCCGACTGTTCGACCGAAAATCCTACATCATGCATGTAGTATGAGATCACCATGAACGAACTGCGCCGACGACTAACCTTGGTATTGGAGTTGGGTCACAAACCGATTCGAATCAAAGGGTAGCGTGACATGTTGTTCTTGTGTATCCGTCACTGAAGACGTCATGGACATGCAGCCTAGCTTGGCTTCTCGCGTCCGCATGAGCGTTGGCAACATACCGCGCCGTGGCCATGCCGCCATCATCGTTCGTCCGACGAAAATCATGTGCAAACCTGTAAAACTCGATTCAGTAGTCCCTGCAGGAGTTGATTTTACCTTTGTACTCGATTAAGTTCGCCTAGATTAAAGAACAGCACTTTACCGGATATCCCGCTGGTTGGTTGGTAGAGTGGTCGAGGGGTAGGGCCATGGCCATTTTCGTTGGTGGGCACGGGCTCTTGGGTTTGGAAGGCAGCTCCATTTTCAGTCTCCGTGTAAACTGCTAAGATGGTAAGTCAAGTCTCCATGAAGTATGATAATGCAGGTGGCATGGCTGGCTAGCTTAGCTAGCACGCGCGATGAGCTGTCTCAGCAGCAGAAATAGCTGGCCACAAAGTGCCACCGCTACTAGCTCAAAGTCAATATGATAATGGCAGGAAAAGTCACGCGCATGGTTGTGTCTGTCTATAGGGAAAGGATATCGTAGCTGGCGGCAAGAGCACCGGACGCAAGTCCCGCACTGCCCCTAAGTCGGAAAACGTGTACCTCAACCTGCTCGTGCGCCTCTACCGCTTTTTGGCCCGTCGTACCGACGCCAAGTTCAACCAGAACGTGTTGAAGCGCCTGTACATGAGCCGCACCAACCAACCTCCTCTTTCCATCGCTCGTGTGGCTCGCTACATGAACAAGAAGGAAGACCAAATCGCGGTCGTGGTCGGCACCATCACGGACGACATCCGTTTGTTCGACGTGCCCAAGCTCACCATCGCCGCGTTGGGGTTCACGGAATCTGCCCGTGCCCGCATCTTGAAGGCCGGCGGTGAAATCCTCACCTTCGACCAACTGGCTTTGCGCGCGCCCAAGGGCCAGAACACCGTCTTGTTGCGCGGCCGCAAGACTGCTCGCGAAGTGTACCGCCACTTCGGCCACGAGTCGACCTTGGACAGCGTCAAGACCCACGACCACGTCAAGCCGTACGTGCGCAGCAAGGGCCGCAAGTTCGAAAAGGCTCGCGGTCGCCGCAACTCGCGCGGGTTCAAGGTCTAAGCGATGGCGGCAGCTTAGCTTGGAGCAAAAGAGTAGTGACACATTCAAAGGAGATCTTGAATCATCGATTGCGTTTACACGATTGTTTAATCACCATCAATACAATCTGGCGCTTGGAGACTTTAGATATTATACACCTCTCTTCTCACCCGAGTCTTCTCCACGACCTGTTGCTTGTATAATAACGGTACAGTTACTGTTCGTCTAACGTCAAAGTGGCTACGTGTCTAGTGCAAACTAGGCTACACCGAAGCATACTGTATGTACTGCTGGCACTGGTATATACAGTAGTCCAAGGTTGGGTTGTTCAGTGAACCCTTACTAGTTAACCTCTTCGTCGCATATGCTGACTGTTCTACTAGAGCTTGGACATGTGCTAGACATGACTTGAGCACACCCTCATCACCCCCAACCTGAGGTTTCGAGTCGAGAGATCGTTCCTTGGAGGGTGGGTAGCCACCAATTACAGCATGTACCTCCCCCCCCATGATATTTGCACACGTGGCACGTCCTCGTCCCGCCACCCCCGTGAATGTCGTATTTTAGTGTATGGATGGCTCCATGTTATTACTAGCTTCCCCGCCCGTGGAAAGCACATCAAGCACATGCTTCCAACTCTTTAACTCCTTATTCACAATCATTTCATTCTGAAAATGGTATTGTTAGCCACAGCTGACATACGTGGCAGTCTGTCTGTGGTTACTTTCGTTTGTGCATTTCCTGAATGTACTTGATCTTGGCTACAATCTCGGCTACGGTCACCACCACCATGATGAGTGTACATCCATAGATATATCTATCCACTTCTTAATATCAACATGGACGCATGCGTACCACATTCGTACGCGGTCGCAGCCGAGTAGTCGATTGTTTCTTCGTCGGGCTGGCTGTACTGAATCTGAAAGTCGCACGGCCCAGGTAGGAACCGCAGCCACGTGATGCTCGAAATCGGCCGTTCCGCCTACAGTAGTACCCCACAACAAAAACACATAAATCATATATATTTTATCCTTTTCAACACGGCCATCTCGCCGACACGTATATATAATATATATATAACAGTACCACTTTGATATTGGTCCGGGAAATCATGGCGCGCTCGCCAACTTTGGAGTTGTACACCTTGTGCGAATCGACGCCCAACATGCGATGCTGGCGCTTGCCATACTTGTTGGTTTTGATCACAGTCCACTCCTTGTACATGGCCGCCTTGACGTCGTTGTACATGAACGTCGACGGCAGCGGCCGCACGTTCTTGCTCACAGCATCCCCGTCCTCCGTGGCTACATACATCGTCATATATTGATACCAGTCAATATTTATCCTGTCGATTCCAATTCTTTCGAGTGGGGTGCTGAATCGACACACAATCGACCGACCAATCAAAAACCACAACACGAATCAAGTGGCCAATCAAATTCGTCGACTGAGTGTTTGTGCGACTTGAAATATAGTACTAATAGTGCGAAACATGAATTATTCACCAAGTATTTACATACAATATTCTACATACAACAAGCGACATTGATGGATCTGGTGATGAATCAGCACACAGTCCAGCGTTTGGCTTACAGCAGCACAATATATATATATATATATATATATATACAAGCATGATGATAATGATGCAGCCAAGAGCGTACTGGACTCGCCAAACACATTGACAGACGCGAGGGGAGCTGGGGCGGCGGGGGCGGGGGCGTCGGCATACACCTCTGGGAACATTCGTGTAAGATGGAGGTTTGGTTTCGTAACAATGGAGATAAAACAAAAGGGTGCGTACTCCGTGCTAGCGTGACTTCTTGCAACCCAAGCGGCTTCAAGTTGGTTTCCAAGTCGATGATTTCCGACGGCAGATCCAGGCGCAGTTTGTCGGCTTCGGTCACTTTGAGGATGTACTCGTCCAGCATGGGCAGCCGGTGCTTCTTCTTGAGCATCGGAAGCAAGTCTTTGCCCGTGGTGCCGTCTTTGATTGGGATGACCGAATGGTTCTCGTTTGGCCTGCTCCAAACATATATATATATATCAATAGAATTCCACCCTCCAAAACAGCTATACTACTAGTCTTGTCAAGTCGATATATTCGAAATTCGAGTGTTTGGGTGCTCAATCGAATGAACAGAATCACCACATCGGCAGACAATCGATATACGACCAATCAAAACCCAGATCAAGAATCAAGTGGCCAATCAAATATTATCCACTTTTCGACCAATGCATATCATCGAATTAATGTGTGACTTCAATTAGTGTGACCCTGGACACCCTTTTCCTACAAAATTCAGTACAAAGAATCGATCGATAGAATTGGCAAAGAATCAGCACTAAAGTCCATAAAATTTGGGGTAAAAGAAAGACAATATCTATATATTGTATTGTGTTTCTTCTAAACTGGAGCGATATCGAGAATAATTGAATCGACGACACAACCATAGAAATATACACAAGAAAGAATCGACAGAAGGATTCGAGCCAATCAGATTGCAGGAAACCATCGTCAATGTCGAATTAGTGTGCGACGTCAATTAGTGTGATATATCACCAATCCCCACAGCGCTCATTGCACACAATTTTACATACAAACTTTAGTCCAATAATATCAGCACAAAAGGCCAAAGTGTAGGTACAACGTCAATACAACTAGAGGCTGTATGTACATGATGATCTTGAGCAAGTTCTTGTCCCCGCCACCAGGAACCACCCGCCGGCCATCTCCGCCCGTGGTCATCGAAGGTTGATGCATGCTTCGCTGCATCATGGACTGATCTACTCCATCGTATACATAGCATGACCTCTCCATGTTGATTATCCTCGATTGAGGAATCGCATGTACCCATACCCAAGGTGGTAAGTGCAGCGGGGCTGCCGTCGGGCGGCGGACACGCTTCCGGTCGTTCGCAGAGGCAGAACTCGTGGTTGCCGTTGTCCCCAAAGTTTTTGATTTTCCGAGATCGATCCAACGCTACAAAATTCCCAATCAAACATGAAAAACAATATATATATATATATATACAACGAAAAACTAACTATACACACCGCCCCAATCACATTTCATTTACAAATGTTCAAAATTGGTTTTATAATAACTATCACTCTTTCCATATATTTTTTATAAATGATACCACATTTTTATATATATATACAGTATTTATACATTTATATATATATAATGTAGTATCGTTTATAAAAAATATATGGAAAGAGTGGTCGTTATTATATATATATCAAAACAAACAAAAACAACCCGGGTATCTTTATAAATATTCATGGTGGGGATGATGATAGAAAATTATTATTCCATCGATGATACAACTCGATTAACTGTTGAAAACTAATATGCCCAAAGTGATAACAATCATGTAGGGCAGGGGTACGTACCTGGAAAGTCTTCGTCAGGGTACCCATTGGCTTCGTGCAGCCGGAGCTCGTAGCACTCTGGGTGGCCATAGTACAGCAGCGGTCGTTTGCCTCCTTGCAAGTGCGACATGAGGATAGTTTGAATCGTTTCTTCCACGGTGGAGACCTCGTACAGCTACATACATATATACCCCATTCACTTGTTATGCACAAATATATTGAGGAGCAAGATGTAAATGTGGATTAGAAATTCAAGTAGGGAGTAGTCAACACAATCGATCGACCAATCAAAACCCTGAACAAGAAGCAATTGACCAATCCAATACTCTTACCATTCAACATTGAATTAGTGTGTGACTTACTTCGAAGTGTATTATTAGTGTGACACTGATATATTACATACAAAATAGCAATACAAGAAATCGAGTTGGCGAATCAGCACACACAAAAGTCCATATTACGGGTGAACAAGGGCAATACCTCGACGTGCATTTCCGCGCGATTGGGGAGGTAGATCTGGAGGGAGATCATGGGCGCGTCGGTCATGGCGTGGTGGTGGTGGTGGTGATGGGGTTTGTTTGTCATCATCTGGGTTCCGTTGCCATTCCCGCCGAGCATCATGGCCCCGCGCAACGCCGCATCCAACAGCGACGTTTGCACCGACTGCAGAAAGGACGGGACGTCTTCGCGCTCAAACACAAACGACGGCGGCGGCGGCTGCTGCAGGTTTCGACATGAACATGGAAACGAGGACGAGATAGGCTTGCATGCATGCTACCTCGGTGGTACCGCCGACGGCAACATTGGACGACGAGGATGCTTTCTTGGAGTCAAACACGATCACTTTGGGCTTGCCGTTGGGGGCGTCGCGCAAGGCGTCCTTGGTGCCGTGGCGTTGCTTGTGGTCGGGCGGCGGCGGTGGTTGCTTGGCCTTGAACGACGAGTCTTCGTGGGACGAGGGGGCCACATCGTCATGCTGAGTCTGGGACTGCGGCGGCGGGGGATTGGACTGCACTGGCATTTGCATCGACGGTCGGTCCAACCAAGACGACCGCATCTCGTACGACGCGACTTTCGGCGACGAATTGTAGATCCGGTCGACTTCAGAATCCTGCCGGTCGTGGAATCGAGGACTGCTGCCTGCATTTAACCGCATGAGGCTGATGATGCTTCGCAGCTCACTCACTTCCGACAGCTGCATGAGGACGCCGCTGACAGATTCTGACAAGTAGAGAGCCGCCTTCCGGATAATCTTTTTGTGTCCGGTAGTACTACAGTAGTAACTGTATCGGTACTCTTGTTATTATCCGGATACTGTGTTAACATCGCCAAAATGCGGCTACGACTTCCTGCCTTGCTTCAAAGGACCATGACCCGCGCTTCCACGGCAATGGCGGCATCGTCATGGTCGCTTTGCGTGGACTTTGATGATACATGCTCCGTGCGCGACACCACTGCCGACCTCGCGCGACTTGCATGCACTGGAAATCACCCCCAGACGTCCGAGGTATGGGACTCGTTGGTCGCTCGATTCCTTGAGGACTGCGCCTCGGTCATGTCCACCCTCGGTGACGATCTGGACCAGAAGTCGCCGACTTTCCAGCCACAAATGCTTGATGCATTCCTCGCGGCCTACTCCGCAGTGGACTTGCGATCGGTTGACCGCGTCATCGCGAGCCGTGTCCTGGCCGGCATTCCCCGCTCCTCCATCGTGAACCGCGTGGCGTTGAAGCCCGACTGTGCTCATGTGCTCTCCACGTGGCCCGGTGATGTCGCTGTCGTGTCCAGCAATTGGTCGCGGACCAGTGTCCTCTCCGCGTTGACCGACGTCGCTCGTGTCCGCCATCGAGCTGGACTGCCTTACGCCGTGCATGCCAATGGTTGGCCATGCATATGTGTCCTTCTCAATTGACGCAATGGTCTCTCGTCGTGTAGAGCTCGAGTTTGACCACATGGATGTGTCTACTGGCAACATCCTCCTCCCCTTTCAAGCCCCCCATCACAAAGCGCAATACATCCAGACCCATCGAGACGGTACTTACTATACACAACGCCAAGTTGGCCATGACATTGAACCCCCATAACCCCAATCTTTGGCATTCCAGATCATCAATCCTCATGTAGTTACATTCCTGTGTCGGGTCTAGCGCATCCGTCGTCCCACGGGGTCGTCTTTGTGGGGGACGGCATCAACGACCTCCCAGCGCTCTTGGCGGCCGACGTGGGCATCGTCTTGAACGCGCGCGGCAGCAGCATCTTCAAACTGGCTGCGCATGTGGGCTTGACCATCGCCGACGCGACGACACTTCAACTCCCTAACCCTTCTAGCCCACGGACGCAGCCCGCCCTGTATCATGCCACGTCATGGAAGGCCGTGCATACACTCCTCTGCGATACGGTCGCACGAACGTGTTAGAGCAGCACTTGGTTGTGGCAACTCTGCGTGAGGGTTTTGCGGGGCAGAACGATGCAGTTGCGCACAATCACTTCGGGCATGCACACCACGGCGGTGCCCAAGATGGTCACGTCGCGGACGCCGCCGCCCCCGACGGACGCCGCATCGGGCTTGTCGTTTGGCGGTTCTCCTATCGTGGTTTTATACGTGGTTCGAATTCCTTGGATCAATTATAACTAACCCCACAATGAATTATAACTAATTCCCCACAATGAAGTATAACTAACCCCACAATGAATTATAACTAATCCCACAATGAATTATAACTAATCCCCACAATCGAGGGAAGCAATACTGTTGTGCCAGACATATTACAACTAAATAGTGTGAAACTTCAAATAGTGTGATATACTTCGCCACTGGGCACATTTTACAAATTCAGTACAAAACGTCGATCGATGGATTTGGCGAATCAGCACACACACAAGTCCAAATTTCGGCGAAAAGGACCATATAACACTACGAGTGTAGTACTTTTGTCGTTGGAGTGTATTTGTAGGTGCAGCAGTACCTTCAACGCGAACCCACTCGCCCACCATCGCATTCCACCCGAGGATTGAAAACAGCACACACGCATGATCTCGGATCGTCGTCCCCGCCAGCACAATCGAATGCGCGACGCGAACCCCGCGCCCTATCGTCACGCCCGCGCCAACGCACACGTTCGGGCCCAACTTGGCTGTGGGGTGGACACTTGCCGACGGATGCACGACCACATTGCCTAATCAAAAAAGCAGAATATCATCTGACGTGAACACTGCGGCACTAACTAGTATTGTCGATTCGAAATTCGAGTGGGGTGGTGCTGAATCGAGTATGAGCAGAATCTCCAAATCGAATTCAGACAATCGATGATCGGCCAATCAAAACGCATAACACGAATAAGTGGCCAATCAAATCATCCGCTCTTCGACCCAATTCAACAACATCGAATGAGAGTCTTAAATTAGTGTGATACTGGACATACAAAAGTCAGTACAAACAATCGATCGATTTGGCCAATCAGCACAAAAGTCAGCCAAATTTCGGGTTAAAGGACACCCCACCGAGGCCGAACGACAGGCTTTTCTTGGGATTTGTGCAGATAGATAATAGTACCTTCGATGCGGGGGGAGAGTTTGCCGCCTGTGGACGCGAGGAGCGTCGGGTCGACGTACCGATACCGCTGCATGTACAGCTCGGAGCACATGACCGCCATCCCTGGCGTCTTGATCTGGCACCAAAAGTCACCCGTTTCAAACACAAACAGCGTCTGGGTGCCAGCCATGGGGAGCAAAAAGTCTTGCTCGAGTCTGCGATACAGTGGATCATCATCCTCACGTTAAAAATGACAACGCTCCAACCAAGCAAGTCTCGAGAGGAGCAAAATATAGGAGTTTCAACTTTATCATGTTGTCTGAACACACAATACATATATACATATATATATATAGTCAAGTCGATTCGAAATTGGAGTGTTTGGGTGCTCCATCGAATGAGCAGAATAACTATATCGGCAGACAATCGATGATCGACCAATCAAAACCCAGATCACGAATCAAGTAGCCAATCAAATCCACTCTTCGACAAGGCAACACTGAATTAGTGTATGACTGAAATTAGTATGATACTGGATGATCTTTACATACAAAAAGTCAGGACAAAGAAGAATCGATCGATAGATTTTTGGCGAATCAGCCCAAAAGTCAGCCAAATTTTGGGTAAAATTCTGTAAAGACCATGTCAACAGGCGTCGTCGTACCGGAGTTGGTCGGGGATGTTGTGAAACAGGTGCGGGTACGTGGCGCTGCGTAACGCCGCCTGTTGTCTCTGGTCGGCCAACGCATCGCCCAACTCGACAATGTCCTGGAGCATGTCCATGTTCAAGAGGTACACCCCGCAGTTGATCAAGTCGCTGACGAACGACGTGGGCTTTTCAGCCCAATGGACCACCTCGGACGAGTCCGGGTCCGCTACAAGGCACCCGTACGTCTTGGCTTCGTCGGGGAACACTCGCTTCCCAAGGACAGTCACAAACGCCTGGGCTCGGATGTGGTGGTGCAGCATGTCCACGAGTGGAAAGCTGCAGCAAATGTCGAAGTGCAGCACGAAAAACAGGTCCGGGCCTCCGCTTTCAATGTCCTCGCGGAACGTACGCAGTCCCCCACCGGTCCCGAGATGCTGACGCTCTTGAAGATACCGGATGGACGGGATGCCGATGATGTTGCGGGTCACCCTGTCCATGAAGCTGGCAAACAGACCCGCGTCGTACGCTCCAATCAAGAGTATCTCCTGGAGGTTTGGGACCTTTGCACACGCTTCCACGTGGTGGTAAAGCATGGGCCGGCCAGCGATGGGAAAAAGAGGCGTGGGTAGATCCATGGATAGAGGACGGAAGTGCCGGTCTTCATGACCCCCCAGCAGGATTACCGCCTTGGACGCTGGGTATCGCGACGACGCCATGCAAGTGAAAATGTGCCTGATGGCTACAGCGAAAGGGACCAATCCAAGGCCAGAGGTAGATATCTCATCGACCAATCAGATTCGTTCCACGTTGCGCACTCTGACGCTCCACTGTCATCACGTTGCGAAGTTCTGATCGTAGTATTTTTTATCTAATTTCTGTGAAATGCTTGAAAAATCAACGATTTTTAGGTAAATAAATATTGTCACAGATCGTAGTTGGGGTGCTTCTTGCTTCGATATTCCGACCACCACGTTGCCATGAAGTTGCAACCGGCAGGGCTGGCCGTTGTGCTCGTGTCGCCTTCCGTAGCCGTGTTTTGCTTGCTGTATGCCGCCTTGGATGTACCCGCCGTCCTCTCGGCGTTCATTGCATTCCTCTCTGCATTTGTATGGGCCGATGTGTGGTACTTTGTGCACATCATCGGTACGGTTGTGGCATCCCCACCGACTTGCCTCCAAAGCGTTCTGGATTCGCACGAGTACCCAGCGATAGTGGGGCTCAACGACATTGATCGCAATGGGCATTTCAACAACGCGAGGTACTTGCGGGCGTGCAACTATGGCCGCCGCGCGTTTTGGACGGTTAGATTAACGACGAACTACACGTTACCCTGAGAACTACCAAGAAGTGATCACCTCATACATGTCGTCTATCACTAGGCGAATGGCATTTGGGAACTGTTATGCGCTAATGGAGGCAACTTGCTAGTTGGCGCGCAGACAGTGCGCTACCGCCGCGAGCTCACGCTAGGTCAATCGTACACTCTCCGAACCCGTATCCGGACGTGGGACAATCAGGCGTTTTACATCGAACACCAATTTGTGACGGGCGCTGAAGCCGCGGGTTCGTTGTTCGTGCATGCTGTGGTGCTGGTGAAGAACAATGTCATGGGATCCAAACGACCGCAAATGCTCATGGAGATGCGGCAGCCGGGGATCGTGGCGCCGCCGGTAGACCCTGACGTGCAGAGCTGGATCGACTCGAATGCGGCGTCGAGCTTGATGTTAAGGCCCAACAAAAAGACGTAAACAACTTCGATTGAATGTGACGGCCATCTCGAGTTAAATAGATTACATTCATGATCACGAGGTAGACGAACTAAAACTATGGGGAACCTACGGCGTTGACGGAGCACATGGCGGCACTTCCAGCCCAGCCAACAAAACTAAAGGGGTACCCTCGAGCGATCGCGCAAGAGCAATGGTCGCGGGTTGTGGTGGGGAACATGTGCGTGTTTACTCGTCTTCTTCGGAAATCGTGTTGAGGTTTTTTTCCTTGGGCGCGGTGAACACGGCAACGGTCGGCTTGATAGAGAACGTCTTGCGCATGAACATGAGGTCATTCATGATGTCCAACGTGTCCTGGTCCGACCCGAGGTTGATGAACGAGCCGAGCGCCCGGGTAGCTTCTTCCAGAGCCGAAGACGGCTTGAGCATCGCAACGGAAAGGGTGTCCATGATGGCTGGGATGTGGAGATGTGGCGGAAGGCGACGAATGGATAATGAAGTGCCTCCAATGCACTCTAAATCGAACTTAACCGAGGTTGAGATCTAGAATGTCAAAACTTCGGGTGCTCTCGTTGCGGATTGGACATGAACGGACACCGGTCACCTGTAACTTCGAGGATCCATTAAGTACGTCCATATAAACTACAAGTAAACAACGCTTAAAGTACGATTTGTCAACATGCACTTAAGGATTTGTACGTCGTCAACACGCCTCCTCATGACGCTACCTCACCTCTGGTGTTGAGGCGGTCCAATGGACCAATCAAAGGCGAGTATGGACCTTGTGTCACATTTCACATTGCGATGATGCAAGAAAGAAGCTGATGGAGAAGGGCAAAGTGGTCAACAATCCCGCATCTTAGTGGCGCATGAGTACCTTTTACGTGGTAGATGCCGTGGCCTGTTCCATGGTTGGGATCTCCACGGTCGCGATAGGATTCTCACGGTCAAAACCCGTTTATTACGCAAGAGGCAGGGCTGTTCGACTGAAGTTGTGGTGGTAAGCGTAAGTAAGTTACACGTTGAAGGGAAGGGGACGATGGAGAGTGAGTTTCGCGAACATTATTCACGGACCAAGTCAATGGATGACATGACGAGGTGAAAATCTCCATTTTTTTATTTCCACAAGGCTACTGGTATTTTATATGTGTTCCATAAGGCTACTGGTATGTTTTCGATTTTTGGCCAATCATGTTTTCGAATGGAGGTGGTGTCGCTTTTCCATTGGACGACACATATATACACCCAAAAAAGTTCAAGTGAATTGTAGCTCGGTCTGGGGGAAAGACAAGCACCGATGTACTTCGAAGTACCAAGGAAGCGACGCCTTGCTTGCTACATGATGTGCCATTTAGCAAATATCATAAAACAATACTCGTACACAATGCGTTGATGCCAAAGATATGGTACTGCTCCGTGGTGTTTATGTCGTTGTTTGTATAGTGTCCAACTTCCAGACCCGTTTCCAAAGGGTCACACAGAGGCACGCACAGACTGTGTTGAACAGGGCCAAGTAGCCACCATAACAGTGTTATCAGTGGAAAAGTGCCTGTCGTACCACCAGTGTACAGTACTGTTGCGAGCAAGATTGGCCGATATTTGATAACTGCTTTTGCTTGTTCCTACAGTACGAGTCCAATCGTTCGTGTAAGTAGGTATAACGTTACCTATATTTGAATCACATGAAGTACGTTCTACGAAGTATCTTTAACTATCTTAACGGCCCATTCGCTGTCCACACCCTTCCGTTGACATGAAACCGACGGGATCTGGATGTGTATATACTGTACAATCTGTCGCCTATTGCTGAGCTTGCAACACCGCGGCACGCTTCCGCAGCGCTACAATGTACGATTCCATTTCTGCGGGAATGGCGGCGTCGATGAGGCTGCGCGGAATCCATCCCTTGACGTCGGTGTTGATGATCCACACGAGTCGCGTGCCTTTTGCATGGCGGAGGATGAGGAACCCCATGACTCCGTTCATGCCGCGGGTGACGCCGCTGCTGCGAACCACGCTGCCCTTGTACTCGATGCCTGTCGTGCCGACGATGTACCCGGCCTGATCGTCCAATTCCTTGGACACGCGGACGTTGATGAAGTCGCGCGCGGACACAAGACCGCCATACATGGCACACGTAAGGGTGTGCATGATCTCGGCGTTGGGGCTGAGTTGCTTCATGAGGGTGCACGCATCAACGGACGTGTTCCATTCGCGCGTGTCGGCAATGTTGATGTGGAGAATTTCAAATACCACTGACGGCGGGGCTTCGAGGATCGCCTCAGCTTGAAACAGCCTTACTGCCTTGCCGGGTTTGCTCCAGATGGAAGCGTCCGGCACTTTGCAGCTCTCAGTGTGCCACAAGTTCTTGGACTCAAGGCACATGCCGTGGAATTCTTCCAGGGCCGCTTCGCCGATCGCAAGGGCGCGAGTGTCGTCGTCGGCTTGGTTGCTCATAGCCGGATTCGAACAATGTGGTCGCCATGCAGTTGAAAAATGGGAAATAGTGGCCGCACCGTTGGGACAATGAAATGGAACGCATGTGATTCGCCACAGTGAGTAAAAACACAACCAATGCACATGTAAGTCCCAAGCGGTAATGGGAAAAACCAATTGTAACATGAAGATCGCAACTTCAATATCAAAGTGAAAACTTGCCATTTTGATCCCCACGGGCAACGCTTAGAGCACAGCCAGAGTAAAGAGCCTCCTTGGCCACTCGAAGTCAAACGACTGGGGTACAGTACAGTATATCTTGCGTGATATAGTTTGCCAACAGGATGAATACCGGTTGTTCGAGTGCTACCGGTAGGTAGGCTTTGAACATTGACTCTGAATGCCTGTACTGTAAAGTACTGTAGTACTTCGAGTATAATTTAGTAGCGTACTACTACTAGTAGTACTAGAATCGGTCCGTCTGTGGGTGCTGTTGTGTGGCCATCGAGGACGATCACGGTGGTATTACACTGTAGAAACACTTCGCTCCCCAGCTCATGCTTCGCTGTACATATTGCAAGGTCCTGCGCAGTATTTGGTTCCGACCTAGTTACGGTTAATCCGGATATGAGTTGTGGGTGAGTTTGCCCCAGTTGATTGCCCCAAGTCAGTCGCCGTTTCTTATTGGATATAAAATATCGAATCATATTACATTGATTTGCTTTTCAGCCAATCGGAACGTCCCACTTGGACACCGCACGTCTCCGCACAAAAGTCAGTTGACACCACTGCCGCCGTCGTCACCTCGTCGTCGTAGCTTAGCATGAGCATCAAGTTACGAGACCTCATTCGCAATGTGCGAGCATGCAAGACTGCCGCTGAGGAGCGGGCGGTGATCGCCAAGGAGAGCGCATTGATCCGAACGGCGTTCAAGGACAACGACAAGCAGTACCGACACCGCAACGTGGCCAAGCTCTTGTTCATCCACATGTTGGGCTACCCGAGCCATTTCGGGCAAATGGAATGCCTCAAGCTGATCGCTGCCAACAACTTTTCAGAGAAGAGAATAGGCTACCTTGGCTTGATGCTCCTGCTCACGGACCAGGAAGAAGTCCTCACGTTGGTCACCAACTCGCTGAAAAAGTACGTCCTTCTGTGTCTCCACATGTCAAAACCTCATGCCATCGCCCTACCATGTAGCGATCTGAACCACGTGAACCCGTTCGTCGTGGGCCTGTCGTTGACCGCTGTCGGCAACATTGCGTCGGTACGTCGCTCGCTCCCCTTTCTGGGAGATCGATCTATCTGCTCTAACTTGGCTCTTCATCATCTGTAGCCCGACATGGCGCGGGATTTGATCACGGACATAGACAAGCATCTCAAGAGCGACAATCATTTCCTGCGCAAGAAGGCGGCGCTCGCATGCATCCGCGTGTTCCGTCAGGTAACAAACATGCCCAGCATGTAGACGTGCTCATTGGATCAATATGTAGGTGCCGGAGCTCGTGGAAGACTTTGTGGAGCCCATTTTGGACTTGCTGCGCAGCAAGAACCATGCGGTGCTGCTCACGGGCGTGCAGCTGATCGTGGATCTCTTGACCATCGACCGCGACGTCCACGGCGCGTACTTCAAGGGTATCGTTCCGGCGCTGGTCCGCGAATTGCGCAACTTGCTGTCCAACAACTACACGCCCGAGTATGACGTGTCAGGCATCGTGGACCCGTTTCTCCAAGTGAACATCCTCAGGTCTATATCATTTCTCCTTTTACCCAAAATTTGGATTACTTTTGTGCGGATTCGTTGCCAAATCTATCGTTGATATTCTTTGACTTTTGTAAAGTTCGTCCAATGTCACACTAATTTCAATCACACACTAATTCGATGTTGAAATCTTCGAACGGTGGATTTGATTGGCTAGTTGATGATGGTTTTGTGTTTTGATTGGTCGATATATCGATTCTCTATCGATTTGGTGCTGCTCATTCGATTGAGCACCCAAACACTCCAATTTTGAATATATCGAATGAACAATATTGTGCTTTCGAGTGAAATTTCATTGTGTTGTGGTTTCTCGTTGGAATTTAAATCGATTTGATTGGCTACTTCAGATGAGCTCAAAATTATGAACCAATCAAAACCCATTTCTCAATGAAATTCAACCAATCAGATCGATTGTGGATCGGTTTGGTTGGCGCGATTGATTCGATTGCACCCCCACCCCAAATTTGTACTATCAAATCGACAATATCACTTCTCCTTCTCTTACGACGTGTGTATTGCTGATGATCGTCGTGGCTGCGGTAGTTGCTTGCGTCTGCTCGGCCGAGACAACGAAGACGCGTCGGAAGCCATGAACGATGTGCTAGCCCAAGTAGCAACCAACACGGAAACATCCAAGAACGCCGGCAACGCCATCTTGTACGAATGTGTCTCGACGATCATGTCCATTCAGAGCGAGAGCGGGCTCAAAGTGCTGGCCATCAACATCCTCGGCCGGTTTCTGCTCAACCGGGACAACAACATCCGATACGTGGCCCTTAACACCCTCTCCAAGGTTCGAAATACGTTGCATTGAATGATGACGCCGCTTTGAATGATTACGCCTTGTCTCGTGTCTACTTGAATATATATATATCATTTGTAGATCCCAAATCTAAATCAACATTTGTATATATATATATATATATGTAACACCCTCTCCAAGGTTCGAAATACGTTGAAGTTGCATTGAACGATGACTCCTTGTCTCGTGTCCACTTTGGATATATATATATCATTTGTACATCCAAATCGAAATCAACATTTGTATATATATATATATGTACGTACTACGGGAATGATTGCGACTGCTCGTGGCCGTTGGTTTTAACGTGGCATGCAATGACTAATTCTACTTTTGTCCATTCGTGTTTGGATCATTGCGATGATTCCTGGCCATTCAATTTGAACGTGCAGTTTTTGATTGGTTGGTAGGTGATTGCCGAAGACGCGCCGGCCGTCCAGCGCCACCGCAACACGATCGTCGACTGTCTAAAAGATCCCGACTTGTCCATCCGTCAACGCGCACTGGAACTCATTTACGCCCTCGTGAATGAGTCTAACATCCAAGCGGTACGAACTATGTGTCTTCTATTGGTCAGGTATTGTGTTTCTTTTACCCAAAATTTGGCTGACTTTTGTGCTGATTCTTTGCCAAATCTATCATCGATCGATTTATTATACTGAATTTTGCATGTAAAAATCATCCAGTGCCACACTAATTTTAGCCACACACTAATTCGATATTGTTGTATTGGTTAAAGAGTGGATAATTTGATTGGCCACTTGATTCGTGTTGTGGGTTTTGATTGGTCGATCATCGATTGCATTTGCCAATTTGGTTAGTCTGCTCATTCGATTGAGCACTCAAACACTCCAATATTTCGAATATATATCGACTTGATAATATTATTCTTTGTGAATAAACACACCTTGAGCCACGCTGAGATATGGTTGTCTTCTACTACATCATGATGATCAGTGGACTTGAGCATTATGGGAATGACATCTCTTATCGGTTCTGTAGCTGGCGAGGGAAATGCTCAACTACTTGGTCGTGTCGCCCCTGGATCAAAAACCTGCGCTCTGCTCTCGCATTGCAGGTACACACCCCACCTTGTCGCACATATACCATCTATGGAAACTCCACCTTGTCGCACATTATACCATCTATGGAAATCTTTGCGAGATTCCGATTCAATCGACCCGAATCTCTCCCATTGGTCACTCTGAACATTTTACTTGCCTCTGATTGGCTATAATCCATGTTTGATTTCTTTTACCGAAAAGCATTGGCCAATCCAATGTGTCGGCCATTTGAAGAACTTCGACACTATATATATATATATATGGAATCGCATGCGTCTACCCCTCGTGTTCCTGTGAACGCTAAGACATGAACGTTCATGTTCCTCCGTATGTATATATAGACGCCGTCGACCGGTACGCGCCGACACAGCGCTGGCACATCGACACGCTCATCACGATGCTGTCGATCGCGGGCTCAATCTTGCCGGACGAACACATTTCATCTTCGTTGATTGTGCTCATCCAAAAGAACCCGGCTTTGCACGTGTACGTTGTGCACAAGCTGTTTTGGGCCCTCCACGAGGACACGGCGCAGCTGGCGCTGGCCCACGTCGCATTGTGGTGCATCGGAGAGTATGGCCACGCGCTGTGCGCTAGCGATCCCCCCGCCGACGAAGAAACGCTCCAGGGCAAGACGCGCGTCGATGAGGCCGTGGTTGTAGCCCTGATCACGACCGTACGTTGTCGCATATACAGTAGTGTGTGTATATATCTTTCTACGCGTCATTTGTATTGGATATTTATTTTTGTAGGAGCCAATATATATATATATATATATATATATATACCAACCTATATTGCACCCGTTCACCCTTGGTTTTATAATCCAATCATACGGATGCTTTGGCGTTGTTTCTCGGCCTGCTGTTCATTATACTTTTCCCCGAAATAATAGGTTATATTTGAAGTCAAAAGCGCAATACGATTGTATTGTGGTATTCGGTGCAAATGTCCAGACCTAGTCGAATCGAATCATGAATCGACGCGATTGGCTCATCCAATTTAGAGAGTGGATTTGATTGGCTCTTACAAAAAGGCTAGTATATATATTCAACCAATCAGAACTCGAGCGTGTTGATTCCATATTGATTATAGACAAACCACGCGAATTGTGAAAGTTGCTATAGCCCATTCTTCATCATATAAAATGTATATATAGTTTGGAAACTTATATATAATGTGCGATGACGGAATAGATGGTGAAACACCCGAACGCATCGGACCAAACCAAGGCGTACGGATTGACTGCCGCCGTGAAACTGACCACCCGCCTGACGCAAGGCCCGTCGATCGCGGCACTTGGAGCGCTGCTTGAGTCCCACAAATCTGCGCTGGTTCGTACTACTGATAAACACTTTTAGATCTACCTGTTGATGTACAAATATTTTTTATTCTAGTTAAAGAAGAATTTTTATCAAAGTTGAACCATTTTTGTTCTTATCTCACGATCTTTTGATTCTCAGATGAGTCGTATGGCTACCCATCTGATACCTGTCTGATTCGGTGACACCTGTCGTGTCTGATTCTTTCTGATTCTCGAGGTTGCCGCATATCTGATGCATCTGGTTTTCGTCTGATATTCGATGCAACGACTGGTCGTGTTGCCATATCTGCGGTTATACACATCCGTGGTGTCTAGTCGTCGAATGTGCTGAAGTCTTCGTCTTTCTACGAAACCCAATATATTCGAGTAGTGGGGGCGGTGGATATATATATATCATGTGTGTGCCTTGTCGCTCATGTTAGGATATATATATATCGTGTGTGTGCCTTGTCGCTCATGTTATATGTACTGTGTTAGGCGGTGGACTTGCAGCAGCGGTCGAGTGAGTTTGCAGGTCTCTTGGAGCCGCAGTGGGCGTCTATCCGAGGGGACATCTTGGCCCCGATGCCCCTCATCGACATGACCCGCGTCCGCACGCGGCAGTCGCAGCTGCTGGCGTTCAGCGCGCCCGCCACGTCGGCCGATTTCGACGACATGCCGACGACCGCTTCGTCCGCCCCCGAAGCCCCACCCGCCCCGACCAACTTGCTCGACTTGGACGACATCTTTGGCACGACCACACCAGCTGCTGCCTCCACGTCGGCGCCCCCCGCCGCTGCTGCTGCCGCCGCGCCGACCATCGACTTGTTAGCGGACCTGTTTTCACCTGCACCTGCTACTACTGCTTCATCCGCACCATCGGCAGTGGTCCCTTCGTCTGCTTCCTCGCAATTGCTCGATATCTTTGGGGGCCCGCCACCTGCACCTATCGCTACCGCGGTATGTAACAGAAGCTGAGGACTTGTGTGCTATATATATATATAATATTTGTATTTTGATTTAAGACTTCTGAGTTTGGGTCACTCATAGGTCCAACCGCCAGGCCAACACATTCGTGTGTACGAGAAGAACGGGTTGACCCTCGACATTGACTTGAGCAAGCCAAATTCGAGTGACCCGTCGATTTCGCACATTTTATGTTTGTTTACGAATGCGTCGGCGTACCAGCTCGACAACTTTGTGTTTCAAGCGGCGTTTCCGAAGGTAAACAATAGAAGTTATCATGATATATATATTTATAAATACGCGATGATTCTGTATATTTTTGTCGCCTAGTACATTCGATTGATCATGGACCCGCCCAGTGGCAGCACCATCCCGGCCAACTTGGGCGGTCGCGTGACCCAACTGGCCAAGATTCAAAACACCAACCACGGCGACGTACGTTTGCATGACATGATGGTCCGTCCGGTCGTGCTTTGATATTCATGCGTAGAAACCTGTGATGATGCGTATCAAACTCGAGTTCACCATCAACGGCACCAAGATCGAGGACATGGCGACTGTGAATGCGTTCCCACCGACCTTTTAACTAATCAAACGACCTGTACTACATTCATACTCCCTTGTTAGCCCAACCAACCATCCAACCTTGTATCTGCACTCGGCTGTTTCAAGTCGAAAGAGTTGTTCAAGTACACAGGGGTTTTATGTAGATATTTCGACGACAAAGTTGTTAAGAACGTTGCTGTCACCGCACAGCAATGGCTCGAGCAACTGTCCACTATATTGGAGTGGGGAAATATTCGGCTGGATGGACGCATACTACCTCACGACGCTGTCGCACAACCTAGCCAATGACCGACCTGTGGTGGCCCCACTTGAATGTGCCTGGAGCCCAATCGTACTTGATCGACGCGGTCAACACCCGCGTGCAATTGATTTCCGCATCGACAACATTGTGGTCGACTTGTTTGCCCCGGCCTTGGCCATCCAAAAAGATTACTCCAACACGTTCACACTCCTCCGTGTCCAGTCCACATATGCGATATCGTTGCTGTACACGCGCCGCGCCGACTTGGAGACGATCATCCCCATCCTCCGCTCCCCCATGGCCTCCCCCGACAGCCTCTTGACGCAGTACTGCTGGCTCGACTTTAACAAGGCGTGGGAGACCGTCCATACCGACGCCCGGCAAGCGCGATACCGCGACCGATACAGATTGAACACGGCCGTGTATTGAGAGACCACGCTGCGGAATGTGCAGTGGAGCGTGTGGTTGAAATCGTGTGGAAGTCGGGACGGTCGGTTCACGGCTACCGGTGGTGAAGCCCATCCTGAAAAACAACGGCACGATCGATCAAACGTTTCTAAATGCAATGTCGAGCGGTCGAAACATGTCGGACGTGACCTAGGCGACGCTGTGGCGGGCCAGCGGCTTGACGTACTTTCACATTTCGTTCCAAAACTTGTTTGCGGTGGGGGTTGTCGACTCGATGGCCGTTGTGAACTTGTTCGAGATGGCGCAGCGGCTGACGTTGAAATGAACCGATTACATCGCGCGCGCGAGCTCGTGGTCATGAACTGGCACCCGTACAACGACTTGGGGTATTCGCAAAGCGCGGGCTACACCATCGTTCGCAACGACGTGGGGAACCCCCAGTTCGTCGAAAGCTGCCCGATTGGCGCCCCTCTCACAACTTGCCCCTCGTCGAAATTCGACCTCGTCCTGGGCCTCAGTGCCACGTCCCCCCTCGTCAACGCCTCCCGCCGGGGGTTGGGACCCTTCGGTACAAGGGACTTGCTCCTTGTGACTCTGCCGCCGTCGCTGGCTGCAGTTGTCTCTGCTATTCAAGACCTACTACGCCAATGTGGTTGTGTGTTCAATCGTACGAGTCGGAAGTAGTGTGTGAGCGCATTGGTGGGTTAGGATGTAGAAGAATAGCTGGCTAACGTTGCATTGCATTCGGGGGCATTGTAATAGCTTGTAAAGATATAAGGCAAACACAAAATGGTGAGTCGGATGCAAGCCCTCCCCCCCCCCGACGAAACAGATGACTCCCATGTCTCGGCCAGAGGAACGAGACTCACGGTGGCACCGCTGCAATGGTTGCACATCGTGTGTACTTAGGACTAATACTCACGTTGTGATATGCAACCCAACCAACAGTAGTAGTAGTAGTAGTAGTAGTAGTTGGAATCCGTTCAAGAAGGCGGAGGCTCGAAGTAGAACACGCCGTGGGATTCCCAGCGATGTTGCGCAGCGGTCGGCGTGGTCGGCAGGCGAGGGGATGATCGTCCCCAATCCAATGCAACAAAACTCTCGACACATCGCGCCCCCACCGCCAACCCAGTCGTGATCCCTAGTGAATCTCTTCCAACACTTTCTTTCCTCCAGGGTACTTGAAAGTGCGTACACTAGTACTACGGCTAACATACTGAAATGACCATGATACCGTGATCAGCACCATGAAATATATAAATCGTAAAATATAATCATATACCTCTAGTCGCTAAGCGATATATCGTGGCGGCTGTGGTCTCGCATGCCTTTCGCGTTGTCGGGTTTCAATAGGTACTGCAATGTGTACTTGTTCGAATCCACATGCCACAATACAGCTTGAATATTTTGTTGTAACGACTGTGTCACACAAGGCCTAGCTAGTTCTACAGAGAACTAGGTATAAACTACGCCGTCGCAGGCTTGGCGACTTGCGCGAGCCGATACGTCCAGTATGCTGCCCGCACAGTGTCCGCTTTGGCCAAAGCTTGCAAAATCTATTCATCCCAATATATCCAATATCAATTCCCATAGTTGCTCCATCTCGTTTTGTCGAGATATGATAAAGTACCAATTGTACCTCGTTTGCCTTGTTGATTCGGTCACGGGTGTTGGCTTGAAGATGCAAATCCACAAGCAAATTCGCGGCAAAGATGCATGTCGCCGGGTGCTCTGCGTAGATTTCTTCCGCCATCCGCTCGATGGGCTCGACATCCACAGCCGACGATGGCCCTTCACGAAGGTACCCGCGGAGGTAGTTCCATGGACTCTCGTTGTGCGGCGCGCGGCGGATGTACGCGGCGGCGACTTGCACTTCACGCGCGCGGACGTCGGCGGGAACAACGGCATGCATGTTGTGGATCGCAAACCATCGATGGTTCCACGCCTACCGAGACATGAATTGCAGGTCGTTCGTTGCACCCGATGTATTGAAATGTATATATATCCATCAAAACACGGATATAACAATATATATATATATACGAATATAACATGTGCAAACTACCAAGTACAATGAAATTCTGGATACTGTTTGTCCATCTTTTTAACAACATAATTCAAAACGCAGAGGAAAGGCACAGTCGTGATGGGTCATGCCTCGTACCGAGTTGTTGCGCATGTCGAGCAAAAGCATCTCGTCCACGAAGGCTAGTTCGTCGTCCCAGAGCGAGAAACGCTTGACCACCCACTGGCGATACGACCACGCGTGGTAGTTCTTCTGGTCGTCGGTCAAGGCTTCGGCGACAAGCGCCAACTCGACCGTGCTGTCGTTCAGTCGCTCGACGATTTCGCGGCGATGGTGCCAGATTTGATAGTTCTTGGGGGATTCCAGCGCATGTTGCCTGGTGAACTCGAGCTCGTCGTACAGATCGGCGTTGAGCGACGCGAGGACCTTTCGGCGAAAGTGCCTACGAAGCGCATGTCGTCACGACTAGAGAAGGATGGATACATGAGTAGGCGTACCAAACCGTGTAGTTGGCGGCGTTGCACTCAATGGCTGCCGCGGTCAATGCCAACGTTCGTTCGCTGTGCTCGTCCAAGAGCAGGACCGCCCGGAACAGATCCATCACTTCTTGAACTACATGCACGATGAAGAGATGCTCGCGATGGAGCGGCGAGGGTACGTACAGTGCTTTGAGTAGCTGATGGGAGCCGCAGGGTTCGGGCCGTCGTCTTGCGGGACGCGCGTCACATCTGCCCACACTGGGCTCGTCAACGAGAAATCCTCCATCGATCAAAACAACGTTCTGGTGTGAGGTGGTTATACGTTTAACGCGATGAAGTACTGAGCAGTACGTTAAATTGATTCACGAGGTTTTAACACTGTAAAGTGCACCCCTACAATTAATCAATTATTTTTACAAAAACAAAAAAGTTTAAAAAAAATAAAACTCCCGCTTGGAGGCTTGAACACTACAACACCCCGAGAAGCTACCACATACTAGTAGTACATCATGTATTGTCGATTATTTGATACAATTTTGGGGAGGGGGTGCAATCGAATCGCGCCAACCAAACCGATCCACAATCGATCTGAATGGTTGAATTTCATTGAGAAGGTTCTGATTGGTTAATAATTTTGAGCTCATCTGAAGTAGCCAATCAAATCGATTTAAATTCCAACGAGAAACCACAACACAATGAAATTTCACTCGAAAGCACAATAGTTATGACATAACTATGCGGTGTATATTTTGACCACAGACTGGATGGGCGTTCGGCAGATTGGACATGTGGAGGCGCTGGACAAACAGTCGAAGCACGACGAGAGGTGGCCACAAGGAATACACACGGCGTTGCGCACTTCATCCATACAAATCACACACTCGTTGGCGCTACTAGTTAGTTCCGGGGCCGACGCCAGAGTCGTTGTGACTGCGAGTTTGGCCATCGACGAGGCCAGCGTATCGTTCTTACGGCAGGTGTGAGTCCCGGCACAGTCGTCGTCGATGGGTCCACGAGATCCCACGCATGTTGGGGGGGAGGGGGGTGGGGGAAAAGGAGGGGGAGATGGGGGGGGCATCCCTCGCTGACTGGTGGGCTGGCTTTGCATGGCCAGCACTTCGTCGTACGATGGTGGGGGGCCTCGAAACGGAGGTGGGGGTGGGGCAATCGTTGAAATCGGAAGCGAGCTCACGTAGGAATTCCGAGCCGCCGCCCGTGATGGCGGGGACAGTTGGCGGAACTTGTCTGGCCCCATGGGCGACGACTTGATGCCTTGCAGCATGTTGCACACATCTATCCACCGGGAGGCTTCGTCGGCCGAGTCGACCCGCATGACAAACGTGGACGGGACCACTGTTCCCTACATCCACAACAACAATATTACTTAAGCTCGAGAAGGACGGCCGTGGGGGGTCCTACCTTGGTCCGTCGGATCGAAGGGTCGCGGGAAAACGCGGGTGCTTTGAAGTTGTAGCAGCACACCGGCCTTGACAGGGTGAGCTCGCAAGGCTGGCCTGGCGCACTGCTTATGGCGAACGTAGTGGTTTTCGAGTCGAACAGCACGACTTTGAATGGACACAGGGAGTTGCGTTCAGCGTGCAGCGCCAGCTCCACCATCGTCTGGCCGGGGGCGCCGCTCTGGACGCGCACCAGGTGCGCAAAGCATGCCTTCCACGGATGCAATCCCGCGGAGCTCAGGTACATGGCGGACCCTTTGTGCACTTCGACGGCGAAGAGGAGGACGCGCGCCGCGTCCTGGTGGTTTAGAGGTTCTGTGTGGTTCTTGAATCGTACGAGGTCCAACGGAAGCAGACCGTCCGCGTTTAGACGGTACAGATCGGCGCCGCGAGCCACGAGGACTTTGAGGACTTTGGCATGGCCGTAGTAGGCGGCGACATGAAGAGGGGTGTTCTTCTTCTGGACGTTCGTGGGAGTGTGGATATCAGCGCCATACTGTAAGAGAAGGTCGGCGATCTCGGCGTGGCCGTGGAATGCGGCAGTGTGCAGCGGAGTGAAATGGGATGTCAGGTGCCGGTACTCGAGCGCCGTGGACGGTCGCTTCTCCTTCTTGATCGCGGCAAGAACGGTCCTTGCGTCCTCTATGATGCCGGTGGAGCACACCTGGATGAGCTGTGATCCTAGCCTTGTGGCCGTCGATGCCATCTTGTATCTTGTGAAGTAGGTGGGACCTTCAGCCGAACTCACGTCGAGTGCAGGTCAACTTCAAAAGATTCTCGACAAAGTCTTTGCCTCAGTTCGGTAAAGTACATGTTGTAGTGAGTGTGTTCATTAAAGTATGGCATTCATAGTATATTCAAAATTAATTGTCATATACTCCGAAAGTGTAAATTACCCAAAACGTCAGGATACTAATATTAAGTAAAAAGAAAATCCCAAAATCTTGTTATGGACAATGTACTGAATTAAGGTAAATAGTATGCAAAGCCCAGCCAATCACATCGTTTGAGGACAATGTTGCCCGAACCAATGAAACTACCCCAGTTGATCATGGCCGGCGGTAGTAAGAGGAGCGATGTGCGCGACTTGACGCTGGAAGAACGTCTCCGATTAAAGAAGGACGGTTTTGCCACAGCTCCCAAGCATGACAGCGAAAGTAGTGACGACGACGACGACGACGACGATGAGGATGAGGACGCCGGCGAAGTTGTCGTGGAAGAATATGGAGAAGATCACCAGCCGACGACAAAGCGCGCCAACAAGAACCGACCTCGTGAAATCACGTCCAAGCGACCTGTCGGACGCTTCCGCGAAGTGCTGCAAGTGCGCAAGAAGACCACTCGCGACCCTCGTTTCGACCACGCCAGCGGCAAACTCAACGAAGACCTGCTCAAGAAGTCGTACGCATTTCTCGACGACATCAAAGTACGCCCCACATGCTTCATTGCACATGTCCCTTTATTGCGATATTGACACGGTGGATACTCTATTGCAGGAAGCGGAACTCCAAGAAGCGAAAAAGCAACTGAAGCATGCCAAGAGCAAAACCCGCAAGACCGAACTCCAGGTTCGCGATCTTGATGCATATTTCTAGTTGACCTTGGTCCATTGCTGATGGCTTATTCCATTAGCAAGACATTTCGTCGCGCAAGCAAGAGCTTGCAGAAGCAAAACGTGCCGACCGCATCCGAGACGCCAACTTGAAGCGCAAGCGCGAAGAGCGCGAGGCGGTGGAAAACGGCAAAGGCGCCTTCTACCTCAAGGTACCGTCCAGAATGTGACGATGCTGTTGACTCATGATGCGTATGTATGGTGTAGCGCAAGGACAAGAAGCAGTTGGAACTCAAAGCCAAGTTCGACGAACTGCAAGAATCGGGCCGTCTGTCCAAATTTATGGAAAAACGACGAAAGAAGAACGCCAACAAAGACCATCGATGGTTGCCCACGCAGCGCAAAACCTAATCGTTTGGATACTACACTCAATCACGTTATTCGTTGTATTGTCTAATGGCGACTGAAATGTAGTCGCCCTTGGTTTTATACCGCCTACGAACGGTAGTTATATTGTTTGTTGGCAATATACTAACTACTATTATATATAATAGTATATTGTCAACAAACAATATACTAACTACTATTATATATAATAGTATATTGTCAACAAACAATATACTAACTACTATTATATATAATAGTATATTGTCAACAAACAATATAACTACCGTTCGTAGGCGGTATAAAACCAAGGACAATATACTAACTACTATTAAATATAATAGTATATTGTCAACAAACAATATACTAACTGTCAATAGTGTAGCCACCATATAACGAACGTTACAGCTCATTTTGTCTATCCATTTTGCGGGTCCTTCTTTTCACCATACACTAGTCTTCTAACCCAGTGACTTAGACTTCAGCCAAAGACTCTGCATAATCCAGGAGAGCAAAGTGCTCTTGGAAGTTATGTCGTTGCAAATCAACAATGAATGTATTAGGCAAGGACTGACGTTCAAGGCATAAAGTCAGCAATGAAGTCATGACTTTGTAAACGCGTGTACACATAATCATTCGCAAATCTGCGTGTGAATTAGGAAATCACTCAGTGTTTTACGAAATGACTATGTCGCTATATAAAATCAAGAATGTCATTTTGGAAATTACTGTGTGATCTCACTCCAGAATTGTAAAATTTGATACCTCTCTGACATAGTACAAAAACAGATTTCACAGTAGAAAAAAGGCGCAAAACCTAATCAAAATTTATGCACACAATGGCGCCAAATCGAGTATTTCCCTTGGCTACTGCACCGTCATTGTGAAATTTTCGCTCGATGGCACAAGCCCCACCCCCAGCCGCCGGCCGTACTCGATCCAAACGGCGTGCGCCGAAATGGGGAGACTTTTCAGCTTTCCGCTGAGATGGAGTATGACGAGAGCGAAGATGGTAGTTGTATTTTCGATTAGCGTTTTGTAAAGAATTTCAAACGTATTTACTTTTTCGAACTTTACACACTGCTATTCAAAATAACTCATTCGAAACTGAATCACTTGATGTCTTGGTTGATTCCTGGGTCTTTTCGGAAATAACTCAAGCATTGGTTGAATCCTATAGAGATGCATTATTTCACGCAGTGTTTTCCTGAACAGTTGTGCAATTGGTCAAATTCATGAGGTTTCCAAGCGCTAATCAAATCGATTTGGCCATTTTGGTGGGAATAATCCAATTGGCCCAGCACTATTAATAGTAGTTTTTTTCTTTCGTAAATATTTATAATAATACTACAAACGTTAGTATGTATACCCATTAAAAAATTAGCGTGTCAAATTTTCAAAAAAATAGAAACATGTGTGACGGTTTCAGGTTTTCGTGTCCGGGGGTTTCGTCGCCCGTCGAGCATTCTCCCATTTGCCATGGGGGCTGTCGAGTCGACACCTGCACAGGCGGCGATCTCCGGCCTCGCGCTATGGAAGGCCGCGACTGCTTCGGACGGGAACAAGGTCCGCGCCATCACAGATCATGTGGACGCAGCACAGGTCATCAACTGGGTGCATCCTGACGAGCACACAACACCACTTATGGCTGCCGCCGCCGTTGGCAAGGTACACACATGCATCCACCCACAACTGGCACCCCACAGAGTTGATGATTGTGACTACCGGTAGCTGTCGATCGTGACCCTGCTCGTGGATCGTGGCGCCGCGTTGGACCTGCGCGAGGCAGGACAAGGCAACTCGGCACTGCACATCGCTGCGTCCAAGAACAAAGTGAGCGTGCTGGAAAAGCTCATATCTGCGGGGTGCGATCCCCATTTGTACAACAAGGACGGGTTGACGGCGTTGGACCTGGCGCGATTCCGCGGCCACCGCGAAGCCACCAACGTGTTTGCCCGCCATCTTATGCAAGCCAAAGGCTGGTTGTACATGAAAAAGGGTCGGTCCTTGTTTCTGTCGTGGTCCAAGCGATGGTGCGTCATTTACGAATGCTCCCAGGACCATTCGCGCATGGAGCTCGGCTTGTTCCACCACCCCGACGACGTCAAGCCGTCGAAAGTGATCTTCCTCACATCGTCCGAGAACGCGACGAGTCCGCGAGCGTCGTCGCGTCATCGATCTAAGCACTCGTTCTCGTTCACATCCACCACGACGTACCAAAAGTACTCTGGCAAAGAAACCTTCTCGAGAAGCCTAAACGTGCGCAAAGCACGGCACATACCTGTGTACAACGCCAGTGGATTTCGATTCGCCACAGAAACGGTGGAAGGACGAGACAAGTGGATCCAATTGCTGGGGCCGTTGGCGTTTTCGAACAACGTGGTGCGTGGTGTTCTTTCGCTCCATACATTCGTATGGGGTTCATACTCACCCCATTCGCTCCCTTGTGTAGCCGATGTCACCTCCAATGAACCAGAGACAGTCGCAACTCGCGCACGAAGACGAACCTGTGATTGAGCCCACGACGGAGCCGACGTCGTGGCAGGACCCGCGGTTTAGCACGACGTCGTCGCAAGGGGGGTTCCGTCAGTATGACAACAACAACCACGGAAGCACCTCGAATAATATGACGCCGTCGGCACCACCCATGGAAGACAGCAACATGGCCAAGATGGACATGAACGAATGCGTGATTTGCATGGACATGCCGCGCACCGCCGTGTGCGTGCCGTGTGGTCACTTGGCAGGATGCTACAATTGCCTCCTCGTCGTGCAGAAGAAGAGCGGATGCCCCATATGCCGAAGCGCCATTGCCGCCGTCGTCCGCGTGTATACGTGTTAAGCTTTCAATACAAATACATGTATACCTCTCGATGATTCACCTCGCGCGCAAATTCAAATGTGAAGTGAACATGTCGAATATCCGGATAATCCGTTGATTGTACCGGTTAATTGTTGGTCATTCCAAGAAACAGCATGAAAGCCCCATCAAAGAAGACTGCCGCAGAGGTTGAGAAGGAAGTGCACACGCATTTTGCGAAGACCGTGTACTTCAATGGTCTATGGAAGGACTTCTTGACCAAGGCGTCGGCGATCGTCGGTGCCATGGCGCTGTACCAGAGCTACAATCTGCTCAAGGTTGCCAACTTCACGTTTCGTTTCGCCCTCGTGTACGAGGCGCTGTCCGTGTTGATCGTGGTCTTAAACTTGTTGTTCCTGCACCGCGCCACAGCCAACCCTCTGCTTGTGTTCAAAGCCGTGTTCGCGCTGGCGGTGCTCCAACTCGCGTGGTTTGGCCACAACACGTACAACCTGATCCAGCATCAAGTGCAAGGCGATCTCAACAACGACCAGCTCCCCCTGGGTGCGATGGGCTTCCTTGTCACGTGGGCTGCCGATCGGTACATGCTCCACAACGAAGTCACCGCCGAACGCGCATCCACCGAAGTCCGCGACTTGACGAAAAAGCTCAACTAGAGCCGAAACCAATACACTGTACCATTGATGACCTTAGCATACTTACCATAGTAACGTTAGTAGCAAGCAATATTGCACTTTGCATGTGTCAATATACTATGAATCAACACTACCAATTCGGTCGGTGGGGTTGAGTCCATCCCCTATTCCAATCGATGTGACTACGCTAATGAGAGTTTCCGAAGTACTTAGCGTCACAAAGCAAGTTGCAATTTGTACGGATCGAGTCATGGCATCCCCGCTGGTTCGATCATACACTACTCAGTAAGTGAAGTATCGATGAATATGGACATTCTTCTCAAATGACTACAGAATGACCCGGTGACATCCATTCATCTTGAGCGTTGCGGTCGTTCATAAACCAAACACAGACGACTGTACTGCCCATCGCGATCTATCGTTACGTCGTTGCTCAACAAGCCACGAGATGAGGCATGACATAACTCGGCTTCTTTCTACTGGAATACTGTAGTACTTACAGTACGTGTTTACCTCTGCCTGTTTTGCGTTTCTTAAAACGAAAAGATAAAGGGTGTTTTGGTTCGAAACGCTTAAAAGAACAGCGATAAAACACGTTTCGTGCTTCAAAACGCTTAAAAGAACAGCGATAAAAAACGTTTGGTGCTTCAAAAACGTTTAAAAGAACGCGGCGACGCGGGCCAAGACCAAACAAAACGTGCCGGAAAACGCCACGGCTACAGGGTTGTACACCATCAATACAAAGGTCAAATATATGACGTGGCGTACTGTACTGCAAGATTCGTTTTTCGAGCTTTTCGTTGGCAATGTGCAGCGAATTCAGCGTTTCCTCGTCGGTCTTCTTTTGGAGAAGGAACTCGCGCTCGACCTTGGCCAGTTCCGTGCGCACTTTGTCCAGATCGAGCTTCTCCGTCATGCGAATGTCATTCTTGAGGTTGCTAAAGTCGCGCTCGATCACTTCCCGCATGTGTCTGTGCGCGATTTCTACGGCACGTGGTGAAATGCACGGAATAGATGATGGGGACGCACCAAAGTTCATCGTCGAGCGAAGGACCTTCTGGGACAAGTCCGTTTTCAGCTCCAAGTGGTCGGTCTTCGGGGTGAACTACAAAGAGGACGTGAATACGACTCATGGAGTTGACGGATTGCATACCAACGACACGCGGGTCGTGTTCATTTCACCAACGGCGGCTCTTGTCACGGTCAGAATGGCATCCGCCTCCTTGGATGTGAATCCTGCTTAAACCTCAGCTGCGTAGACACCGGTTGAGATGACATACCTTTCGACTTGAGGTTTTGCGCGAACAAGTACGTGTCGAATGGGACGGACGTGGCGGCTGCCATGCAGAACCCACGTCGCAACGGAAGGCCAGCGGACCCAATTCGTCTCCACAGCGCCGCCATCTCTCACCACGACGACCGCCACAGTCAATTGTGAGTGTCAACCAAATTTGATAAAAAAATGGCCAAATATTGCCAAATATTGTTTCAATTTTCAACGTTTCTCGAAACCAGTCCAAAACTCGCCGAGTTCAACCCAGATTCCTATCAAGATGAATTCGAATGATCGGAGTGAAGCAAGGAGGTTGGGACGACTCGGGATCCTCCACAAGGAACAACATCCTCACATACACATGCATGGGCGTTCAACCTCATCCTTCTTCCGTCGACTCAATACTACAAGGCGATGCTGGGTTATTAACTTATGCGATCAAGTGGTGGTCGCTGTCGTCCGAGACTTGAATGTCTGTGCGGAGGTCCTTGGCTTGGTACGTCTGTTCGTGGTCGCCGCCGTGGAGATCATCAACACGATCGGCGTCTTCGTCCCTCCGTTTCTTCTTGTCATGGTGGTGGTTGCGGATAAAGTACGTGCCATCGAGCAACGCGACCAGTTCTGGCCACATTTTCAAATGCGACAGCATGATCTTGAACGACGCAGTTAGTGGCACCGACAGCATCATGCCTACAACACCCCCTCGTCAACACTTCATCGCTATGTAGAAAGACGGACGTACCGACGATGCTCCACAGCAACCCCCACGCCGACAAGCTGATGATCACGACCACGGGCGACATCTCGAGCTTCTGGCCAAGAATCTTGGGCTCGACAAAGTTGCCCACAAACAAGTGAAACACGCCGGGAAGGACGAGTGCCAGGAACTTGTCCATGGGGGTCATAATCTCGTCGGGGGAGATGAGGATAATGCACAGCGGGGCGAGCGATGCGATCATAGCGCCGACGTTCGGGATCCAGTTCATGATGAACGTGAGAATGCCCCAGAGGATGGCCAGTCCCACGTTGAGCGACACGTACGCGATCGTCACCAGTAGCGCCACGAGGAGACTGAGGTAGCACTTGAGAGTGACAAAGCGCTGGATGTCGTGGTCAATTTTGGCCCACACACCCCCTAACAGGTATGACATACGTGTCTGTCGTCATATCAACCAAACCGAGGAAGGTATGGTAGAAGACCCAAGAGGACTGTACATGATGACTCTTGCCATCAAAAGTCCAAGCAAAAAAATACCTCACATTTTCACAAACAAAAACAAATAAATGTTCACATAGATTGTATTAACTCTGCTTTTGCCAATCTTTTTGTGGTTGAAATCGATCAAGCAGTATGATTGGATGAAAAACGAATCAAGGTTTCTATATGATTGGCTCAAACGAATCATGAAGATACTACACCTCTGAAACTGTGATATGTATCATATTTCACAGGTTTGTCGATTTCGTACAACACATGGACATTTGAAACAAAATTATAGAAATAAACAAGAAAAAATAAAAAATAAAAATTAATCTTCACATAGAAACCCTTGGATTTTCGGTGGTAAATGTTGAAACTTGAAACAATCTTTTTCCAATCATATTGGACAAATAGAACAACATATACATAAGACGTACCGGCGTCGCTGGCGCGCACCCGCGTCGAGAGGAAGTACGTGAGGTAGATCATCGTCACAAACAGCGTCGAGAACAGGTCCATCATCTCGGTGAGCACGAGCGTCGCGACCTTGTCGACGTTTTCGTGCAGTGTGACTGTGATGTTCATGGGCAGGCCGACCTGCTTGGAAATGTTCTCGATGGACGCCACGAGCGCATTGTACCCCTTCTGGTACGCGCCCACGTCGAGTGCGTGCACTGACAGCACTGTGATGTACCCGAGGAGGCCGAAGAACGTGCACACGACCGACACGGCGCAGAGCGACGCGAACGCGCGGGAGCAGCCGCGAGATCGCCGGCGGGAATGGCGCCCTGATGTCGGACAATGGGATTGTGAGGAGGAGGGACACTGCAGGACATGGATGGATACCTCGGGAAGTGCAAATGCACAAAAAGTACCGCGGCGACACGTCGATCATTTCCACGAGCGGATCCACGAGGTACATGAGGAAGATGGCGAGGAAGAACGGGACCAGGACGACCTTGAACCAGTTCAGTAAATAGCATGTCGCCGCCAGCCCCGTGGCGAGGAGCGCGCCCTTGACTTCAAATGCCAGACGCTCCATGGGTCGCGTGATGGTGGACATGAGTTCCGGCAACGACATGGACATGTGCGACGACGAAGGGGTGCCAAAGCCGCCGGTGGTGGACGACGAAGATTGTGTCGGCGTGTGGAGGTCGTCCACAGATACGTTGAGGCTGAGCGACGAGTATGGAATGCTGTCGCCGACGTGGAGCTTGGACGGAAGTTTCGAGAGCAAGGCAGTGCTGCCGCTCAACCGACTGCGCAGCGTCGACTGGTCCGAGATGGCGTCGAGAAGGGTGGTTGGGAGAAGGCTGCTGCCAGCCTGCGCCGTCTGGACTCCATCTGGGGACTGCGAGCCGCCACCGCGCTGCCGCAAGTCGGCGCTAGCGCTGTTCGGGGATTGACTCATCGGACCCGGTGTAATCCTCGGAGCTGACGCGGTGCTTGAACTATCCGGTTAACTGTGGTGTGTCATTTTACGATGCCCCGTCCCAATCTTACAAATCCAAGGATAAAACCTTGGTCTTGTGTTTTTATCCGGATGACACTTAGAGATTGCGATCTAATTCTGGCGAAACGCCGCTTAGCTCCCAACTGGCATGGCACCTACTTCGAAGTAGTAAGCAAATAGGATGCAACCATGATAATGACGTAGGGATCATGCCGGAAGGGGTGGGAATGACCTTCCAGCCTCATTGAGTGCAGGTATGAAACTCTAGCGTGATTCCAGCAGCGCCGATTCTTCTACTGTACCAACCAACGGCTTGTTATGACGACTTCATACACTAATGCGTTGAAATGGCACACGAGATAACACTTTCCATGATGTAGTTCATGCATGTGGCGATGCTCAAACCTCCTTCGGTCGATGTAAGAAGGTGGGATGGTCGGTGTGTCTGCATCACAGCCTTAACTGTTGCAAATGCAGGCCATAATGCTAAAACTTGTGGAATTGAATATCAAGTCTTGCAGGTTCTGTGCATTTGTGGCCAGGAGGCTCATGGTAATGTCATTGGCTAAAATAGAGATTAATTGGTGTCCTTTTTACATTCTGATTGGCTATGTCAGCCTTTTGACTTTGCAATCCCCAGCCTTCAGTCGTCCTGCCGAAGATGTCGTCGTTAACTGCTACTGCACGGGCCCTCGTGAAGAACCCGCCCGGTCGCGCGTCCGGATCGCCCATCACGGCCACTGTCTTTGGCGCCACTGGTTTTGTCGGTCGCTATGTCTGCGCCCAACTTGGTACGTCTCGACACCTCCATGATCGATGTGGCCTGATTTATCGTCGCAGGCTACACTGGTGCCACTGTCGTGACTCCTTACCGCGGCGATGACATGGAAGTGCGTCATTTGAAGGTAAACGGTGACTTGGGTACCGTGGCCCATGTCCCGTTCAGCGTCCGCGACAAGGACTCGATTCGCGAAGCCATCGCCGGTTCGAATGTTGTGATCAACCTCATCGGCAAGCATTATGAAACCAAGCATGCCTTGCCATGGTGGATCAACTACACGTACGACGATGTTCATGTGGATGCCGCGCGCGACATCGCCGAAGTGTGCGCGGAATTGAACGTCCCTCGCCTCATCCACTTTTCGTCGCTGTTGGCGAAACCCAACTCCCCGAGCATTTGGGCCGCGTCCAAGTACCGCGGCGAAGTGGCGGTGCGTAAAGCCTTTCCCAACGCCAACATCGTGCGTTCCGCGACCATCTACGGCCCCGAAGACCGATTCCTCAACTGGTACGCGCGCCTCGGGTCCGCCATCCCGCTCGTGGACAACGGCGCCGCCCGCTTGCAGCCGGTACAACCTCTTCCCTCCCACGACACTCTTGTCATGTGTATCAATTTGTCCTGTTTTACCCTTTTTTGTATCATTTTGGAACGTTTTGATTATTTTATTATTTTCGTGTCGATTTTGTGCATGTTCAAACGACCGGGCATATATCATACTTGTATCATTTTATTTTTAAATATCATTTCCGTAGTGGTATTACGCCTTTATATTGTGTATTCAATTCTACTTGGTTGAATGACCCTTATAAACAATCGCCGGACATGCGAAATCTCATATAAAACAAACTCGAAGAGGTAGCGTTGTGACAACAACATTCAAACTTTTTAGCCAATCATACTGCAACCTTTTCGTTACGTTTCGCCAATCGTACTTGTTTTGCTGGATTCGTTGGCGATTTCATCCCCCAAATTGGCAATATTTTTCGACTGAAAGGCTCAATATCATGTTTGAATACTTCAAATATTGTCGATTTGATACAAATTTGGGGAGGGGGTGCAATCGAATCAATCGCGCCGACCAAACCGATCCACAATCGATCTGATTGGCTGAATTTCATTGAGAAGGTTTTGATTGGCTAATAATGTTGAGGTCATCTGAGGTAGCCAATCAAATCGATTTAAATTCCATCGAGAAACCACGCCACAACACAATAAAATTTCACTCGAAACCACAATATCGTCCACGATCTTTAAACGTTTGTTTCCCTCCAGGTGAACGTGAACGACGTGGCGAAGGCCCTGTATGCGTTGATTGTGGACACGACCATCCAAGGCCAGACGTTCGAGCTAGTCGGGGACGAAGAGTACTCGACTAAGGAGATTGTGGACTATGTGCTGGACGTGACCCAGTCGGACCCGCAGCTGCTCAACTTGCCGCTCCCGGTCGCCGAAGTGGTGGGCAAGGTCATCCAGAACCTGCCGGAGCCCAAGTTCTCGCAGGATTTGGCGATTCGGTTGAGTTTGGACGAGGTCAAGACGTCGTCGCTGCCTGGGTTGCGCGAGCTTCAAGTGGAACCATCCAAGATGGAAAAGGAATCGTTCTCGTTCTTGTTCAAGTACAACAAGGGTGGCCATTTCCAAAAGGTCGAGGGGTACCATTGATACAGTGGTGGCACACTCGTCCCTTGTGATGACAACGATATGTGGGTTTTTAATCAAGATACCTTGTCTATCATGGCGTCATTATTGTTGGCCGATGCTGAGATGGTTTATATTGCACGAGATAGATCGTGGTAGCATACAGAAATGAAGCATCCAACGAACGAAAAACACTATACTGTATACTGTACTGTACCGTATTTGTCGTACCTGTGCACCGTGTAAACCGATTTCATTGTAAAATACTCTATTTGTATTGTGAATTCGATCAAAACTTCCAAAATTCGCGTGGGAATCACGCTGGAGTTGTGATTGGTTGAATATACTTGTCCTTTCTATAAGATGAGCCAATCAAATCCACTCAAATTGGATTCGCCAATAGCGTCGATTCGTGATTATTCGATTTGTACCGAATCCACAATGCAATAGGTACAACCACCTTTTTACATACCGTAACGTTAATACTTCAGTATGTTATTGTGCATTTCACTCAAAATTGACAATTTTGGTATTGTTCAAATCGTCAACTAATCGAGCAAAGGAGTATGATTGGCTAAAACGAATAGGTTTTGCATTATCATTGGCTAAAAGAATGAATATTGCAATGGGCTCCTCTTAAAGTTAGTTTTATATCTCAAATACATTATGAATATTGGAAAATCGAATCGACATTGGGTGGGTGGCCAATCGAATGAGCAACATGGCGGCGAATCAGCACACAAAAGTCCAAATTTTGGACAATACTACCAGGTACAGTCCTGCGGTACTAATTCGTTTTCACACTAATTGAAGTCACACTCTAATTTGACGTTGATGATTATTTCCTGATTGGCTAAATCCTTCGGTGCATGCAGTAAACACAATAACGTTAAGTACCAGTAGTATGGAGGCTAATTAGTGTGGTTTGAACCCCACAGTACTCTTATAGACACAACCATATTCATTATATTCATGTCGAGGGTTGCTGCCACAAGTGTGTGTGTTTTGAAGACGTTTCATGAAGTATGATTTCAAGTAGTTTTCATTCTAACAACCCCCATCACCATATATATATATATATATCGTCACGTGAGTTGTATATATCTACTACGGCTGGAGGCCGTACTCTTGGCGGCATCGCTTGACCACACCAATCAAAAACCCCGACCGGTTGCGCACCGTGTCCAGGTTGGCCATGGTAAACCGCTTCAGCACTTCAATCGCCAAGCTCTCCGACAGCTGCGCGAGAATTTCATAGCATTTTTCTCCCCACTCATCCACCGCCGTCATGACCCCCGTCGCCGCCATGTGCTGGAGCTGCGCTTGCACTTGGGGCGACAGGCCGCGGATGAGTTGGTCGTGCACGGGGCTCTGCGACCACTGCTGCTGTCCGCGCGAGTGATTCTGCGGCGGCGGCATCGACTCGCGCAACCGAGGAGCGCTCGACGAATAGTCCGAGTACCGGTCGTCTCCAAGGGGGGGCTGCATCATGCCAGAGGCGGCGGGCGGGGGACCTACAATAACCAGCAAGGGTGAAACTTTGGTTGTTCATACAACGGGGGGAACATGGAAAAATGAAATTTTTTTTTTATATATACATGAAAAAATATTTTTAAAAGTGCATAGCCAATTTATTTGGGGGTATTAAACACACAGCGGGGGAGAGGGGTAGAGGGGGGGTCCCAAATATTCATACCAAGGAACAAAGCAAAGTGAGAACCGACACGGATGAACATCGGGTTCAAGAAAGGGGGGGTACATCTCAAAATATGGTATCCCTTTTTAAATCGAAAAATATATAAAGAAAACATGCATATAGCCAAGTCACATGGGGGTATAAAACACACCACTTGGGAAAAGGAGGGAGGAGGGGGGGTCCCAAATAACTTCATATGAGGGTACATACAACGTGGATGATAATTAATGAAATGAAAGGGGCGACTCGGGGGGGGGGGCATAACCAACCACATACACAACCAAGCATACAGGGGAGGGACAAACAATTGGGGGGGGGGGTACCTCGATCGCGTTCGTACACGCGCGAGATGATGCCGACAAAGAAGCCGTGGATGTTGTCGACATGCGAGGCGTCCGTGTTGCCCAAGTTTTCCACCGCGCGGACCGCCAAGTGTTCTGGGAGTTTGACCAGGCGCGATAAGACCGAGTCGTTGAGCAGTTCGCGCACATGTCCCTTGGCATACAGAGCCTGAAGGGCGTCGCGGATGGATGGAGCCAACCGGTGGTACACCTCCGACCGGCGGAATTCATCCACGAGGTATTGCGTAGCCGACGATCCAAACGGCCGACTGCCCCCTCCTTGGGAGGGTGAAGTACCCGCCTGTTGGTGGTGCTGTTGCTGGTGGTGGTGGTGGGGGGGGGGGTATTGCCGAGGCGGGTGGTCCCTTTCCCCCTGGTACCCTGAATACGTCTGGTGTTGTTGGTACTGTCGTGGCTGTTGTTGCTCTTGTTGTTGGTGGTGGTGGTATTGGCGGTGTTCTGGGGACGGCTGGTACGACGATGCTGGGGTTTGCTGCTGGTATGATTGGCGGGAAGGTGGCTGCTGGTAAGACGTCGATGATGATGTAGGGGGTTGTCGCGAGTAGGGTTCGTGTTGGGATGGAGGAGCGTGGGATTGGCCGCGGGGGGCTTCTTGGTGATGAGGTTGGTACGTCGAGTGAGGCTGTTGTTGATGTGGTGGTGGATACCGTTGCTGCTGTTGCTGGTACGGGGCTTGTTGCTGCTGGTACGGCGAAGTCATCGGCGGGGCCAATTGGTGGGCTTGGTATCGCTCCTGGTACCGGACGTCGTCGTGGTGCGGCGGGGGTTGATGGGGCGCAAACGGACGACGACGGTCGCGGCTGCGGCTGCGGCTTCGATCTTGCGGAGGTCGTCGTACAGGCGACCGGCTCCGTCCCCCGCCTCGCGCCGGACCACCCCCGACATGGTAGCTCGGCTGGTTGCGGCCATCTGGGTAGGTTGGAGTGTGGCTGCCGCTGCTGCGGACGTGGGGCACCGACACGCGGTTCGTACTGGTCGCCGCAGCTGTCGTCTTGACTCGTCCAAACTCGTCCAACAAAAACTTGGCCTTGTGTTGCTGCAACTCTGCGACGAGGTTGTATGCTCGTCGAGGAGGATTTGCCACCATACCAGTGGACGGCTGAGGCGGCGCATAGCCATATGCAAAGTGCCCTTCCTAGTCGTCGTATTCAGCTGACGTTGTGTGTACCGCAATGATGTATATCTATCTACCTGCGCCGACTCTACTGCCGACAACACGGCCAGCTGCCGCACCGCGGGCTGCTCTTGTTCGTACTCTTGCAGAATCTGCAGCAACAGCGCATCCTTGTTGCGTGCTACGGATGGCGCGGCGGCCGCCCGCGTGAACCGAGACACTATGGCCAGCTGTCCAAACTCGGGGAACGTCGCGATGATATCGAGAGTCGACGGGTGCAGCTGCGACAAGGTAAACTCGGCCGAGGGTGTGTGCTCAAAGTCGAGCAACCGCGTCCACACCACGTCCGAGAGGCCGCCTCCCACCGACCCGTCTGCTGTCGGCCGTTTGCTTTGCGCGGCGGTGGTGCCGTCAGATGACGACGGGCGGACACTCCATCTACTGCTGCTGCTGCTGCTATCGAATGTAGTGCCCTTCGACAATGTAATAGCACCAACAGGGGTTTCCTCAACTGTCGTGGCGACTGCTTTCGATGGACGACCATCCACGGACGTGGTATTGGTACTGGGCGTGGGGTCCGATGCATTGCTGCTGCTGCGATTGTGTTTGCTGTCTGTAATCGCCTCTGCTTGTTTGTAAACCAATGCGTGCAATGATGTAGCTGCGGCCGTGGGGTTCTCGGTGGTGCTAGTGGTCGAACAGTGCGCTAGCTGCTGCGACTGCGGCGCTGGCAACACGGCATGATCGATGGACACGTCATTATGTTCACGGATACTCTGGTTGTCCACCTGGAGCGTCTTCGAGACGTCGTCGTCTGGTTGTCCCGCCGCCGCAGGCCGCAGGTCCACGGCATCGACGGCATTCAAGGGTCCGTCTCCTTGGCCCTATACTCCATATGAACAAACATATCATCATGAGATATGAAACCCACGGTAGATTGCAACGGATGACCATGCACCTGGGCAAGAAGGGTGGCTACGGGGAGGATCTGGTCGGAGTCTGGCGCTTTGACATCGGGGTGGCCTTCGTCCGTGTCGTCCAAAAGAAGGAGTGACGGCGGTCCGTCCGCGCCTTCGCTCGCCGTCGTGCTCCATGCGTCAATGGCTTCGGCAGACGATACCGACGGGGACGTGCCCCCTACGACGCTGGGACCAAACGCGTCCCCCGCGGAACCAGTGGAGGATGCGGTGGTGGTCGTTTCCCCATGATGCGGTTCGTCTTCGTGGTGGTTGTCGCTGTCCGAGGTCACGGGTTCGAACGGATCCATGTCGGAAGCGGTCGTCGTCGACTCGGGGACAATGGCAAGTGGGTCGTGGTCTGTACTCGTGTCATCAACGACATCGTCCTCGCGCGAGAACTCGGTCGATGGAGGAGCGGCGTCGTCATGTGGGACCACAGCTTCGAAAGCAGGTTCCGTGGGGGAGACCTGTCCTGCATCGTCGTTGACAGGACCAACCTCCCCTTGTGCTGCCGCTTCAAATTCCACTCCATGTGCCAGTTCCACTTCACCCTGCGGATGCGTGCCGTCCATGTCGTTGCCCTCGAACACGTTTGATGCTGCAACAGTGTTGTCGTGTGCTGGTGGAGTATCGCCAGTTGGAACGGCGTCACCTTCGTCAACGCGCGGCTTCTTGACGACTTTGATGTCATCAAAGTCATCGTCGTCATCATCCTCGTCCTCGTCTATGGCATCTTCGAGGGTACGCTTCGATGTCGTCGACGGGCCCTCCTGCTGCTGCGGTGCCTGCATATGCTCCAAGGGTGCGGTCGGTTCGTCCTCCATCGTGGTTGAAAACTGCGGCACCAGGAACTGCCATAACTTATTAAGTACGATCCGATAAAGTGCATACAAGATAAGACCACTACTGGTAGTGCTTTATTTATTTCGAGAGGTATTTCTATCACTATTTACCTGTGAAGCTTAAAGACCAAGAATGCATTTCACAAGGTTATTCAACATATGCAATTAAAGAGGTCACCTCAATGAAAAGGTTTTGTAATCGAAAAAGCGCCAACATGCTTCGACACAAGCGTCGCCGACTGCTGTCAAGTGACGGTGGTTCTCGAAGCATTGAGAGCGGCGAAGAACCATTGGACACGCTTCATGATCATGCTGTAAGTATGCTCGATCGCAAAACTTATATTCATGGCATGCCATAGGTGAACGATGATGCCGTCATGGACGACACGCTTGCAGCGATCCATGTGCTACTCAGTCGATACCATGCAGAGTTTGCTTCTGTGGGCTTGCCATCTCTCGTGCTATGGCACCAAATGTACGTGTTCAATATCGTGTTTGTACCTTTCATGTAGTGTCACATGCTGCAGCTACTGTCTCGTGGACAATCGCACTGCCGTCGACCAAAGCGTACGTCATAACTAACACACATATCACCACCACCCCACGACCATGTTCTAAGTTCCACACAGATCCAACGCATGCGAACCAACGGGTTGATCTTGACTTTGCGCATTTCCCTTCCAGGTACATTGTACCCACATGTGAGCCCACACATTGTATCAAGGTGGTGCTGTCCGTAGGTCCGCACGCCACCGCCATCATGTTAACGTCAGACTACATTGCGTTTATGCTGCAATACACCAAACAACACCGTGCCACGCGTATCTTTGCCAAAGTGCTTCGTCAACTCACAAAGGTACCACCAGTTTCCATGAATCTCATCCCAATGCCATCATCATGATCGTCATCGCTTGACATTGTCGTCACCAGTCGCCTGTCGTCGCCGCCACAGCCTTTATGGACGCCGTCCAAGCGCTCTTTCGATCGCGGAACCGGCCGCCACCGCCTACCTCAATGCTGGACCTCGACCTCACGTACCCCACCCGCCAACGTTCGTGGCAAAATCAGAGAGGGTATATGTGTGTAGCCATCTCGTTCAACGCGGATTTTTGGTGGCAACGACCAACCTTGAAGTGAAGCAGTTTTATTTTTCGTTGCCCCGCCTCGGCATGATCATCACGGGCGTCGCCCGCGCCCGCTCCGCACTCACGAGTTTGCTCAAGGTGGGCGAAATGACACTTCCCAACCTCCTCCTTTTATGAAGGATAAGAGGGAGGGGGACTGATGATCTTGTGTTCATCTCCCGTGTGTAGCGCCAGCCGTACAAACAAATGCTCGAAGTGGACATGCGCAAGAAGAAGCTCACGTGTTCGTGTCTGAGCATGGACTTTCACATCCTAGACATGGCGGGCGCCGCCCTCGTTGGCCGCGTGCCGTCGTCGCAAACGTTCGTGCTCACGCTCAACATCATGGACGACGACGGCACGACCCGTTGACGTGGGTAGTACTTGTCTACTGCTTACTACCCATGTGACTGGTTGGAGGTTGGTAACGTTAACAGTTAAACTACATTCGGACAATGTACTTCTAGTAGTCGTTTGTGCTGTTTCTACAGCGACTTGTGTATATATTTTTTGACCGTCGACCCCATTTTCGAAACCGAGACGACGCCTACAGTAATAGACATTTGATATCGTTTTTACTACGTCCAACTGATGTGGGCTGTTGGGATCATGGGGGGTTCTAGTTGTCATCAGTTGAATTGTAGTTGCCAGGTCATCGTAGCTGTTGTCGTGGAGCGAAGCCGACCTCCTGGCCGAGAACATCGTGAGCGGCGCTGTAGAGTTGCCACAGAGGCTCTTCTTGGTGTACTGTGAAATTCATCGAGTTCATGGGCAATTTCATCCACGGAATCAATGAATATATATATTCGTAGCCAGTTGGATAAAGAGCACACACATCCCATCGACTATATATACCGATGCAAACAGTAAATGGCGTTGGAGCGATGGTACGACGCAGCTATGAAGGTACACATAGCACCAACTAGCCCTTGCACCGGTCGGTGGCTTCATTTGAGCGCGTGGGTATCGTGTTGCGACATGGATGGGGTTCCCTTGTCCAGCTTACGAGTGACACTCGTACATTTCCAAACCAGTGTTAGATAACCTAGTCTCCAAAGTACCGATACCATTGCTCGTCCATAGTAACGACGCAAAGTGTAGATCGTACTCATTTTGTAATATGTGTCCAATGATCGTATCGGCTTCTATAGTAGAAATGTCAACTTGAGGACTGTACGTATAGCTAGCTAGATGTTGATACGTATATAATAGCTACATATCAAGGCCATGTTAGAACCACCGACCTTGTCTCGATTCCACCATCGAAACCTCCAACAAAGTCCATTTTAATCATGAACACTTTAACACATTTCTTCTTTTCTTTTCGAGTGTATATATATATATATATATATATATATATTGTGAAGTCGCTATAAACTTTTAAAATTCGCCTTGTTTGTCGAATCAATATTGAATCGCGCCGAGTTCTGATTGGTTGAATCCTTTCTGCAAGAGCCAATCAAATCCACTCAAAAATGGATTAGCCAATAGCGTCGATCATTCGTGAAGATTCGATTCACCGGCGAGATCATTGGATTATTCGACGGGGTCTGGAAATTATTCGTATCGAATATACCACAATATATATATATATATCCCTTCATTATTCCAGCATCGTGGGCGGGGGTCGCGCCGTTCCAAACGGCAACGTGATGCGGTCTTGGATCTTTCCCCACGGCGCCATCGTCACAAACTCTTCAGACGCGGTGGGATGGATGGCCACGATGTTGTCCAGGTCCGACTTGTACGCGCCCATCTTGACGGCGACGCCGAACCCCTGAATCATCTCGTCTGCCCCCATGCCCGCGACATGCATACCCACGACCGTCTCTTCCTTGCCCACGCAAATCAACTTCATCGCAGTCTTGGGCTTGTTTTCAGGGGCCAACATCGAGTAAAACAGGTTCACGAACGACGACGTGTACACTTTGACGTTGGACGGGCCAAACTTGGCGACTGCGTCCGGCTCAGTGTACCCGACGGTGCCGATGGGGGGATGGCTGAACACGACCGTGGGAATCTGGTGGTAGTGGAGGCACGCGTCGGGCTAAACAATCCGATTCGAATCAGACACCACCAAAAACAAACGGCATCACAGTTTGAATCAGATATATATATATACCCAAAAATGTGTGTCAATTTTGGGAATTTGTTGAAATAATCACTGGGAAATCGAGCAAAGCAGTATGATTGGATAAAAATAACACACGTTGGATTGGCTAAAACGAATGAAAAGATTCAGAAATGGTATTGTGCTTTCGAGTGAAATTTCATTGTGTTGTGGTTTCTCGTTGGAATTTAAATCGATTTGATTGGCTACTTCAGATGAGCTCAAAATCAATAGCCAATCAAAACCCATTTCTCAATGAAATTCAACCAATCAGATCGATTGTTGGGTCGGTTTGGTTGGCGCGATTCGATTGCACCCCCTCCCCAAATTTGTATCAAATCGACAATAGATTGTACGAATATATTTCGCAGGTATAGCGATTGTTGGGTGGTGGTTCATTCAACTAACCACCGCCCGAGGAAATCGTGAGTAGAATACAACACACAATACCATCCAAAGTAAACGGCGTCACAGATTTCGAATCAGAGCGGCGGCCCAGACTCAGATATAAACACGCTACAACAATGACACTGATTGATCATCATGACTCTAACCTTTCTAACACAAGTGTACTCAATGAGCAGACTAACCAAATCGGCAGACAATCGATGATCGACCAATGAAAACCCAGAACAAGAATCAAATAGCCAATCCAATTATCCTCTCTTACCAACCATAATACAACATTGAATTCGTATGTGACTGAAATTAGTGTATGCAGGGCGACACGTTTGACACACACAAAACTCAGCACTAGAAATCGATCGATGGATAGCACAAAAATCCACATTTTGGAAACTGAAAGCACACCATACCTCGCCGCCAAACAACCGATCGGCCAACCGACGGCCAGCTGCAATTGCCACCGGCGTGAGCTCCCACCCGGTATTCGTGACATCCCCAATCGCATACACCCCAGGCACACTAGTGTTTTCTTGCCCGTCCACTTCAATGAACCCTTTCTCGTTTCGGATAATCGTCGTGTGCTCCATGAATCCGGACGTTCGCGGCGTGCGTCCAACGGCCATCACGATCGCGTCAAAGCCTCGGAATGCGTGGTGGGTCGTGGAGTGTCCATCTTCAGTGGTTAGGGTCGCTTCGATGGTCAACGTACCGTCAGGTTCCTTTCGGATGGACTGGACGCCTGAGTGGGGTACAAACTGGACGCCCGATCTGCATTTACAGTTAATATAATTTTTGTGGTCCATTTGGAGTATTGTGGATTATTCGGTACAGATTTCCAGAAGTCAAGTTTGGAAGGTTATAGCGAATTTACAATATTTATGTTTGATAAAACACAAGAGAGAGGTTGGTTTGGTCTTCTTACCGCCGCATTTCGTCGTTGACGAGGTCCCGCACCAACGGATCGAATGTGCGAAGCACTTGGCGACCGCGGCAAAAGACGACGGTTTCCGACTGCAACGCATTGAATATGCCAGCCAGTTCCACGGCGATGTAGCCTGCGCCGATCACCGCCACCTTCTTCGGCTGTGTCTCCAAGCCAAAGAACCCATCCGACGAGATAGCATGTTCGATGCCCGGAATCGACGGCAGCTGCGGCACCCCACCCACGGCCACGAGGATGTGCGGCGCAGTGAACGTAGCGCCATCCACGGCGATCGTGTGGTTGTCCACGAACGACGCGCGTCCAGACACAAGCGTGATGTTGTCCTTTGCCAAGTTGCGCTCGTAAATGCCGTGGAGCCGCGCCACGTACGAGTCGCGCTTCGTTTTCATGGTGGCCCAATCGAACGAACCAAACCCGACGTCTTGTACCCCTTTGAACGCGTACGCCTTGGCGGAATGGAGAATTTCGGCGTGGAAGGCGGCGTTGTACATGACCTTCTTTGGCACGCAACCAACGTTCACGCAGGTGCCTCCCAACCCTGCTCCGCCTTGCTCGCGTCCTCGCTCAATCACCAGCACGTTGGCACCGTAGCTTGCGGCGCGACGGGCCGACGAGATCCCGCCGGACCCGCCGCCAAGGACGATGTAATCATACGAAGTTGTCGACATCCCGCGCACACGTCCAAGTAGTGACAAGAATGTTGTTGTGCTACGGCAACCTGTTCGCTGGAACATGCAAGCTGGCCTCGTCAGTTGTTGATCTTCGTTCGAGTGCGACTATAATTTTCATCGAGTACGATACATAATGCCAATGCGTCCGTCGTTTTGATTGGCCAATTACTTGGTCTCAACAAGACAAGGATTTTAGTAATATTTTTTAGTATTAATAATCGTTGAAGGCAGGATTTTTTATAATCACGTTATAATTTCAATATAGGAATTTTCTGCTCGTCGTGGATTTTGAAACGCAAATTTATATTCTTTTGTATTTTAATTCGCTTGCTTTTACAGTTAGAATCCGAAATGCATTCATTCTGATCTGTACAGTACTCGGACCAACTTCAAGTTGCGTTTGTGTTGTAATAGTAAAAGCACCTAGCGAGGTGCTTTTGATTGACTGCCCCTACTGAATATTTATCCAATCCTGGCAACCCCACCACAAAGTATCTGAGGTCGATAGCCTCCACCACTGCGCTGTTAAGCCTAACAAGAAGCTAGCTTATTATGCATGTGAGCGATCTACTTAGAGTTAACATCGTTGTGCAGTCTCTTCCTAGCGCTAGTAATAGAACACAAGCCACCGATGTTCATGAGGCGACATGTTTGCTTCACCTTCTACCGCAGCAATTATCTTCGAGTTGTTTTGATGGGTTAAATTATTATCCACATGCTTGCAATGTTTCGATCCTGATTGGCTAGACAATTCATTTTGACCAATCATACTCTTTCAAAATTCGCGTGGTTTTGGAGACCTTTTCACTAACTGTAACAAAATGGTGTGCTGGTCACAAATTTCACCGAGGCATGCATATCGTTTCGTTGGCTGAACTTTACAATCGAATTATCCTACACTTATATGGGTGCAAGTCGAAGACTAAAAGTGTAGGTGCAGCGCAGTTATTATCAAGGTTACACGATGTGCAAGGGCAGGGTGCTTTCGACTGGCAAGGTCGGAACGTCGTCGTGGCGGACTCGGCCAAACGCCAGCACATAAAATACCACAAGCAGACAGTGTACCATAGTAATACCCCCAAACCACCACGTAGTTGTGTGGGTACTCGTCCCTTGCAACAAGAACGTCACGACCTATGTCCACCCAAGTTAGTTATATATTTATTACTTTGTCCACTGTTGTATCGTGATATACCGTTTCCAAGACGGCAGCCCCCAACGCGACCAGGGCAAATTGTTTGGCATATTCGTTCGTCGTGCATTGTTTGGCCAATTCCGCACTCACCTACAAATATATATATATATATATATAATGCATATATGATGATGTCGAAAAAATGAGCTCTAAAATATATTATAGATATATTGGCAGCAGTCTCCTAGTATATAGAAAACGACATATATTTAACATACCGTTGTGATCAGCGCATAGTACGCGCATCCGTACAAAACGTAGCTCACATACGACGACGTGAGCGTTGGAGCTACCGTTTGGCTGAATGACAGTAACAACAGCACGATCCCTCCGCAAAAGAGAAACCATTGCAGTCCCTAGAAAAAATTATATATATATATATATATATATATATATATATATCGTCCATGTCATCGAACGATATAATATTATTTTCTATGTTGTAGCAAGACAAAACACACACCAGAAACACAACAAACTCACCTTGGGGTTCGACCGTCGATCCGAGCACGCCAACAACCACGACACGATGGCCCCACTGGCGGTATATAGCGCCGTGGCAAGTCCGTTGGACGTATCTTGGACTAGTAGCAGTAGTCGTGGTGAGTTATTTGTCCATCGAGGGACCTTTCTACTATACCATGAAAGCTCGTCCATTGGTTTTGAATGTAGTTGACCACAAGGCTCTCGCAGCACTTGAACGCGATCCAGCTCACGGCCAGGACGTTGGTCCACCGCCAAGTCCGCGCTCGCTCGGCCAGCCGCGCCCGCTTCAGCCGCCGGGCCTGGATGGCTTGGTTGGATGACGGAGGATGGTGGCTGGAGAACGTCGCGGGGGTCGCCGCACTCGTGGTGGACAGCAGTAGGTCGGCATGTTCAGGCACGTAGAGTGCCACCACGAACGCCACGCACACGTTGGCGAGGGAAATGTAGTTGAGCAGCCACAGACTAGCATGGAAGGAGACGAGGATTTGGCCGAGGACGCCCGCGGCGAACTGTCCGCCAAGCGACGCCGCCCACACCACAGCCGTCGCGCGATGGTACTCTTCCTGCTTGACTTCTCGGTAGATCATGCACAAGTACACGACTTTGCTGGCCGTGCCAACGGCGTACGTCACTTGCATGGCTATATAGGCACACAAGAGTGTTGTTGGTATATTTTAAGTTTGGACGACCAAGGGTTGATGACCTTGCATCCAAAACAGCGACGTGGCCCAGAGAAGCAAGAGGCGCGTGAAGAGAAAGCCCACGGACTCGATGAGCAGCACCGTGCGGTATTGAAAGCGCTCGACGAAGAGCGGCATCGCCACGAGCATGAGCATTTGGCCGTATGTGAACCACGGGTAGATGTCGTCATTTGTGACTTGGTTGGAGAAGCCTAGGACATGGGCTCGTCATGCGGCTGTCGTCAGTCGACAGGGGAGATGTATGTACCCTTTTCACTGGTCAAGAAAGTGTTGAGGTACGCCTCGGATGGCTTGAGTTCGATGAAAAACCCATACAGACACAATCGAAAGAGCATCGACGTCGCGGCCGAGCGATGACTCGTGTCGTCGTCGCGATCCTGGGAAACCTCCACAGGCGCATACTGAGCGCTTTTTTGGTAGTACTCGGCCATGGATTGCGACGACGACATCGTGTGGGCTGGCTTGGGAGGCACCACGGACGGCGGCGCAACGGGCATGATCAATCGTCAGGCACGCAATGCAATGAAATGCAGACGACGAGGCAACCATCCCTGGTCTGTGATTGGTTGAAATTGAAGCATATCATATTCTATGGAGGTAATACGCCCCTTACAAAGTTCAAATATGGTGCTTGGCCAATATCTCACCACGATTCAATCTCACCGTGGTCAATATATATTTGAAAATCGCAACCACAGACCACCCTATATTTAGTCGCGACGTTTCAAGTTCAGCTTTGCTGAGGACACGCATCAGGCTCGAAATCGAGTTGTTCGAGGTACCTGGGCCATCACGGCGCTGCCTTCACCGCGCGACAGTGCTGAGAGAGCTACTAGTATCCCATGGAGACGCGGCATCTCTACGAGGTCAAGTCCCTTCGAGCTTCACGCCTCAACATTGCGAAGCGGCCCAAGTCCGCGCATATTTCCCATCGAGGCGAGCTGGTCCTAGGCTTGTCTCCACGAGCTAACCGAGCCAACTATGGCGTGAACGACTCGCCGACAAAGTACCATCCCGACACACGACACCGCGTAGTCCAGCGGTACTGCGTATTGGACCACACAACCGTTTCCGCCGTTCCCCTTCCCCCCGAAGAGGACACGTCGATGGTCCGTGACAGCTTCAAGTGCAAAGTTACAAGGGCAGGCAATTTGCTGCCCCGCCAACCCAGCGTGAAGACCCTCCGGCAACAATCGTCGGTGAAAACCCTCCAGCAGCCGCCATCCATCCCAACTCTAGATCCCCCGACGATCGCACCTACAAGCAACACACCCACCGTCGCAGCGGAACCCAACCTTATCGCACATGCACAGCACGCCCACACAACTGACCTTGACGACGACACCGTACGGGGCGACGAGAAAGAGGATCAGGCTGCCGACACCGCCGCTCCTCGACACCGGGGGGCGTGGACGGAACCCCCGCCGCCTTCCAAAGACCTACGAATCAACGACACCCCCAATCGAAACAACGACGCAGCGACATGCGTTATGACCAAACCCACCCCCACCGCGTCGCTGTGCCTGTCGGCGTATCAGGCTCGAAAACAAGCGGAAGAGTGTGCCCGACGCCTCGCAAACCGCCTCAGTTTTCTCAATGTAAGTTCGCTCACTTGAATGTCTGAATTCAGTCTTGTTCAAGATTGTACGCTCTTTGCCGTGGTAGATGGAAAAAGCTCGAGCCGAGCAAGAGGCGGAGCGTCTACACATTGAATTCTACCGCGAACAAGACGCCAAAATTGCGTTCGAGCGCCAAAAACTCGAGCGCGCGGCCCGCGTGGATCAAGAGCGCCAGCGTGTGGCCGCCAAGCATTCCCAGGCCGTGGCTGTGCAGTTGCAGAATCGATCCAACGTCCAAGTACGACATGTTCATGTGTGTATTTCCAACCTGATTGCCGCAATAATGTGGACTCGGCATAGCAACAAGCACTCAACTTGGCCCAGCAAAAGCGACTCGCGGCACTTCGCATAAAGCAGCAGCAAAAGGTCTACTATATCTTTGTTTTCAGCCATATATTTATTGCCTTTTACCCCAAATTTGGTTGACTTTTGTGCTGATTCGCCAAATCTATCGATCGATTTTTTGTCCTGACTTTTGGATGCAATGATCATCCAGTTATCACACGATTTCAGTCACATACACTAATTCGATGATGACTTGGTCGAAGAGTGGATAATTTGATTGGCCACTTGATTCGTGTTCTGGGTTTTGATTGGTCGTATATCGATTGTCTGCCGATTTGGTATTCGATTGAGCCCCTCCAATTTCGAATATACTGTATCGACTTGACAATACTATTACCATTATTGAAATCGACGTTGTTATTTTTTTATTCGTAAAGGAACTGGAAGAGGACAAGAAAGCTAGGGACGCGTGCATGATGCAAGCCAAACTCAAAGCGAAACACAACGTGCTGTGTCAGCACGAGCGCACCAAGCGCCAGCGCCAACTCCGGGAGGTATTGTCCCCAAGATTTGGACTTTTGTGCTGAAATGTCAAATCTATCGATTGATTCTTTGTACTGAATTTTGGAAAGTGTTGTCCTGTGGTGTGATTATTGGTATCACACTAAATGAAGTCACACACTAATTCGATGTTGGTGATGGTTTCCTGCGATCTGGTTGGCTGCTCAATCTTTCTGCCGATGATTCTTTCTTCTGTATTTGGTTGTGTCGTCGATTCATTCATTCTGCATGTCGCTGCTCCAGTTTAGAATATAAACACATATAAACAATATCGCAGTTCATGGTTGGACAATTTGGTTTGGGGAGTGAAAATATAATCTAAATATGGGTGGCTGTGGCTGCCATTCCGTAGCGGCAAAACCGAGAGCGCCTCGAGCTAGCCCAATCCGAACGCCTGCGGAAAGAAGTCGAGCGCGAGAAGATGGCCAAACACTTGGTTGCCAAAATGCAAGCGCAGGAAACGTCGCTGAAAACCATGCTCGAGTTTCAAGAACACCAGCAACGCATCGATATGCAGCGCTGCTTTGACATGGACTCGTACGCGATGCCCGACGAAATGACACCGTCATGATACTCTACCCCGCCCCCTTATTTAATCACACACTGTCCGTTCCATCCAGTCCCCAACAATCTCAGGCACGCCGTTAGTTATAACATAGGATAGCCCGTCTCGGTCGAAATAATGTATTGGACGCTCGCTGGAAGAGCCTTCAATATAACGTTCTGGGGGAATAAATAGTATTGGATCAAGTCTTATCAACGTTACCAGTGTGTTGTGTATCGATGCCAGAGTATTTAATGGTCTGGTAAAACCAGCAAACCGCACAACACAAGACCATCTGTGCACGATTGCTACCTTTGCTAGCTTTAGTGCCCAAGGGTGTAGTGATTACTCCGGAGTATTTACGTAGCCACGATGGGAGTGAAATTAAAACTTTCGGATTGAAGACACAATCTATATTGTGAATTCGCTATAAACTTCCAAAATTCGCCTGGTTTTGTCTACTCAATATTGAATAATCACGCCAGAGTTTTTGATTGGTTGAATGTACTTGTCTTTTCGAGCCAATCAAATCCACTCAAAAATGGATTAGCCAATAGCGTCGATGATTCGTGATTGGATTCACTGGTGAGATCATTCGATTTCGTATCGAATATACCACAATAATGCCACCATACCATTTAACCACGAACGTCTAACTACTGTTACTTCAAAATCCTTTTGCTGCAATCGACAACATTCATATACCTACTATATGTGCAGGTTTACGTTCCCAAGGTGGGCAATACGACTACCACCTAGGGTTCTATCGATGTGGGATACAGTACTGTACATACAGTTTACGTACAGTAGATTAACCACGTCGAACATTTTTACGATCCTATTATTCTCATAATAAAGACATGATGGAAGCCACCTAGCCAGACAGCCAGCCAGCCCTCCACAACACCAATCACAGTTCACTTCCCACCAAATACAATGGGCAACAACTGGACTTTATATTTTTTTATTCGTTCTCTATCACAGGGACATCATTTCGTAGAGCAACATGTACGCTTTGGCCCGTCGGACGTCGGCTACGGACACGTCGACAACGTGCTCGTCTGAGATGTGGACCCAATGCGACGACGTGACTCGGCGGTAGCACGTGTAGTGACCTCCCCGTTCGTTGCCATGGTGAACCACCACCGCCACCAGCGCATACGAGATCGGTTCCTACGCATCCTGTTATTACAAGACATCTCGATGATCCTCCTATATTCATTCAACCTTCATCTACATACAAGGAATCTATCAACCCATGGAGGTAGTAGTAGGGGTAGGAATTTCAACACAGGACATTTGACATACAAATGTACACTTGGCTATTGTGAATTCACTATAACGTTCCAAACTTCGCCTGGTGTGTCTAATCAGTATTGAATCACGCGGGAGTTCTGATTGGTTGAATATACTTGTCCTTGCTGTAAGAGCCAATCAAATCCACTCAAAAAAATAGATTAGCCAATAGCGTCGATTCGATTGGACATAGGGGTCTGGAAATTCGTATCGAATCGACAATATTAAGCCCATCAATAACATATATACCCAATGACCATGTCAATAGTATTCCAAAAATGGTGATATATATATAGCCAAATCTGTCCATCAACATGATATTTCCACATATGGAGATCGTACGCTCCTACACAAATATATGGAGGGGCGTAAGTCGTACACAGTGCCGAACCAGCGGTGCCGTGAGCCGCAACCTGTCGTCGAATGCCAGATGGACGTCCAGCTTGACGACCGTGTCGCTCACGTAGACATTTCGGTTGATGTGAAACAGCAGCACCCGCGGAGGTCGCACCAGTTCGACGTGTCGCAGGAATGTCGCGTGTGTCCGGGCAATGTCGAGGGGATCTGTGACACCGTTTGTCTCCCACACGACACGTTGGTCTGGCGTCCAGCAGTGCGGATCGTCCAAGTCGATGTCGCATACGCCGCTGCTCCTGCTCTGCTCCACCCGCTTTGCCAGCATATCTATCCATTCTTTCAGTTCACGTACATTGTGTACATGGACGAGATGCACATATGTATGTACCTCGTAGTTGGGCTCGGCAATACAAATCATACACGGAATAGTTAGATGACGAACGATGTCGGCCGTCGTCGTTCTTGTCACCACACAAGTCAACAGGCGTCGATGTGGTCGCAAGGGTGTCCAGTTTACGATCCAGGTCCTCAACGTATTGCACCAGTGTGCAGTGCGAGCACTCCACCCCTGCATATATTCAAAAGGACTCGGTGACGACGACATTGGGATGACCATAGCAATCGAATGGACCTTCGATGCGTTCTTGGCTCGTGTAATGCAACAGCGACTCGCGAAGGGTGCCGAACGGCCGCTGGCCATCCATGAACGGACACAGCGACAGCTTGAGGTCGAGAAAGTAGTCGGTGGAGATGGGTTTCGCCTTCTGGCAGACATTGCACTCCTACACTCGCCCCACATCAACCTCATGGAGCACGACAGCACAAACTACACCAGGAGGTTGCCCGTGAGGCCATAGAACGGATGGATCGGAGCCGACGTCCCGTCGGCGGTGAACGGCGCGCGGGCGGGGAGTAGCGTCGACAACGAGCATGTGTCGGGTTTGGACTGGTTGATCTCTTTCTCGAGTTTCTCCATGATGAACTGGAACCCTTCCTCGGCATCCTAATGGGGCAACTAACATGCGTCCAAGGTCGAGCCGACGCGTACCTGTTGGTGCATGCCACGGAACATGGACGTGTCTTCCGACAGCATGCAATTGAGATCTCGAGGCACGACGGAACGAATGTACTTTCGAGGCTGGGGCGACAGGTCTACGCCAAAGTGCATGATACTACCATGGGGCGGAGGGGCAATGGGTACCTGACAGGCATTGCTGGAGCACCGCAGCGAAAGGCCGTTGCTCAGAGGCGGCCTCTCCGGCGTCGATGAGCCCTGCTACGTACTCTTGAAAGAACTGGGATGCAGCCAGTGCCTGCAGGACTGCATTGAAGTAGCACGTGTTGCCAAGGTTCCGAAGGCCGGGAACAGTGACATCGGCCATGTCCTCGTTAAACTGGGGTCAATCACACTATTTATGTGAACTTGAAATAGGGTGATTTAGTGTAAGTTTATATTGAACCTTCGCTTTATGGAACGACATTTAAATGTTCACAGGTTCGTTTATGACTTTGACTACATTTAAAAAAATGAAGTCAATGTCAAAAACGAACCTGTGAATAAGGACATACCGTGCAGCGTATACAGGTTTAGACAGCCATATAGATTTGGACTCATCTATAAAATTATATAGTTGGATTATTACACTTGATTATTGTATGCATGTGGTAATGGAAACTATCCGTATCCAGATAATTGGCCCCAATCTATATACGGTACTTCGAAGTATTCTATAAATTCGAGAATTTCTGAAAACTCGACAATATTTCAGAAATTCTCCAATCTGACAATGGCCTTCCACGACGACGAAAGCAAGTAGGATCTGCGCATATATTTCAATACAATGTAATTCAAACGACCAACAATTCTATCCTTTTTCCCCTTTGAAAAGTAATACCAAACCTTGCTATTTGTATGCAAGAATACCAAGCTATTTGTATGCCAGAATTGGAATGTTCACTACACAACACCTTGAGAGCACGGTAGAAGCGCGCGCACACAAGGCTTCCGCGGCCAAAGCAGTCGACTGTACCGGTACTATGACGGCGAACTTCGATTCCGACGATTACTACGAGAACCTGGGTGTTCAACGCGAGGCGACGGAAGTCGAGATCAAAGCTGCGTACGTCCTCCGTTCAGGAGGAGGCTGCACTCCATGCTCATCTTGGTCGTCCTTCATGTCGCTATTTGTGTAGCTACCGCAAGTTGGCGATCAAGTACCACCCGGACAAGAATCTGCTCAACATTCAAGCCACCGAGAAGAAGTTTAAGATTGTCGGGGAAGCGTACAATGTCTTGTCCGACCCCAAGACGCGACGCACATGTACACGTGTTGTTGCCGTGGTGATCTGATTGCCTGACTTGGTTGATGTAGACGACGAGTTTGGGAAAGCAGGGATCGAATCCCATGCGCAGCCTGTGACGATGGACATGGCGATGGAGATCTTTGAAGAGTTTTATCGCTTTGGCGAGGCTATGAACCCCAATGCGCCCGCAGGTATGGTCGACAGCCGCCCCTTTTTCATTCTAGGTTACACCATGAACCTCATATCGTTCGATAGCGTCCAAAGGCATCAAGCGCGTGGCTGTAGGAATGCTCTATGCTCCTGCGAAAGGCATTCTGTACGGCGGCCGAGCCATCTTGGGAGGGGTAGTTGTCGGAACTACCGCCGTCGCCGTCGGCTTAAGCGGCATGGCCGTGAGCATTGGTATGGGCGTCAAGGAGATGGGGGAAGCGAGCATCAACTGCGCTTCCAAGTCATCCCGCGAACGTCGACGGAGCGCCGCCCAGTCGGAAAGCAACCGCCGCTCCAGCAGTGCGTCCGAGCACTCGACGCCACCACCGACCATCCCGGCGCCTCACATGGCCGCGGGTAGGAATATATATATATATCCATCCTGTGACTAAATCTCAACCAGCCGACGAACAAGAAAACCATATCCCGACCTTCATGGGAGGTTTGAAGAAGGCGACTGTGAGCGCCGTGGCCATTCCCTTGGCGGTAAATACTTCAGCATTGAACTTGCCTAATCGATCTCCCTTGTACTTCTACTATATGCCAGTCTCACACTATGGATATGTTTGTTTAGGCTGTGTTTAGCGGCGGTGCATTCATCTTCGGAGGCACTTTACTCGCGGGGGGGTACTTGGTGGGCGGGATAGCCGGGGCCATTCACAACATTTCGTCCGGCGTGCGGGAAATCAAAGCAGCGTCTAAGCAACAACACAATCAATCGACGCATGATTGCCGAGCTTCGACGCCGGTTGCCGACGCTGCCAGTACCGACTACCATCGCCCCCTCCATACTGAAACCAAGTCATGAGATCATATCAAGAGCGCGTGGTTGCACGCACGGGTGTGTGCGTGCGTACATCGCAGCGTGTTTTACGATTCCCTGGTATCGAGTAACTTATAACGATTTATGTGACCAGAGTTGCATGTCGAGGTACTACTGGATCGCTACCCCCAAACGATTCCCATCTCGAAGTACTATGCCATCGTTCGGTAGGTTACCCTGCAGAGATAGTATCATGTACAGCACCAGTAAATGTCCACGATCAATTCCCAGGCCCTAACACTACGAAAGTGACCACCACTTATAAGTCGAACGGCAGAGTTTAGAATCACTTAAAAGCTTCAATAATCCATCGACTAGCTCTAAACCCCTTGAACGAGACGACGAGTTTGACAAGAAAGCCCCTCGCGGAACTTCCTCCATGGTGGCCATTGACCTTGCACTGGGCTGTGCATATCTTGAGATGCAAACTTGATATGGCGATGCCCAATGATACCATTTCTGTTCCCCCTGGCTGAATCGAAGTCGCCCTACATGTACCTCCAGTATCATGGCACGAGCAACTGCCAGTGCAATGTATGGGGGGTGGCATCCTCGGGGGGGGGGCTTTGCATGGCGGCGTTTTTGCGGGCCCGACGGCCGTCGGTATGGTCCAACGTCGGATTGCAAAAAGCCACCATCGTTGTCGACCCGATCGCCTTGCCTGATGCAGATCGTTGATACCACTGTACATATACAGTAAGGACCGAATATCGCTTTGACATAAGAGGGTGCCAATTGCCCCTTCAATTTACAGTAACACCACCCCCAAATACGATGCTCATCACGATCGAGGGGGTGACAGACAGTTGGTTGTTGTCAGTGGTGTGATGGCCACTGCAATGGTTGGCATGAACCATTATGTCGTACCTGGGAATTCGCATATCGGCAGAGTGGCGAGAGTCAAGTCCTATGAACGCCTACAGGCAAAACCCGTCCGGAATCACAACAGAATAACTCTGATGGTCCCCGCATCAACCAGCAAGTACTACTACTACTACTAGTAGTAGTACTACAGTGCCTAAACAGCATAACGTTACTCGGAGTAATTACGTTCACGTTAGTAATACTAGAAGCAACATGTTTGGGGGCGTGTATAGCTTTGTGTTGTCGGCTTGTATCATTATAGTCGTGTGGTGCGCAGTCACCGAAACAGTTGCATGGATGTACATAGGTATGTAAGAAGTGGCCAAATTGCAAAGTCAAATGCAACAGCTCTATGATATATTCCCACTCTAATTCGAGGTACGCTACACAGTCGCGAGTGAAAACTTGACGCCCGGCCCCCCCAACACTGTTTCCACGCACGTAAACCCGTGCTTGGCCAAGTCGGCTTTGAGAGCCGCCACCGCGCCTTCGTCCGTGTCGTCGGGGATGAACGTGATGGTGCACCCGCCACCGCCCGCGCCCGTAAGTTTCGTGGGCAAAAGGGGGTTTGCCAGATTCACGACCGTGTCGATCGCTGGATGGCTGACTCCCACTTGGGCCAACAGCGTTTGGTTGAGACGGATCATCGCTTGAAACTCTGTCTGCGAAAACGTCCGCGGTGTCTCAGCCTAGGTGCCACCACAACGCCACCGAATCAACCCCCAAACGTTGTCGCACACTGGATATGTACTACATGAACCACGTACTTGTCGTTGAAACGCCTCGATGATGCTGCGAATGGCTTCAAAGCGGCCGTCGACGAACGCGGGGTCGGCGGTGTGCAGCGCCCGCACCTTTGCGACCAAGTGTTTGGTCTCTCGAGGTACGTGCGTGTTGGTGAGGAGGAAGCGGAGCGTCGGCAGGTCTTGCAGCGCTTTCATCTGGGACTGTATCACAGCACATGAACACAATATTCTTTACGACGGGAACGCTCTAGTAGTAGTATGCTGGTCGTTGTTACCTGCGGCTGCTTTTGATACAGAATGGCCCCGCCATACGTAGACACGGTGTTGTCGACGCCAGATGGATCGTCATGCAACAACACTTCGGCCGCAAATGCATGCGCATTGATCGTATCCAACGGCACGACGTCGTGGCGGCTTCTACTCGATGGGATTCGCATTGGACGAATTGGGTTATGTTGATGAGTCTCATGTACCGGAGTAAGGCGGCCGCCACGGACACGCAAAACGCCGCCGACGAGCCGAGGCCGGCGCCCACTGGAAAGTCCCCGGACGTCACGTGGAGCTGCACGCCAACCGACAGTCTAACTCGGACACATGAAACCATGTGACATGGGATTGATGTCGCCATACTCGTCGAAAAGCTCCGGCAGGATGGCCAAGACGAGGAAGAGCGCGGGGCGGAGTGCATTCGCGTCCTTCGGATGTTGGTCAGACAAGAAATCGACCAGCGCAGCAGTGATAGCCGCCGACGGTCGCGGCAGGAAGGTGTCGTTGGCGGCCGAGGCACCACCAATCGCCGCTTTGATCGCTTGAAGCGACCACGAACGAGACAGAGGCTGACCGTCTTTCATGCTTGTGAGGTTCAGAAGAGACACGGCGACGGTGGGCTCGCCGCCAAAGGTCTATGCACGGGTCAATCTGACGTAGAGCCATCGATCACGTACGACGTGCGTGGACACCCGCAGGTCGGAGACGGCGGCGGCAACGGCGGGGATTCCGTACACGACGGCATGCTCGCCGAAGAGAATGACTTTGCCAGGCGCGCTAGCTTGTGCTGCTACAAACGAAGGCATGGTGGGTGGCAGTTTGGTGGCGAGGTCGTTGTGACACGGAAAGGAGTACGAACCAGACGGGTGACCACGATCATGTAAAAAAACAACCCAAAAGTACTCGAAAAATAGTATCAACAATTTCAAAAATGATACAATTCTGAACAGCATGATGGCCTTACTAACTTATTCGTTGCACCACCACAGTGGCGGCGGCGATGACGCTCTTAACGCTAAGGGAAATCTCATCAAAATACACTATCGTTATTGTACGATTAAATAAACACTTGGTCGGTCAACACCTGCAGGTACATGGCGACGGGGCCGTGCGACCGCACCCGACTGTGGAGCGTGAGGACGCTGTACTGGGGGAAATACTGACTAGGTGCAGGCTTGACCGTGACTCCGTTCAATCGCAATTTCATCTGCACTGAAGTGTCTGGAACCATCGACAGCACAGTGACTTGGTAGTGTCCTGCGTGGAGAACGACAATCGCCTTGGTGTTCTTCTTGAGCGTAAAGCGCGCCCACGGGATCGTGTGGAGGTCCCACTCGACGGGGGCAGGGTATCGCGTCCATTTTGTGGTGGCTACAAACAGGACGGAGCCTTGTCGAGGGCGGGGGGGTTGCGCCGTCGTCCACAACGGCATCAAATAAAACGCAAACCAGCACGGCCGAGGCCCCGTTTCGCGTTCGCCCGTCCGTGACTTCTTCTTCCCTGTGGCCGATGATGTTAGGGATCCCACCGCGGCCATGGCCATGGTCAAGCGCAAGAGGTCGTGACCGAGGTTGGTCAGCTCAATGCTGCTTCGAAACCCATTGCCCCCCCCCGCTCGCTTTCGACCAAGTACTTGCGTCGCCAACGCACAAAGCGCGCCCTATCGCATGCACTTGAGCGAAACGACGGACACAATGCAAGGCACTACACATACATACGTCCAACGCGTGGAGGATTGCCCGAGGGGGGATAGCTGAGGGAGCGGGGGGCGTCGCATGGTCTGCAAAGTCTTGGACGTCGCATCGCCTAGCAAAGATATGAGTCGGATAGCATACCAGACGAGCATACCAGGTGGTATGAGAGTACACCGAGTAGAGGTCGATGGAGACGGGGACAATGCTGTCCTGGGTCGACGTCAGCTTGATATGGTACAGGTTTGCATCAACTTGGATCGACGGGAACGTGACATTGGCGAACTTGGTCGTGACGTCGTGGCTTTTTGTGCGACGCATCGGCAACTGACTGATGGGGGGGATTCGGAAGCGTTTGCCTGGGACGAGACGATGATGGAATATATAGGTATGCCCTGATTATTACTTTGTGCACAAGTACAGTAGTAGTGATCTCAACACCCCAAAAACGTTGTATGTAACTGTACTGCTCACCCGTACAAATGCTATAACGCAACCGTGTCTGCTTGATTTCACGAGAATGTGGCTGCCACTTGATACTTGAAAAATGATATTTCGATCGACGCAACAACATGCTGACGACATGCAGATATTTGCTCGAATGAAGTTCACTGTCAGTCGCCTTAGTGACACTTTCTGAAGTCCGATGATATATAGGATACATAGCCCCAGGTTGCAATACATCCTTCTACAACAATCCAACTACTTTAACCTCGGCTACGATGCTTCCGCCTCCTCGGGTGTGGCACGTCCACCGAACCAAGCAGTCAAGTTCGGGCCTAACGTTAGTGCAAAGTCCCCATCGACGGTGAATATCAACATTGGATTAACAAATTCTCCATAGTTGATAGAACTAGTCCAATGAGTTTATACATAACGTGATGATTTTGCTGAAATTGCACCAAGGGCAGCAACACACCGCGTCGGGTAAGTCTGTCCGTGCGACCAACGTGAGTCCCCCCATGGCTAGTCGCCGCACCAACAACACCTTCGCAGGCTTATATCCATTCAACCTGACCAAAATCCATCCCCTCATTCAACCTGACCAAAATCCATCCCCTCGCTTTATGAATCACCCAAACATCGAAAGCTCACGAGCACTACATACTACTTTGCGTAAAACTGACTGAACGACGATGTCAAGGTGGGCGGGGACAGGCCATGTGACGTGGGGTAAGCTTTGCCGTCCAAGAGGTCACGAGACCATGCCACGTCATCGAGATGCCACCGACGGGCGATCGAACTCAAGCGCCCCGATGGCAACGCGTCGGAGGCCGTCGAAGCAGGTCGAAGGGGAAGCGTCGACTGTCCAGCAGGCTTTGTAGTGGATGGCGATGCTTGACTGGGCTACCATCAGCCACCACATCTTGATGTGTGATAGGCGTTTTGGTCCAACAAAATCGATCGATGTCGCCGAGGAAATATATATTACTAGTACCATCGAACGAGACATGTCGTGCAGAGACGACGATTATTAGTCAAATGCAATGTGACACTGTCGCACACGCTGTAGTTAGAACGTGGCAAACCGCACAACGTCCACGGCTGGCTGCAGTCAACAAGCTGCCGTATTTTCATCGACCAGACAGACCACGACGTCATTCAATCGGTTGGAAGGTGTCCCAAACGGGCAAGGTCCCGGCCGCAAGATCAAGTCGCAACCGCCCAGCAGGAACATTCCAAACGGTTCCAGTCAGCGTTACCCGTTCGGTGTACAAGGCGATGCTGCTGGAGAATGTTATCCCTGCCATCAAGGTGAAATGGCCAAAAGGGGTGTGGACGAAGCATCATCATTCAACAGGACAACGCCCGCCCACATGTGCCTCCCTGCGACACTGACATCGTGGCGGCCTGTCAAAGTGATCTGGGGTTCTTCCGTGCGATCCAGACACTCCAAGCGAAGAACACCTCCCGCTGCATTGACGACATTGTTGCCGCCACGGAGTAAGCGTGGAGTGAAGTCTGCATGCAGACCCTCAACTACAACTTCCTGACCCTCCAAGCCTGCATGCGTGAAACGATATGCGCTCAAGGCAACAACAACTACAAGATTCCTCATGGCGGTAAGGCGAAACTGTTGGCTCGTGGGCTTTTGCCCCACGTCCTGGCAGCAGACAATGAGGCCGTGGAGTGCGGTTTCCAGCAGCTTGACGAGTCTGACGTCAGTGCAAAGTTTGACCAACTGGCCGTGGAAGTGTCCGAAGCTATGGAGATGTCTGAATTCAGCTCTCAGTTGGAAAAGCTGATTGTCAACGACGAGCTCAAGGAGGACGCAGATGCTATTCGATGGGCTGCGAACACGCAAGCATTAGCGTCGCATTCACGTCTCGCGAAAACAATCGATGCTAGGCTTGAAACGGTAATAAGGCAAGTATGTACGCACTTGCGAGTAAGCCAGTCCATATAGCATTGCGCTTCTCAGTGCGGACGCCAAAAAGCGATCAGGGTGAAGGGGATCTTGATGGAATTGATGGTCCAATCAAAGATCGGGAATTAAATGTCGTCGAATTGCAATTATATTCACAACCTTGATATTGTCCTCAAATATAAAAAAAAATCCGGCATTAAAATACGTGAGAACAGCATATTTGGATACACTTTCCCTTTTTGCCTGCATCCGAGAAGATGGCGCGTTCCAAGAAAGGCGCGAGTAAGCACGACGAGAAATCCAATGCAGAACAACACGAACGCCTCCTCGACGAGCCGACATACCATGACATGGACACCCCTGTGTCGGCAGATGCAGGTTTTGTGACCCGCAAGGTGAAACGGAATGGAGCATGGTGCTCGTTCGTGTGGTTGGGGTTGATCGCCGTGGGGGTTGTGGCGATCGTTGCAATCCTGAAGGTCTCCAAGCAAGGCGACGAATTCCCCACGGTGAAGCCGTGGCTTCCCTCGCAATACGAAGCGAGCATCACGTTTCGCATGCCTTACATGAACTTGGTGGAACCCGTGTTTGTGCACACGGACGAAGTACTCGGCGCTCAAAAGCTGAGCTTCTACGGTGGTACGCCCAGACTCCATGTGCCTTTGCAGAGGGATTCATGACGGTTCTGTAGGCACCCAAGAGTACATATTGAACGTGACCGGGCCGTCGTACCAGATCATCCCTGTGATTGACTCGATCAAGTGCTTCACGGACGGCCCTTCGTCGCTGCAACACATTTTCCCGCGGTTGACGGCGTTTGAACCCATGCACGGGAAGACCGTTGTGAACTCGATTGAGTGCTTCACGTGGAAGTACGACGTGGCGAGCACCCCCGACAACAGCTCGTACATTGGCACGTACAAATTGTACGTGAACGCCGTCACGAACGCCCTGGTGCAGTTCCATTTCGTCGGCCATAACGTCGTGCTGGGCGGCAGCCATACGGACGAGTACATCATCGACTACAACTACATCCGTGAAGGTCCCGTCGCCCCGCAGACGTTCCATTACCGCGTGGACACGTTGAATTGCACTGGTTCGTCCGACGAGACTATCAACGTGCCTACTTCGCTGTCTTCCCCATGGCTTGACGTACGTAAACTCGCCAAATCGTGCGTGGTCTGAGGGTTGGTTGTTGTAGCTCCACATGCGCATGCCCGAAGGCCACGACGCGCGCATGGAAGCGTTTGACCAGTTTGCCCTGCAGCACGGCAAGTCGTTCGATTCTTCGTCCGAGACGATGCATCGTGCGTCTGTGTTTCATGCGAACATGCAATACATCAACTCGATGAATCGCAAGGTACACAAACCCTCAACATGCTGCGATTTTCGGCTACTCAACGCCGACTTGTAGCTTGGATCTTTCTCTCATTTTATCTTCCTTTTGGCTCTAGTATAAACCATGCAGCAGTGACGCATCGATGCTGTTGTTCTAGGGGCTGAGCTACTCGTTGGCCATGAACCACTTGGGCGACCGCACCCACGACGAAATGAAAGCGATGTTTGGCCGCAAGTCGTTGAAACGGGCGGCCGACAACGAGGCGGGTGGTGTGTATGAGCTCAAGCACGTGACGTTGCCTGACGAATGGGATTGGCGCCCCCAAGGCGGCGTCACGCCTGTGAAAGACCAGGGCAACTGCGGGTCGTGCTGGACATTTGGGTACGTCATCTGTGACATCGTCCAGTCCATGTTGGTGCCTTCCTTGTATACATGTATTGGAGATATTGAATATATATTAGGATCCCGTTGTATTGAATCTCGCCGAGCGAAATTCCTTGTTGCTGATTGGCTACTAGAATCCATTTTCGATTTTCTATGGAAAGGGCAAAGTGGATACATATTCGCCAATACCATGTCTTGGCATTTAATCAAAATTGAAAAAAGAAAAAAATCGACTGGCATGATATTTTTGTTTGTGAATAGCACCACGGGGGCCCTGGAAGGGCAATGGTACCGCAAGACGAACCACACGGTCTCGTTTTCGCAGCAGAATTTGCTCGACTGTTCATGGGACGAAGGCAACAACGCGTGCAACGGCGGCTTGGACTACCAGGCGTACCGGTGGATCATCAAGCACGGCGGGTTGGAACCCGAGGCGACCTACGGCTCGTACAAGAACCTCCCTGGCTTTTGCCACTTCAACGCGTCCAACGCCCTGGCGCGAGTGACGTCGTTTGTCAACATTTCCGGCGTCAACAAGCTCAACGAGGCACTGGTGACGGTCGGTCCGCTGTCTGTGTCGATCGATGCGACCCCCCCGTCGTTCTACTTTTATGCCGGTGGGTACTACAACGATTTGAATTGCAAGAGCGGCATCGACGATCTCGATCATTCCGTCGTGGCCGTGGGATACACCAAGCACCTGGGAAAGACGTACACGTTGGTACGGATGTGCATATATATACAGTATGCATTGTGGCTGGATCTATATGTACTTTGTTCTGAACGGGGAGGGGGGTGTAGGTGAAAAACTCGTGGAGTACGCACTGGGGCGACAACGGGTACATCAAGATTGCGCAAGAAGACAACATCTGCGGCGTCGCGACGAGTCCAACGTACCCCGTGCTCGCATAGTGTTGCTAACAGTTGAACCGATTAATGCATTTTATATACATGCGCCGTGGAGATTTTCACTATTAGATTCGGTACGAATTTCTGGACCGGGCACCAATCTCTCCCATTGGTCAATCCGAAATTACTTGTCGCTGATTGGCTACAATCCATTTCGATTTTCTACTGGAAAAGGCGAAGTGGATATCAGCCAATCAGATGTCTCAGATCAGTTGAACGAACCAAATTTGAAGAAAGTCGACAACCTGATGTTCGACAACATACTCGACTCTTATTGGGTTGGGATGGACCAATCGTATGCAGATGCTAAAAATAGCCTCAATACAATATATCATGCCAATCATTTGCACCATGGGAATTGTTGCTGCGATGTCCTGGCTATGGGGTCTACTGTGGTGTACTCTGGCCAGTGTTGTCGCCGATGGCAATGGGGTTACCCGTGGTAGTAGTATTACAACTAGTACTGGCGTGGCTGCAAAACACAGTACGTACCTCGCGAGCAGAACCAATAACTGACGAGGTGGTGGGATTTCAGACTTGATCCGTATTCCACTTGTAAACTACGACCAGCTCCAGTTCTACGGCACGATCTACGTGGGGTCGCCGCCACAGCCGTTCAAAGTGATTTTTGACACAGGGTCGAGCGACATCTGGGTCCCGTCGGCCTCGTGTGCCGCGTGCTCGGGCGCCCAGCGGTACCATGCCAACGCATCGTCCTCGTAAGAAATCCACATCAGATCATCACGGGATGATGCCATCTATAATAGTATTACGTGACTCCAGGTTTACCACGGACGGACAGTCGTTTACAGTGTCGTACGGCAGCGGGTCCGTTTCCGGCGCAGTGTTTGACGACGTGATAACAATGGGAACGGAGGACGTGGATGGAGTCAGTGGTGGTGGCGGAATAGCCGTGCGGTGCCGCCTGGGCCAAATCGAAAGCGAAGACATCAAGATCCAACAATTTGAGTCGGAAGGGATCGTGGGCTTGGGGTTTGCCGCGTTGGCATCCATCACCACGAGCCCGTTTGTCCACGACGCTTTGGGGCTTGGAGTGTTTTCCCTGTACATTAGCCCCTTGCCAAACGACAACGCCCCGCCCTCGCAGTTGATTCTGGGTGGTACTACACAACCCAGAGATCGATCGATTCATGAGTTGAATGACCATTCGTTCGATGCTAAATATGACAAAGTAGGGGTCGACCCCAACCTGGCAGGCCCGAACGCGTCCTGGCACTACTTTCCCCTGCTCGATCCACAACATTACGGTGAAACCATTGACCCTTTTTTATGGGGAAACTCAACGATTGCAGTAGACGTCGAGGGCTTTTGGGCGATTGAAATGACCGGCATGGAAGTGGCCGCCACGCGTATCAACACTGACCTGGCACCACACGTCGCAGTGATTGATTCCGGCACGTCGTTGATGTTGCTTCCCGTGGCCGTGTTCTTGGATCTGATGGAGCACCTTTGCCGCCACCTGGACCCCCAAGCCCCCTGTGATACCCCCCTCATCCACGGGATTCAGTGCACAGACTGCACGCACGCGTTCTTCCCCCCCCTGTCGCTTCGATTCACGGCCCACGGACCTCTGGTTACCCTCCAAGCCACCGATTACGTTCGGTACGATCATCGAATCCGGGGGGGTAGTTGATGGACTATTTGTCACAGGTGCGAATACTCGACTTGCTCGCCTCAAATTGACGTGAGCTCAACCACGTTTTACGTGTTGGGCGACATTTTCCTACGGGTATTGTGCAGCACAACATGTTACGAAGGTTCAACTTATACTGGTATTTTGAACGGTAGGCATACTACACTGTGTTCGATGTACACCACGCACGAGTGGGCTTTGCATGCGCTGGTCAACATTTGTGCGATGGAGGGGTGAAGCCACCCCTGTACATTGAGCCTCCGGTATATAAAGTGCCCGAAATAAGAAGTTCACGCTTGTGTTGTGCGCAGGTATCGACGCTCGAGACCATCTCCAGGCTGTACGCCCACGGATTTGCACTGGTCGCGACGGTGTTTGCCATCAAGTGGATGTGGCAAGAGATCCGACATGGGCAGCGCATGTGGTCGGCCAAAGTCACAGCTCAAGTGGTGTAGGGATATTGATGAAATTCAAAGTATTTATCTTGATTGTGAACGAGCCTTTTTTTCACAACCAGCTTCTACACGTGATTGATGACAACCAAATTATGTACTACTTATACACGCCGTGGTAAAACAGCATGCATAAGTTACTCGCTTTTTTCTACTACTATTGTGAATCAACATGTCTTCCAAGGAGCAAAGTCCTATTACATATAAATACTAGGTAGTAAGTACTATAGTTGACGAAATATACTTGTACCTTTGCTGTGCATTGGCAGTCGTCGCATCGGCCCATAACGCACGGCTTTTCGAGCAATTACCGTATACTAACTAGTACATATTACGACAGTAGCGGGGCGGGGCTTGAGCTGAGCATGGCTATAAACAGTCCATGAAGAAGAGTTGAAGCCAGTTGTTGAAGGTGAACTTGGTGAGGTCGACCCCACACGGCTTGTGCAGGGGAGATGCTGGTGTAGAGTTATTTGCATTTGACTTTTTTGACAACGAGATGGCTTTGTTGCCCCGCACCAGATCAATGGTTGTGCGGATTTATAGTTAAGGAACCACCTAACCAGGGATCGATCTCACATCGAGCGATTCGTTTACTTCGAACGGTTGCGGGAAATGTGGTGCCCAACAAGAAGCCGCCGTTGTTCGTTCTTTGGATAAATACATATATATATATAGTTAGTTATACAAGCAATGCAATCACAGCCGTCGTTTAAAGGGTGCTGGTTCGAAGGGGCGAGAGGGTCGGGTTCTGAGGCACTGGCACCTGGCGCATCCACAAGGCAGTTGGGTACTTGGAGGATGAAGTCGCATGGCGGTGCACCATGTCGTGGGGCACGCGAGCGCCATTCATCGCGACTTGGGGAACGCGCATAAACGCATTCAGCGCGGCGTCGAGGAACGATGGCGAAGTCATGATGTGCCCGTTGCAAATTGAACAATAAGCAACGGGCAAACCGATCTTCGACTTCAAAGGCAACTTGACGAACCAATCAGCGCTTCGAATGGCCATGACAACCACCATTCGCGTCTGTGATTGGCTGTCAGTAGGCACCATCTTGAGCCCCAACTTCTTCTGCGGATTCTCCATGCTAACGTTATGTAACATTCCTAGAGTATGTACATAATGCGACCACCTTTTAATTTAGTGTGCATTGTCCATTTCAATCATACTCGGAGTATCTCACACCGATTTACCGTGTACTAGTGCTTCAAAGTAGCACTGACACGTTCGAGCGGTTGAATTGACCCGAATTCCAAACTCATATATAAAACGACGAGGGCCATCACTCTTGGACGGTGTAAGATGCCACCATCATTCATTCTAAATACATCACCATGAATATGGACAGTTCGTTCAAATTATGTTTCATTCGATGCGCTAGAAGCAAAACACTTGGTGCTGTCATGGAGGGAAAAAGCAGAGTAAGTTTGCCTGTGCAGCCTTGGAGAAAGCAACCCAAGTACTACAGTGTAGTCTGTAATACCATGTAGTAGTAGTATACTAGTACTGAGTCTTTACAGTGTGTCCAAATATGTTGTTGAACAGAGGTGAGTGATTATTTCAACCGGATAGAAACAGGTTGAAATAATCACTCACCTCTGTTCAACAAATTTCAATGGCAACAGTTCGTTCGTTGAAGATTGCCGATCAAATAGCCAATCCAATCGTTGGATTGCCCTCCGTCAGGTTTTTAACGCTTCTGATTGGTCGATGACGGTTGATTAGGCAATCGTGGAACCATTGCACCTTCGACGCTTTGGACAAAAAGTGTCGACCCATTTCCAAACTCGTCCCAGCCACTCCACGTCATGACCACCTCGACGTGCTCCCGATCCCGATCGATCAAAACCTTCGCAGAGAAGGCGCTGGATATGTTCATGAAAGCGCCCCAAGTGTCCGTGCGTGGCGCTCGCATCCCCAGCGACATGAGTGCCCGAGCATCCACGAGCAAGTCGTGGGCCCACCTGTCCGAGTTCCCCGTCATTCGACGCTCGTCCGCGCACAAGGTCATCTAGTCCCGTGGACGCATCAAAACAAGAGAATGTCTGCAAGCGTGAAGGTCCCACGTGAAGTGTTCGAAGGGTTATCCGACTGTTGCATCCAAAATATATATTCCATTCACAGTGTTTTCGTCGATGGTTTTCTAGTGTTTACAGTTAATCCGAACCAGCCGCATACGCGGCGTCGTTTGCGGCAATACATGATGCGTGGGCTAGATATCCACGCTCGAGTAAGGGCCGTAGCTGTCGACATAACTGTTACAGTTCGGAACTATGGTGCAAGTCATCTAACAGATTACAGAATAATGCCTTGTCTTTCTATTCCAACTTTGTATTGATATTTTTTAGGAAAATATTAGCCGTAGAACCCAGAAAAGCTGTTGCTAAGCAATTCAACGACAAAGGCATGTTAACATTGTTGACTTATGGTATCTGATGCTATATCATCACCATTGCAGAAAAAAATGAAAACTACTACTAGTATTAAAAATCTCGTCCATCCTAGGGGGTTAATACTATGAATAGTACGTACTAATATGTACGTACTATGGTGCAAGTCATCTAAAATGTGCCTGGAGGCTGCAGGAAATGACGAACGTAGCCATCCTATATATATGTCTAGACGAAGGAGTCGAGTTTTGGTGCAAGGCGACTTTGCATTCTGCTGCTCAAATCGTATAAGCTGTGGACTTGAAATTTTGGCCGCCAGTTTCGACGTTCTTTGGAAAAGTATCCACGAGAATACCGTTACGTAGTATTAATATAAAATAAATATTGTCGATTTGATACAAATTTGGGGACGGGGTGCAATCGAATCGCGCCGACCAAACCGATCCACAATCGATCTGATTGGTTGAATTTCATTGGGATGGTTTTGATTGGCTAATAATTTTGAGCTCACCTGAGGTAGCCAATCAAATCGATTTAAATTCCAACGAGAAACCACGCCACAACACGAAATTTCACTCGAAAGCACAATATGTCGTAATTTTAAAAGATAACATCAAAATATGTTCTATCATACTGGCCTACACATTGAAACTGCCGAAACCGCTGCACGTAGTTGGCGAAACCGATATAGGTGCAGTTTTGAATTCCCCCACCTCGACATCTACTGTACGATGCACGGCGAGCATGTGCACCAAAGTTTCTCGCGCACCACCACCAAACCGCGTGCATCTACGGGCACCGTGTCTCAAAATTGGATGCCCCCACTACTGTCGGCACAGCATCCGATGGTGACGTCGGCGTTTCCACCGGCTTGTGGCATGATTTACATTGTCCTATCGCTCGCGCTCAGCGCCTACTACGCCGTGCTTGTGACTCAGCACTTGGCTAATGACTTATGGTGGCCCAACTTTAACGCCACGGGAGCCCACTCGTACCTGGTGAACATGATCAACATGGAGCTCCTGCATGCTATTCGGGTAGGGGGAGTCGATTTTGCCGCGTTTGATCCAGCGTTGGCCTTGCCTCGAGATTACAGTCGCGTCGACACTGCCAACCCCATCTCCACGACATACAATCGAGCGTTGTTGTACTCGCAACGCTTTGACTTTGATAACATCATTCCCACATTGCGGGTGCCGTTCGCTGGTATCGTAGTCCGATTCACCCAATACTGCTGGGTCGACTTCAACCAAACGTGGGAAACTGCCCACACAGACGCCCGCCAGGCCCGATGTAACCAACGGTATGCGTCCAACGGGGCTGTGTACTGGGAAACATCCTTGCGGAACGTCAAATGGGCAGCCTTTCAACGGGCGTTTGGGGGGGCGGAAGGCGCCTTCACCATCACGATCGCCAATGCGATCCTAAAACATCCGCTCGGGTCGTCGTATCTCAAGTACTTGTCGCAGTGCAACGGCAACGTTCCGGTGGCCGACGAAGCCGCGTACTGGCGAGCGCACAACATCTCATTTTTCCAGCTCGGGTTTGAAAATTACTTTTCCGTGGGCATAGTGGACACGGTGAACGTCGTGAACGCCCTCGGGCTCCAGCAAAGTTTGACCATCAAGCAAGTCGATGCCAAGACGCGCGGGTCGGGGTGGACGACCATGCTCATGAGCTGGGGGGTTGGCAACGACTTGGCCATCCTCTCGAGTAACGGGCACTCCATGATCCGAGGCGACCCTGCCAATCTGCAGTTTTCACCCGCTTGTACAAGTCAAGCTATGGTGGACAACGGAGAATGCGCACATACAATCGACGAAATGTACGGCTACGACGACTCGTATCCAGTCGTGAACGCCACCCACGCCAGCATTGGCCCGTATGGCAGCGTGGATTTGATGCTCATGGCGTTGCCCATTGAAGTGTCTGCAGCTGTGACATCGTGGCAGGCCCTCGTCACAGCTGAAATTCTCCGTGGGGGGGCGTTTTATTCTGCCATGCAAGACCAAGCACTTAACGACCCCGCTTGGCTCGACCCCGTTCCTCGAGAATGGACAAATCCCAACTGGCTCTACATGGGAGGCGACCCCACGTGTCCGACGCGGTCCCCCGTCCCGTTTGTGCAATCGTCGTGGGCATTTGACGTGTCGTGCGACCTCCAATCCCCGCTCGAGTTGCCCGTGAGCAAGTTGCAGTTGCTCTTTGCAGTTGCTTCGTTCAGCTTATCCCACGAAATGGATGAGATGACTGCAGGTCAAGCTGCGACACTGTGCGGTCTCTGTACGTCGGCACGTTCAGGCACTTGTGAGAAGTTGGTCCTCGCGGCTGTCAAGGCATTCCACCAATTGTGCCGCATCGATCAGCCAACGTCGTGCCATGATTTGGTACCAGCGATGTCGTCAGCTCAGAGTGCCGTGTCAAGTTCCAAGGTCGGCCTAGTTCAGTTTGCACTCGATACAGGCAACGACGGATCGCCATTCCTCTTGCAACAGGTCCTGCTTTCAGGTACTACGTCGGACGAGAATCTCTGGGATTTCTTTGGCTGGCTGTACGTGTACGAGTGGGCATCTGCAACTCGTGAAGTGGTGTCCTTTCAAGGCGATGCGGGCGTCCACACGTTGATGTCGGACGCGTACGAGCCATTAACAAGTCAGGTCAAGGCCCTCGAGGTACCTGTGAGCGCGTGTCAGTACCTGCGTGCGATTACCATCTACGTCACATTTGGCTTGAGTGTCGTGGGGACGTTGGTGTTGGGGTTTGCAGCTGCCCAACACTTGCACGTGAAGGGGGCCAACTTGTTGTGTTTCAATCGTGTGGCGGGCAGCGTATGGATTGGTCGGCCGTTCCAGCTGGTTCGAGGCATGACCGCGCTCATCGTCCTGGCCACGTCACCGCTGGCCTTTGACCAATCGCATGGGTACGCCAAGTTTTGGTTTCGCCCTCGTATGTGGTTTGACGTGTGTGTGCTTGCGGGCGAAGCCACGTGGATTACGTACGTGTTGCAAGACATGCTGCTGCTGTTTCTGGGCAACGTGTTCCGCCAAAGCTACGCGCCGGTCGTGGGGACGGCCGTTGTCTGGTTGGCGCATGTGCTTGTGGAAGTGGTGTCGCCGTTTCAAGCGTCGATGCGGCTGGATCGGCAATGCACGTCCAGCGATTTAGAAGTCAACATCCGATGCAGCAGCGGCGTCGTGCACGTCGGTAGCCTCGATCGAGTGAATTTACTCCTCGCGATTCAAGTGTCGGTTGTGTTGGGCACGTTTGCGCTCTTCAAGGCGTGGCACTGGCTGCGGCAGACACCCCACCGGCACCGCAAGGATAGCCACTTGCTCATTTCTGGGGTCGCGCTAACGTTTCTCCATTTGGGGGACGTAAATGCTGACGGCGACGACGAAGCCCTTTTGATAGACCGTGCCACATGTGCCATGTGCGGTTTGCTTTGCTACCGCGACTACGTGTTTGACATCAAGTTGTGGATCTTGGTGCACGATAGCCACGCCAACGCGAGATCCGCCGTGGACAACATGAAGCAGTTTCCATCGCCCAACCTTGCCCTTCCTTATATGGACATGTCCACGACAGTGGACGTTGTGGCCGTCCAGAGTGCGCGACACCACCGTCGGTATATGGCCATTGGCTTGGCTGTCGCTGGCTGCGTCTACATGGCGCTGTCCGTGGCGGGCTCCGTGTCGTTTCTCCTCGTGTCGCATGTGAGCATGGCCAACGACTTTTGGTGGGGCTCGTTCAATGCGACGGGGGCCCACGCGTTCATCTCGACGTGGTACAATGGATTGATGGCAACTGCAATTTCAAACGCGCCGCTGGGCCAAGTGCACCTGAATGACATCCAGTTCATCGACCCATCTCGAACGTACGCTGCCAATGCTACGACCACCGCCGTTCCAGCCCTGTACGCGGCGATGGTAGTCCATGAATCCGCAGCCGACTTGGAGAAAATTGTCACGGGCCTCCGCCAAATGGACGGGTGTAGCCTGCCGTGGATTGCAACGCAGTATTGCTGGGTGGACTTTGGCAAATCGTGGGAAATGGGCAATTCCCTCGCCCGACAACGCCGTTGCGAGTCTCAGTACAGCGACAATGGAGCCGTGTACCTGGAATCCGTGCTTCGCAATGCCCAGTGGAAGGAATTCACGTCGTGTTGGGGCCAGTCGCTTGAGATTGCACTGGCACGAGACCTTCGCCAGACAATGCAAGGGGCATCTTGGTGGTCCAGTGTGCAAAATATGGACACGACAGTCCAAGACGAAGTACAGTATTGGCAAACACAAGGGGGTATTCAGTACTTTGACACGGCCTGGCAGAACTACAAAACGATCGGGATCGTAGAGTCGTACGGGATTCAAAATGCCTTTGGACTCGTGTATTCGATGACGCTCAAGTCCACCAACGGGTCGTTCCGGTTGGCCTTGGAAACGTCTAGAAAAGCGTACTGGGGGCTCGCGGCGGACCTCTGGGCCGTCACCTCGTCCACGCTCCCCATCATGTCAAACCGGAGCTTGATCCGACACAGCGCCAACTTTGCCTTCCGAAACACCTCGGTCGCATCGGTCATGGCGCGAAATAGGTCGCTGCCGTGGCCCTTATCTGGCCAGTTTGCCACGTTCGATGCCGTCGTGGGTCCATTTGGGTCGGTCGATTTGAAGTTCATGCCACGCCCAACCTCCCTCGTTCGGTTTGTCCAACAAGCAAAAGATGTTGTTTACACTGCGATTCGCCTGGACAACGATACCAACGCGCGGTACATTGGGCTCGCAATTCCTGGCCAGTTTGGGGCGGTGGTGCCGTCGTGGGATGGGCTTTCCTGTGCGGGGGGGAACATACTTTGCCCCGAAGCCGCCGCGGACACGGCATGTTCCAGTGGCTTGGGTCAATTCGTCGGGGTAAACACAGTATGTGGCCTCCTCCAAGGAGAAGTGTTGACGCCCACTCCACTTCAATCAGTCTTAGCTGTGATTGCAGCAGGGCTGGCGCGTTCAACCATCACGACCACCGACTTGACGAAACCATGCGCTTACATTGCCCCGTCGTCTCTGTGCAAGCGGCTTCTCTACGCCCCAATCATGTTTGCTTTGAATTCGTCCGGCGTCGCCAGTGCTCTTCCGACGCTCTTGGCGCTGGCTCAAGTGGCGAGTGCCGACGTCCGCGCCGCCAATGTGAGCATCGTCCAGTGGACGCGGCCGCTGCAAAGTCGCGGCCCACGGACTTTGTCCAGCATCTCCTTCTTCGCGGCCAACACGACTGTATTTCACTGGCATACGTGGCACTTTATCCTTGAGTGGGCCACCTTGAGCCGCGAAGTCGTATCGTTCCAAGGTGACGTCGGCACCGTCACCGTCCTCACGACGTACGTGGCGGCAGTGTCGGGGGCATTCAATCCACTGGAGGTGCCCGTCAACGTCGCGTACTACATGCGCATAACGTGCATGTACACGACGGGCGTGATTGGCATCGTGGGGGCGTTCGCGTTCTTGTACGCATTGGTGAGCAAGTTCCACGTCGAGGGGTACAACATGTTCAAGATCAACCGCGTGGCGGGGGTCGTGTGGGTCGGGCGGCCGCTGCTGTTTCTCCGCAGCATGACCGCCATTTGCCTCCTCAGCACACAGTCACTTGAACTTGTGAAAGATCGGAACCTCACGTACTTTGCCAACGTCCAACGCGCCGACATGACACGCATTTTCGTCACGCTCTTGTCGGCCGGCGAAGTGTCGTGGCTTGTGTTTGTATTGAACGACATTGGCACAGTCATCACCAAGCAATACACGCAGTCGTACTCGAGCAAGTGCGGGGTCGTAGTCTGGCTAGTCTCGGCCGCCTTGTCGTTTGGCCAGCCCATTGTGAATACCGCTGATGTGGGGCGAACCTGCGACGTCGACGCCGTGGACTGGCAACTCGTTTGTTCTACAGGTACACCACAACCAACCAATCAATCAACTTATCGAGGTATACAAGCAAGTACATGTGTATCTAGGCGTCGTGCACATTGGCAGCCCCTGCCGGTTTTGGGTTCTCATTGGGGTGTGTGTGGGGGCGACGGTCGTCTGTTTCGTGATCGACTACATTCGGTTTCCCCACCTCGAGGGGCTGCCGCGGTCGTCGCTGTTTCTGTCGTCATCGGCCAAGTTCCTCTTTTCTATGGACGGGTGGACAGAGTTTGAGGTACTGAACGTACATTGTACATTTGGCCCCCGCGAGTGCTTGAGCAGACGGAAATGTGACGGGCGGCCACTGCTACGTAGGTGTACCACTTGGACATGTCGTCGGCCGCCATGAACGGGATGCTCGCGGTGCCGTGCCCCCACGGGTTTTACATTTTTGACGTCAAGACGTGGAAACTCATGTACATTCCGGCGCAGCACGGCATCCGCACCGAACTGCTCCACAGAAAAGGACGAAGTTACCTTCGAAATGCCATTCCCCTTGCCGAATAAGGTTGCAAGGTTGCACCCCCCCCGCCATCCCAAATATCTGGTTTGGACACGTGGGGTTGGAAAAAATAATAGACGACCGTGGCAGAGGTTCCAGGGGTATATATTTCGAATGGATTCTAGCACAGAACAACCGATGATGGGCAAACACAGCCCCCCTACATCCAAAGCTGGGGCGGCCAATTGGGACGCTGCTGACAACAAGCACTGCTCCAGAATGTGTAGTTGCCGTCCCAAGTTGGTTCGTTCGTATCCGCTACGCACACGAGTTGCCAGTCATTAGCGTATCCACATTGTATGTTGGGCCAACCGAAGCCGACTTCACGACGAAGTTCGATAGTTGCTGCCGACTCAGCCCAAGGTAACAAGCAGCACAGTGCACTTGGTCGAGTACGACTACGCGTGATTTGGATGATCCCCTGACCGTCCGTGCCAATAATGTCGTTGAGCAGTATTGAGTGCATTGGAGCTATAGTAGAGCGTCAGTATACTGCATAGGTCGAATAGAGGAGGTCGGGTATCTATTGTGTTTTCAGCCCAAACAGGTAGGTTCGATAGCCCAATCCTGCACACCAGTATTTCCCATCACAGCCCCAAAAGACTAAGCTATGTGAAACTCTTCACAACGGGTGTACTGTGTTGTTTGCGTAGTTTCACTTTGCACACATCAACCATAGACTTTTTAAACGTGGGCCACGTGGGACGGCATATATATATATATATATAGGTATATTTAACGTGGAATTGTGCTCGTAGAACAAACACCCTCCAACCAAACAATATGCTAACGCTATCATGGTATTCGTTTCAACAGGATGTGCTCATAGATGGACGACAGTTGCGTCGTCGGGCGTCGTTGGGGGGGGCACGCGTGAAATAGAAGGAGGGGGAGGGGTGCTGGTATGTAGTCTTTGCCGCTTCTGGCTGACTTCCGCGAACCCTTCTACAATCCACATTCATACTCGGTTAGTTGTTCCTGTTGGACTGCAATTCGTAGCTCATACCTTGGATGTTCAAGCGATGGGCAAGCGCCATAAAGTAGTCACGGTGTCGCATAAACATCATCTCGAGGCCGCTCAGCAGACCCGCGTCAAGCAGAATGTTGCCTTCTGTACACAAATCCATCCATTATTCACATAGAAAGATCGAAACGGTGTACGTACCGTTGTCGACGTATTTTTCCGTCGTAGAAAACATGGTAGCTCCAAACCGCGCCCGCATGAAATCCCAGCAGCTGTCGGCGCGCTCGGCCACCACGTCGCGGCCACAGCTCGGATCTGCGCATGACTTGCGCGCTTTAAACTCTTGGTCGCATCGCAAGCCCAACGACGGCTCATTTACGACAGCCGCCCGGAACTCTCGTTTGAGTCGCGCATCTTGCCGGTCCACCAGTTGCGCCACGCGGTACGCCCGCTCGTTGGCATCGGGGAGCAGCGCATACTCTTCCTGTACATGAAAGATTAGACTCGAGCAATGTGGATACACAGACAAACACACACGTACAGCCCACGCGCGACTGCGCTTGAGTTGGTATGGAGTGAGTGCTCGCCTTGTGTCGGCGGCGCGGATGGCGCGCTTCTCCATGTCCACCGTTTTGGTCGTAGATTGAGGTCCGTGGGAGGTTGGAGCGAGGGGAAGGTCCTGCATGGCGAGGTGCCACGCGCTGGCACTAGCGTTGCCGGCGAGGACGATGCCGCCCTTCTTCTTGAAGCGGTGTCGTTCCGACTTGAACCATGTGGTGATTTCGTGCGATGGAAGGCCAAAGCGAATGCCCATGTCAATGAGCGCCTCGCGGTCGGGGTGTGGATCGCGAAGGAACGCCAGCCGAAGCGCCAGTTGCTGCTGGATGGACTTGATGTTGTTGCCAGGAGGCGTGTACGATGGCGGGGGGACCAGTGGAAAGTAGCGAGCGACAGGAGTGACTTTGTTCATTCGGCGAACACCGCGCTGTCGAATGTGGCTACTTGACGAGTAGTCGATGAGGTCGTCGGTGTGCATCACGTGCGCAAACTCAAGCTCGCCTCCAGCCAATGAGGCGGATGTGGGGACAGCAGCAGATGCACCGCGAGGGGATGGAATATCCAGCGGCATAGGAATCTGCATCATGTCAAGTGGTGTAGTTCCCAATTCCAAATACATCGGTGCCGGGCCAGCGGCGAGGTCGTCATGGTCGACATCGTCGTCGCCGCCGAAGGATTGCATACTTGTCGCCAAACAAATGCACGATTGCCAACCAGTGCGTCCAATCATTGGCTGAATGCAGCGCTAACTATCCAATCATATGCAAGGGCTTCGGTGAATGATTATGTCCAATGATAATTAGCATGCAGGATTATTTGCAATTGTGAAACCGTACCCACCACTGTGGATGCTCTGTACACTAACGTCCAGAGGTCTACACGTTCTTGTGTTTACAGCTCTACTGTATGAATGCCGTCAATCACGATGACCTTTGTACTCTAGTGGTCATAACAAGATGGCCAGAATGAACGCGTCGTCATGATGTTGAAGCAGTTACATTTCGTCCTGTAACCGACAGGTACAGAACTCGATACTAAAATTGATGTCGCAATATTCCAAGTTGCGTGTGATTGCGTGTGATCAAACATTTAGATCGTGGAGGCAACAGGGGTGATGCAGGACGACACTACCGCCGCCCCTGGACGCACTTGAAATGCTCATGGATGCCGCCTGCAGTTGGGGAATATAGTGTGTATTCATTCGTAGGACATTTGTCCGAGTTTGTCTACGGACTATTATTTCGTGGCCAGGCTTAGCTCTACAGATGTGGAAACGTTCCTCAGTACCCTACTCAGTCAGGCACAAATGGGCAACCTCACGTTATTCCACACGAACAGCGACTTCGATCTAACGTTATTCGACGAAATCGATTTTACTTGCATCATGTGGTCCACAGCTCTTGCTAGATTTCCTTGGCAACTGCTGTACACATCACTGCGGAGGCGAAGCTTGGACCCCGACCGACCGTACTTTAATGATGACGGCGCAGTGTTATCATGGGCTCGATTTTGAACCAGAGCCACGGCGCATACACTAGTTTGGCCTCGAAACGACACAAAAAAGTTTGTGCCAGAAAAGTACTACCCGCAATCAATGCCCTATTCACCAAAGCTCGACTGTTTGCACCACATTGTGGTTAGGAGTACAATAATGGTGGGTCCACCGCGAGCTCGTTTCTGTCCCCGACAATAGTAATTTCGTTTTGGCAGTCTCGAGATCTGGTCCAGTGGAAAACACCGATGCAGACTTTTGAACGACGATGGCATCGACGACACCAATGGCACTCGGGTACGAACCGTCGGTTGTTTCAAGAATCAAAAGGGGTCCGAGGTGGGCGGGGCGGGGGGTATGAGACAAACCTAGTGGAAGGCGCTGGCTGCTGCTACCTGTCGACGCCAGCATCCTCGTCGAGGCTAACGTCAGGATTGGCTTTGATTTGGACTTTGATATCGTGTACCCACCAACCAATACCACTGTCTGTATACTAGTATTGGTCAATAGACATCGAATGGGTCCCCGCACCACAGCGAATCATTCGACGACCTTTTCATTCACTCGATAACATACAGTCGACCGCGGCGACTCGTTCCATGACATGGAACGGACATGGAGGTATTTAATATTATCCTGTACAACGATGTACCATATTGACATCGAGTTGTGGTGGAGGGTTTCACCCGCAATGAAAGTCGACACCCTCGTAAAAAATAGTATGCAGGAAGGCGCGGCAACTCTTTACGACGATACATCAACCATCGCCCCCCCCCCCCGCCTAAATTGCCTTGGTCTTGCAATGTTGTTGATCGGCCAAAAGAGACTTTAATTCACCAAAGTAGTAAAAGCGGTGTATTGTATGTAGCTTTCCCATGTGAAACTGCAAAGTCGGAGTAATGTGTAGTAGTAGTTGTTTAGAATCGTATAGTTCGACGAACGTTATAGCGAAATGCTCAAGTCGGCTTGGAAGAACGAGTCCCCGAGCATCTTGGCCAAGATCTGGCTCGACGGGTTTACAGGGGGCGCGTACATTTCAAACGTCAGCGGCGCGCTCGAGATTTTGCTCAAGTCCAGTCGGAAAAATGTCCAGCAAAACACATCGGGCTTTTCCGTGTGGTAGTCGTACCTACACCTCGAACGTTTCAATATATATATTTAAATTGTAGCCAATAATTATTTCTGTTCGTATATATATCCGTCAATCCGTCACAGATACATTTGCCATCTCAATAAAGTATCAGGTAAATCAACATATGTTCATTTTGAATATTTAAATTCAAACTTTCTATAAAATCAAAATGAATCATTAATATATTTTCTCCTTGAACGGACAGAAAAATAATAATCCAAGCGGCGGTATATATTACTTAAAATAATAATATTAATTTAAATCTAAAACTGTATCAACACGCACTATGTAGTTAGCTATATATATATATATATATAAGGTACATGAATAGTGTATATATGTATACAACATACCGAAGCAATTCAAACACTGCCACACAACCCTCCGTCATGTGCTCGAGTGGCACTTGCAAATGCCAAGTGTTTCCAAACCACAGGGACGGACCGTCTTGAATCAACGCGTCGGGCGTGTGCTGCGGGGTGTCGACGACATTCCCGCGCACGTCCATCACGTAAATGCGAAAGTGCGGGGTCTGCATCACGGCGCCAGCGATGGCCACCGCCGACAACAGCACCGACACGTACGTGGCGTTCTTGACTTTGTGGGGTCCCTTGGGGCGGGCGAGCAAGTTAAACCGATCGGTCGGTACCTACAGCATACATATACATCCAATTTAGCGATGTGGGGGTTTGTACATCATGAGATATATATATATATCATATTAGCCACGTGCTGTCGAATTTTTGCCGCCCATCCAAACGTTTGATTTGGCGACCAGGGACAATACCATATATATATATGTACATATATCCGAATATTTGTATATTATAGTTTGGTCAAGCTTCAATAAGATCAAATGGATTCGAATGTTGTTATTTGGCGAATAATGACTCACACAAGGACAACATTGGGGTGAAATGTATAAATCAGAATATATATAGTCAGAGTATCATCGCTCCAGTGTACTGTAGTTCCAACCAGAGGGTACAAAAGTATAAATACGTCGATACATCCACTATATATAACATTCAACCACCCTAAAACTCGATCTATAGACTTTATGAACATAATCGCATACAAGCGTGGGAATGTCACTATAGTTGTGCTTATCCTATCTACTCAAGGAGCGGCATGGAGACTGAATATCGACTTGACAATATATATATTGTCTGTCTTTTACCCAATATTTGGACTACTTTTGTGCTGATTCTTTGCCAAATCTATCGATCGATATTCTTTGTACTGACTTTTGTAAATATCGTCCAGTAGCACACTAATTTCAGTCACACACTAATTCGGTGTTGAATTGGTCCAAGAGTGGATTTGATTGGCTAGTTGATTCATGTTTTGTGTTTTGATTGGTCGATCATCGATTGCATTTGCCAATTTGGTGATTCTGCTCATTCGATTGAGCACTCAAACACTCCAATATTTCGAATTAAATGAATATATATCGTTACAAGAATAATCAGCAAAAGTAGTATATGTAGTAGCCAATCGGATACCATCGTCAACAATAATGCAATTCGTGTGTGTGTGTGGATATGGCAAATATCAGCATTCCACGAGGCCAAATTTGAACGTAAATGGACGACAACATGAGTAAACAAACGCACCGAGACGACGGCGCCAGGGGCCAAGAGGTCCTTGGTCGACTGCTCATCCGCCATATCCAGCGGAGTTTGCCCCGCATTATTGGTTACAGTCACGAGCGCGCCCTTCTTGAGCAAAGATTCGACCAAATCGTCGCGTTCTTCGTGGACAGCGTAATGCAGCGGCGTGTTGCCAGCGTGGTCTTTGGCGTTGATGTCGGCGTCGTTTTCGATGAGCCACACGGCTGTCTTGACGGCTTCAAAGCCTTCGTCCTCTTGGTTTTGCACGGCCAAATGCAGAGCCGACTCGTGCTGGTTGTTCTTGGCGTTGATCCATTCCTTTCGATTCGACCAATCGATGCAAATCATCGACGGATTCGGCGGTACCAGCGTGCCAATGCGCACCATGGGCACCTACAACACATGTGCAATATATAATATATATATATATATTGAGACGATATGAAATATGAAACCAAGGATTGAACAAGATACACATAAGACGACTACACAAACCATATAAGGATACAATAATGCCCGAAAGTCTCTCCATTCATACTACCAAGTAGATATAATATATATATATATATATTTAAATACCTCGCGAATCGCCTTCATCCAGTCGTGAATCTCGGCCTCCGTGTCGGCCACAAACGACACGATGCCGTACGGGTCTTTGGCGCATTTCAACCGTGGTGACAAAATATCAAAGCAGTTTTCAATCGTCGTGGCACGGCGCAGCGTCACGTCTTGCAATTCGATCAATTTCACTGGAATCTACAAATATATATATATATATTATTTATATATATTTCATCGTAACACGCAAATACAAATCACACACAACGTACTCTATCCGTGGACGACTTGTACAGCGCCAATACGTATTCGTCCAGCACCACATGTCGCTTGGACGCCATCTTCGCGCCGCTGGCCGTCCGAAGCGGCCCGGCCTTGAGCACTTTGGTCGTATCTGTTGTAGTGTATGTTAGTATGAACATCGATATAATATTATCATAAGATATATATAGTTACCTGGAGGCAATTCCACAGTTGTTAGCACCGCGGGGTTTGGAGGCATCGCCGACGCACTGGACACGAGCGCTCGACGTTTGGTCTTGCCCCCGGGGGTGTTGTTAGCTCCCCCTCCCATCGATGGCGACCAAAGGGGGGTACCCACTGGCGACCGCGGGGCGGTTTGGCTGAACGAAGAGTCTTTGCGCAGCATATCGCTAATTGAATATATCGATATATGTACATTAAAATGCCTTGCTTAATTTTTGAGATGGTGAAATAGCAGTGTGGATAACCACCACGTACGAGCCTTGGTTGACGGGGGAGTTGTTGCTGTTGGCTGGAGACGCGGACTTTCTCGACGTCCCGTGTTTGGCCGAGTCTTGCGACGGGTTGATGCGGTTTACAATCTTGGCCAAGTACTTGACCATGTCCAGATGTACGAGGCGAGCCGCGTAATGCAGCGGCGTGTTGCCGAGGTTGTCGCGCCCGATCACTTGGTCTTCCATGCCGGGGATCTCGGACAGCACGAACCGCGCCAGGTTGAGGTCGCCGTTGAGGGCGGCGATGTGCACGAGCGACCGCATGTGGTTGTGCTTGTCTCGAACTATTTAACAAAAGATGGATGGGTCAATCACTTCGGTGCTCCATATACATATATATATATATATATATATTATTGACAGGATCGATGTATACCTCCATCACCATCGCATAGGTATACATCATACTCATAACAATGCCACTTTGTCTTTTATTCCATATATATATATATATATATAATATATATATATATCGTCGTTGTGTATACGAGTGTTCAACGAATTCATCAGCACAAACACATATATGCTTTCCAACGCGATAAACACATCGCATATGCAGATACTTTGCATATCTCATAGTCCTGCTTATATATAACTATATATATATTCATCATATATATACATATATTTTAAAATATATTTCATCATATACATATGATTATATACAATTCATCATATATATATATATATATATATACAATTCATCATATATCTATATATGTTTCGTCATATATATCTATATATATATATATATTGAGAGCATTGATAATGTCAAATCGATTCGAAACTGGAGATATATATATGTGTGTGTGTTTCATCGTACCGCGAACCATGGTAGCATTGGGAAACTCCTTGTCCTGGGCCATGGCCAAGATCGTGGATAAGTCGAACGCGTGGGCAGCTGCAAACATTTGGTCGATTTTCTTGTGCAGTCGGATGCGCGCCAGGTACTTGCGCATGAGCGCTAGGACGCGAAGGAGGCCGCGCCGCTGGGTCTGCATCTGCTTGCGGGCGAGTTTGGCTCGGATCGCCGACTGCACTTTGACGATAAGACCGATGTGGGACATGTACTGGCGGCGCGCGACCACGCTTCGCCATCGGGCTTGCAGACGGACAAACCCTGCGCGGGCGCGGAGGTACCGCCGCCGCGCCAAAAACATGCGAACGCACGCCGTCATGGCCGTCGCCGCCTATGAAGAGAGGCATGATGAAAATGGAAGACGTGACAGACCGACCTGTCGGGCAGCGTGGAATCGCCGACGTTGGGGAATCATTTTCCCAAGCGATTGGATCTGGACGATGGCCCACCGTTGACGCTGGTACGTCTGGACGCATTGATGGCGGCGCCACATGGCTTGGATGAGCACAAATTGGCGCATGATGTGGCGATAACTACGGTTGTATGGTTAAAAAATATATAAGTAGATAGTATATCTCAGTGTCAAATGACTGGAATTCCCGTACATTTGACACCATGATAAAAAAAGTTTTTTCGAAATAGGTATATTTTCACGGGAAAAGCAGATTCGTTGCACTTCGTATTATATACAGTATACTACAGTTTCATTGGCCAAATTGAAACATTGTTAACTCAAAATTAATCCACTGCTGTGTCACTATTTAGGGACAAATCAATGGGAATAAAAATGCTCTAAGGTTGAATCAGATCCCAAAGATTTTATCTTGGATAAATTATTGGTGTTTTCTCATGGTGACAACAGTTCCAAATGTATGGGAAATACGGTAGGTTACCTATATATATATATTATATATATATATATATATATTGTCGTTTTCACCAAATTTGGACTGGGCAGTTCATTCGAGAAATCGACCCGAAGCACAATTGTATACCATAGAATAAATGTATAACATACTAAAATTCAATATAAATAGTTCAACTGGGACAAATGGGCCAAAGCCTTGGGCCGGACTACCATTGGTTGGAATTTAGGTTTGAAGCAATTTCATTGGCTAGTCGATGTTGTCGCTATTCGATTGGACTACCCACTCTACTACTTGGAATCGAATGCATAATGCAAGAGGACGTACTGTTTGCGCTGCAGATACCGGCGCACAAGGGACTGCACGAGCACAATCTGCCGCTTGGTTTTCAGATACGCCCGACGCGCAATGATCATGCGACCAAACGCACACAGCCGCGTGGCCATCTTCTTTTCCCGAAGGAACTTGCGCCGCGCCAACGACCGCCGGATCATGGCCTGCGACGCGATCGTAGCTTGACGACCTGAATATCAACACGATACATATGTGGAAGTGAATGATCCCCCAAACCATGATATATCTTCTTTTATGTTCATATATGGAGAAGAAATAATTCAAAGCATTATTTATATATTTGTGCAAAAGTGTGTTGAATTGGTACATTATTTGTACAGAATAAATACGAAAAATAGTTTGTACCTTGGATGTACAGCGTGCGCACTCGGTTTGCGCGCCACCGCGCTTGGACCTTGACAATACACCGTAGTGCCGCGCGGAAGTGAAGGCGGCCCAAATACCCTCGGACCATTCTACCAGTTTATATTAGTAGTAGTAGTTCATAGTAGTAATAGTTCATAGTAGTAGTAGTTCATAGCAGTAGTTCATAGTAGTAGTAGTTCATAGTAGTAGTTCGTAGTAGTAGTAGTTCATAGTAGTAGTAGTTCGTAGTAGTCGTTCGTAGTAGTAGTTCGTAGTAGTAGTTCATAGTAGTAGTTCGTAGTAGTATGTACCTTGAAATGGCCGTTTGCGCATTGGATCGAATGTGTGCTCGAAGGCGGGCGTTCTTGCCATACTTTAAGCGGGCGAGGAAGCCTCGACCCACGGCGTGGATGATAATTGCCGCCTGTCGCTGGCGTCGATACCTACAACCCATACACACACAAAACCAGTTAGTCCATATATAATAAAAATCGTAATAAAAATAATCATAAAAATACTCAATACCGACCGTTGCACTGCCAGGAATCGTTTGGCCGACTTGGAAATGGCAATCGCAGCATGACGAAGGCGAAGGAAGCGCTGGCGCGTCACGTACGCCTGCACCGATGCTTTGACGATGAACCCACTTTGTTTGAGCTTGGCCACGTATTTGCGAGCCAAGTACCCACGAAAGTGCTTGGCAATCACAGTTTGGGCTTTGGGGGCTGCTCGCAAGTATTTTGCCAACTAGACAGACAAGATTGGTCAATACATGTATCCATACATACAGGCAATGAGATGAAGTATTGATCGATATACAAGACGAGGGGCGGGGGACGGAGTCCATGGGATGAAATCGAGCGTTTCAACATATTTTTGAATACATATATATAATATTATTAAATATATACATTTGAACGGAACGTACCATACGAGCTTTACGCCCTCGTTCGCCGGCTTGGATGCAAATGGCCGCGCGCTTCATGCGCAGATACCGACGGCGCGCCAGCCATCGCCGGACGCATGCGTTGAACGACGTGATGCGATGGCGCAGGCGCAGGAACTTTGTGCGCGCGACAAACATGCGCACGTTGGCTTGGACTTGAATGATGGCGGCGCGCACGCGGAGGTACCTTGTTTAGAACATATATGAGATATCTATAAAATTCATATATGCGTATCTATATATATATATATATATTGAGAGCATTGATAATGTCAAATCGATTCGAAACTGGAGCCTTGAGCAGAATCGAATGTGTTAAGAGAACGGACTAAAGAACTGTCTAAGCCAATCAAATCACGCTCTGGTGAATTTCTGCCAATCCAAACGATTGACTCGACCCAGTCGTCCCTCCACATTGACCATATACATTTACATACTGATATATATCTTTGTATAATATAGTTTGTACAAGCTTCAATTGGCTATTTGGCGACATGATTCACAAGTCTAAAACACTTGGGTGACATGCACAACAACAATATCAACACACATATCTTGTGTAGTATAGTTTGTACAAGCTTCAATTGGCTATTTGGCGACATGATCCACAAGTCCAAAACATTTGGGTAAAAATATCAACACACTCGCCACGTACTGTTTTCGCTGGAGGAACCGTCGGACGTAGGCTTGGGCGGTGATGGCGGCCTCGACGCGCACCTTTCGGATGGCGGCGTCTAGTAGCCGCAGCTGCGAGTCACGCATAAACACTTTTTTATTGCCAAGTTGCCAATTGTCTCGTTCCACGGCGTGGGTCAAAATAAGCTACACGACATCGCACAAGGATTGATATATATCTTGATTTTTTTTCTTGTTTTGGATCACAGGATGTATATATATATATATGACCGACCTCGCACTTGTCCTTGTCACCAACGGTGGTAGGGCGTGCCTTGGTCTTGGCGGCGTACACGTTGTACAGGAGTTTGTACTTGAGGTAGAATTCGTTGAACGTGCGGCGGACGGGGAACCCCGAGCGTCGAATCCGCACCGTCTCCATCACGCCCAAGTAAATGAGCTGGTTTAGAATCAATTCGGCATTCCAGCCTTGGGGAAACCGCACGTTGTTGGGCTTGACGCAGCTACACACACGTTTAGTAGTAGCGTCCACGTACGTACGTTGAAGGTTTAGAGACGATGATGGCATGGATATATATATATATATATATATATATATATATATTGTCAAGTCGATTTGAAATTGGAGGGGGAAGTGAGTGCTGCTGCTGCTGCTATATCGAATGAGCAGAATAATCATGGCAGGCAATCGATCGATTTTCGATTTTACACATATTAAAGTTCCTTTTGTAATTGTAAATACCATATCTTCTGTATTGTTCAAATGAGAATAATAAATTAATCCAATATAATATGAATTTTGAAATCTTATCGTACAATCCAAACCCAACCCACGAATCAAGTGGCCAATCCAATCCACTCTTGGACCAATGCAACAATATCGAATTAGTGTGAGCCTGAAATTAGTGTGATACTGGACGATCTTTCCACACAAACGTCAGGACAAACAATATCGATCGATCGAATATCGATTTGGCAAAGAAAATCAGCAAAAAATTGTCCAAATTTTCGGTACAAGGACAATATATATATATATATATATATATATATACCGGACAAACGCAGGAGTTGTCGTGTTGAGTTGCTGCATGAGTTCGGTCATTTGCTCGCGGAACTTGCGGCCCACGGTCATAGTACCCGTCATTTTCGTCATGGACGCGCGCTTGAGTTTTTGGTCGCCTGGTGGAGTGGACGATGCAAACAACCCGCGGAGGAACGCCATGGTGCTGCTGTTGGTCAGATTCAGCAAGTCGTTGTGCAGCGAGTCGTTGTTCTTGTCGAGAAACCCGGCTACCTTGTACGTCACTTGTCCTTTTGGCCAAACAAACACAACCACATATATATGAAAACACTATTTTTTTATCTACATATAATAATTTAATAATAAAAAATGATACAAAAAATAATAAAAGCATACTAGTATCGTGTTAAAATAAATGTATCATCGATGTACGTACGTACCGGCATAATGCTTGATGATGAAATCTTCGTTGCCAAAACGAGGACGGATATAATTGGCGTGTTTTTCATGGGTTTGGTGTAATTTTTGGATAAAATTATCGTCCGAGGCGCGGCGGCCCATCAACGCTTGCTCGTCCAGCAAGATCAGGATCCCCAACGGTCGCTTCTCAATCAATTCCAAGCACGGAATGTTGTCTACAAGAGTAACCGATTAAATATATTGTTTAAGTGTTTATATTCTAAACTGGAACGACATGGAGAATGAATCGGCACAAGCAGAAGGATATAACCAATCAGATTGCAGGAAATCAACATCAAAAAAGTCGAATTAGTGTGAGACTTCAATTAGTGTGATTCCAAACACTACCGGACACCTTTTTACATTCAAATTTCAGTACAAAGAAGAATCGATCGATCGATTTGGAGATTTGATTGGCTCTTTCAGAAAGGACAAGTATATTCAATTAATCAAAAACTCTGGCGTGATTATTCCATATTGATCAGACAAACCACGCGACTTTTAAAAGTGTATAGCGAATTCACAATACAATTGTCCCATGCATGTCCTATTTTCGACTGACTACTCTTGAACGTTCAAAGTGGCAGCGGATTTGACATACTACCAAACAAATATCAAAATATATTGTGGTATATTTATTCGATACGAATAATTTCCAGACCCATAATCGAATGATCTCGCCGGTGAATCGAATAATCACGAATCATCGACGCTATTGGCTACTCCATTTTTGAGTGGATTTGATTGGCTCGAAAGGACACATATATTCAACCAATCAGAACTCGAGCGTGATTCAATATAGACAAACCAGGCGAATTTTGGAAGTTTATAGTAGCGATTTCACAATATCATGGTGTACAGTACCTTGGAATGACAATTTCGACCAGTCGATTCCTTCCTCCACGTACACGTCTTGCTCGTACACAAACACGTGCTGGTTGAACTGCTGCTGAAGCATTTCGTTGGTGTAGTTGATGCACAGCTGCTCGAACGAGTTGACGGCGAGGATTTCAAACCCGAAAATGTCCAAAATACCAATGAACCGCGACGCCCCGACGTCGTTCATTGGCACCGCGCCCGTCATTTGCGCCGTCGCCACGTTGATGCGGTCCACGAGCCAATCAAACAAGGCCGAGTAAATCGCTTTCGCGAGCCCGTTGCGCGATTTGCCAGCGTCCACCCCCGACAAACAGATCTCGGCCACGCTTCCACTGCCAACAACCACACCATGAAATACTCTTTTCATATATATATATTATTCGCTGCATATATATATGTATCGTACCGAGCGCCGGCACTCACAGTTCGCATGCACAGAGCAAACTCAAGTTCGCGGGGCGTCACCTCCAACAACGACGCCAGCACGGCCACTTGGGATTTGTCTGGACACGTCGCTTCGTTTTTGGCATTTTCGACAAACTAGAGGGTAAATAAATAAATCCATTTCGGTATTATATTATTTCAAAAATACAGTACAGCACAATACAAGTGCTGGTTCGTGGCCTTCAATTTTTTCACACATGTGTGTACAATCGCTGTGTCGAAGCGTAAAAAATATATTGTATGTATGTTTAAATGTAAACATATATGTATAAATATATCGACTCTCCCAAAAGTATTTATATACTAAAGCGTCGATAAATTATACTGTATACATATGCATGTCAATATATATATATGAATCTCCCACAGTGGTATCTTTATATCGATGGACGTACGGATAAATATATTTATACATGTGTAAATAAATAAATATATATATATATACGCTTCCCCCGTCAGTATTTATATAGCGAAGCGTCAATCTATTCTATGTGTAAATATATATATATAAATATGAATCGCAAAAGTCATATATTTTGCATACAAAGAAGATACACGTACGTTGAGGTTGCCCAGATGCAGGACGGACGCGACGAGAGTAAATATGTTGTGCTTGAGGTCGGCGCTGATGCCCATGACGTCCATCGCGTCCACGAGCTCTTTGAAGCACTTTTTATCGTTTACTTCTGGGCATTGGATGCAGTGGCCTTGGTTCAAGTACACGTAGTCGTCCGCGCGTTCCAAATGCAGCGCCGCTAATTAGTGTGAAATATGCCGATAATTAGATTTTTGTTATATACGCTAATAAGACGATCGTACCTCGCTCGGCGTCGGTTAAACCGGAACAAATTTGGTAAAAAATGTGGTAATTGCGCTCGTTCTCGGAACACCCGACGATTCGCGACTTCTCGAGCAAGAAATGGCTGGTGCTCGCGCCGCAGATCTTGCCGTCGCGGTCGTAGTTGATTTTGATGAATTTGCCAAAACGACTATGGAATCCAGATGGTCAGTAAAGCGAGGGACAACGGCCCAAATCAACACTGCCATGACAGTTATGGGGCACTAAATCGAGGGAACACGGCAACACACCAAACAGATTCTTGTGCGTCGGACCAAAGATGCATACACATCAACAGTTTCTAGGTCAGTAAACCGAGGGAAAACGACGAAAACTAGCAACATCAATGGGATATGGCGTCTTTCTGGGCAGTAGACCGAGGGACAGCTGTGACATACGAACGTTCAGTATCGGCATAATTACCTCGAATTGTCGTTGCGAATGGTCTTGGCGTTCCCAAATGCTTCCAGTAGCGGATTACTCTGTAGCACACATTGCTCGACGGACCCGCCGCCGTTCACATGGGAGGACTTGGACGACTGACTAATATTCGCCAAGTACTACCACATCGATGCATCATCCACTGAGCTCATCAAACATGTGTGATGGGTATGTATGTTACCCGCATGATGTACTTGGCAGCTTCCGTCTTTCCGGCGCCAGACTCCCCCGAGACCAAGATGGATTGGCACTTTCCCGTGCTTTGCAACGCGCGATACGCGCCGTCAGCGGTGACGTACACGTGGGGCGTGGGGTTTTCCTGCTTGCTCAACGACCCGATGTCGGGGAAGTTGTACAACAACGGGATGTTCTTGTACGGGTTGATGGAGATCAAAATGTCCCCTGTGAACGTGTAGATCAAATCCTCCATGTACCGTCGACGGAGCAGGTCCAAGAGCGGCGCTTCGTGCAAGTTGTCCATGTCTGACACGTTCGGCAACAGCATCGAATGCGACGGATCGAATGGATGGGTTTGCGACACGTTGAACTTGTGCTCTTCGTTGTCGTCGGGGGTGAGCACAAAGAGAGAGTCGCCGTCGTCTTCGACGATGGACCCCAATTGCCACACATTCCGCGGATCCGGACACCATACCTTCTCCCCTTCGCGTCGAGCTTTCGTTGCCGTCGAAGTCGCCATGGAATTGCCGCACGCTTGTTGCCCGATTGTACAATTGACTGTGAACGACAGGGCCACTTTCATGAATTTAGTTAGACAAAATCCTCGATTAAGTCCGATTTGGCTTACTACTTTCATGAATTTAGTTAGACAAAATCCTCGATTAAGTCCGATTTGGCTTACGAGTGTTAGCCATTTCCCGTTCAAATTGAAATGAATTTCCAGTCAATAATGTGAAATGCAGAAATATTGTAAGATTTCACAAGTGCAGTTTCACGAAAAATGTTCACATCAAATTGAAACGTTAACTATAGTATAGTGACCATAAGGTGATGAATTATACTACCCCTTAGTATACAATAAATATTCAATCATCATGTCTACCCTCCCTCACCCATCATCATCCTCCTTTATCCAAATCATACACCAGAATATATATGAAACAAAGTATGTTTCAAGTATTCATGTTGATTTGAAAATCGTCGTGTTTCGAACGTGTTCATTTCACATTGACTGGAAATTCATTTCAAAAGTGGTGTAGTAATTCGACATTGATTTCTCCGCATTTCCAAACCAGGGTACATAGTCCCCAGGAAAGATGGTTCCTTCAGGTGAATAACGCGCTGGGGTGCTGCAGCAGCTTCATCGGGGCGATGTTCCCCAGTACAAGACACATGGTCAAGTTGTTGAGTATTCTGCGTTGGTGGTGGTACGTAGCAACAATTCCGATGTCCGCTGTGCATGTTCAATGGTGCGCCGGTTCCAGTAGCAGGTGCATCATCGATACTATCCACACTGTGGAAAATGGGCTGAGGATTCCACAGTCCAAGTTCAGGCAAGTTGTGTCGGGAAGGTCATTAGATTAAGGTGGTGTAAAGCAACGAGGTCACTTGGTTTCTTGTCGGGTGATTTGGTGGCTTGGCGTGAATTGGGCGTCCCGAAGCGACGTGTAGTTCATTGCAGACGTGTTGGTGGCCACAAACTCACGGAAGGGTGCCGTGGATTGCATTTGCTGGGACTGGCTGATGCATGTGAGCACGTTCTGGAGCTCGCCGCGCCGTCGATCCAAGACTGCATGTGGGGTCAGCTTGATCAGGACGTTTGTCCACAAGTCCCCCGTCGGCATCTTCGGCAAGGCGAATCCGAGGTCTATCAGTGCTTCGTGCAGCGCCGCGAACTGCGCATAACGTTTCTGGATCACGCGGATGTTACGGTGGGGTGACGTCACCGCACGGGTTTCGTTGATGACGACGGTGAATTCCACGTACGATCCCGTGGCCGCCCTGGCGTACTTCCATTCCTTGATATGGAGCACAGCGGTCGTGGCGGCATTGTCCTTCTCGTACGTGGGGGTATTGTGGTGGCTGGCAGTCATGATGTGGTCGACGAGGCAAGTTGAGAAATCTGCCATGTGCTGTGTCGTCTTTGATTACAACGTTGGTCAGAATCGTCGTCGACGAGTTCTTTTGCGCAAATTAGGAAAAGTTGATGAAAATGGAGTCAAATTTCACTCATTTTTCACGAATCTCGAGATACTCATGTTGAAGTCAAACGACGGCGTTTGATTGGCTCATGCCTGTATGTGCAAATTTTTAGAATCTTGCCTGGTTGAAAAATTCGACAATTTTTCAAGGCTGTCTGGCTGCTGATGTCAGTTAACATTCCTCTTGCAGATACTACGGTATAGTAACTGTAAGCTTACCTTTTATTTGAGTGCAGCAACAAATCGGTCGACAAACTGTTTCGCAACCTTGTTGTGCTCGTGCAAATGTACCTACAGTACCAGTTTACAGTTACTGTGTACTACAGTGTACAGTAGCTGGGTTTGGGAATACCGGGTACAGTTAGAAGTACGAGTATGTAAATGTAGGAGGTTACCAAACGAAGGGATATCGTTACAGTAACAATGTGTTGCTTTATCGCCAGGTACTGTAGACTACGGAATGCCGCACCAAGGGTGAGTACGTGGCCTCCCAATAGCCTTAGCTTGACCTCACCAGGTCAAGATCCCGTCGTGAAGGGCACAGCCTGTAGATACATCTGCTAGTAAATCCAAACCATTGCATCTGTCTTTGCTACAGTTCATCTATGATGTTGCTCCATACCGGTATCTTGGGGACGCTTGTTGCTTGGACTGGTAGAAGTAATGTTTTTCCGTTGATTTTTTCTTTGGAAATTCGGCAGATAACATTACACTGAATTACAGAACGAACCTCTGAATATGTTTATTCGCATACTAAACCCAAGGTTAAAATACGTCAACAATTGGCACACTACTTTATCGAGGTGATTGTGTTGCATATGTGATGCGTTAAACGCGCTCGACTCGGATTGTGCGAAATACATTGCGAGCGTGTCAATACCCACCAGCCAGACTGTAAAACTTCGGAAACACTAAAATTTACTAACTTACTAACGTTAGTACACTTCTATTAATAGTACATATGGTGCACGTCCTCTATAAACTACGAACTTTTTACAACATTTTCTGACTTCAATTTTTTTCATACTACAGTAGTAGTCATTACTCAAAATTTCAGCAAAATGAGATGACAGATCTCAATGTGGTGAAGAAATACATGTACTTGGCTGCAACTGCCACGCGAACAGGCGAAGGGAAATCGCAACTGAGCCCACCTCGCCAGTGCCAGTCGAGACCACAACGATGCTCCCTCATACAAGCCCCAACCCATTGTCGTGAAGTCGATCCAGTGTGTTCCATTGGAGCCTCCAAGAGCAGTGCACAAGAAGGGACCACTTACGCTCGCAGGGAGGTTCACCATCAAGAAATCGTCGACGTGTTCGCTTCAAACAGCGGTTTGCAGAGCATTTCAACGAGACGGACTGCTCTGCAGCCGCGTCGAGCGTTTTTGTTTCTGTCAACCAAGCAATAAGAAAAAGCAGTTGTGCATGCGTACACTGTAGCGTACATTAACTGTAAATACAAGTGTTTACGCGAAAGGAGGTAAAGCAGTTTCGAATTCGCGCTGGCTCCATCGCGACGACTACAACTCGACCAACCGCGCGCGAGGGAGAACTTCGATTGCCGAGCTTAAGCCGTGAAAGGTGCCTCCAATGTGTATCGTTTACAGGGGTTACATCACTAAGCACGATTAAGAATGATCAGTAAGATACCCCATCACGACACAAAAGTCTGGTTTCCATGCCGAAAGGTCGGGACAGTTTCACATTAATACGTTGACAGCAATTGAGTACTAACGTTAAGTTAGTACGTCGAAAATCGGATTGCCGTTTGCTATGTAACGTCACTTTTCAATTGGTGTCATGACCATCGTGCGCATTCTCGTCTATGGAATTATCGCTGGTTGTGTCGACTTGGCAGAATCCAAGTGCCCGACCCACTATGCGCCGTACAAGGCGGTAGTGACGGTGTCCAAGTGCACGTCCAAGGATGTTGCGTTTTGCATCGTGGACGGTCAATACAAGCAACTCCCGCTGGCTGCCACCGATACGTTTTCGTTTAATGGCCAAAATGTGCGCGTGGGCCAGCCTTTTGACGGATTGGTCGCGGAATTGCCAGCCGCTGCCGTCTCCGCCGACTTTACGTATGCGTCGGTGGATGTGGGCGATTTGTCGGCGAACACCAAGTTAAAATCGCTGTACGGAACATGCATGGATTTATCAACTCGATCGTGACGTCGACACCTGTCATGTGTAGGTCGTTTTACCGCACAAACCGTGCCAACCTAACCAGCGCTAAGCTGCCACCATCCCTCACGACACTGTACATGTCAAAAACCATCTCGGTCTTCACGTAATCATGCCAATCAATAGGATCTTGACCAGCTCGGTGGGACTGACGCAACTGCCATCGAACGTCGACTACTCGAAGCTCATGACGTTGTACGATATCGATGTTGCCATATACAGACAGGACTCGTTGAAGGTTCCTTGTGTAGTGCTGCCGGGAACGAGCTCACGCGAGTGGACAACTTGAACGTGCCCAACGTGCAAGATCTGTATGGGCATCAACCATTCGCTCTACTAAATGGTTGTTAACAGTAAATGGGAACACATACTAGGTCGTTTACTGCCAACTCAAGATTGACTACTATCACCAACTTGAAAGTCACGTCCAAGCTATCCACCTTGTACGTTGCCTTTTGTGCCATCTTGTAGCCAGCGCATTCACTTTTTGAGCGGTACTGACTGCAAGGCCTGCCCTTTGACCATATTCACCGTGGACGAGACGTCGTATGCTACGCTCGCTGCACTGTCACCTGCGAACTTTCTTGTGAAATCGTTGGATGTGTCTGCCACGTGCAAGGCGCCAGGTGTCGTTAAACCCCTTCAAGCTAGATACACAGTGTGTGTACAAGCTCGTACGTGTTTTTTTTTCGATATTGTCGTGGCTTAACAAAGACTGGTTGGTGGATAGCTCCTATGACGACTGCAACCGCAGTCACCACGACTGTAGCCCCCACTGTTCTCTCCACCGTGGCCTCCTCCACAACCGCGATTAACAACCGCGATAGTTCCATCAACCACCAACGCGACGACCGACAACTCTACTTGGAGTGCGTGTTCAGCTGCATTATATCAAATGCACAGTTCGCATGACGGGCTAACTTTTGAATGTGTAGCCGTCCCTATCACCTCCGCCAAACCTGAGACAACGTTGGTTTCTTCGCCCACGCCAGCAGCCGTCATCCTCATGTCCTTTGCCAGTGTCGTCATCGTGACATTTACCCTTTAGGTAGCCTTCTAGACACACACCCCAACACCAAAGGAACAGTGCTTGGAGACGTTTGAATAATGTGAAACGAATACTGTCGTTTTATTCGGATACCAACGCCTGGTCCGGATAAAAAGTCCCACTATGGTACTTTCCCGGTGCACTCCCAAATTTTTGATCATGGGAAACAGCCACTCCTCCAAACTCAGTGCCAGGGAACTCGAAGACCTAAAGGGGCCTTTCAGTGATGAGGTAGCCTAGCATGGGCAAGACCCATGTGATGTGTGTTTAACATGCATTATGTCGTCATCAGGAATTCGAGTCGTTGCAAGCGCTAGTGGCCGAAGCCCATGCAAACAAAGCCGTTTTCTTGGTACGTTCGTTGAAGTGAACGCGAAGCTGTGACATCACCATGTTGTTCAAACTAGGACCGATTCTCGTTGGGTCCGTTGCACGGGTCGTCGGACGATGTGCTGAATGCATTCGGGGAGGTCTTGTACTCGTCCTTTGGTCGACTTGCGGCCGACGAGTCGGCCGAGTCTGCATCACCAGACAACGACCAGCTATCGATAGTTCACGTCGCCAAAGCGGGTACGCTCTTTCGCCACGTATAACCCTCCTTCGTCCTCACCATGGTTTCAGCGGCCATGTGCATCCGATCGCCGTCGTCGTCCACCCTGCGCGCCCTCGTGGCCATCTTTAGCCCATCCCTCGAACTGTCACCGACGCAACTCCACCAGCTCTTTGTACATGCTTCTCCACATCGTCGTCACGTCCTCATTGACCAGATTGATGGTAGATGGCATGTTTTCTCATGGCTGAAGATACAAACCCTTCGTCGCGTCCTATGGGTTCGAAGGACGTGCATGAATACACCCCCGTCGCCGCCGCCATGGCGGACGCCTTTCAGCTGCACTCGTCGCACATCACGCCATCCACGTTGGCCGCATGGGCCCCTACGCATGCCCCCCTTCTGCACACGGTGTTTGCTTCGTGGATGAGTTTCAAGTGTCTTGGACCTCGCTCCAAGGTGTCGTACGTTGCGCCACGTTTATCCCACCCGTCAGATATTATGACCCGGTACTTCCCAATATGACGTGGCACGCTCTGAGATATGTATGCAGGGGAGAAGAGCTGGCGCTGTCGTTGCAATCTGTGCAGCTTCAACAGAATTGGGATCGATTGTACACAAGTACTGAGGTATCGAGTTTTGAATTCCGAACGTTACAGTGTCATTTCCTTCATGTATTTTATGTCCCATTTGATATTTTTCCACGTACACTTGATGTTTATTGGTAGAATGTACGTACAATAAATGATATTGTTAATTTGGTACGAATTTCATCGACCAAACCGATCACGAATCACTCCCATTGGTCTTTAAAAATATGCTTGACACTGATTGGCTACATTATTTTTTCTTGAATCGGGAAAGCCAATCAAATTTTGCGGCGAGATTTTGTGATCGGTTTTACGACTCGAATTGGGAAATTTGTAGCAAATTCAAACGTTATTTGTTTTGATCTTTTCTCATTATTATTTCACTTTTCCCTGCACCAATTGGATACAATTTCCACGTTTGGATGTTGTTTTCCCATAAAATATTGTGGATTCGGTACAAATTTCCAGGCCCCGTCGAATAATCGAATCTCGCAGCCGAATCGAATCACGAATCGACGCGATTAGCTACCCAATATTTTATAGTGGATTTAATTGGCTCTTACAAAAAGGACAAGTATATTTAACCAATCAGAACTCCGGCGTGATTCAATATTGATTAAACAAACCGCGCGAATTTTGGAAGTTTATAGCGAATTCTTCACAATAATATATTGGCCATTTGATTTACGTTGTAGGATGGTCTGAGCTTCAATCGACTTGCGTATCACCTGCTGGGGTACTCTGGCCCCACGCTACTCGTGATCACGGATTCGAACGGAGGTACGTACACCTGTATATATAGATATATTGTGTTTCTTTTACCCCAAATTTGGATTACTTTTGTGCTGATTCTTTGCCAAATCTATCGATCGCTTCCTTTTTTGTATGTAAAAACGTCGGATATCACACTAATTTCAGTCACACCCTACTTCGATGTTGAAATGGATAATTTGATTGGTCACTTGGTTAGTGTTGTGGGTTTTGATTGGTCGATCTTCGATTGTCTGAATTCAATTTCCAATTTCGAATATATCGACAATATATATATATATATATCGACAATATATATATATATATATATATCGTTCCAATTCCTAACCCACTTGTATGTACAGCAACGTTTGGCGCGTACGCAGATACACCGTGGAAAGAAAGCACCAAGTTCTTTGGGGGCCCGGGGTGTTTTCTATTTCGAACGAGTCCAACGTTTCTCCTCTGCCCAGCTACGACTGGAGCCGCGTCCAACTACATGTACTACAACACCAAGGGCGTGGTGCTGCCGCGGGGACTCGGCTTTGGCGGCACCACGTCCAAGTGCCGCCTCTTCCTGGACGACGAGCTGGACAACTGCACGTCGGCGCTCAAATGCGCGTCGTACGAGCCGGGCGCGGTGGCCATGAAGGGGTCGTTCCATATTGAAACGCTCGAGGTACTGGAGTTGCTTTGGTTGCGCTAAGGATGATGATTGGAGGTGTGGGGATGTGGGGGCGACGCGTGCATGGCCGCGCAAAAGGGGTACCGCGCCGACACGGCCGAGCTCATCAATCGGGCGCGCAAGGTGGACAAAGCGCAGTTTGTGGGTACGTCCAGGGGGGACGATGCAGTGTACTGGATAAGGGGGGGCTCGTGATGGTGGATATGACGACGATGATGATGATAGGCAATGCGTTTGATCGAGAAATGTTCCTTGGTAAAACGTTTGGCAGCGGCGCCGACGCCGCGCGAGTGGCAGACGACGAACATTGAGATGTGTTTTGGAGGAATCGTATGTTACGGACAGGGTAATATAAGGTGTCGTTTCCTACAGATACAGCTTAGACGTGTTGCCTCGGGTGTCGTCCTGAGCCTGAACTACGAGAAGTACCAACTAGGAGACTACAGTATGTATACTCGTTCACACCTCTAATCGCAATGCTGTTTGCAAGGATTATGTGAACATACAGCTTTAGCCACGGTCATGGTTGTCGCTAAGCGACTCGCATCATGGGATGTATGCTAACGACGATGTATGCCCTACATGCACGAACACATTGAGCGCATGCCAGTGCACCTCTGCATCTGGTGGTGCGACCTCCTTTATAGCAAGCAGTTACTTCTTCTGCAGGGCTTCTGCAGCTGGACAGCACATCTCGATTGTGATTGGTGGAGGAATTTGCATTTTTTCTATTATTGTATACAAATTCCAAGTTCAACGTCAAAACGCAGATATAATTGAACGAACGGTTGTCGAGCTATTCTTCAAAGCATGTTTGGCGGCCAACAACAGCGGACAGGCTTTGGCTTTGGCGCCGCGGCCAGTGCGCCAGCCTTCGGCTCTCAGCCCTCCACAGGCGGATTCGGTGGGTTTGGAACTGCAGCAACTGCACCCAACGCATCACCATTCGGTGCTCCAGCGGCTGCGGCCTCTCCATTCGGCGGAGGGGCCAACACCACGCCGGCATTTGGTTCCTCGTTTGGAGCCCCATCCGCCACTACGAGCGCATTTGGTGCGCCAGCTTCAGGTACGCCTGTGGGCTTTGGTGGGTTTGGATCGACTACAACGACTACGTCCTTTGGTGCACCTGCTCAACCGGCGGCAAGTCCATTCGGCGCTCCTGCTGCTCAACCTGCCGCCAGTCCGTTTGGTGGCGGTATGTTCGGAGGAGCTGCCGCAGCCAAGCCTTCTGGTTTCGGCGGCTTTGGTGCGGCTTCTCCAGCGGCTACCCCGTCAGCCTTTGGAACCACAACATCGGGCTTTGGAGCCCCCGCGACCAACGCGTTCGGCGGTCAGTCAACCTTGGGTGGAGGGGGGTTTGGTGGAACTGCGTTTGGAGCACCTGCCGCCGCCCCTGCGTCCGGATTCGGCAGCAATCCGTTCGGACAGCCCACGCCAGCCACGACCGGTGCGTTCGGCGCGCCGGCGGCCCAAACCGGTTTCGGAGGCTTTGGGGCTGCACCGGCGACTGGACAAGCCCTTGTGGGCACCGGTCCGCCTGCCAGCTACAAGCCAACGTCGGAACAAGAAACCGAAAAGGGCAAGATGACCACAGTGCACTTTCAGTCCATTTCGAAGATGCCCGAGTACCAGCACAAGTCGGCGGAAGAGCTGCGATGGGAAGATTATTTGAAACGAACGGACCCAGCAGCCGCGCAGGCGCAGGCCGCCCTCGTCCCCAACACGGGGGGAGCGGCCCCCGCCGCCACCAACATGTTTGGCCAGCCGTCGACGACGGCAGCGTCTGCTTTTGGGAAGCCCCCGCTCGGAGGCGGATTTGGCCAAGCAGCTGCTCCAGCCACCGGCGGCTTTGGCGGTGGGTTTGGAGCTCCGGCGGCCCCCAGTGCATTTGGTGGAGGAGGGGGATTTGGTAGCTCCAACACGTCGTTCGGGGCCCCCGCCGCGGCGCCCACCACCACCTCGTTTTCATTCGGAAACAATGCCGCTGCCGGTACTGGTACGGGAGGTGGATTTGGTGGGTTTGGGGCAACCCCGAGCAACGCTTTTGGAACCCCTTCGACGACTGCTGCTTCGACGACGACAGGGGGGGGCTTTGGGGGCTTTGGGCAACCGGCGGCCCCAGCGACGACAAGTGCCTTTGGAGCCCCCCAAGCCACCACCACCACGGGGGGGTTTGGGGGTTTTGGCGCCAAACCGGCGACGACAAGTGGTGCCTTTGGAACAACCACTGGGGGATTTGGAGGCTTTGGGAGTGCGCCGGCCGCCACGCCGGCGACGACGACGACTGGCGGCGGATTTGGCGGCGGATTTGGATCGACCCCGTCGTCTGGGTTTGGCGGCGGGTTTGGGAAACCGGCGGCAGCCGCGCCGTCTGCATTTGGGAGCTCGTTTGGCAGTACACCCGCCGCCGCGACGGGTTCGTCGGCGTTTGGCGGATTTGGATCAACGAGCAATGCATTCTCGCTCAACACATCTGCCCAGCCAGGAGGAGCGGCGGCGTCAAGTGCGTTCAACTTTGGCAAGCCGGCTTCCACGGCGACCCCGAGTCTATTTGGGTCGGCTGCCACGTCATCGTTCATGCCATTTGGGTCTTCGTCGTCGTCGGCTGCCCCGTCTAGCTTTGGGACCACAGCGGCCAACACGGCAACCAACGCCGGGATGTTTGGGGGGGGTAGTTCATTTGGTGGGGGGGGCTTTGGGGCTCCTGGTGGTACCACCACCGCCCAACAACAACAGCAACCCACGACGTTGTTTGCCGGGCACGACACGAATCCGTACGGAACGGGGTCATACGGCGCCGGGTTGATTGAAAAACAGATTCAAACCACACTCACATTGCCAGTCCCGACGTCCGGCGCGGCCAGCTCCCAGTCGTCGTTGTTTCCGGCTTCGTTGTCGGTCTACGGTGGTACCGCCGCGACCCGGGACGATCGACCGGTGAAGCCGATTACGACCGCGGCAGGGCTTCGCTTCCACCCATCCCCCGCTTCTACTGCCGCGGCGACTCGGGCGGCGCTGTCGTCGCTGGAAACTCCCACGGCCGATAGTACAACAACTACATCCAGTAGTAGCAGTAGCTTTGCCACGTCCAAGTTTAAGAGCCTCGCGACCAAACAGTTGACAATCAACACGCCGCCCCCCAAACTCACACGACCTACAGACAAGCCCCAAGTCATCCCGGAAGCCATCACTTTGACGTTTGTCGTGTCCAGTGATAGCTCCTCTTCCCCTTCCCGCCCCATCCGGTGGACGGGGGACGCCGACACGACGCTGGACGCGGTGTGGCCTGTCGTGGCAAGCCAAGTCAAGCCGGCCAAGCTCGTGCGGTGGCGTCAGAGCGACGGCGCCCCCCTCTCCCTCGACGCGACGGTCGGGTCTGTGGATACCTCGGCGCCGATCGAGGTGGATGTGGTCGATACGTCGGCTGGCGGCCCCCACGTCCCCGCCGCCGCCTCGTCTTCAGATTTGTCGTTTGACAGGTTTTACGAAAAGGAGGTGGAGAAAGAATCGGCGTGCCATGCCGTCAACCCGCTGGCGCCCGTGCTGACCAAAGAAGGGTACTATACCCTTCCCGACTATGACACGCTGTGCACGTTGTCGACGGGCGACTTGAAAGCTGTCGATCACTTTGTTGTGGGGTGCAAAGGCATGGGCTGTGTCCAGTGGTACGGCAGCACGGACGTAACCGGACTCAACTTGGACGAGCTCGTGCTATTTGCACCGAAAGAAGTGATTGTATACCCCAATGAAGACGACAAGCATCCGCTCGGCGAAGGACTCAACAAGCCCGCGCTCGTGGAACTGCTGCACATTTACCCACCAGACGACCCCGCCAAACGCGCAGCCTATGTGAACCGCGTGAAGGCTCGTACAGACCACATGGACGCCACATACGTCGACTACCAGCCCGATGCCGGCGTGTGGAAGTTCAAAGTCGAGCATTTCAGCCGGTATGGGTTTGACGACGACGAAGACGACGAAAACAGTCACCATATGACGACGGAGAATCCCCCCAATACGTTGCAAACGATGGCCGCCAAGCTCAAGTTGAACCCAGCGCGCCTGCATCAGCTCCAAGCATTGTACTTGAAGCAAACGATTCCCCATGCTGCCCCGGTCTCGATGACCACGGACATGCAAGAAGAGGACATTGGGAAATCGCCATCGATTTTTGGATCGTTCCCATTGAGTGAACGACCTGCGGCCTCCACCTCCTTGTCCTCGGCTACACATCCGACTCGTTTGGTGGTGGTGGAACCCGTGACGCCCCCGCCCCCCGCGCCTGCCGCCCCCAGACGATACGCGGTTCCTCCCCCTTCTCGTCAACAAGGGTCGCCTACGTTGGCACTTTGGAACGGCCCCAACACGTCGACATTGGACATGGGGATCTCCTTCGGCCGTTCGTTCCGAGGTGCGAGTTTCGGTCCGTCTGGTCAATTGGTGGTCGTGACGCGCCACCGTCACGTCCGGGTGTACGCGCACCCGATCGCGACCCCCGCGACGGCCGACTCTCTGCCGCTTTTGGCCGTCCATCAATCGCTGTCCAAGACCAACGACTATCACGTGACACTCCCATCCGACCTCTCGGCTCACGTCCACGAATATGCCGACAATGCCGTGGCGGCCACGTCAATGTGGCAGCTGGTCGTGGCGCTGTACGGATTGGAACCTCCTCGTCCAGATGACGACCGAGGAGGCAGAAGTACCCGCGGCCACCCCTCGGAGCATCCGCCGCTGTCCCCTAGCCAACGCGACGAGTTCATCTCTCGGTGGTTCGAACGCGCTATCCGCCGCCGCCACCACCCCCTCCCCCCTTCACAGTCCAAGCCCACGTCAGAAAAGACCGTGTTGCAAGCGCTGCTGCAGCACAACGTGGTGGCGGCGGCCCAGCGCGCGATGGCTCAAGGCAACGCGCACCTGGCCATGTTGGTCGCCCAAGCATCTTCGTACAACGGAAGCTCGTTTCGCCAGCAATTGGAGTCGCAGTTGAGTCAATGGGAAGACCAAGCCGCGTCCAGACATGTGGACAAGAGTCTTTTGGAAGTGTACAGCATCTTGGCGGGCAATGTCGGCGTCGTGACCAAGCGCGCGACGTCGCCTTCTTGTTCGATGGACTGGATTCAAATGCTGGCACTCGTGCTGTGGTACCACAAAGGACCGACGAGTCTCCCCAACGCCCTTGGCGTGTACCACTCCTTTGTGCAGCAAGGATGGGCTAAACCTGCCGTGGACACCGCCACCATGAAGCCCGACGTGCTGTTTGAGCTCATGCAGCTGTACTGCGATGCCAAGACGTCGCTCACGTCGGTGCTGTCGGCTCTTCCCGACGACATTGCGTGGCACTTGAATGCGCTCTTGTCGTCCGTGCCTAGTCAATCGCTGCGCTTGTCCCCCAAAGCTCACACACTCCTTACGCGGCACTATCTGAGCCATCTCGTCGCCGACGACCAACACATTTCCCACGCGCTGTACGTAGCCATGACCCTTGAAAACGACGTCGAGCGGCAAGCCACGGCCAGAGCCATCCTGGAGCGCCACATCACGGCCAGCACCCCCCTGGAACCCCTGGAGGCGATCGTGCCATCGACGTGGATCCAACACGCACTGGCGTTGCATGCGCTGGCTGAACATCAGTACCAAGCCGCTATTGAGCACTACCTTCGCGCTGGCGACTGGTCTCGTGCCCACGACGTGTTGATTGAGCACGTGGTATTTCCCGCCCTCTTTCGCCAAGACACGGGGGGAGTGCTCGAGGTGCTGGAGGGGTACCTGGAGCCGCATTCATTTGAGATTGCACACTGGACTAAGTATGGCCAAGTGGTGCTGAGCTATTTGCGGTTGCGCAACAGCCGAGAGGGCGCAACGGTGGAAGACGTGGTGGCGTTGGGCGACCAGCTGCTACTGTGGCAAGCCAACCCCCTCCATGTGTTGTCGGACAACCCGACGGAAGCGGCGGCGGTGGCGCGGGCCTGCTTGAGCAGCATGCTCACGTACACGACAGAAGTGGCGCTGCTACTTCACCCCCCGCCATCGCTCTCGGCCGACAGTGGACGCCATGGTGTATGGCTGCTGGACCGATTGCAAGCGTTTGTGCAGCCAGACTGTTTTGGCGAAGCGTTTCGCGCAAAGTTGCTGGTGCGAGCATGTGCCACATTTGATTGAAAGCGTGCATTTTAGTCGTAGTACCCGAGCATAACAAAAACGTTTACAATGCACTTCTGTTAATCGAATTCAACACACGGGTTGTCGTGGTGTCGAGACGAATTGTGGTGGTTCCGACACTGTGCAAGCAATACAGTACAATAATAGTATTAATAATATCAATCGTTATTAATAATATCACCAGAGTTTACCCACTAACTTGTTGTTGGGGGTTATGTTTTTGTTATTATTATTGTACGTAATAGAGAGTCCTGCAAACCTTATCGACACCCTCATTGACTACCTACCGAAGCAGTAAAGATGCTTGGGAGTGAAATTACAGTGTACATATTTGCACATATATTTGATGGAACAGTACTGTAACGTTATCGGATCGTTGATACATAGTCAACAGCAGCGAGTGGACATCAAGTTGATGATCATGCCTGCAGCCACCGTCATGCCAGGTATTTATAGCTGAGTAGTTGGTATAATTGACAAGGGAATTGATTGGATTGTTCGGCCCCCAGGTAGTCCATGTCTTCCCCGCCTTCAAACGCCACCACGACACCATCCTTCCACGCATCATCGCCAGCTCGGCCCACGCGGTTCCGCGAAGACTTGCAGCGATCGACCACCCAAGTCGTCGACAACGCCGTCCAATGGGCGTCCTTCTTCCAAGCCATTTGTCCCGTCGTGCTCGTATGTTTCTCATAGAAATAACCTCTTCTCGACCAAAGCACACATGCCTATAGTCTGCCAATCCCGTCCACCTCCACGTCCCAGATACTGTCCTGCTCACCCCCAAAGGGTAAGTACATCCCCGTTTTGATCGGTCGTCGCCTTTCCAAACTCCTGTCATTGTGATGATATTACTCCACTTGGAAACACTAGGGCGCCGAGTATTTGGTACCACTCGTCAGCGTCGTCGGGGGGCGTGCTCAAGAGAAAGCAACCCATGGTGGGTGGTGCATGCGATCGTTTCTCCCTGGTTTTAACGACCTCGTTGAAGCACATGACGGCGAATGCCATCCTGGGGGCGTTTGTGGGTCCCCGCGCTGACCTGGTTGGACCGACCGACGCTGTGGCCGTAGTTCGGTTCGGGTTTTCGTCCCGCCTCCTCTCCCGCGCCGATTTTTCCGTACTCCTATAGCTTTCGTCGCTCGCAACGTTGTGATGATTTGGATGATCTAGACGTTGTGCGATCAAATGAATTGCCACAAACTCACACCAATGAGGGGGGCAGACGGGCTGTCCCTGCCCAGTGTGCCATTTTGTTTGCAGCGATACATTTGTCCCCAAGATGACAAGCGGTACCAACCCCGAAAAGCCCCTTCCCCCCTCGACACGTCCGGGGTCTTCATTTGTTTGTGGCAGGTACATTGTATCGTTTTCGTTTCACCCGCCATGCCTGGGCGACTCCAAGCCCGCCATGTGCGACGTGTTTGTGGCGCCATATTCGAAACGGTACCATCTCGGCAAGGTCTGAGTACCCCAAGAAACCACTCGGTAAAGTTTGAGACGTTGTCTAGGCAAACGTCGTCACACACGGTGAAGTGCACGAGAAATCCGTGCAACCGCCGCCGCAGTTTGACGATCGAAAGGCGTCGTATGATTTTCACGTGGCGCGGGGGGGAAGCGACGCCAAGCTAGTGTCGCCCGTGAGTCGCATGAAGCACTTGACTGTGATGCTGGCCCACCACATCAACACCCACCATCCGACCAACCCCGTTCAAGGTGCTTTCTCGTGAGCGACAACGAACGGCCGTTGCAAATATATGGATTGACCTAGGCATCGTGTGCGAGTTCATTGTCGGCGCGTGTGACGAAGTGATCTACATGACTGCTGTCTTGGGGGTGTCGTGGCAGCATCAGGACGTGCCGTCGTGGGAAAAACTAGCAGATGTAGACCCTGAATCCCACTTGATTTGTCAGCACCACGCCCGCCTCCGGGCTGCTTCAGCCACCCCCCCAGCATCCCCACGCCCCACGCCCCCCAACACGGCGCCCCCCGCCCTCCTCCCCTCCACCCAAACCCCCCGGTGGGTTCTCAACCCCTTCTTCAACGATTCCTCTCGCGCTTCAACGACGTCACCGTTTTGGTAGGTTTCCATCGGTACCAAATGTCCAAGTGTCCCCCGCCGAAGTGTGGACATGTGGACTCGTGGCCGCCGATCGGTCCCCTCGATACAAGAACGCGTCGCCGTCCAAGTTTTACCGCGACGGCAAGTTTGTGACCAAACTCTCGGCATTGCAATGCGAATCCTCGTGTCGGTTGCACATGCCGGTAGGGAACATCATCCCCCTCGTGTGTCGTTGTATCGAATGTATGGCAGATGTGCGTTGTTGGGTCGTCCAACATCATATACATAGACTAGAACCACACGTTAGTGTGTTAAAAGGTCGATTTGTGCGGAAACGATGTCGCAGAGTACTCACGACGGTGGTAGATGCATCGCGCGTGTCGCCCCGCCCTACTGGTGGACCTGGCGCGGCAAGTGGAAGAACTTCGCGAAGATCTCGTGGAGCAAACTGTAATCCGTTTAACACACATAGACGTGTCTAAGCGTGTCCTGGATCTGTTGTCGGCTGTACGAACATCTGACATCGTGCGATAGGAGAGGTGCATTCAAGCCGAAGAGCACGCTGTCGCATGTGTGCGCGAAACTTGTGTAGCAACGCGGCATCGCGAGGCCGTGGACGCCAGGATGGTGCAACTCATGGCCGAGCAGGCGCGACAGAAGGAGCGGTGGGAAGGTCGTATCATGCAGGCCGAAGAGTGCGCTGTGCATGTCCACGAACTGTTTTCAGTATGGAATATATATATATATATATATATATTGTTGTTATATATATATATTACGTTGTAGCACCAAGCAAGGCAAGTGGCGAGGTTGGAAGCCCGGAACTCTGCTCATGACCACCAATTGCAGCGGCAAGTAGCAGACGCCCACATCGAAATGGACAAGTTACGACGACAGGTAGGACATTTTTCATCGTCTTCTCATGATTGGTCACGATATGTGACGCGGTTGACATGGTCCAGATGTGTGACGTGGTTGATGTTGCATGGGGCGTAGGACGCGGTGTGGGCCAGCCAAGTGGCTGCACGGGACAGCGAGATCGCGCGCTTGATCAACGAGCAAGACAAGACCCGACAACAAGCCATCGTCGACACGTTGCAGCGAGAAGGGTCCCAAGCTCACATCAATTCGCTCCGAGCACAGGTACTAACTAGATGAATATCCTTGCATTGGGCCCCCGCGGCGGGGCGGGGCGCGAAGTTGTGCCTATATATGTGTGACTGTTGAAAGTGAACAGACCTTTCTACGGGTAATGGCGAATGAGTACAGAATAGTAAGATATGGCGACGGATACTTTATGAAGTTTGTGTGTTGTGGCGGTGGTAGATTTCCCTGCTCAAGCGTGAAAAGGAAGTGCTGCGCAAGGAGTCGACGCGATACATGGCCGAGCGCGACGATTTGCTCCGGGTGCTGCCGGTGGTGACGTCCATCGCGGACAAAAGAGCCGTCAAGCCCGTCAAAGTGAACGTGGCCGACTTGTTTGAGCCGGGGGTACGTACTTGTGTACTGATATGTTTGTGTGCGTGGGTGACGATGCCATTCGTGACAACGAGTGTAGGACAATGCCAAGGAAATCAACATGCTGCAGCTCATGCTGTCGTCCCACGCCAAGGCCCTCAAAGGCGCGTTCCAAGGGCTCACGCTGCAAGCGGCAGGGACGACGTCCACAGGAGCCAAGTCGAATGTGCTGCCGGTCGCAACCTTTGTGGGCTTTGCCACGTTCGTGTCTCGACTATGTATGTAGGTGGCATGGATGGGACGTGATGTGTGGTTGGATGTTGTAGTGCCTGTGGATTCATGCAGACGCTGTCTATGGACCAATTGCAGTCGATGGTACACAAGGTGACCAAGGACGACCGCAAGGCGGGGTCACCCGACGACAAGGCAGCGGGGTTGACATATGCCCAATTCTGCGAGTGCTTGGTGCGTCTCGCGCACATCCTGTACAAGACCGAGCTGCCGCAACTGACCAAGCGGTTTGCATACCTGATTGAGAACGACGTCGTGGGGTTTGAAAAGTCCAAGCTGGACAGTGAGCATTCCAAGGGCGAAGCCGACAACGGAGGTGGCTGACGGGATGGAGATAACAGAGGAGAAGAAGGTGGTGGGTGTCATGTTGATAACAATGGCCATCGAGTATTAAATGCTAGAGGATTGACCTTGAAGGGTACAATTCCACTTGAGCCTGAACGTGGGATTGGTTCATTGGGACAATCCTAGCAAAACTCAGGTTTCATCGGGAGTTTCACGAATGATAACCATTAAAATTAGGATCAATGTATTCTTGACGCCGTTGAAACCTGTGACAGTTAATATGTTTTACTCATGGGAAACCCACTGTACTACTATTACTCGGAGTATTATTTTGCATTACTGATTGCTGGCATGGCCGATCCAAATGGCGATGTGGCGGCAACAGTAGCAACTGTGGACGACGTGGACATGGAGGTCGGCACCCCAGCAGGAATCGCGGAACGCGCGCAACGAAGCATCAACCCCCCAGGTGTGCCTCCATCCTTCCGCCGCGCCGGACGATCCACCAATATCGCTCGCACAATCATGTCGCGCGAACTCGGGCATGGCCGCCGATACGCCTTCCACGACGAAGCCATGTGGATCGAGAACGAGTCGGCCACCAAGGTAGCATTCACGTGTCGTCTCACGTCCATCCTCATGGTCCTGTGCAGCACGTCTGTGAGTATTTTGACATGCCCTCCACGACGCGGTCCGCCATCTCGATTGCATTCTCCCCCGACGGGTACCTCCCATCCTGCCGTGCCAGCATATGCATCTAACACGCAACACGTACATTCGAGTAGGAAGACCTTTGCTTCCACGCATGGCGATCACACGGTCAAGATCGTTTGCTTTGCCACCGGTCGCATCCTTCAAGTACGTCGTCCTTTCATGTTCGTCCATATGTTGTTACCGAGTCTTTCATCATTAGACCTTGGTTGGACACCCTCGGACGCCATGGAGCGTCAAATTCCACCCCACAAACCCCCGCTACGTCGCGTCGGGGTGCCTAGGCTACCAAATCCGGTATATATCTCCCAACATCATGGTTTCATCACGCTCGCCATGAGGTTCTGGGACGTGGTCACTGGCAAATGCCTGTACGAAGCCACGCTGCGCCACGCCATTATCTCAGTGTCCTTCCATCCATGTGGGACCGTCCTCGGCATCGCCAGCGGCACCTGTGTTTACACATGGGACTACCAGCAGGTATCTATCCTCCACCTGCGACAACGTTCAAAGTCTGCTTGTAGCACTCGATCCCGCGCATTGCCATGTTCAGCAACCAGACGCTGCGCTCCGTGTCGTTTTTGCCCGACCCGACCAAGATCCTCGTCGGCGAAGCCAACGAAAAGTACACGGTACGATCGCTATTTTGAGCATTCATGTCCGACTATTTCGACCGTGATCACTATTTTGAACGAGAATGTTGTGTGGTTTCCGAGTATATTTCGACCGTTTTGTGTTGCGATACAGTATGTACGACCTTGGTCATATATTTGGATTTTGTCGACGTTTTCTTGGTTCATTTTAGCCGAGTTTGGTGTGGCTGTGACACCGTTTGTGTACTGTCGTGAGTAGCGCCCGCTTGGCACCGTGCCGTCCGACTTGACTGTGACACTGACGCTGTGGGAATTTGACCTGGCGTGGTCCGTGGCGTCGGAACCGTCCACGTCCAAAGCCATGTATTCGGTGCGTTTACAACGACCAAGTTGCTCCAGCTGATTTATATGTTAGCCACATGTGCTGCTGACCCACGCGTTGCTGTACAACGACGGCGGGTTTGACGTGTCCAAGTGTGGGCAGTACCTGGCTGTGTGCACCGATTTCAGCTTGTGGCAGGCGGAACAAGACATTCCTCTGGCTTACCCCGACTCGTCTACGTACGAAATATAGGACAGTGTGCCTATGATATATATATATATATATATATATTGTCTTTCTTTTACTCCAAATTTGGCTGACTTTGTGCTAATTCTTTGCCAAATCTATCGATCGATCGATTCTTTGTCCGGACTTTTGTATCTAAATATCATCCAGTGTCAGACGAATTTTAGTCACACACGAATTCGATGTTAGATTTGATTGGCTACTTGATTCGTGTTGTGGGTTTTGATTGGTCGATCTTCGATTGTATCTGCCGATTTGGTGATTCTGCTCATTCGATTGGTCACCTACTCCAATTTCGAATATATCGACTTGACAATATATGGGGCTCTTGTGTAATATATATCTATATATATTATATACATGGGGCTCATAACGTGGTTGCTACTTACTGCTTGAGTAGGCAAAACAGCGATGCCGAGGGCAATACCCCCCCCAGTGGCTTTCCTCACGTGTCGTCGAACCCACTGCCCTCGCGCTCTGTCTACTTTGTCCCAGACTGGCCTTCTCTCAAGTACAGTTGCCTACGGAATACTAGTACTCGATAGTATTCATTAGTAGTATTTCGAACAATATCGTCGATTGTATGCGTAGTTAGGGTATACCGTACAGTATCTATCCCATGTCTATAGTGTGTCTGTTATTGATGTGTATATCGTAGCACCACGGCGCCCAACCTGCCTCCACGCAGGCGGGCTTTAGTGACGGACCTCCCGCCCAACGACGCGGCGGCGCGACGCATTCGACAGCGACTTGGTATACCTTGTCACACAAACAGCTCGATTGACTTGATCGTGGCTCCGACTAGTCGAAGTCCCGCCGCCGCCGCCGCCATCCCTCACGTCCCTGTCACATGCGCGCCATGCTCCGACGTCAAACCATCCCTTGATGCCGGCGGTTGTTGGAACGGCCGACGGCACCCCCCAAGCCGCTGCCCCCTGTCGCATGGCTCAACTTCGCCCCAACATTGCAAGCTCGTTCAATCGTACGTCCAACGACCAGCGCCTCGCCCGGTACGGATGCATCATATTCCTCACCAGCCACTGTATCGCAGCAGCTGACGTCACGCAGTGTGTGTGTGTGTGTATTTTGATATTAGAGGTTTCATCATATTGTATGTTTGATGATATTGATGTAGAGGCCGCCTTGCTGTGGAGCATCAGTCGACGTGGCTGGCGCTGCTTTCGCTCGCCCCCGATAAGACGCTGGGCACGGTGGTGCAGACGGCGCTACTGGCGGAAACCGCTGCGGGGGGCGTCACATCCGTCAAGTTTAGTCCCAGTGGAGCGTACGTGCTGCTGGGGTACGGGGTACGCGATCGCATTCAACGGTACGCCTTGATATATATATATATATATATATATATATATCGTGTACCCCTTGGTATTGGCAAGCGTGACGAGGTTGGTTCATATAGAATCAACCAATTTCCCCTGCATCGCGTCACCCGTATGTACCGATGGGAAGACATGAGTCTGGTGAGCCACGTTGAGTCGGACGCGGACGACGTCAACATTGCGCTGTTCCATCCCCTTCCCGGCGGGGGCTTCCTCTACGGCACCAAGCAAGGCCGCGTGCGTCTCTGCCGGCCATGGCGCGGCGCCTTTGACGACCCCCGCAACGAAAACACGCTCAAAGAGTCGCTCGACCTACACGCGTTGTTTGCCACGTCGCCCGTGTCACATTTTGGACAGTCGCGTGGCCATTAACAATCGGCAATGAATTTGCGTCGCGTGTCGGAGTACCATGTCACAGACGCGTGAGATGCTGGGTGTACTGGCTCATCCAGGCGGCATTGTGTTGGTTTCTGGGGCGTCTAGATTCTGGCTCGTTGTGTCTGGCATACTTCATGCTATGTGATGTCTGAAATGTCGCTGGCCGGCGAAATATATATAGATATGTGGCGGCGAACCATTCATATATATGTACGCGCATAGCTCACTGTATCTCATGCTCGCAAGCGTACAGTACTGACGAGTGATTTTGAGTCTATCGATTATAAAGCACAAGTATGCACTCGAAAAACGAAATGAACCAAGGTTCGTTGGAATTCGTCGGCAGGTTATTGCAACGCACTGGTCGTGGCCGAAAAGTCGATGGCGTCTCCGTGGTGGGTGGGGGAGGATTCTGTGGGGGAGGATGGGGGGCCAGCGGAAGGGGCCGCCGTCGAGTACGCCGACGGCACCTGCGGGTGCTGCGACGGGCCTGCCGACTGCGGTCGCCCGTCGCCGGACGTGGCGGCGGCTCGGGGGTTGAAGATCTTGAACTGCGGGACGGCGGCTGGGCGGGAAGGAACGAAGGCTGCCGGGGGGGCTGTAGACGGCTGGTACCCGCCGGCAGCAGCGCCTGGTGGAGGAGGTGGAGGCGCCGTGGTCGTTGGAGCCACCGACACCGTGTTGCCAAACTTGGCCGTGAGCTCGGCATTCCCGACGCTCGAGCCAAAGCCATCCGCTTGGATCGGTCGAAAGACGGACGGGTCGCGACGCGCGGTGAATGCCGACGGGTTGTGGCGCGGGATGGCACTGTGCGTGGGTGGGGCATACAGGGCGGCATGAGGGTCGTACTGGGCATTCGCAGGCGGTGCACCGTAATACGCGCCTGCACTAATATGGTTAATGATACGGAGAGAATATACGGACCTGACGTGGGCGGCGGTGGCGGCGGGGCCACGGCGACGTTGCTTGGGTGGAACCCCGACAGCCCCATGTTCTGCGCTTGCTGGATGGCGGCGGCGCGGTCGTTCGGGTCTTCGTGCTGGAACTGCAGCGGGAGAAGCCATTGCCGCAACGTGTCCCCCGTGGCCACATCGTACGACGTCTTGAGGCTCTTGTTGCGCTGCGCAACGTTGGCTCCCTTGGCCACGAGCAGTTTGGCCATTTCCAGGTGGCCTTGGGCACACGCGAGATGCAACGGCGTGTTGTCACGGGGACCGAGCGCGGAAATGTCAGCTCCTCGTTCGATCAGGAGCAGAAGGATGTCCACACGGCCATTGTACGCGGCGGTGTGGACAGGGAACGATCCCTCGGGCGTCCGCGCGTTCGGACTCACCTTGACGTCGTCCAAGAGATGGCGGACCTTGTCTGAAAGGTTGTCCTCGATGGCTTGATGCAGCTGTTGCTCCGGGGTCAACGTCGGCGCGATCATCTCCCCCAGAGCCTTGACATTAAGTTTCTCCGACAAGTAGCTGAACATGATGACGTCGAAGCCAAGTGGTCTCAATTGTCAGGAATAGAAGCGGGGTGGATTGATCGATTGTGACGGGGTTTGGGGCGGCCAGAATACGTATTCAAAGAGGTTTTTGAAACGCCCATCATCGCTCAACATTTTCAAGACTGAAACCGATTTGATAGACAACAAATAATGGGAAGGTGGCAGAGCGAATGTTATCGTTTAACCATGGGAGAGGAAGGGAAGGGGGGACGGTCATCGGCATCAGTACCCAGAAAGGTGAGCTGCCGCGGTGATTGCCGATTCGACCCGCGAGTCAAGTAGGACGGCGTAGATTTGGGGCGGAATGGGTTGATGATTGACCGGTGGTGGTGGTCATCGGTGATTCTCGCTCGAGCCGGCTAGGATATGATGAGATATGTCATTTTATCATGCGTAGCATCGAGGAGGGGGGCGTGGACACTTTGTCCACACCTGGTCAAAGTCATCGAGTTGGTGGAGCTGCATGCTCCGTCCATCGCCTATGTTCGTGGTGACCACCATTTTACTCGTCCTGCAGTGCATCATTCAACGCACCGTCGTGTTGCGGTGCACGGATCCCAGAAACTTGCACAGACGGCTTGAGCTGGAACGGCGACGACTTGGTCGGGCCAGCGCTCTTGGGGTACACGAATTTCGTGACATGCATGAACGAGTACTCGTGCGAGTCCTTGTCGTAGCGGAACTTGGTCACACGATTCTACAAGGCAGTACGAGATCAATCAACTTGATAGTTGAGTAGTGGGTCGTATGGTAATGAGCACCGGAAATCGCTTGTCCGCCTTGAATGGCGACGTTAACAAGGCCATCGGAAGGGAAGGCTCTTTGTCTATCGCATGCACTTGCAGCCAACAACTCAAGCGAAATGGTGTGTCTGTCTTACGCATGGGTTGAGGTGGTGCAGTGGTGTCCACAGTACCGTCGAGGGGGAAATGGTCAGTTGGGATCTGCTGCGACGGTGGGAGGTTGTTCATGTCGATGAGGCTCATGTCCACCAAGTCCAACCTAATAGCATATTTCAAACAAGGGTAATACTGTAGCACGGGCGCCTCTGTGACGAAGTCAACGGCGCGTTTCGAATCGACTAGCGAATTTCGCGCCACAAGTAGAACTAGCCACACTCGTACCGCTGCCGCCCCACCATCGCATGTCGACCGCCGCCGTGGGTGTTACCTGAGCGGTTACTCGGATGAAACAGTGTCGTGATGGCGTGCATAATCTACACGATCGCAACGCATCATAAGTGTTCAATTGAACGTGCAATCTCAAACAGCAAACAGCATTATGCAGATTGCCATAGCTACTCTAGGTAGTAACGTTAGACACCGTTGCCATGCAATACAGTGCCATGTTATATGATCCATGTGGCCGCCACATTAGACTTGCTCAAAGTGAATAGTTGAACGGCTGGTACGTACGCAAAGGTTGACGTGTTTGAGTCGTTCGCGAAGGCGGTCGTGGCGTTGGCGGCACTCGGAGAGGGCACATTCGCGACGATGGATACCTTGGTGGAGTATTTCTGTCATGGAGGTCATGCCAACGTGGGGTCGATGGAACCGCACCCGTCGCTCCTTCATCTACCCCCCCCCAAACACCGTACATCACACGTGAAGAAGACTCCGGAGTAATCATGTCGTGTGTATGAACCTCGACGTTGCGGGCGTGCAAAGTCACGAGCTGCATCTTCAGCACGAGAAGCTCCCACTGGGCTAGCGCGAGGCTACGCAGCGTGTCGCAGCGGTTCCCGGCAAGGGACTTGAGGTACTGAAGCTCTTTGTGGTTTTGCTTCCTCGGGTTGTCCGCCTGCAACAGGTCCAAGCGTCCGTCGTCGTGGTCATTTAGCTGCTGGTTGTTCATCGTCGTGGGACCGTCGTGGGAATCGGGGGCGTCGGTGGCTTGCGGCATCGCCGAGGCTGGCGGGGTGTCTTGGGTCGTGACCTGCAACACTTCATGTTCTATGCATCGTGAGCGTGAGCTAAACCACAGGTTTTTTGGTATTGAGAGATCGTTAGATGTGCCTTGCCTCGCATCGCGGTGGCGGACGACAGCGGCGAATCCCCATCCAACACGAGCAACGCAGGATCCAACGGCGTCGGGGGGCTCGCTTCCTTGGGGGATGCAACTTCCAATGCTCCCAATGCGGAGACTGCTTCGATGGTGCTTTCGTTCACCTCCGAGAGTGCAAACAACGCTGGAATTTGATCGTCGTCGGTGGATAGCAGCCCTTCCTCCATTTCGGGGTGCTGCGTGGGAGAAGAAGGCACCTGGTCTGGAGCGTACGACCCCCCATCGCCCGACGGAATCCGCGTCAGCAATACGCGTGATGGCTTTGTGGAAACGGATAAGCGCTTCCTAGGGCTCCCACCAGACTGCCTTGAGGGGGAGGAGGACGAACCGTCCGTGGTGCCCGCGACCGAGCTTCGCTTCGATGGACCTATTATTAGTCACGTATTCTACTTAGTTGTCGTCCCCATCCATGAAAACCGCACTCTTCGGGGGACTCGGGGACGATCCTGCCAAGTCGGACACCGTCTTGCCATGCTTGACGGCTTTGGACTTGGTTCGCTTGCGCGCCCCCCCTTTCCGCGGTGTACCACCCCCCCCACTTCGCCAACTGTCGTAAATGGCTTTCAGGGCGTTGAAAGGACGGGCTATTGCAATCGCACGAGGTTGAGCACGGAATAATACATCGATCGTACCGCATCCTTCCACCAACGAGTGCACTGCCTCGCCCAACACGAGAAACTTCGCGACCATTGGATCCACGGGGGACGTCCCGCAGGCTTCGCGCATCATGGCGAGAAAGGCTGTAGCAGGCACCAATATAATGGTTGTACATAAGATGAAGGGGGGGGTACCTCTTGCTTCCGGTCCGTCTTGGCTCCATAGAGTTTCTTGGTCGGCCGTGAGTAGCGACTCCATGGTCGCTCTTTCCCTGTCGTCGTCACGTGTATAGGGGGTGACACATGGCTAGGATAGGTGATAGATGTAGCATAGGTGAACTACCCGTCGATCATGTGGTTGCTCTTGTACACGTTGAATTCAGTGACAAGACACTGCAATTCACGATCCAATTTTTCGCATTCTGCTTTCCAAAATGCAATCTCAGCCCCCGACCTAGCGACCACCCAAGGTTCAAACACAATCGTACATGGCAAGGGGACCTACTTTTTCCGCAGGAGAAGCATTTCTGCGGAAACTTTGGACAAGTGCGAGCTCAGCGTGACGATACGATGGAGTTGCACGGTGTGCAATTTCCGAGCCGACGCCTTTGCCGTCTACAAACCCCATCCATAGTATCATGTACTTCGGACTTGAACAATAAGTCAATATCCGAACCTCCAGTTCCTCCGCCATGGCCTGAATTGTGTCCATGAGTTCGTGGGGCAGCGCGTCGGTTGTCAAGCTCAGCCGTCGAAGGGCCTCGACTTCGGTCGCTTCGTCTTCTTGAACGAACCCTAGGGGCAGATTTTCCAGCTCAGCTTCTGCTCGAACCGCGGCTTCCGCTGTGGCATGCGCCAGCGACTCGGTTTGCACGTCGCTGCCACTCCACGGAATGAGCTTGGTGATGTCTGCTTCCATCTCCTGGTTGTTGGTCGCCACCGTTTCCCGGGAGTCCACCGTCGACGACTTTGGGCGGCTGTCCGGCCCTGGGACTGCTGACGTGGCCAACATCATTGCCTTGATGTGGTCCGTTTTCATCTTGGTCAAGTAGGCAGTCAGAGACGCTTGGCGCTCTCGAATGGACGCCGACGAGCTGTCTTGGAGGTTGGTGATGGTGTCGCGAAGCACCTACATGAGCCCAACGAACGCACGAACTCAAGTGTTAAAACTTGCGAGCCCTCAGTAGTCTCACCGTGATTTCTTGTCGTAGCAACTGCTGGGCATTTTCCGACGCCCGATGGAACGCCACGAGGTTCTCAGCAGAGGTCTGCAACTGCCGCTTGAGCTCGTCGAGCTGTTCCGACTGCGTCTGCCTTGTCAAGTGCAGTTCGCCAATGATAGCGCATTTGTCAGCGACGAGGGCTTCGAGGCCACTGCGGTTGAGCACCCCCAATTCGGCATCCGTGGGGCTCGTAGCAGGTGCGACCGTGGATTGATGTCGCGGGGACGAAGTGGTTGCTCCAAGGGATGTCGGGGGCGTTTTGGGGGCCTTGTTGGCATCTGTCTGGCACGCTGCGTGCTGCATGCCGTTGATTCGGGCGAGCGCGGCGTCTTCCCGAGCCTTGGCGTCTACACCATATCCAATAGTATGATACATTCTGCCCAACAGGGTGAGTTCAAAGGTGGTTAGGTACCTGTCGCCGCTTGGGTTTGGACGTTGCTCAATGTCGTTTGGAATTCGCCAACTACCACCCCAGTGAGCGAACATTCATACAACGTCGACGAGTTTGAAACCTTTGACAAGCAGTGCTCGCTTTGCATTTTCGAGCTCGTCCCGGGTCGTTTCGAGCTCGATCACGCGCGTTTGCGCGGCCCGGAGCTCCTTCCGTAGACTCTACCGGCGAGGATAATGAATGGTTGGGAGGCACCGACCGATGCATACCTCGACGCTCTTTTGCATGGCTTTGATGCGTTCGCTTTCTTCATCCTTTTCAGTCGAGTTGGGCTCGACATAACCCGACCCGTGACATTTTGCACATGCGACGGCGTTGGGTTTCCCAGAGATGCTCCCCCCTCCTGCTGTGTTTGCTTTGTCATCTTGACGATTAACATCGTCGCTCCGGACGCTAAACGTTGTGGACGGGCTCTTGGCCAGCATGATTCCACTGATTTGAGTCAAGTGGGTCATGAGCCCCCGGACCGCGGGGGCTTGGGGGCATTGATGCATTAACGCCCCCAGACTGCTCCACAAGTCTGGACTCGCCAGTACTTCCACCACCGATCCTACGAATGTAGTCGTGTCAATTCTTGTCCGTGTTACCAAGCACACATGGGATAGTGTTGTCGTGATTCCTCCTTTGAACTGTACCGGCAATCTCGTCAAACGTAATGTGCCGCGCAGCTACCGCCGATTCAATCGCTTGGCGTTCGCGAAGTCCGCTTTCGGCACCGCCATACCACCAAGCAGTCAAGTACGACTCGGACAAGAGGGAGAGGCCTCCGTTCCCGCCACTCGGACTGTTTTCCCGTTTCCGTACTAAGTCTTTCAAGGCCTCCACTTGTTCCCTGTCGAGATGTCAACACCTTATAAACACCCCGTGATTGGAGCATCATCCACATCGCTTTGTTTGGTCTAGAAGATCATATAGACACACGACCAATATGTACGTACATGGCTTCGACGGCCTTTTGCTGCCACTTGTCTCGCTCGTCGCGCAAGCCGTCGGAAAACTTTTTGCGTTTCTCCAAGTCCATTTTCATCGCTTCGAGTCGTCCGTCCGTAGAAGTAGTTGTAATCGACTACCCGAAAACGTTGTGAAAAATTTGAGACGTGTCGAACCAAGGGGTGGTTTACCGAGCTACGGCCCCCACGCCCAGTGGCCCCATCCTCAGCGTCGTCACCGTCGTTGTTGGACCTCCCCAAAGCGTCTGGACGAATATGATTTTTACCACAATATACATGGCGGTATAGAGGCGCACCGTCTAGGGCTTTGACGGTTCGGGCATCGGTGCGGTGCTTGGCCACCATTTCCCGCAGCATGAGCAGTTCCTTAAAGTGCATTTTGCGCAAATTGTCCATTTCGTACGTTCGACGGTCCAACTTGGAGTGCAATGTCGTGGTCACTGTGTCTGAGTCTATCATGCGAGTCTCGAGCGCCGCGCACTTTTGCGTGAGGCGGGCCACAGTCTCGTTGCGCGTTTTCATTTCCTGCTTGAACACGTCACTCATTGTGTTGACATACCTACCCACCAACATGGTGAAACAGCATCTCCTCGACGGAAAATCATCAACGTACTTGGTTTCGCGCTCTTGAATGGCGTCGGTTAAAGTCGTGTCAAAGAAAGCTTGCACTGTCGCAACTAGGTCCTATCCATCGCCCGACAAGATGAAGTAAAGGATTTATATGACAAAGATCCATCTATGGAAATCACGTTGTAGACAGATATTCTAGTTTGTCGTACTGGACATTGGGTTTGCACTTGGGCGACAATTGCATGGCGAGCTTTCCCAAGCAGCGAGTGTGAGTCTTGGGCCAGTTTTGGAGGGTTCGTCACGAACCGAGGAGGCGGCGGGGTTGCCTCGGCCATGACGACGAAACCGACACGCACGTCAAGAAGTGGTGACAGTTACGCGCACAGTTTCAGAAAAGATGACACGGAAGGCAAAGAAGCGTGGGATCAAGCCGCGAATGACGGCGACTCCGTCAGTGGCACAGGACACAGACGTGAACCCCCCTCCTAAAATGACGTTTTCGAGTGTAACCCACGACGCCCCCCCGGTCGAAGGGACAAAAGCCCCGTCAAGCAGCATAAAGCCACAACAAGTCCTCGCCGCTGCCGTGCAGGACGCAGACACTGTTGCTTCGTCTGGAACACTGCGAGATGATCATGCCAGCACGCCACCTATGGGGGAAACAAGACCCAATCCTGTGAGGGTTGATGTGCCCAGCGAAACTGCGGCAATAGGTACCGATACCTTGGTGCAAGACAACTCAATCGCACAATCGAAATCGAACCATGACCAAACGTTGCACGAGGGAAAACTAGTGCTAGTGGACGATCTCTCAACTTCACACGATGAACTACGACGCATCCCTCAATGCGAATCATCCTCCAGTGACTCGTCGACAGAGGCCAAAGCGGATTTCAATGACACGCCCGATCACATTGCCGATAGCGACGACCAACCCAGTCCCAAACTGCACAAGTCAGAAAGCAAGTGTACTATCGAACAGTCGGACATGACCTTGACGAGGTCACCGTCCATTTTTCGTATGCTGGAGACGACCCCCACCGTAGGCGACACCCCCCCTTCTCAGCCCCCCAGCATTCCACCAGACGTAGCGCACAAAGTGGTTCAACATATCATCTTTAGATGGATGAAAAGTGCGGTGCCGCTTCGCCGCCTCTTCCCCCCGTCGCCATCGGCTTCCTCCCACCCCCTGGATACATTTCTCAGCACATTGCAACAAGCAAACGTCGCCCTGAAACCCGTCGAAGTGTCTGCCCTTCGCACTTCCTTTCCCCCAACCCCAGAGCCCCCTCTGACCTCCGCGCCCTGCCTGAACGTTACACTCCTCGTTGATTCTGTAGCCACCAAACTCTTCCCCATCGAGTTGCTTGAGTTCCAACTGCGCAAGGCAGTGGTTGCCAAAGCCACCAAAACACGAGGCAAGTGCGACGTGTTCAAAGCCCTGAATCAGCTGTTTGATACACCCACGACCACGGACACTAGCGTTTCCGTGGCATTGTGGCGATCGATTTTGGTCGAAAAATTAGCTCTTTCGTGTCCAGTGTGGGTTGTCCAATGTGTGTTTTGTCGTATTCTAGCAGCCCCTCTTGCAGAGGTACACCCCTCACGTGGTTCCGTTAGCCCCCCCGTAACCCCCTTTAACTTCACTTCTGTATTGTAGATGAGCCCCCGCGTCCACTTTGTCCACTGCCTCGACCGTTTTGTTCGGAATGTCCAATTCGATACGCTGTCTGTGGAAGGGGTGTTTCGATCTCTCGTCCAAGACACCGATTTTGAGCGCGGATTTCGCGCTATCGACGCTGATGGTTCCGGCAGCCTCAGCCTCGCAGAATGCACAAAGTACCTTCAAACGAGCCATCAAGTGGCTTTTCCGCCCGCCGTCCTGCAGGACTTTCTTCGGCGTTTTGACCGCGATGGTGACGGCAGCCTCAACCTCGACGAGTTCATGGCATGCTGTCGGCCCAAGCAGCATACTGGCGTCCATGTATGTTGGTCGTCGGAGAGGTTTTATCTCCCTGAACAAAGCACATAGGTGTTGTCCCCCTATGGCTTCTTTTACATGACCACCGACCCCATGGAGCTTGTGGCGGACGTGGTGGCGAGGATTCACAAGCGATTGTTTTGGCTCCAGCACAACCATTTGCTTGGTGCAAGTCCAGGACCGAACGGCAAGGACAACGCCGCCAAGGACAACTTTTCACTACCCCCCAAACACAAACTCGTGCGTTATAAATACACACATACGTACTCTTCCTAAGATCGATGTTGACGAATATTTCACTGAGGATAGACAGTCGATCCAGCCAAAATAAGCATCTGCCGCCACTTTGGGGCACTGCCTCTGACGTACACCAAAGCCAGCGACACGGTGCAGTCGTGTTTATCCAACGGAGAACTGCTCGTGCTCTTTGAAACAACAGACACTGGTACCAACGAGCTACTGAACGTTGTCGCACTAGTTGTGTAAAAACAACAAACTCGTAGACAACCAAGGCAAATCACCAACACGCCTGACGTGCAAAGAGAGGCACGCGGTCCAACGTCCTCCCCCCCTACGCCCCTCCGTCCCCCCCACCAACTCTGTTCCACAGACTGCAGACACATTCGACCAGCCAAAAATCGAGCCCCCCGATCCACTGACACCTGCAGCCCGTACAGAAACAGGGATTTCCAAGCAATTGAAATGCGAAATACCCAAAAAGAAAGCCATCCCCCCAGCTGTCCAATTCCCCATCGACGTGTCCACATGGACTCGAATGGACGTCAAGAAGTGGCTCATCTACAACGTCCAAGTCAAAACGCTGGCCCACAAGTTTGCCGCTGTCGATGGACACATGCTACTGGGGTGGGCAGTCCACCCGCATTTGGATGTGTGGCTGCGCGACAAGTATAGCATTGCACAACCAGTGCTTCGATTGCGATTGGCAAGTCACATTCGGCAGCTACAGCCACAGACCCATCCATCCACCACCAATCGCGGTAATGTGAATGACGACAGTGGTGACGATACTGTCGACGAGAAGCTGGACGAAGACAACACAACTATTCAACCCGAGAGCAGCCACCAAAACACACCCAACGGTCTAGCTATTCACAAGCCCGAGCTAATACGTGACTCACGGGGATGCCAGTCTGCCCTGCTGCCCTTACCAACCGATTCACAAATCCAGGGCGAAAACGGGACTTCCGACGTCCAAGATACTATTCGTGGCAACGGTGACGACGATGATGAAGTCTCCATAAACACGGAAGACGCTCTTGATTCAATTACTGGGGACGAGTGTTTGCCTGGCTTCTCGGACTGCCACGTCATCGATCCAGGCGACGATGACAATCACCCGCCTCCTCCTTTTGACGACCCCTTGCCTGGATTTGACGACTAACTTAAAAATACGAACTCTAAAAACTACAAACTCTATCCCTTCGATTTGCTCGTATGTGAGGCTGCAATGACTACATGTACCGGTTGAGCATATCATCAACTCCTCGATTTCCACCCCGCGTTTGGGTAACACTTATGTGAACTAAGCTTACTGGAACTCCGAAGTACCCTGGTATTTGTGATCATGCAAGACACCACAAATAAACATAATATTCGTTGGTCAGCTCAAACTCTAAAATGGGAGAGTGTAAGTAGCGTAAGCTTTGAAAACAGCGCAAGGCAGCAAGCCGGTGCCAACTACATTGACAAGGTCTTGTCTCCACTAACGTTATGCAACGACTCGGTTGACACAGGACTACTGAAGTATCCTTGGCACGATTACCCACATAACCTTTCTGTACTTACTACTTCCATTACAGTAACCCACAGTAGGTAAAAACGTTATGTCGCTAATAGTCGACCGCACTGTCATCAGTGAAGTTGCGACGGCGCACCACCAATCGTTTTGTTCATGTGGCAGGCGACATCACCTACATTCCGATACAATTGCCTATATAGACCATTGCTTTCATTGTAAGTTTTATGTATCGATTGTATAAACTTTGCTTGGGTAATTCACGTTTATCCCATTGACGAAACGACGCCAGTGTATCCGGACAACTGTCACGTGGCGACGAAACACATACTGAAATTCAGTTTAACTCATTCCATTTCTAATCTTTTGAAAATTTGAAGGCAAGGATAACCAGCTGTATATTTCGAAGCCTTTACAAACATCAAGTGAACAACATTATATTTGTGTATGATATCATGTTAGTCGTCGCCGTATTGCTTCCACCTGAGGAGGAATTTGAACTGGAGGATGTTTGTCCCGAGGTGTGATTTGATTCGCTAAAATGAAGATTGAAGTTACACATCCACCAATCAAATGGCTCCAAATCTACTAGATTCCACATTTTCGATTAGGTGTTGATGCGGCAGGCAGGCACTTGGCATTTTTTGCCGCCCCCGCTCTCATCTTCTTTCGCCTTCTCTGTGTCTCGCCCGGCTGCGAACATGGCGCGCTAGACGACCCAAAACGAACGACATGGACCAACTCGACTCAACTTGCTACATCTGTGAGTACTCGAGTCGACATCTATCATCATGGGAGCCATCAACAGCGTGCGACGATTGACCATCCAGTGCCTTGGGTTGCTGGAAGCACTTGAGCCCACCACCGTGGAAATCGAGAACAAAGCGACGGCCATTCACGTCATGCAATCATTGATTCGAGACAAGTGGCCTCATCTGACCCTTCGACCGTTCGGGTCGTCTGAAAAGTACGTCCATCAGCTACCTCTTCCATGACATCGTGTTGATCTTTGTGCAGTGGGTTTGGGTGCGGCTCGAGTGACCTCGACATCGGCGTGTTCTTCGATCCGCCTGCGCTCGTCAACTCGCTGTCATGGAATGATCGCCTCCAAGTCCTGGCCTCCATCGCGTCCATCCTGACCTTGCACGACGGCATGGAGCTGCATCAGTTTATTTTTCATGCGCGGGTGCCGCTGGTGAAACTATGGGACAGCCGGCGCAAGGTATGTCGTCGTTCACATTCCTTTCCATGGGCAAGTCTTATTGGGACGTTTCGTTAGCTTGCCATCGACATTAGCATTGGCAGTAGCCATGCTGTGGGCAACACACTTCTGTTGAAACGATATGGCGAGATGGATCCCCGCGTACGCCCCCTGGTCTTTGCCGTCAAACACTGGGCCAAGCAGCGCGGCCTCAACGACGCGTCCAACGGCACCCTCAGCTCATACGGTGCCGACCTCTTTCTTCTTCCTCCATCATGTGGTTAACTCACTGGAACCCTTTGTAGCTTGGATCATGCTGGTGCTGTTCTTTTTACAGTCCCGAGGCATCCTGCCTGCCTTGAACCCCACAGACGAATCTGACGACTGCGCTAGTAGTAGCTTGACATCTCCGACCAGCTGTAGCAGCGGCGGTAGCCACTCTTCCGTTTCTAGCTCGCCGCCCAGCGACCACCAGCAGTGCATCCACCCCATATTATGCAGCCATCCACCTACTACTCCACCAAGTGGCATGCTCTCGTCCACCAGTGGCGGGGAGTCGGTGGGGTCCCTTCTCGTCGGGTTTTTTCAATTCTACGCGTTCGACTTTGACTATCGCTGCGACGTGGTGAGTTTGCGATGTGGTCAGGCACTGCCCAAGCATGCCAAATGGGGGCTCGGGCTCGGCACGTGGCGCTTCTCCATTGAAGATCCGTTGGACGTGCATCATGACGTCGCCCGCGTCATCTTTCACCCGAAAGGCCAGGCGCGCCTCCTCGACGAACTTCGCCGCGCCGCCGCCATGACCACCATGGCCACGTGTCAGCTGGACGACTTGTGCGCGGCTCCGTCGTCGTCGAGTTGCTTTATCTGCGATGCGCCAGGTCACGCCCCTCGCGACTGTACAGCTTCCTCCTCGTCCTCCATCAACATGCCGCCGCCCCCGAGGAACCTCTCGACGATATCGTCGGACAGTTCCATAGGAAGTCCTACGACCGCCACGCGAAGTCCATTGCCGCCGCCGCCGCCGCTGCGAGCCGTGCCGCCCCACGCCAAAATGCTCAAACGACCACGACGGCGCTCCAAGTCGAAAGGCGGCGCGAAAAAGAAACTTCTCGTCGCGTGGCGCAGCACCGTCGGGTCGTGAAATACACACAAAAATGATTTCTAGTTTATTTATTGTATTCAAAGTGCAAACCATGATTTGGCAATAATACTGTATGGTGTCAGGAGTACTTACTGTAGCACTGGTTTGTAGGGACGCTAAAGTAGTACTAGTATTAGTATGTTATAGCATACTAGTACGTACTACCCGGCGGCTGGCGAAAGAAGTAGATAGGTCTGTCGAGTAGAGTACCATCGAACTCGAAAGTCCAGCGATCGCACAGCTAACGAACGTTAGGCTTATAAAGTGTCAATCAAATAAGCGATACAACCCCCATCATCGAGGGTTATGGTGAAAGGATATAAAGTTCGATTTCAGTCAGGAATTCGTGGGGGACTCTACACTACCAGAGCCGGGGGTGACATGGCCTCGGCGACCATGGCGTCATTGTTGGCAGTGCAGGATGGGCACTCGAGGCTTGCATTAAGCGCCTCCACAATGCATTCGTCGTGAAACACATGTCCGCAGGGCAGTTTCGACAGCGATGGCATGTCCACCCATGCGGCTGGAGGCGACGCGTGAAGCACTGCGCTGCATACGCCGCAGTAGGTCGACGGCAAATGGCGCGACTCGGATCGATACGAACGATGCCGAGACATGATTTTGGACGGGGAGCCGTCGGCGACTGGGGGAACGACAAGGAGTTCGGGGTCCAACGTGCCGTCCAGGTTTTGAGTGAGGAAGTCAAAGAAGAGAATGGGAACGAGTGCGTCCGCCCTGGGACACCTGGAGGACTCTGGACACTGCAAAAACGCCGCAGTGTGGTCAAACAGATCTTGGTACAGCCGAATGTGGGCTGCGATCGCACGTTTCGAGGTTTCAAGCACCGCCAGCAGCCGCCGCTTTGGAACGTGTTCGGATACGTCAACGTAGTACCATGGACACGCCGCTTGGCATACGTGGCCGCGCTCCAGTACGCGCTTGGTGTCGTCGCGCAACGTTTCAAAGTCGAAATCGGACTTGAGCACAGTGGCGGTGGCCCCCGTGGCTTTGTGTGTGATGGTAACGGTGTAGAACGCCGACTTGTGACGGCCACACGAGATGGTTCCCTTGGAAGGAGCGTTAGACACTCGGATACTGACATGCTCGAACCACCTGCGGCCAGGAAATAACGACGACCTCATTGGGATCGGTCGATAGTTCCCAAATGTCAATGCGACAAAATGTCGAAGAATCGACGCTGATTGGTTGGCGCCTTGTCAGTGTTCTTCCATAAAGGGGTACTAAACACTACACTTTATATGGGAATAAAATCCGAAGGATTGCATATAACCCCCACTTTTGTCACGAAACCTTGTATGTATGTCGTGTGGTTGTCGAATTCGGTCAACAGAGCCACATCAAGGTGTACTAACGCTACAGTAGTTGACACGTCAACTTACTGTTGGTACTACTACGTAGTACTTCAAGTATATTGTAACACTTGCTATGTCCATGATAAGTTGCCCAACACGTTGCTGAGGAACACCAACTTTACACTGGAGCTCTATCGTGTTCATCTTTGCCTTACGTGTGCATTCGGGCTAGTTAGTACGACTGGTGTGTCGACGTCTCGTGGGCTCGCTTCAATCCAAAGCGCAGGTGGGACATTCAAGCCGTACATTCAGTGCCTGGACAATGCATTCATCGTGGAATGAATGGCCACAAGACAACATCGTGGGTCGTCCGGATAGAAAACCATCGCAACAAACACTGCAAACTGACCGTCCACAGTAGCTCGACAGGGCATAGGCCTCGTCCGACGTAGTATCCGAGAACGACGCCGAGGAAGGGGGCGACGTGGCGCCCTCTAGAAACAAGTCGAATAATATTTCTTGGCCAAAGAGATACTCAAAGAAGAGTTGGGGGATCGCCTGGGCTGCAATGGGGCACGCTTGAGTGTCGGGGCACTGGAGGAAAGCCAGGGTATGATCGAACAGGTCTTGATAGATCTTGACGTGGAGGCCCACAGCGTATCGACTGCAGGGCGACGTAAACAAGCGCCGCTTCGGCATGTGCTCAGACATGTCTACGTAATACCAAGGGCACAACGCATTGCACTTGTGGCCGTGACGAAGGGCGGCTTTGCAGCGGTCCCGAAGTTGCTCAAAGTCAAAATCCGACTTGTGCAAGGTTGCAATCACGGCTTGGGAGGTGGGATGGCGCACGGTGATCGTGTAGAGCGAGGATTTTGAGCGACCATTCACGACAACGTGCTTGGACGACTGATGGCGGGTTACCTTGATGATCACATGAGAGTACCAGCGTCCGATTCTAAGAGTTGGGGCGTTCGTCGTGGAAAAGAGCATGCGACGTGTCTGTCACCGCTTTCCCAGGAGGAATGAGAAATGTCCGCGTTCGACGTTGCAGCACAGTGCAGTGCCACTACTATGTACTACGTAGTACTTAGTATTACTACTTAAACGGAAAGCACACAACTGGTGGAAGCCACGGCACCGCACCGTAGAGTACAGAGTAGTGTTGACGCAACTTGTTGAGACAGTCATCGTGGGTGGCATCGAGGAACCAGGCAGGATGAACGACACAAGATGTGTACAAATTCGCACACCGACATCGAACCAATCAACACAAGTATTGAGGCAGGAAACGCTTCTGATTGGCGATCTAACGTTGACTGGCAGTTTCATAAAACCAACGGTTTCGTCCGAAAGTTCAACGGCGCGTCGTAGGAGATGTATTAATATTACTACACCACTTTGCAGTTAACTGCAAGTTGGACGAATGCCCGATATATTTGGCCGTGTGCCCGATATATTTGGCGGTAATTGGCCGTGTGCCCAAGTAATTGGTCATCTGCCCGATAAATTGTGTCATTCAAATCGCCAAGGAACGCCTAGCATGGACGTCAGGTAATAATGTCAATTGAAGTATTGCCCGTTTACTTCAACGTTTCCGTCCAAAACTTAAATCTGTCGTGCGCAGAGCTCATTTTTCGATTTACCTCAAGGTACGCACCTTCGATGGATGCGCCGAGGCCATGGGCAACATGGACGTTGGTATGTGACGTCACAGCAACGATGCTGCATGTGGCGTATAACGACCATTTCTATACTTGGTATTGACTTTTTATTGCGTGATATTCCATTTTTATCGGGCACATGACACAATTCTTCGGGCAGACGGGCAATTGCTTGGGCACACGGCCAAATATATCGGGCACACGGCCAAATATATTGGGCATTCGTCCAACTTAACTGCAAAAAGGTGTACTGTAGTAGGAGTCAAATGATCGTGCACACAAGAATTAGGGAATCACAGGCAAAAATCTGGGAGACACACACTTGTATCAAAACACAAGGGAATTGACCTAGTGTTACAGTAGCGAGGGGACGACGGAGCATTCGCCCACAAAATTGCGTGCACCGCAGCAGAGGTCGTGAGTATAAATTTGTGCAGGCGGTGCCTTGGCGAGGAGTGAGACCCAATCGTGCACTTCACCGAATGTCCAATCGATTCCTCTCGTCGGGAAAAACTGCAGGTACAGTAAGTAGGCCGCGGTTTCTGTAACGTTACTACTAATAGTAGTTCCTTTGGTGCTGACATTGTCCATGTATAAAACTACATGAACAGAAACATCACAAAGAACTGCTAGTGCACGGTACTACTACTAGTACACTTCGTCGCTCCAAGACCGTAAGTTCTACTGTATTGATGTGCCTGTGTCAGGTCCGTCTGGTAGAGTCGAGCGTGTCCAACCCTTGTTAGTCGGATCAAATTCTGCGTACAATAATATCGATTGGTATTTTGATTGTACAATTGGGCTTCCGCAGTCCACTTACGAGCGAGTCACTTGTCCACATTGCACTCGGGATATTTACATAGTTAACAGCACCCATGTCCTTTGCGATAAGCAGCCACCATCCAAACTGGCGTGGGGTATAATAGCAGCGCATTGAAATTGGACACCAGCCTATCTTCGATCCATGGCGTCAACTAACGTTCCTAGGGATAGTTACATCTAGACAAACCGTACAAGTACTGTACAACAGTTGTGCATGATTAGAACCACAAGTGTCTCTCTATTAGCGCGGTTGCGTTGATCACTGACCAACACTACTTCTACCTCGCGGCCATCTTATGCAAATAACGTTCTGTCGTCTACTTCGTATCGTATTTGTTTCCAAACAGTGTCGCATACGGAAACCACGTCTTAGCCGTTTGCTTGAATGCATCTTGGTCCTTCTGGCTGCCGTACTTCTCCACCACGCGCACCGCAGTTTCGTACACACCCAGCGACGACGCACCCTTGTCTTGGAGCCACAGAGCCACCGTGCCCGCCTTGAACGACCCGTGCGCGAGGCTCTCGGCTTCGGCGACCGCCACCTGCCACTCCAAGCTCGTGTGCGTCGCCGCCACATGTTTGAGGATCGCAGCAATGTCGTTCAACCCTTGGAACAGCACCGCCTTGCCGTTTTCGAGAAAGCTCGCGACGACGCCGACGGCAGCCGGCGTGGCGGCCGTGTACAGCCGGACGAGGCGGACCAGCGTTTTGGGGTGCCACGACCCGTCGGTGGCATGAGCAGCCAGCAACGCCTGCAGGCAGAGCAGCCACTTTTGTCGCCGGAAAGCCACGTCAAAGGCCGCCACCTATGTAGATATAATAGTGTGTTTAATCTAAAGTGGAGCGATATGGAGAATGAATCCACCAATTAACATGTACATAAGCATCATCGCCAGAAGAATTGAGCCAATCAGATTGCAGGAAACCGTCGGCCACGTCAAATTAGTGTGTGACTTCAATTAGTGTGATTACGAAGCACCAAGTTTTACACACAACATTCAAAGAATCGATCGATGGACTTGGCGATTCAGCACAAAAGTCCACATTTGGGGTAAAAGGCCAATATAATCCAAACAACGATATCGACTTCGATACGGTCATCGAGTACACCACAACATCTGTATATCCCCCTCCCCCCCCCCTCTTCAACACTCCTAGTCCACTACCCACATAATCACACCCTCACTACACACACAATGTACTGTACTGTACGGCACTGTACTGTACTGTACGATACTGTGTACACACAATGTATTGTACGGTATTGTATTGTACGTACATGGGTATCAACGTCGTGGGGCGCGTGCTGCTGCAAGATAGTAACAAGGCGCCACGCTTCGTCCAAACTCGACTTCGAGAGCAGTTGTTCGCCGAGGGGGTCAGGGTCAACGGGAGTGTCTTTAGGTCGCGACTGATTTTTGCTCTTCTTGGTCGCCTTCTCCTTTTCGAGGGCGTCATGCTCCTTTTGCAGCTGCTTGGCCTCTTCCGCCTTTTGAAACTCGGCCTTGCGGGCCTTGGCGGCGGCGCGCTTGGCTTTGGCCTTGTCCGCCGCGCTCTGTTTACTCGACGAGTCGGCGGTGGTGGCAGTAGTCTGTTGCTGGTCGTAGCGATGGATGTGCACCGAAATTGCCCCGTGCGTTGCTTGCACGTGGATTGGATGGCCCAGCAACGTGTCGCACATTCGAAGCATTTGAACGTACGCACGCAGAGTCATCTTGCGCATGCAGTACGTGTGAAAGTCGAATTGATCGTCCTATACGAAATATATGAACCTTATGTTTTCCATAGTAAGTAATCATCATTGAGCCCCAGGATATAATTAATATATTATTAGACTTGTGTTTTTCCATCATAGATCATGAAAGCAACGACACGCGCGCTGTGTATCGTCATAGCATCAGTTAAAAGTCACACAACTTGGGACCAATCCGGACGTCGAAAACCAATGATTTCGAAGTAAACGATACATACCTCTAGCACATATCCACATGTTCAATAGATATATAAATAGCTTCCATTCTAGACATCCAGATATTTATATAAATTAGCGCACATCTGGGCGTCGAAACCAAGAAACGATACCTTTAGCATATACGTTCCAATAAAATAAACTTAATATTGTGCTTTCGAGTGAAATTTCATTGTGGTGTGGTTTCTCGTTGGAATTTAAATCGATTTGATAGGCTACCTCAGATGAGCTCAAAATTATTAGCCAATCAAAACCTTTTTAATGAAATTCAACCAATCAGATCGATTGTGGATCGGTTTGGTCGGCGCGACGATTCGATTACACCCCTCCCCAAATTTATATCAAATCGACAATAAAAATAAAACTAATACTTCAATCAATCCCATTCATCAAAGCAACGAGACAGTCGAGAGCGAGCGAGCGTATCTGACGGTACCAAAAAGTCATTGAAATGCTTCTCCACGGCGACAAACTTTTTGAGCGCGGGGCCGGCGTGGAGCTGCCGGAATTGGGCGGCGCCGGCCGCCAGTTCGTACCACATGCACTGCATGTCGTACAGGTTTTGCTGGGGGTCGCCTTCATGTCTAGTGAAGAGCGCGATGGTGTCTTCGGCTTGGGCGATGCGGTTCGCCCTCAGCAAGTACTTGGTGGTTTTGTTGTTGATGTACCGATCGGCCAGGTCTAGCTGGCGCCCCTGATCGACGACCGTGGCGGCTGCGTTATAATCCCCCGCGTGTTTGAGGATCACCGCCTTTTTCTGGTAAAACTCGAGCACCGTGGGCGTGTGCTGCAAGCATCGATCGATGTACACGAGTGCCTGGGAAATATCCCTGATGCGATCGAAGTGCTGCGCGGCCAGATACAGCCGCCAGACCCACTCGGATGGCGAGGTTGTGGCCTCCTCCGACAAGTACGTTGCAACCAACTTGGACAAAAGGGCTTGCTTGGCAGGGACAGCATACAACGCCTTGATGTCGGACCCAAGAGACGGAATGCCTTTGACCAGCCCTCGACGCAAATACGCGTCCAATCTAGAATATATATATATATTGCAATGAGATATCGTATACCGAGACTGAAAATATCATGCGGGTTTGACACGATCACGAGCATCGATATATATATTTTTTTACTGTTAGAATCGTCATTGTACAGGCTAGCAAAATATATATTATCCCTTTGATTCGAACGTTGTTGGAGGCAATTGAATGAGTAGAAAACCAAATCGACCGACCAATCAAATCCCAGAACACTCTTCAAGGGGCCAATCAAACGCAACCATCCAACTTCAAAGTAGTATATATCCCTTCAAATCGTATGCATGGCTTTACAACTTTTACATACAAAAGCCAGTACAAAACGCCGATCGATCGATTGGGCGAATCAGCCCAGTTCACAAATAACCAAACTTTGACTTTGGACTCAAAGCGCGGCGATACATAGTTGTACGAGTAATATACACACTAATTAATATTTAAATTCTATGTACAACATATTTTAATACAATCTCTATAAATATACATTATAAGGATAAGATCGAATTAAATAAGATTCTAAATAACCAAACATAGGAATTAATATTATAAAACACAAATGGTGCAAAAAAGTTTTACGTACGGCCCCTCCAGCGCCGCGCCAGACAGCAAATCCAACGCCAGTCGTCCATAGGTAGGCGATGCATGGCCTTCGTAGATCGCTAGTAGCGTCGACACTTCATGGGCAGAGAGCGATTCCGTGGCCGAAGGGACGGACGAGAGCGCGAGCCAGTCGGCGCGGCGGCACAGCGCGGCTTGGAGGCCTCGATGGTAATGGTAGTGATCAGGGTTTATCGCCAACAGTTCTTGGTACAGGACCACCGCGTCGTCGAAATCTCCCTCTACGACGTAAACAGAGTTGGGCGTTGCTCACGACGGTCTAGAGCAACGCGCGTACGTTTGACAAGGAGGTCGGCCTTGCGATGGCGCCACACGAGCGTGTCCAGCACGAACGACTTGGTTGTTTCAAGGTGGGCGAGGCAAGCGACCAGATCGCCCTTTTCTTCAATCAGTTCGTTCTGATACAAGTACATTTCGCTGTCGTCGTAGGATCTATATATATATATATACACATACAACAGATATGAGGACGTATATGTTTGAATTTATATATACGATACGACATTGGGAGGAGGGGTGGTAGAGCTCAATCGAATGAGCAGAAAAAATCAAGTCGACAGACAATCGATGATCGACCAATCAAAACCCAGATCAAGAATCAAGTAGCCAATCAAATGTTTTCTCCAATCACCATATGCAACATTGAATTAGTGTGTTACTTAAATTAGTGTGAAACTGAAAGTTCAACATTCAGGACAAAGGATCGATCACATACATACATACAACTTTTTGTCTGAAAATATATATATAAATTCGTGCCATCATTGATGATATATATATATATATCGTTCGAAAGTGGAGAAAATATATTGACAGAGCAAATGGACACTAGAATACGCAAAATGGAATAACAGCCATCAATATGTAATTGGTGTATTATGACCCAAAATAGTGTGATGCACAAACAACATTTAACACGAACAATCGATTGATCGGTTTGGATAATCCCCATACAAGTGACAATATATATATATATATATATTTCCACATGACACGATCGAACGTACACTGGACGCAGCGGATCAAGCGTTTCGTTGTACTGGTCGATGATGTCGATTGCAGTCTCGTGCGTGCCATTCAGTTGGTGAGCAATTGCGAGGCCGATCCAGTTGTTGCGGTTCGTGGGCTTGAGCGACAGGAACTGGCGGCGCGTCTCGGCGTAGCCCTTGAGGTCTCGCATTTGGACTTGCTGGAGGTACAGGTCGCGCAGGATTTGAATGTTGTCCGGGTCAATGCGAAGTGCTTGGCGGTAGCACTATTGTGTCAATGTGAGTGAATGAGGATAGAGGAGACGAAGGATGAATGGACAGGTGGAAGAGGACCTTGATGGCTTCAGCGTAGTTGCGGTCGGATCGATACAACAAACCGTACACGTGCCAGCACACGTGCGACTTGAGGTCTTGCTTGACACCTTGGCGGACAAACTCATATGCTTCCTACAGGGAAGAAAGCACATTACCGTCAACCATGGACAAAGGATGGCGTTTCGGGTGACGCGGCAACGTACCTCCTTCTTGCCCATGCAATTGAGCGTTAATCCCTTCATGGCGAGGGTTTCCCCGTGGTCCGGGAACTTCTTCAAGATCGCGTCCGCGGCCTTGAGCCCTTTCTTGTACTGCTTGATCTCGTAGCATTTCTACATGCAACCACAAGGTATATCGTCATGATGTTGGCATCTTCGTGTAGACGACGAAGCACGTGATGATATACCACAATGGAGCGGAACAGCGCGTTCTCCTTAGATGGTAGCTTGTTGGCCATGGTCACAACCGGCGACGTGGGTAGTGCAGACGGAGTTGAGTGGCTGGAATATGATGCGAATTTGTGGAGGCGAAATCGGGTGCCCCGGGGTACACTTGTAGAAAGGCCGACTTCATTTTATTGTTCAAAGTGACTGCATGTTTGTATGTACTTTTACGAAATTGATAAAAGAAGCTCTCGCTTCAACCTCACAAAGGCGCAATAAAATATGAAGATTGGAGCTTGAGTTTTGTATGGTGGCCTGGAAATGTAATTGAATGAAGTGTGCCTCCAAAGATCGCAAATCACGATGGTCAGCCGTCGAGTATGGACGTGTGTCGTACTAGTATGCACAATAATAGCCATCATGATGGCGAGGTCTTATGCACATCTCGCAGCCATTGGCGATGGAGAAGAAGGCATATGGAACACCTGGGACATGATGCAAGAGGAGAAGCTTCTCCTTCCCAGCGGTTCGCTCGAATTCGTCCGCCAAGCACCGATCGTAGCTCAAGTGGGAAGGCATGACTCCTTCTTGCAGCAACCGCGTCCTTCGTCCAATGCGCTTTCAGTGGAGTCAATGCACCAGCATTGCAACCACTTGTCATCGCAGGTTAGCCAAACCACAGCCGCCAATCACTGCTGGACGACACTCTTCGACCTGTTTCCGGCGACGCCATTTCAAGTGCATTACGATTATGCCAAGTACATCGAGCAGAAAGGAGCTGACACGTCAACTGGTGATGTGATCGCTGCGTACGAGCGTGCACTGGCCGTCATGACAGAGCCGACGTCGTTGCTGTCGTTGGACGCCATGAACAGACTGGGATTGCTTTGGCTAAAGCAGTCCCGTCCTCACATAGCGATCGACATATTCCGCCAGAGTCTTCGGTGGCATCCGTTCGAGTGTGCGTTGTACGGAAATCTGGCCAGTGCATACCTCGAGCTTGGAAATGTCTCGGCCGCTCTTGCCGCCGCCACCACGTCCATCGTTCGTCGCTGACTCTTCGATCGTTCCACATCTAACTGAGATTTCTTGCGTACATAGTCATTGGCACCAGACAACGCAGCTCTGCACCATAACATTGGAAACATGCACCAACAGGCTGGAGATATGAATGCCGCCATGGCACACTGGCAGGTAATATACTACTTTAACTTATGAATAATCGAGCAAAGTATTAACCTGTCGAGACTATTAGATATATGTAGTATTATTTGATATGAATGGTGCGTAGAAAGCCGTCGACGCCAACCCCCTTGTCCCGAACCCTCTGTTTAGTCTTGGGATTGCTGTGGGCAACCAAGGGCACACTCGAACATCAACTGCGTACTTTACCCAAGCGATCATTCTCGCCACTCAACACGCCCCCGACCTCCGAGATATAGCTCGCATACAGCATGCCACGTCATTGCTTCCACGAGTATATGAGTCCACCGACGAGATCGTCCTCGTTCGCCATCAGTTTCAAGCGGCGTTGGACAGTCTCTTGGCCGACAGTCCACTGAATCTAGGCCACAACCCGATTTACACTACAGGGTACGCCAAATCCGATCGATAAACCAAACAAAGGTAACGTTGATTCTGAATATACGCTGCGGTGGTAGGTGTGGTTCGATGGGGTATTACTTGGTGTACCAAGGCGGGGTGAACAAACCGCTGCGGCGCCAACTAGCTCAGATCTATACCCTCAGCATGCCAGCGTTAGGCTTTGTAGCGCCTCACGTTCTAGCTAGCCGCCACCAAACGTTTCAATTCCCACACACAAGTCGCTACGTCCGGCACCCCCCCCAGCCCCCAAACGAGTCTGGCTATTCAAGTATCTCATTAACTCGACGCATTCGTGTGGGGATTCTGTCGTCGTTCATGTATCACCATTCGGTGGGGCTGTTGATGCAAGGGGTGCTCACACGGTATGTCCTGCATGTCCACCTACCCCACTTCAAAGCCTACCATCTAGACAATGTACATTCCTACACTCACTCGATTCTTCTACTTGTTTGTTTCAACAGACTCTCCAACGCCACGTACGAGCTCGTGCTACTGCGAAGTCGACCCTGGCAACACGACCACGTCTCGCGCCATGCGGCTGCCCACATGAGTCAGGACATTCAACTGCCCACCGATGTCTTTCAAGCCCAAAGGGTGGTAGCCGCCCTCGAACTGGACATTCTCGTCTTCACCGAGGTACCAACTAACGTTATTCCACGTGGTACAAATTGAGTATATACTAGATTGGCATGGACCCGGGCACGTATTTTTTAGCCTTTTCAACGCTCGCGCTTCGGTCCGTGTTGTTCTGGGGCCACGCCATCACGTCTGGCCTGTCGACGGTCGACTATTTCATCACGTCCGACTTGTTTAACTCGAATCCAGTACGTAAGCACCTTGTAAAATGAAATTCTTGACGTGTACACATCAATAGAAAAATATACTTTTTTTTCTCACAAACGGATTTATATATAAAAATACATATTCTTATCACCCGTATGTTGGTACCTATCGTCGCTTAACGGTTAATAGGATGAGTTTACCGAAACGCTGTACCCCATGCAGTCGCTGACGACTCTGTTCCGTCGCCCTAAGTTTACATTTGACCGGTCGTTGCTAACATTTTTACCTACAATCGAACCGCACAATGTACTCTTCGTCGTTCCTCAAACGCTGTATAAACTCCATCCAGACATGGACGCCATCCTTGCAGCCATTTTAACTGGCCTTCCCCATAGCTACGTGGTGCTGCTTGAAGGCTCCGTCCCCCACTTGGCCACTCTGGTGTGCTAACTCGATCATTTCACTCTATTTGTTTATCACTCTATTACCGCAGATCCAACGCCGCCTTGGCCGGGTGCTGTCGCCCCAAGACTTGCACACTCGTGTAGTGTTTGCTCCTTATCTATCCACCGACGCCTTCCTCACGCTCTGTCAAGTCGCCGACGGTTCGAATCAATTCTATATATTTCTTTTTATTTTTACTTTTATATGAATCATACTATAAATTTTAACGAGGGTAGGACATGAACCTATATATCCTTAGGTCATGAGCCTAAAAAGTCAACCTATTACTCGATCTCGTTTTATTAATAAAATGTATTATATAAGTAAAATAAACATATCAAAGAAGGGACTCGAATGGACATATTATATATATATATATGTCTATTTGTGAAACATGGAGAAGGTAGCCTTGCTTGGGGGATGCGTATGATATCTCCGTGTGTGATGAGGCTATGTACTATACATACTATATAATATAGTGGTGTTGGATCCGTTTCCAGTGGGCGGGGGGCGCAGCAGTTTGGAGATTTTTTCCGTGGGGACCCCCGTGGTCGTCCATAGGAATCGCACGTCAATTGTGCAACTGACAGCCGCTATGTACACCAAGATGAACATCACAACGTGTTGTGTCGCGTCGTCCGATGCTGCCTACGGTAAGACCTCTCGGAGCTCTAAAGGGTATACTAGTATTTGTGATGACAAAATGAATATATGATGTTCTAGTGGCCATGGCGATTCACTTGGGCTCGAACACTTCCTACCGTGATGAACTGTCCTCGCTGATTCAACGGCGCAGTTCAGTCCTGTACGACTCTGATGCCGCCACTGTGGCCGACGTTATGAACGACTGGGACCAATGCTTGCACACGATCTTGGCCATGCCACCGCCGCCATCCAACCGTTCTCAACCTACACCCGTGAATCGGCTGGGCTTTCGCCTGCAAGTAGCCGGACAACCGTCGGTCGAAGTCGTCTTGCGGTCGAATGATGAAGAGCCCGCGGCAGTTGCGGCGGCCGTTGCGGCCTCGCACAAGCTCGAGCCATTGCACCAGTATTACATCCAAACCTTGCTCTTTAATGGCCTCCAACGATGGAGGCAGCAGTCGCCCCAAGTTGCCATCTCAGCAGATGTCTTTCCGGGCATGACGCCGCCCGTGGACGTGTACGTGGGGGATGATGTAGCGCTAGCAGTGCATGTCCATCTCTGGCGCTATAAGTATCGCATGTCTGGCACAGAGCTCGGCCACGTCATAGCGTCGATTCGAAGTGCCTTGAATCACGCCGACGAATCAACGTTGTGGATTGCGGCTCGGGGGGCTCAGTACCCCCCTCCCCCTCCTACTCCCCCTCTTCGTTCCTTTATTGCACCATTAGTGTCTCACCAGACTTGCGTCACCGTAGTCGTCACCACATGCAAACGGCTGTCATTGTTCTTGGCCACAATGCACAGCTTTCTCCCGTACGCAGCAACATCGTCCGTGTGCATGCTTCTTGTCCTGGACGACCATTCGTCTGCCGCCGATCGCCGCGTGATGCAAGACACGTTTCCAGCAGTCGAATTTGTGTTTACCCGTCGAAAAGGCCACGCGCACTCGCTGAACACGATGCTCGAGCTTGTGACCACTCGATTCATGCTGTACCTTGAGGACGACTGGCGGTGGGAGCCGTCGCTTCCCCACCACCCCCTCGCCCACGCCCTAGCCATCTTGGAGCACGATCCAACCATCGTTCAAGTCCTAGTCAATACCCAACACAGCGGGTGGCCCCGGCGATTGCCGACGACAGACGACAGTTCATTCGGACTGTACTTTCGCCATGAATATGGAGTTGTCGACCACGCGTTTGGGTATTGGCCGGGGTTCTCGCTCAACCCAGGTGTGTGGGACCTCAAGAGACTAAGCCGATGCCCCGCCTTGCGATTCAACGAGTCGTCCGATGTGTTTGAGCGAGAGTTTTCACTGGCCGTGTGGCGGTGTGGACTGCACGTTGCCATGTTACCGTATACGACAGCAGTGCACATTGGCACGAACGGGTCGGCTTATGTGCTCAATGGCTTACCACGTCGATTTGACTGATTCGGGCGTTAGTTCTAATGTCTTCGTTTCAACGGCAAAGTCATTCTATTACGATCAGGAAGGCAATCTATTAAACGATCAAGAGGTCTGTCTGCCCACAAGTGCAAAGTGCTGCTACTAGTATACATATATATATTTATATATATATATACGTTATCAATATGAACCACGGCTGTTGAACGACCAACTAACTACTACACATACTAATATATCTTGTTCAAAAGACAGTAGTATATGCCCTTGGTAGCACCTACTACTACTGTAGAAATCCACTGCAAAACGCAAAATTAGTGCCACTTGCGATGCCTTGTCCAGATTCAGAAAAACTAGACCCAATACCGAGTTCCCCCTCATCCAATATATCTATCTCATAGTTAATATGTACGTCCGATGTTATGGCGAGAGTATACACTATATACACGGCTAGATGAAGATATTCTTGGGCAAAATCAACGGGCGCAGGTCGCAGTCGCGAAGGAATTGGAGCGGAAACTCGACCAACTGGCCTTGGACGTGACTCAGCTCTTCCACTTCGGGGGGGACCCACCCGCCTCCCTGCTGCAGTGGCGCCGACGTGTTGAGGTTGCGCGTCGACATCATGCGGGAGCTCGATCGTCGAAGGAACTGCCGCAGGTCCACGGTCGCCTCTTCGTGCCTGTCTGCGTCCCTCTACGAAACCTCAATCAGCATATATAAACTATCCATATAAACTCTTGAGAAACAACACGAGGCAATCATCCATACAAACAGTGCAAAAAACCAACCCCACACAAAATATATTTCAAAGAAATATATATATACGTGTGATGTATACATATATATATACACTGCGTACGCCGCTACAATCGTCAAGCCACCCATATAAATATATATACATATACAGTGTCGAATTCCACCAATGATCGTTTGCTCGCGTGATATATCAAGACGGTGATTGGTGGATTTCATCATCTAACCACTTCAATCCACTACAATAGTAGACGCCATATATGCGACAATATGGTGGGGGTGTTGACGTACACTAGTGTCGAGTAGAATCCATCGACGGCGGCGCACCCAGCGATACCAGAGCGGCACCGCTCGCTGGGCGCCCTTGTCCTTTTGAAACGACTTGAATGAAAACGCATACTGCCAGCCTTGGTCATCGCAAGATGCGTCCGACATGTCCACCTCCCACGACGACGACGGCGTAAACGAGTCGAACGGCAGGCCAAACGCATCGCTCCATTCAGTCCGCTCTCCAAACACCAAATGCTCGGACGACCACCCAGACCCCCACGCGTACCTATGTCATCATCATGCATTCTCCATATAGATTTGTTTGTAGTACCGCTGGTTCTCGTACACGACGCGAATGTCTTCGTGGAGGTGTGCCTCGGGCACGGCGTGAAAGTACGAAGGAAACTTGTCCGTGGGAAAGCACTGGAACACGCGCTCGTAAATGTCCGTGTTGGTGTGCGCGAGCCGTCGGATCTGGTGCCAACTGGCGTCGCTGGTCGGATCCACCAAGTCCATCTACACAGATTGTTTAGGATATTTGTGATGTGTCTGAGCTTGGACAGGTCAAGTGGAAAAGTTGTAGAAAGAATGTATATATAATATATGTATATTGTCAACTCCGTTCCAATATTGGCCTGTATATGGATTTCAGAATGTCCAAGCCAATCAAACTTGACGGATGAGAATGTCCCAGCCAATCAAAACTTGACAGATGATAATTTCAGCCAATGGTCGATCAGCATCGTTTTGCCCACCAGCAATGTTAGTACGACCCAAGCAATCCAAGTGTTTATCTTGAAAGTTGTGTGTCCCATACATTAAACGTACCCCCAGGTGCTCTTGAAACAATCGACGGCGCAAGTGATGGCCAAATCGCCCGACAGTCGTAGGGGTCTCAGCAAACGCCCCCATTTCCATCGTACTGTCCTCAATCACGACGGCGATTTCAGAGTCGCGGTCACCGCACAAGCTCCGGTCGTTCAAGTTGGCCGAGCCTACGAGTTTTATGTAGTCGATTTAAACAGTACGAAGCGACGTACCAATGATGGCCACCTTGTCGTCGACGATCATGAGCTTGCTGTGGATGTAGATTTGCTCTGTGACCACGTGGCCATTCAAAATCGCATGCTGCCGCAGACCAAAGAACGCCACGTACGCACTCGGGTCCGGAACCAGCCTCGCCACTCGTTCGAGCAGCGAATTTCCACCTCGACACATGGTCATGTACTAGAGAAAGCAGAAGATTTCATCAGAATATATATATATATACACGTCGAAGTATAGAACTACTCGACCGATCCTGGTATGTGTGGGCATATATATATACAGTGAAATTTAAGCCACAGTTTGAATCGAAGTAGAATCGAAATCTTGAAGTCTGATTGGTCACCTTTGATTATTTTGACAAATCAAATCAACCGTTTTGAAAGCTACGAGTCTGATTGGTTAATTGTAAGTCCAGCAATATTCAGACGAACTTGGGGTGTGGCTTCTTAAATTCGCTCGTTCACTGTATACCAACACATACATATATAGTACGGCCCATATAACGATGTATTCACCCCATCAGCGTGAAAAAGCCACCCCTTCCGTACTACCAGTCCATATATATATATATAATATAAATTTTATTGGACTTTCACATACTATATCTCTTTTATTAAACAAGTATCGGGACGAACGATCTCAGCCAATGAGTGTGCTCAAGTGGCAAATTCGTGGTAAAACTCAATACACATTCTCCATATAAACCACCAACGCACCACCTACCTGCCAATGCATGACCGCGCGCAAGTTGGCCGAGTCGGCCCCAGTCACGGCGCCCTCAAAGCATGGCAACAAGGGCATAATGAACATGACGCGAAACGTTTCTTGCTTGGCATGGGCGTCGGCAATGCGAGCGTACAGCGCTTCCACCACCCGATTCGCCACCGACGCATCCAGGTCGAACCCCGACACAAAGAATTGGTTCTATATACACATATATAGTAGTTAGGTTGCCCACCTAATAAAACCAACAACACTTGCCTCAATGTAAATAAAGTGCTTGGCGGCGGCGATCGTGTCCATGTACGCTTGCTGGATGCTCTTTTCGGTTTTGACACCCCCAGACCACGGACTCAGGCTCCGCACGACCTGGCAGTGCACGACATCCCCCCCCCCCTCACTCGTCGTACGTGGCTGGTGGGTGTAGGGCAAAATCGCAGGGATTTCCGACCGGCGGCGGCGCTGCCGAGTCCGGTTCACGAGGACTGTGTACTTCTTTTGAACCGTAAAGTTCCATCGGTGGATGAAATGCCGTGCAATGTCTAGCGCTATTGGGCCTTCCAACCTAGCCCAGCCACCCACAACACCTTGGCACCCCAAAAAGTAGACGAGGGTTCGATATATATATATATAGTCAAGTCGATTTGGAATTGGAGTGTTTGGGTGCTCAATCGAATGAGAAGAATCACAACCAAATCGGCAGACAATCGATATACGGCCAATCAAAACACAAGACATGAATCAAGTAGCCAATCAAATTATCCACTCTTCGACCAACTCGAATTAGTGTGTGATTTTATTTAGTGTGAATCTGGACGATTTTTACATACACACGTCCATACAAAGAATATCAATCGATGGATTTGGCGAACCAACACAAAAGTTTTAAATTTGGAGTAAAAGGACAATATATATATATATATATATCAATGGATTCACAAGACGACGACGACGAACCGAAGACATATAGTATTTATATCGAAATGGGAGGGGGGGGTGCTCAATCGATTGAGCAGACACTCAAATCGACAGACAATCAACCGACCAATCAAAACCCACAACTGTATCCAAGTGGCCAATCAAACTCTTGTATATAATAATATTCTGTGAAGGGTTTTACATACAAAATTCAGTACAAAACCACATCATCGACCGATAGAGTTGGTGAATGAATGAATACTCGCCCAAATATCCATCGTTTGGCTACAATACAATATGCATTTTTCACAGCAGTCGAAAGCAACAATCGATAGCTACGATATATATATATATATATATATACTCGAGTATAGCTATATATAGATAGATATATATATATATAGCTAAACTCGATCGTTCGTACCGGCAATGAATGTCGTGCCAGGGCATCCGGGGCACCGTTGCTCTATCAATCAGTGGCTCGTGGATGTGCTGCACATCCACAAAGTCTTTGAGGCGCGGGTTCGAGTAGTCCTGTCCCGTCCACGTCGGCATCGCGCCAATGTCGGTCAACAAATGCGCCGGGGCGTCAAACCTAACCCGGGCCAGAGAATGTAGGTCCACCAGAGTGTATGTCGACATTGTACCGGCCGAGCGCAATATCCAACCCGCCCACAAACGCCACAGTCTGGTCGATGCACACAATCTTCTCGTGGTGGGACCAGAATTGAGGGAGTACGACAAAGTCGGGATGGCGCAGCACGTGAATATTGGCGCCTTGCAGCGACTCTTTGGCGAACTTGCTGTCGTTTGGAAGTACGAGGTGGTGTTCCCGGTACACCAACACAAACACTTGGACACCTCGCGCCGCCGCCGCACGCAGCACGCTACACGGACGACAATATTGTATATATAAGAAGAAACCAAGTACGAAAATCACAAAATCAAAACACTATAACAAACAAATGGACATTATATATATATATATATATAATGTCGTCCTTCCGCTGGTGCTCGGTCATGTATATATATATATATATTATATATATATATATACTCGAGTATAGCTATATATAGATAGATATATATATATATAGCTAAACTCGATCGTTCGTACCGGCAATGAATGTCGTGCCAGGGCATCCGGGGCACCGTTGCTCTATCAATCAGTGGCTCGTGGATGTGCTGCACATCCACAAAGTCTTTGAGGCGCGGGTTCGAGTAGTCCTGTCCCGTCCACGTCGGCATCGCGCCAATGTCGGTCAACAAATGCGCCGGGGCGTCAAACCTAACCCGGGCCAGAGAATGTAGGTCCACCAGAGTGTATGTCGACATTGTACCGGCCGAGCGCAATATCCAACCCGCCCACAAACGCCACAGTCTGGTCGATGCACACAATCTTCTCGTGGTGGGACCAGAATTGAGGGAGTACGACAAAGTCGGGATGGCGCAGCACGTGAATATTGGCGCCTTGCAGCGACTCTTTGGCGAACTTGCTGTCGTTTGGAAGTACGAGGTGGTGTTCCCGGTACACCAACACAAACACTTGGACACCTCGCGCCGCCGCCGCACGCAGCACGCTACACGGACGACAATATTGTATATATAAGAAGAAACCAAGTACGAAAATCACAAAATCAAAACACTATAACAAACAAATGGACATTATATATATATATATATATATAATGTCGTCCTTCCGCTGGTGCTCGGTCATGTATATATATATATATATATATATACATGACCGAGTGCCATATATATACATGACCGAGCACACAGCGGATGTGGATATTGTATGCAATCATATGTATGGACTAAAAGCTATTATTCGACAAATACTGTATGTATTCAACAATGTATGTCTTTTTAAAGATGTACATAGGACAAACAGCATTTCGCGTGCTAATGGACCAAGGAATGTTTTACAACATAAACTAGTCACAAAAGGCCAACATATCGGCGGCAAGGGACACTATATATATATATATATATATATTGTCCTCGTACAGTATATACGTAGGACAGAATATAGACGTACGTGTAGAGTTCCGAGTCGAGGCGCGCTTGGGCGGAAGTCCGCACGAGCGCATAATGTGGAGAGATCCACCAGCCCGTGATGAAAATCTGGCGGGTAGCGCGGCCGAGGTGCTCGAACATGACGGCAAACGTTTCTTCTCCGTCGACCAAATGCTGCGCCACATTTGTTGTGTGGGTATCTACGATATCAATATCGTTTGACATGTAAACCAGGCAAGGAAAAATACTAGCAAACAAATCTATTAGCAAACATAGATATAATTTAGAAAAATATAAAATCGCTTGAAACGCAAACCAGGCGATGAAAAATATTAAGAAACATATACAAATTATATATATATTCAGACATATATTAAGAACATGTATCATCACATCTCATGAAATTTGCTACAAATGTCCCAATTCTGCGCGATTCGTCAAACCGATCGCAAATCGTCGCAGACAAGTCATGGATGCTTGCCCATATTCCGTAGAAAGCACAAAATTAAAAGAATGTAGCCAATCAGCGACAAGCATTTTCAGATGGACCAATGGGAGTTTTGGTCGGCGCGAGTGGGGTTCAGAACTTTGTCCGAAATGAATGAAATATATATGAAATTAAACAACAAGGCCAAAACGACGTCGTACCGACAGCAGGTCGCATAGGAGCAAACGACGTGTGCTGGTGAAATGTGGTGTAATCGCAGGCGTCCATTGCTTTGGTGAGCATCTCGTGAAAGTGCTGGCACTGGCCCTTGTGCTTGAAATCGATTTCAACGATTGCTGCTGGGGTCGTCACATGCAGTCCATCCATCATCCAATGCAAGCCTGCATACAAAAACATCGTTATTATGTCAAGTCTGTATATATATTGTACTTATTCTAAACTGGAGATGCGACATGGAGAATGAATCTTCGACACCACCAAATACATGTACACAAGAATCATCGGCAGAATGAGAGTTTAGCCAATCAGATTGAAGGAAACTGTCATCAATGTCAAATTAGTGTGAGACTTCAATTAGTGTGATACCATCCATCACCACAGGACAACTTTTGACATACAAAATTCAGTACAAAGAATCGATCGATAGATTTGGCAAAGAATCAGCTCAAAAGTCAACCAAATTTTGGGTAAAAGAAAGACAATATAACAATAAACTTGTTTCTACTTGTTGATCGATGCAAATGGTTCAGATGAAAAAGTACACATCCAACAGGTACGGTTAGGCTGCCAACCATATTCATATTCTACTATACGAAACGATATATAGATATATCAAATATATTATGAACAGCTCTGTAGAGGTCTCTCTATCCACATAGAAAAAACCTGTACAGCCGAACCAATACTACAGGGTACATGCTACAGCCAACAACATCATGCATCAAGTATGCAATACATACATATATATATTACGAAATTTCATTTTGGCATATCCAATTCTGCAGAAAGCATGACGTCAATAAATAGAAAAAGTATATAGCCAATCAGCGAACAGTAATTTCAGATTGACGAATGGGAGCGATTTTCGGGATCGGTTTGGTTGGTTCTGTGATTTTCAATTAAATAGGGTCCAGAAGTTCGTACCAAATCAATAATATATATCCATACAACGTGATCAAGAATATATATATATATATCCGACCGTGCTTAAGCAGCGTGCTTTTGCTGATGGCAATGTGCGGTTGAAATAACACGACATGTGTCGGCGCCGTGGATCGCACCGTGTCGAAGAACGCAATGGACGATGGCTTCACGACCATCCACCGGCGATGGCGCAGCAGGTACTGGTACATCATAGCCACAAAGTACAAGCCAGGGATCGCACTCAAGATGGACGCGGCAACCATGTAGCCTACCCACAATCGTATATATATATATATATATATTGTGAATTCGCTATAAATTTCCAAAATTAGCGTGGTTTGTCTACTCCATATTGAATCACGCCGGTGTTCTGATTGGTTGAATATACTTGTCCTTTCGAGCCAATCAAATTCACTCGAAAATGGATTAGCCAATAGCGTCGATTCATGATTCGATTCACCAGCGAGATCATTCGATTCGACGGGGTCTGGAAATTCGAAATTCGTATCGAATCCAGATATATATAATGCATTCGATTCCAAGTAGTGGACTGGGTAGTCCAATCGAATAGCGGTAGCCCAGACAATCGACTAGCCAATGAAATTGTTTCAAACCTAAATTCCAACCAATGGTAGTCCGGCCCAAGGTTTCGCCCATTTGTCCCAGTTGAACTATTTATATTCAATTTTCGTATAGTTTACATTTATTGTATGGTATCCAATTGTGCTTTGAGCCGATTTCTTAAATTAACTGCCCAGTCCAAATTTGGGTGAAAAGGACAATATATATATATCTATATATATTTATAGATGCGACTCCACCGGCCCGTTATTTCAACAGACAATAGCCCTGAGAGCCCCACATTCAAAATGTCATTTTGAGACCATTCTCCAAGTTACCAGATGCTTTCATATAGGTATATATGTAGAGAGAGAGATATAAATTCTCGATACTGCCATACGCACAAATATATATATATATACATACATATATATATATATACATACATATATCCTTGGGGAAATACCTGTGTGAAGCTCGGAGACTGAGTCGGCCGAGCTGGCCGCGACAAACGAGTAAAACACACCAAACGGGATGATCACACATAGAGAGACGACGACGGCGATCTCAGCCACGCGCATGAGGTTGTCCTTGGTGAAGTGGAACCCGATGAAGCTGTGGCGGCCGTGCAGCGTGCCTTTCCGCGACGGGACGTACCGCATCTTGACCCATCCCTCGACAAGACTATCTCCCGCCAGCGGGTCGAAGCGGAGGGCGCTGTACTCGACGAACGCTAGCACGCGGGGATGCCGCCATAGCGACTTGTGCGAGAGGACATCCGTTAGGAACGATTCGACCAACGTCACCACGTCGTGCGGGACCACGCTCGACGTGTGGTGAGCAAGCAACGACGACGGAAACTCAAACACGTGGCGGAAGCGCAGCGCGCGCTGCAGGAAGAAGTGGAGGCTAAAGAGCCGTGGGGTCGTTGTGCGGATGCGCCACGTCTGGTTGTCTGGAAGCGACAGCTACGACAACAAGACCTCAGCATGGAGGACGCACCGACGACGCATGGGAGATTACCTCGATGACAAACATGTTGTACGTGTACATTAGGGAATCGACTCGTTCCACATTGACGACACGCACCAGTGGCGCACCTGGCAGCCGGAAGCCGAGGTCGTCGTGGAGATGCACGCTCGATGGCGAGTCGAGCGCTTTGTACTCTTCCTCGCTCCCCTCTACATTAGAGCCAGAGCTCATGCATTTACTAGTGGAGACGGATAAACTCTACCTGATGAACTACTACGTCGCGGCATGCCATCCTCGGCCGACTCGGCCGGTGCGGTCGCCATGTTGACTGCTAACGAGGTGTGTGCCTCGTGAATTGTCGTCCCAACCAATCACAACGCAGGAGTCATGACGACAAATATACTGTATTTACTGTACGACAGCTGACTTCCTCTAGGGTTTTAATTAGTGTAAGCGTTCTACAGTACTCCGGAGTAGTAAGTACAGTACTGCTGTTTTAGATTTCGGATAGAGTACCGCCATGAATCCCTTACACTGGTACCAATATGAAGTCGTAGTGCGCTCAAATCAATGCATAAACTAGCTCTATCTACGCAGTAAGTACCATACTGCCACACTAAGCTTACTCCCGGCGTATAGCACTAGTACAGTACTACTACTAGTACTAGAAATTGTAACTCCAGAAGTAATCTTTTACTGTACTGTACACTGTTTAGGTATACCACATCACACTATTCAAATGACCCGTTTCAGTTCGTTCCACATGACCGTTACTGAACAATGCGTCGGTTGTTCGTTTTTTCATGGACAGGCCAAGTCGTCCGTCCATCAACGACTTGGCCAGTCTCTCGGTCCCCTACTGAAATGGACATATCTTTCTCACTTGCGCATTGATCATGTCGAGCGCGTGCACCTTCCTCCTGACGTTTCTGGTCTCTGTGCTGTGTGGCCTAACCTGCGGCCAACTTGCGCAGAACCTGACTCCGTTGGACATTGGCGTCCGTTGCGCCCAGTATCCGCGGACGCCGACAGTGCTGACGTTCGTCGTGGATCAGCCGGACGCGAACCTCCTCCTCTTGCACTTTGACTTTGTCAAGTTGATGCCCCAAGACACGCTGACATTACGTGCCGTGGTCAATCACACAGTGGGCGCCGTGATCGACACCCTGACGTCTGCCACCACGGCGCCATTTTATTCCGTGCCCATGTATACGCTGCTAGTTGTGTTGGAGCTACACGTGGTTATGGGCCTCGGTCGTTCCGGTCCTGCAAACGCCACGACACGATGCTTTGGGTTCCACGTGGATGGCGTGCGCACGTCGGCTATCGACGGCAACAAGGCGGCGTCGGCGGACGAATCTATTTGTGGCACGGACGATTCCAAGAACGCGCAGTGTTTTGTCAACTCGGCCATGTACACGGCATCCAAGGCGGTGGTGCGGCTCCTAACCAACCGCGTGGGGGGGTCTGCGTTTTGCACGGGGTGGCTGCTCGGATGCGAAGGGCATTTGCTGACTAACGAGCACTGCATTCAAGACGCCACGGACGCAGGAAATACGCTGATTGAGTTTATGGCAGAGGGTGTGTCGTGCGGAACGAACTGCGACTCGCAAATGGCTTGTGCGGCGACCCCCCGGTTATACACTCGCGGGGCGACCTTCATTGCGGCGTCCACAGAGCTGGACTATTCGATCGTGAAGTTGGACCCTGCGATGATTCCCGAGGGCTTGGGGTAATGAGGACATGGATGTGTTCTTTGGGTGAGTTATGGATACTGTACATGTAGGTTCTTGCGACTGCGACTGGCGGGGCCAGCATTGAATGAAAAAGTGTACATTCCACAACACCCCCTGGGGTGGGGGAAGCATGTCGCGGTCATGGCTGGGCTAGCCCCAGGCATGATCACAACGGTGACGTTGGCGGGGTACGAATGCCATCGCTCTGGTTTCGACAGGTCTAACTAGATGAATGACGGATTAGATGCGCCGTGGACCAAGCCGGGTATATGCTGGACACTCAACCGGGTTCGTCCGGCTCACCGGTACTGTCGGTGAGAGACAACAACGTGGTGGCGTTGCATCATTGCGGAGGTGAATAGTTGATGATGACATATTGGGGGTCATGAGATGGTGGGCTCATGTGATGATGCTAGGATGCCCGAACGCTGGCATCCAGTCCCAAAAGCTCATTCAGGACTTTGCGAAGCGGGGAATTTTGCCGCAGTGCAGTGTCGCGTAGCCACCACCCGTTCGTCCAAGATGTTGTAATCCGCTCATAGCCGTTAGTTGGCTAAGGGTCGTTCAATATATCAACTAAGTTCGACGGGTTTTGCTGGTTTTGTCCCATGCACGTTTGTAGAAATGACGTCCGTCGTCGTCGATGATACCGAAGTCCATCGCATTTAGCTTATTCCAAGCGCCCCCCTATGGGTGGTGATTCCAGGCCTCGACCAATCAAGTCAATTTTGATGGCTTCCAGTCCTTTCGTGACTGCGTTCGTCGGTTGCATCAAAGTAGTATACACTTTCATACCCACTCACTTTTGTATTTCTTGCTTCGCCATGTTATACGCATTCCCTTGGTTCTTGACATGTCTGGGCGTCCTCGTGTGTGGATACCCCCACGTCGCGCCCGAGGCAGTGGAACTAACGCAGCTGGACGTTGGGATTTCTTGTGCCCAGTACCCGCGGACACCGACCGTCGTGACGTTTGTCGTGGATCGACCAGACGCAGCTCCCCCCCTCCCCCTTCTCCTCCTCTTGCACTTTGATTTCCTCAAGTTGAAGTCACTCGACACACTGACGGTTCGTGCAGTCGTGAACGGCACGGTGGGCGCGGTGGTCGACACGTTCACGTCTGCATCCACAGCACCTTTCTTCTCCGTGCCTCTGCATGCAACAGCCGCCGTGCTGGAGCTGCATGTCACTGGCGTGTCGTCCCATGCATCTCCTTCGTCGGGGGGACCTTGCTTTGGGTTCCATGTCGATGGTGTGCGAACGTCGGCGATCGACGACGGCAACCGTGTTGCCGCGGACGAATCCATCTGCGGAGTTGACGAGTCCAAGAATGCGCAGTGTTTTGTCAGTTCTGGCATGTACACTGCGTCCAAAGCGGTGGTGCGACTGCTCACCCATCGCCACAAGCGGTCTGTGTTTTGCACGGGGTGGTTGCTGGGATGCGACGGCCATGTGCTCACGAATGAACACTGTATTGCCGACGCGGCCGACGCTGTCAACACGACATTTGAGTTTATGGCAGAGGGCGTGTCATGTTCGACGAATTGCTCCGGGCAAGGAATGTGCAAGGCGGCTCCGAGGTTGTTTACCCGGGGGGCGACGTTCATCATCGCATCCAAAGACCTCGATTACTCGCTCGTCAAGCTCAGCCCCGCAACGATTCCGCCTGGGCTTGGGTACGTTGCCAATGTGTTTCAAGATCGTTTCAACCACTAGTGGGTCGACGACGAATAGATTCCTCCGACTCCGAGCGTCTGGACCCAAACTGAACGAGCCAGTATATATCCCCCAGCACCCCCGCGGTTGGGGGAAGCGCGTGGCGGTGGTGAAGGGCAACAGAACGGGTACTATCACGTCGCTGACGTTGTCGGGGTATCGATTATTTCTTTACAATTGTGTCGGGTTATGAGGGATGGGTATAGATGTGCTGTGGACCAAGCAGGGTACATGCTGGACACGCAACCGGGGTCGTCGGGCTCGCCTGTCGTGTCCGCTGTGGACAACACCGTTGTGGCGCTGCATCATTGCGGAGGTATATGTGCTCCGAATGATGGTGAGGACTTGCAGGCTTAATATGTGGGTGTAGGATGTCCGAATGCTGGGATTCAGTCGCAAAAGATCCTAAAAGACTTGGTGGCACGCGGACTGTTGCCGCCGTGTAGTGCCGCGTAAGACCCCCCCCTGTCAGGTTGTGTGTATATAAGTCGAGAAGAGGGACGATCAATGTATTTTTACTATGGACATCTTGACAAGTGACTAGTATTTGTATCTAAAATCGACACTACTTTATTAGGGAGTAGAGTCAACTGGCTTTATTATTGTGTATATCCACTCGAGTAGTAATGAGGCGGCGCCACCACCGGTAGATATTTATCATACGTTTTTCGTTGTTATACTGCATGCTTGTGCAGCATTTTTCGGAATTCCTAAGGCAAAGTGAGGCTAATAACTTTGAGTTTTGCAACATACTTCGAGATCAATCTTGCCGTCGTTGTTCCGGTCCATTTGGTACACTAATTCACGCTATTCAGATAGATGATGATTAGAACCAGGAGCATGTTCGAGTTGATATATATATGCTACTCACCACATCTTCATGATCGAGGGACTGCCCCAACGATTTGAAAATGGAAATAAATTCCTATAACAACGTGAAAATATATATCCATGATCCACACAGGGATACTTACGTCGACAGTAATATACCCGCTCTTGTCAGTATCGATCATCTTGAACACTTCTCGAATCAACTCTTGCTTGTTGTGTTTGGACGAATGTTTCTACAAAATAGTCTCCTCAGCCTCACGACAATACAAAACCATCGACACAATATTGATATCATCACGCCACAGCTCCACAGAAATATACATACTAGTTGTAGTATTATTCTACTCTTCTGCAACAATATATATATCTCCACCCTTCTGCAACAAAATACATATATATAATTTGCACAAGTGTCGCACAATATATGATATTATCGTATTATATATATCCCCACTTTTGCAACAATACATACATATATATATATATAAGTCGCAGTAGCGCAGAACTATATATTGTATCATCGCAAAAGTGTAGAAATATATATATATTGTTACAAAGTGTACAACAATATTGTTGATTTGATACAAATTTGGGGAGGGGGGGTGCAATCGAATCGCGCCGACCACCAAACCGATCCACAATCGATCTGATTGGTTGAATTTCATTGAGAAGGATTTGATTGGCTAATAATTTTGAGCTCATCTGAGGTAGCCAATCAAATCGATTTAGATTCCAACGAAAGCACAATATCCTATGATAAAATAGAATTAATTGGAAAAAGAAATCCAAGTACATTTGCCAACACATCACGGTATGATGTTCTTTCTAGTTGGACGTACGTGAATATGCGTACGACACCACGTTTCAAAGTCGTCAAATGCAACACCGCCCGACTTGTGCTTGTCCAGGTCGTCCATGATGCGCTGGATCTGGTCGGTGGTCATGTCGGGGGAGATCTGCTGGAGGAAGCTTTCCATCTCGTCTGTGTAGATCGTGCCCGACTTGTCCTTGTCGATCAGCGAAAAGATCGAGTTGATTTCTCGGCGTTCGGTTTCCGCTGCATAGTGCTCTTTCGTGGCCATTGGATGGGACTCAAGGAACGGCGGCGGGTCGTACATTGGGGACATGGGCACCTCCACGGCCGTGCGGGTGCGGGGGGACATCAGCAGCCACGTCGGGACGTCCAGTTGGTTGTCGTCCAAGTGGAATGACGGCAGGTCCTTCATCATAAACTGCCGCCGCTGGCTGCGGCCCCACAACGACGACGGACCACCTCGGGCCAAAGCCGCCGGTGACGATGGTGTGTCATCACTGATGATTTTAGTAGTGGTACTAGATGGGTTGTTCGTAGTGGCCTTGTCCATCTCGACGTTTCGATCGTCGTGCTCTTGCAAGTACAATTTCATTTCGGCAATGAATCGCAGCGTCCGCAACGTCTGCCGCGCCTTGACGATACGCATCACTTTGTTCATAACCCGAGGAGCTTTCAACGCTTCCACGTTGAACGCGTACAGTCCATCCTACATATATATATATGTATATATATATGCACGTCCCAACGTTATATGGAATCAGAAGAAGACAAATGACCCGTCTCATGGTTCAATGTGTCGTTTGTACGATAAAAAACATATATGACCCGTCTCATGTTTGAATGTGTCGTTTGTACGAGAGACAACACTGAGAGGTCCCACAACCCTACCCGCGCAATGACGATGGACATGCTCGTGACAATGCAGCTGGGCAAGATGGACACGGCGACGCAAAGGGCTTTGGCGACGGCGTCCAAGTCGGTGCGGTGCACCAGCAGCGGCAGCGTCCGCAACACAAATACACTTAGGTGCAGCGCCGTGAACAAGAATACAAGGCGCGTCGAGAACAGCGCGAGCACAACGCCGTTGCCCCCGCCCAGCAGCTTCTTTTGCGCGTCTTGGAGCTGCGACATGGTCAGGTGCACGCCACCTTGGGGCAACTCGTGCACGTACGGAGGCACAAACAAGTCGACCAGCGACGTCTTCTCCTATATATATATAGAGAGAGATATATATAAACAGCATCACACACAACATCAACACTCGAACGATATATATATATAGAGATATAAACAGCATCACACACAACACCAACACTCGAACGATATATATATATAGAGATATAAACAGCATCACACACAACATCAACACTCGAACGTTCACGTCAACTCAAATAGCCATATCCTTCCAAATGGCCATTTCGTGGATTCAGCACAAATTTCCAGTTGACCCCGTTGAATCGAATAGCTCGCCGCAGAGATCATCGAAACACGAATCATCGACACTATTGGCTAATCCATTTTTTTGACTGGATATGATTGGCTCTTTCAGAAAGAACAAGTATATTCAACCAATCAGAACTCCAGCGTGATTCCATATCGACGCGAATTTTGAAAGTATATCGCGAATTCTTCACAATATCAAAATAACAATGCCATCAATCGACGACACTGGCATACATGTAGTAGCAACACCACTACACAAATGACACCAGTAACGACATACGTCGGAGGGTGAGAGGAGAGGAACTTTCTCGTCGGCCACTGACGAAGCTCGTGGGGGAGACCTTAATGGAGGCAGGTTGTGCTGGGCTCGCCATGCACCGTTGGCGCGATACCGCTCAGCTTTGTGGAATAGGATGGGCGGCGTGAGCTGCTTCCGCATGTGTCGGATGCGGCCGTACACGAACTGATTGAGCAGCACGAGGAGCCCGCCCGCGACGCCAAACACAAACACTTCGTTGTCGGGACCCACGGCCCAGCACGTTGCAAGCAGTACCATGATGCAAATCTCCAGCGCCACCCACGTCACGCCGTCGATTTGGATCAGTTTGGCCATCACGTCGCCCGAGATGATGGTCAAGTACTCGTTGAACGGAAACCTACAAATATATACATATATATTATATATATATGTAAGAATGGTCAAATCCATAAATAGATATATATGTATGCCACCAAACAGGCAAGAAGTACCGCGTATCTCGTTCAAGTTGAAAGTCCTTGGCCAGGTCGTGGGCTTGTATCGGGTCCTAATAGTATATACATATATATATATGATATATACCAGTAAACCTGATATATATATATATACATGCAAATTAAAACTATAATATAGTAGTGCGTTGTAAAACTAATAGTATTGTGGTGAGTTATTTTGGTAGTGTGATTGGAGGAACAAGTAGGTTGAGTACCGGGTGATTTGATCGAAAGTCGACGAACCGACGACGCAGGCTCACGTACACCATCTCGCGTTTGCGTTTGGTTCGTTCTCGACGCCACGACCAGCTCAACGATTGTCGCCATGACGTGGCAGGCTCACTGGCCAAGCAGTAGTCGGCCACGACCACTTGAACGTACGGAGCGCGCCGTTCGAACTCGCGGAACTCGTGTTGGACTTGGACTCCAAATTTGAGCAATGTGCTACAAACCAACAAGTATGTACTTAGCTGACGAAACACCCAGAGTACTCGTGGGTGTGTACAGGCATAACATGAGAAAGATCACAATGAACAGAAACAGCGCCATGTGCAGCAACTCGATCGTCTCTTCGAGCTCGGCTGCTTTGTTCGGACCAAAGAGGGCTTTGGAGATCTACAGTGTATCGTGGTTGCCGATGATGATTGATGGGAACCTCTCCAACCTGACTGAGGTACCCCGACTTGGACATGACAAACAGCACAGACCCAATGAACCCCAGCGTCGTGAGCTCGCTAAAGATGGTGTTGATGAACGGCATGTTGGTATCCTCGGTGGATTCCCGCAGCCATTCGGCGCCCTATTCCACCATGATGAGAGAACGACGATGTGGGTGTTCAGAAACAAGCTTTACACTTTCAAAGATGATGGAGAGGAATATGAGCACGGTGATGGTTACACCCGAAGCCACCGCCGCGTACAACTTGGCATGGATTAGCTCTTCTTCGCTCGCATTTCCCTCTACATGAACGAGCGATCAAGCTTCGACCTACCAAGAGCCACCTACCATGGTCGCTCTCTTGTGCGAACCCTTGCCAGCAACAACCTGCCATCAGGACGACCCATAATGCCCATGTGCAACTCCGCATACTTTGTGGAATTGAAGGTTGAGGCCATCAACAAAATTGCGATCCTAGGTCATCCGGAACAAAGTCCGAATAAGGATACTTAGCAGTAGAAAAGCTAAGCTGAATTAAGCAAAGTTTGATAATGGCATACTAATGTTAAGCTTATGAGAGAACTTACCTCGCTCGAATTATCTTCGTGGTCCATACAGAACGATATTTTGATGTTTTAGCAAATTAATAATGCCAGGAGATATTATTAATACTACTAGAGTTTGCTTACAGGAGACAATAATACAGTCAGCTTGCTCCTAAATATCATCCTTGGACAGAGGTGGTACAGTAATTCATTAGTGTGTTGTGTCTTGGATTTGGGAGTAACAATAGGCGTCAATTATTTATTATTCGTACGAAATTTGTTCTCGAAATAGCTACCGGTGAGATATTCAAAGAACAATATTATATTTGTATGCGATGTTTGAAATAATAATAATGGCTGGAAAACGGCAGCGACAACAGCAGCCCGATGCGGCAGCTGCCAGCGTGCTGCGCTCGTTCGACCTCCTTCGTCTTGCGGCATCTTATCAACATGGCCTCCGTGTTGACGGCCACAACCTTCTTCTATCCATTGAATGGCCAGCAGTGCAAACCCGAGGCGTCACTTACGTCTTCCCCTGTATGTCAAGCTTCTCGTTTCAGCGCCTGCTACCTTGGGTGGACATCCATGGCCTTCCTTATCTCGTGGACGTCGTGAACTTTGTTGAAACCCGTTCTGCCTCGTTCCTCCTGAGCACGGTTGTGTTTTGCGTGGCCGTGTGGTACGGCCACCTCCCACTCCTCCGCGACTTTGGTGGTCCGCGCTGCCATCATCTCTCCGGTCTGGATTTTACCATGGCTATGAATATTGCTGCGAAGAATGGCCATGTAGCCATCGTGCAGTGGTTGCATGCCAATCGCAAGGAAAGCTGCACGTCTGCCGCCATCGACGACGCAGCGCTTCGAGGGCACGTCCATGTCGTCGACTACCTCCATCGCACTGGCCTGGTGATATTTTCGTCGCGATTGTCCGAGATCATGCTGCAGGTTGTCGCAAAGGGAGATGTTGGAATGGTAGAATGGTTACATCGCCATCGGACGCGACAGTGGCCTCGCGGGCTCATGGACGCGATCGCCGCGTCCGGAAACGTGTCCATGATGGCTTATTTCCACGTGCATACAAACGAGCGTTGTACGACCCATGCGATGGACGTCGCAGCCAGTCGTGGCCATTTGGAAATGGTGCAGTTTCTGCATTACCATCGACACGAAGGATGTACGACCCAAGCGATCGATTTGGCGGGTGGCAATGGCCATTTGGACATTGTCCAATGGCTGGTCAATAATCGTCACGAACGGTGCTCGTGGAACACCATCTACCTCGCGGCTTGCAATGGCCATGTTCGCATGTTGCGCTTCCTGTTTCACATCGACCAGCTTCATGCGATGCCGTGGCGATGTGCATCGGTGGTGGCTCAGACCAGCGGTCGACTCGATGCATTGGCGATGCTAAACCAAGTCAAGTCTACGTGCAACAAGCAAAGCCAAAAGCAGCAAGCATCGCATCGACGACGACACCACGGCCGCAGTTCGTAACGTGAAGCCAGTATAGTAAAGTCAAGCCTAAACCGTGCAACATGAAGTGTTTCAACTACAGTATGAACGTCTAGTCAGGTTACTCCGAGTAACGTTAGTACAATAATCTACTGCTTAGTCGTACATGGACTCCCATCGCCAAGGCAGCTAGCTAGCTGCATGTTGTGGTTACAGTCTAAAATTGCGAACATTTTGCTTGGAATTTGTTCGACCTAGAGATATGTTCGACAAATCAATGAAACGTCCGTCTGGGCTTCTTGGCTGTACAATCATACATTGGTGGTGTTCATTGTTTAGTCGCAATGCCTACACCGACAGCAGCAGGAGGAGCGTGGCTACGGCGTTGGGGGTCCCGAGTCGCTCTTCTCGTGGCCTTGTCCTGCCATGCCATCGTGAAAGCCCAGGACGAAGGTGCCATTGTAAACCATCATCCTACTCGACTTTAACCAATGCTCATTGTAGGACATGCGACAACGACCACAGAGGTGCCGGGGGGACATGGTTCGTTCAAGGTCAATGCGACCTCTTCGACGCACGAGAACGAAGGACAAGAACGTGAAGAAGCAGCTGGCGACGAAGTGTTCTACAATGTGATGGCATCGATTGCTACGATCACCGTGTTGATCTTTCTGTCGATTGTGTTTGAAATGGTAGATGCAGTCCATGGCTTTCCAGTTAAGAACGTAGTCGATTTGAACATGCCGTTGGTGTAGGGTGCCGAGTGGCTTCGAGAATCCACCGAAGAGATCAACATGCCGTTCGTCAACACGATATTCAACGAGCTCACGACGCTTGGGTTTATCGGGTCGATTTTGTTTCTCATGTCCAAGTCGGGGTACTTGGGACAGGTGTGCATACATATAGTATACTAAGCTGTGAAAGGCCTATGACGTGGCATTGCCTGGTGGCAACGTCGTTTCCATTCATTCATTCATGTTATCTATGTAGATTTCCCAAGCGTTGTTTGGCCACGACAAGAACATGGAGCTCCAAGAAACGATTGAAATGCTGCACATGGCGCTGTTTCTGTTTGTGATCATCTTTCTCCTGCTTTGCATGTACGAATTAACGAGATTGTGTGTTTGTTCCCTAGTCACGATTTACATGTATTGGGTGTGTAGTGTGTTGCTTCAATTTGGCATTCAAGTGCAAAGTGAACTTCGCGAATTTGAACGGCGCGCGCCATATGTCCAAGTCGTGGTCGCGGATTACTGCTTGTCCACAGAGCCTGCCACGTCATGGTGGGACAAACTAAACTGGCGCCGATGGCAAGAAATCGCGAAAAGCAAACGCGAAATGGTGTATGTGAGTCTCCGTCGTCGGTTCGTCGACTACCATTCCAACCATCCTGTACGTACGTCGTACGTTCTTGATACATGTACCTTTGGTTACAGCTCTGTAGGACCCTGCCAAGGCCAAAGAACTTGCAAAGGACTTTCAGCTTGAAAAGGACACTCGGTACACATATGAAAGACCGTAAACTATCCCTCACACGTTGCTGCTCGGCAACGCCCTAGATTTCCGTTCAATGAGTACTTGACCATCATATCCGGCGAAGTGATGGCTCGTCTCATTCAAATCGACGCAATCACGTGGGTGGCGCTCGAGATTTGCATCGTGGCGTTGATTTGTCTCTGTTGGTGGGTGGGCCCAGACAACGAAGTGTTTGTCTTACTGGGGGGCGGGGCCGTCCTCATCGGGCTCAATCAAATCGTGTACCGCCGCATCTCGACCATGCGAACGCTCTTGACCCCCCCTCTCCTCTTCAAGAAGGCCGAGCGCTACCGCACCAAGCCGGCGTGGCGCGCGCAGCACGGCCTGCCCCTCCTGCCATCGTCGCCCTTGATGTCGGACGAAAAGGTACCACTGCTCCCGTCCGAGGTAGAAGTTTGTGTGTGTCCATCCCCCGTTGTGTGATACAGTAAGTGTGACAGCGTGTTGCGTTGCTGTAGGAAAAGCTGGCGACCGACAACACCCCGCCCTACCTCCTCAACTTACCCCTCGGCGGTGTCGACTTGACATCGCAAGAACTCGCCGACCGCCAAAAAGCGCTTCTTGGGGGCGGCAACGGCGTGTTGCTGGCGCTGTTCTCGACGCGCCTCGTGTTTTTGTTCACGGCGCTGCACCTAAGTGTGTTTGTCATGCGCACGTCGGGGCAGCTGATCCGCCGCGACGACCTCCACGCCGTGGAAAAAGCAGTCATATTTGTCCTGTTGGCGCTTCCCAGCTTGATTGTCGCGAGTGTGTCCACAATGATTGCTCGGGTACTGCTTGCATTGGGTCGATATGATAATTCCGTGTCGAGTTTTTAATTGAGGTTGCGTGGACTACTTGTGTGGGGTTGTCATCTGATTCTTCTTGGTCTGAGTATGATCTGATTCGTGGCCACGGATCGCCTGTTTGACTAGTCCACCTGTGAACCTTCTGATTCGTTGATATGATCTCACCTGATTCGTACCTGCATCGTCGTGTCGTCCATTCTGATTCCGACCTCAACATATGACAGGATGGTTTGTACTGTTTCAATGTGGAAGCGATGAAAGTGCCGCGGGTGATCAACAAGGTCATGCGCATCCTCAAAGCCCGACAGACGCTGCGCACGCTTCGCTTTGTCGCAGAAATGAAAGTCTACTTGCGGGAGCACCACGCGACGGAGGGAAAGGCCGCGTCCATGAAGAACCCTCCGACTTCCCCAGACCCCGCCGACGACCTCCGCCGCCGATCGTTGTCGTTCAATGACACCGCTACGTTGCCGACCCATCACCGCCCGTCCCAGCTCCTCCACGGCGCCACGTCATCGCCTGGAACGGGGGACAAGCTGTCGCTGCTGTCGCCCCGCAGTCGCTCCAACGTTGAAGAGCCCATGTCTCCAATGAGTGAGCCCAGTTCGCGCTCCAAAGCACCTGGGCGGCGGGCCAAATACGACGAGGAAACCGAACGCCGTGAAATCAACTCGATCTTTTCCCTCTTTGACCGCGACCAGTACGAGCTAGCCTGTTTGCTGAGAGAGTCCCCACTTTTGTGCATGCATTGGCAGGTCGGGCGCGATCACCCGCGATGAAATGGAATCGCTTTTGCATGTCATCTCCCCCGACATGACGGAATCCCAAATCTCGCGCATCATTGTCGTCTTGGACGAGCACCACACGGGCGAAGTCACGTTTGACGAGTTTTACCGCTGGTGTCGGTCGCACATCCATGTACGTCAATCTGTTCTCAAAGGACACATTCGAGTGGCTCGGGGCGTTGCTTCAATCATGAGCGAATGATGATTTTCATGCCAATAGAACCACTCGTCGAAACATTCCAAACACCATTTGATTCGCGAAGTATTCAAAATGATCGACACGGACGGCAGTGGCTTTATCACCGTCGAAGTACGTTTACTATTTATTCACTGTATTGTTGACAGTGAATCATGCGATCAACACAAACAACGGGCAGGAATTTGTCGCGATTTTCAAAGCCCTCGGCCAGTCGCTCGACCACGAAGACGTGGTATGCTCCTGCTTATGATTTCTACAAAAGTACCTCATCCAACTACCAATACATCACGCGTCGGTCTCGGCTTGTATAGCGCGAACTCGTCTACCAAATCGACCGCAACAGCGACGGCAAGATTGACTTTGAGGTGCAATTCCACGTGTCATCAATCCTACTGTATTGGCCCTCACATCGCATACACATGGCTCTAGGAATTTGAAAAAATGCTGCACAAGCATGCCGTGTGATCCCCCCCCCGACCCCCCCCCCTTTCCGTCCGCCCCGTTGAATGTCGTACATTGGATATATAGGTTGCATCGAAAACGTTAGTTATTAAAAACTACACATGTTGTTGTTAATGGAGCATTCAATACTGTGTTGTTAATCTACACTTGTGCGTTGGTGTTGTTCTTGTCGCATGGAAAGAACTTGGCCATCACGCCTCGCCAGTTGTCCACGTCAATATGCACCTTTCCACGCTTCACTCGGTCCACAACCACTTTGCACCGTGGCGGGCCCATGGGCCGAAAGGACGCCTTGAACGCCGCCGAGTAGTCGTAGCATCCGCCGTGGCATTCGTGGTGATGCAGACACACCATCGTCTCGACTTGGCAGATCAAATGATCGTGGGACCAGCCCCGGGCGCCCGCCAAGGTGGACATGTACTCCAGGAACGATGCTTCCGTGACCTCGCACGCCAGTCGGGGCCGGTCCACACATCGGTCCACGTAGCTCGGGTTGGCTTTGGAACCTCCGTCGTGGTCGCCTTGCAGCAACGTCGCCGCCCTACTCGGGTTCATACATACTATATATAGAGGTGTTGTAGAGTTTACCGTGGCGCGATGAAGCGTTTGCACTGAGTGAGCATATCCGCCAACATGCCCGTGTACTGGTATCGATAACTGAACCGGCCGAGGTCGTCACCGTCTGCATATTGGTAGTACGCCCGGGGCAAGTCTTTGAAGAACTCGTACAATGGGCTCGCGGGGCTATGGACGTCAACCTTGTTTTGATTGTATTGGCCTGCCAACATAAGCACGGGGTCTGTGGGGCGGATGGTCGTGCCGTTGAAGCGAGTGCACGACGACCAGATGCGCGCGTCGGTGGCGGACTTCTTGGCGGCGTCAGACAGCACCGGCACCCGCCCAGGCACAGCGTCCGCCACGACACATTTGAAGTAAATGCGATGCATCAAGTCAATTTCAGCCTGGTTTTGACACACCATCAGGAAAGTAGAAGAATGGGGGGGCAATATCGATATGTGGATTGCAATCATACGTGGTGGAGGTTGAACATGGGATCACCTGGAGCTTGGAACGTGGCCATGGTGCTGCCAAGGGCATTGTGGATCGTATCTAACATACCAAACGTCATCATTCACAACCACATGAGTATAGAGCCAATCGACGTGGGGATTAGGGAAGGAATCATTGGGCAGGTTGGAATCTCTTTCTGCAACCAATATCCATGACCAGTACGTACTATGCGCTCCATTTTGGATGCCTCTGGACGCTTCGGCCAACGTCTTGCCACGCGTGGGAGTGACACCGCCCAAAATTTGCGAAAACACGGGCACAATGTTGGACTCGGGGGGGACCACCGACGTGGCCCAGTTGTTCCGGGGCACACAACGCATGCACTGCTTGGACTGGAACGCCGACGTGGACTGGCAGAAGTTGTTTAAAGGGGGCCGCTGCACGCACCCGACGCCATCCATGCTGTCGCCGTTGACGAGGGCCCACGATCGTTTGGCATTCGAGTCCACCAAGCCACCGAGGGTGTTGATCAGGTCCGTGGCGCACCCGTACACGCTTTTGCAGGATCCTATGACGAGACTATAGTGAAATTGGTCGGACCTATTTTAAAGTACCAGAGACGAAGGAGCTGGACAGGGTAGCATAGTCCCAGTACGGCAATGTCAAGCATGCATACTCGGCCTTGAGGCTGCGGAGCATGTTTTCATATCCCAGAAGGAACTTGCGGTGCCAGTAGATAAACATGCAACCGTGGGCTTCGCGCTCACTCTGCGGCTCCGTGTGCATTTCGATGAAACGATGGTGGTACCCAGCCGACATGGCGTCTGCCACTGCTGCCACGTGGCGAGTTTTCTCCGCGGCCGTGTACATGCTCCATGACTTGCGCAGGCGGAAGGTCTCTCCATTGCACGGGAAGCGTTGGGCGTCTACGACGGCTGACACAAGCAGCAGCCACCAACATGCCACGGTCGCGCGCATGGTGATGCTTGGGAGGAGAGGGTCAATTGGGTTATGATGGCCAAGTCGCTAATATGTGGAGATCTTCTTGAAACGATCTGAAACCGACACAACTTTATCAGCCAATCAAATCCAGCGGTGCGCAAAGACGCGACAACGCTTTCACTTCATGTTTTGTATGGTTATATAAACTACGAGTATGAAGATCTTCAAGAGTCACCATAAATGCTACCCACGCTTCGATGATTTGCATACAGAATAATACACTTCAACTCCATGCGCTTTGACATACTGGTACTTAAGCCCGTAGGTAGATTCAAGGTCCAACGGTAGACTCACCCATTCATACATACTGACTGTATAACGTTATCTCGTTTCAGGATTCGGTCAACTCGTTGGCAACATACATGGACCATCCTTTCTGGTCTATTCGATGCAGAGCATTAAGGACCTAATAAATTTAGGTTATGTACTACGTAGTACATATTGCGGATTTGGTACAAATTTCCAGACCCCGCCGAATCACGAATCGACGGTATTGGCTAATCCATTTTGGAATGAATTTGTTGATTGGCTCTTACTGGAAGTTTATTGCGAATTCACCATATTGGTAAGTTACAGTCTTGTTATTTCCAAAGCCTCTACAAAATCGTCACGCTTTCCAGCGTTGGACCTACACTGTACTGCTACGTAATGTACATCATATTCCATTATATACGTATATACGGCGAACACAGGTTACACAAGTCTTCGTCTCGACAACATCACACAATTCAACATCTGGTTGCCGCCGCCTCTCATGCTCACATGTCGGGTGCGTGTTCGTCTGCCGAGCCGTCAGACAGACAGGGAAAGTACTTGGCCATGACTTGGCGCCACTTGGGGAGTTTAATGAACAGTTTCTTGCTTTGCAGACGGTCTACAATGGTTTTACAACGTGGGGGGCCGGACGGTCGGAACGTTCGCTTGAATTCGTCCGAGTAATCGGTGCACTGCCCGAGGCACTCGTGCTGATGGATGCACACCACGGCTTCGAGTTGCTGCACAAGTTCTTTGTGGGACCACCCCCGCTCGCCAGCCGTCGCGGACATGTAGTCCAAGAACGACATTTCATTCACTTCGCACGGCAGCCGAGGTCGCTCGACGCATCGGTCGGTGTAGTCAGGGTTGACACTGTAGCTGTGGTCTTCGTCCAGAAACAACGCGCTATGACAACCATCAAATACAGTTCAACAACGGAAAACGTAGGAGCGTCACCACCAACCTTCGAGGGGCGACAAAGCGTTTGCATTTGGTCAGCATGTCCGCCAGCATGCCAGTGTACTGATATTGGTAGCTAAACTTGCCGAGATCGTCGCCGTCGACGTACGCAGAGTACTGCAGCGGCAAGTCCTTGAAGAACGGGTAGAGGGGATTGCGGACGTCGTTCACGCTCACTTTCGTACCCCCCGCTTCCCCCGAATACATGTATATGGTTTGAGTTGGTTGGGAAATGCCAGCACAGGTGGTCCAAATGCGGCGGTCGTTGGCATTTCGCTTTTCCGCGGCCGTCAACACGGGCTTCTTCAAGGGCGAAGCATCCGCCACGACACATTTAAAGTAAATGCGATGCATCAAATCAATTTGCGCCTGCGACAACGGCGAAGACAATCAGGAGAGTTCACAAAACACACACGAAAAGACAGTGTACATGGTGGGCGTAAAACAACGGATCGGCCGGCGCGGCCATTGTGGACATGGTCGACGACAGCGCATTGTGCATTTGATCTGCCAACGATCATAAGTCACCACACACTCAAAATCGAAAAGAGAGAGGGAACGTACTGTGCACTCCATTTTGAATGCCCCGTGTGGATTCGCTCAGAGTCCCCCCGCGTCCCGACACGGCTCCGCCGAGGATTTGCGCAAACACTTGGCCAATGTTGGCTTCAGCTGGCACTGACGCTCGTTTGTAGTTGTTGCGGGGGATGCACCCCATGCACCGATTGGCGTTGAAGGCAGTTGTGGACTGGCAAAAGTTGTTGAGCGGACTGCGCTGAACACATCCGACCCCTGCCATGGTAGCGCCATTGATGCGGTCCCACCTCGACCGCGCGTTCGCGTCCACGTTGCCGCCCAGGTACTGGATGATGTCGGGGGAGCACGCGTTGACACTGGCGCAACTTTCTACGGGGGTATTGATTGATTCAAGTCATTAGAAGGGACTTGAGGATGTGAAACGTGGGGACGTACGCGATACAAACGTGCTTGAGAGGGTGGCGTAGTCCCAGTACGGTAGCGTGATGCATGCATATTCAGGCTTGAGACTGCGAAGCATGTTTTCATATCCGAGGAGGAACTTGCGGTGCCAGTAGATGAACATACACCCGTGGGCTTCCTGCTCGCTTTGGGGATCCGTGTGAATCTCGGCAAATCGATGGTGAAACCCTTGCTTCATGCCTTCGCCTACCGCCGCCACGTACAAGGTCTTCTCGGCGGTGGACAGCAAACTCCAAGGTTTGCGTACGCGCACGGCGGTGGGATCGCATGTCGGAACTGTCTGAGCCACCGCCACGGCAGTAACGCACACAAACAGCCACAGCAACCGCATTTTCACAAATGACGGTGTGTTCCAGCTGCATTGGCCGTTTCAAAAACGGACCAATCATTGCCAACCGCCGCGACCTTTTGACGAGTCGTTTGAATATTCCACCAATCACAGTTCGGAATTTCATGTTCAGGTAACTCCCATATTGGAGCTACATTACTGTATGATCGACAATCTTTGACATTCATACGACTGACTGGGTTGTCATAACGTTACTCGGTATGGAATCACACAACGATCAATTCACACTGTCAACCTGGTCCACCTTAACGTTCTGATATTAATATTACATGATCTTTATTGAGAATATCGATCCATATTATATCAAGCACACTGGCAAAATGGGGAACAAGCTCACAGGTGGCATGTAGTGTTTGTTGTGCCAGTGGGAGGTCATAGAGGGGGGTCGCTTTGAACCTGGCGCTCTCTACGGGCGAACGATGCACGTTTAAATCTCACAGGGTGCTCCACTTGATTCGACACGGCGGGGGTTTCATCTGCAGCCGTGTACAGTTTGGTCGTTACAGCTGCCACTCGCCGCAGCTCGTGGTGAATGCGACTGGTTAACGACTCGGGGGGCGACTCGGGGGGATCGTACTGCAGCCGACTCGCGTGGACATGTTTTGCTTCTGTGATGGCAACGCCCCGGATCGACACCAATCCCTACGATGTCTATCATTTAAAGAAGTCAACAACACAGTACAATGGCCATACTGGAAGAAAGGCCACGTCAAAGGAATCGGCGTCGCGATGGACTCGAATAATCGTAGCCGGATGCAGTTTCTTGTTGCGGACGCGAACATACACCATCGCTCCAAGCGGGAATATCGCCATGGTGGACGTGATGCCGACAGCTTCGAGCGCTATCGACTCGACGACGGACGGCGTCGCGGGAAGCCGCAGCGAGTCGGACGAAAGGGCAGACATGGGGCACTCTACCGTCAACGGGGTGGATGCAGTAGGGCGAGGGGGGAGGTTCTCGCATCGTAGGCCTTGTTTATCGTCTAATAAATCCACAACGCCTACGAACACGAGTCTGTTGACACCTTACATTATATGGACGACTTGATTGCATGTTTGTACCTTGAAATTCATATGCAAACGCTCGAAATGGCACGGCCAAATTGTAGATTGATCGCATGTGGTGCTTCTTGTCTTCGTGGTAAAATGAACGCGGCAAGAGTGTGTTGCGCAGTGCTTGCCGGTCTACAGGACAGTTCTCATTGTCGTCTACGAACTCAAACTGGGCAAGCATACCTTGGGTCGGGTCGATCCATTGCCATCGCTTTTCCATGTTGGCCCACGCGGTATTGGCCGCCACACGTCCGACAAATCCGCGGAAATGCATCTGTACAATGCGAGCGGCCGCGTCTCGCCGCATCGTTCGACGACCCACCTGCAAAACCAACGTTCGTTCGGGTCACATTGACTTTGGTTTCAAAGGTTACTGAATACGAAGGGGACCACGCGGGATTCAACGTATGTCGAACGCAAGCAAAGCCGCTGCGAGGGTTGACCCAGAACACGACGGACGAAATCCCAGGGTCGTTGGCCCACAAGCATCGCGTGAGGGCGCCTCGGACTCGCGCTTGCACGCGTTGGGCGGCTTGGTACCGGCGCTGTAGCCACTTGAGCTTTTGGTACCGCTTCCACGCCCGTTGGATGGCCACGGCGCTCAAAAACGTTTGGAACTTCAATTCGCCTTGCTTGAGTTTCTCCAACTTGGTTTTCTTCCACGAACGCATGGCGTGTGCCAGCACTTTGGCGGCATGGCGGCGTTGGAGCAGTGACAGCGCGATGAGGCGATCGCGGTCGCTCCCACGTCTGGATGACAGCCACGATTAGGCGAAACAACGTTGCGAACATTGCGACAACATCGAGACACGTACGAGAGGCCATGTCGAGTGTCGATACGAAAGCGTAAGACATGGATCGCACGTCGAACGGCCAAGTACACCCCCACGACGCGACAGAACCGACGAAAGCATCGCAAGTGATGGACCCGTTGACGATCCAGGAAGCCCCGCGCGAGGCGCTGCAGCACACACGACATGCGGAGGACGAGGTCGCGGTACCGCCCAACGACGCGTTTGGCTTGTTTGGCCCGCCAATGTTTTTGCAGCAACACGGCAGCGTTCATACGCTTGCGACCACTACATCAAGTAGTGGGAGTCAGGGCCACCAAATACAAAAGACGATCCGAGTACTCTTGGAACAACGTACTACGAGTCCAAGAGCAGGCGGCGAACTCGCTTGCGAGCTCGTTTCCCTCGAAAGATGGCTTGGAGTCGCGTTGCAATGCGGGGCCCTTGGCGAAGGTAGTTGATTTGCCACCATAGCGTTCGAATCGGCGACGTCCAGGAATCGATGAATGTCGCGAGGATGCCTCGTATGGGCGAAGTGGGCAGAGGTGACTTGGGTGACGGTGACGGTGACGGGGGTGGGGGGTGTTTGGGGGCTAGCGGGTGGGGGGCCACCGCATTTTGTTTTCCTACTGCGTCGCTGTCTCCGTCCATGAACACTTCGGGGGGATCAAATGGAGTCGAGTATGCTTTGTCTGCTTGTCGTTCGTGGTACGTTAACCTAATCTTGTGGTAAAAGAAGTCGAGTCGAATTGAAGAGCCATGGAGTGGTCGTACGTGGCCAAGTACGCTTCGTAGTGGTTGTGGCAGAGACCATGGGCGTTGTAGAGTTCAATGGGTGGACACACGACGCCTTTGGTGAGGTTCCTTGCACATGGATATTGGTGGAACCCACACATGGGCAAATACGTTTGATACACTGGGTGCAGGAGCACAGTGTGGTGGCACACATAAGCTCGGAACTCTTTTTGGCCAGGTTTGTGTCCTTTCCACGCGCATATTGACGATTTTGTGAGTGTTTTTTCAGTGGATATATATGCGGGCTTCACTTTGGCTTGGGTGATAATGTCCAGTTTGGCCTGTACTTGTTGAGCTTCTGCGCGCCGTACACCTGAGACGGACGGTGTGACGGCGAACATTTGTCGTGATGATGAGGATTTGGTTACCTGGCATCACGAGCGGATCAAAAGTAGGTGGCGTTTGCCGATGTTTGGGTAGCTTCGATCGGGACGTTGCAAAACATCCCATACAGAGCGCTTCGTCGTTGGATATGGCGATGGATTTATCGGGTAACGTCGACGGATGGGTCGGGGATCGACAGTCGACTGCATGCCAATTGCATCGTCGAAGAAGTTTTTCTGGCTCGGAATGCAGTTCGTTCGTGCAAGTGTAGAATTTGCCAGCTATCACGGCGCTACATGGAGGTCCAGTAAGGACTACGCGTCACAGGACTAGCGTTACCTCCAGGAGCATCCTTTCTTGGAGTCGTCACTGGCCTCCGTGGCCGTCGTCGTTGCTGTTGGCGGTGATGCATGGACGATCGCATTGAGTTCTGCGGACAAGTTGGTGAGGGATGCAAATTCGCCTTTGATCTTGTGTGCTGCGACCTTGGACTTGGGTACGGCGTACGTCATTGTACTTTCTCGCCACACCCACGTGCCGTTCACCACGGCCTCCTTCTTCCGCCGGTTCCAGTCCGATATTGCATCGGCGGATGCTTCCACGCTATCGATCTCGCCGTATGCATTCAGGATGTCCTTCAGTAGAGTCTTCCCCTTGGTCTTGGCGCGCGCGGCGGCAATTGCCGTCGACATCGGAAAAAACCGCAATGCGACTTTTGAAACGGTGGGATTATTGACCGCATATGTTATCCGTACGATTACTATATTTCGCGTGTTTCTGTATTCAGACCTGTTTACTGTATAAGAACACTGCACGGATATTGAAATAAGTGCAGGGTAGGCATAAATATCATTTTGGATTAAGTACAGAAGCATGCAAAATAACAATGCATGCCCACTTTGAATGCTTGGATGGTGTTGTCGCACGCAGAAAGGCGCCGCCTCAAGAAGAAGGGCATCGTCGCTATGGATGATCCCGCTGTTACCAGCAAAGTAGATGGCGACAGTCATGGTTCTATAGTTGCGCAGGACCCTCGTGATGACGTTATCTCCAAGAAACGCAAGCAATCAACTGGCAATGATGACACCAGCACTGACCCAATCTCCTCGAAGAAACGGCGACGAAAGCGTCCGCGGTCGAAAAAGCCGCACTTCCGCAGTCTCACCCCATCGCCTATCACTTCCATGTCGGCCATTTCAACAGGTCACATATCTGTGACGCCACAATGGCTGCCTTCATCAGCTGTGGCGCGCATCCGTCAAGACGCCGAGGCCTTGCGTGCTGCCGGCGCTTTCACCCAGAGCGCCATTGGTGGCCGCGAGGGTGAATCCCAAAAGATGGCGTTGCGCAAGCGCCATTCGGAATGTTGCGGGCTCTTTGACGACGCCGAAGCCGTTGGCAAAGACGTGGGCGACATCAGGATCCGTGACGCCCTCATGGGTGCGATCGCCGACCTCCGCGAAACCCTCAGCGCCACCGTGCAGCCATTGGCCGACGTGATGGAACTTCAGTACTTGTTCTATCCTGGTGTCGGGAATGGCTTTTACGGCAAGCATATTGACCAGCAGCACCACGTCCCCGGTACTATGTAGCACATGAAGCATCATCCAATATGTACATTGTAGGAAAAGTACACCGCGTAATCTCGATGGTGCTGTACTTAAACGACGCGCACTGGAACTCGTCCACGGACGGCGGGGCGTTGCGAGCGTATCCGTCGCCGGCGCACCCGCCCGTGGACGTCGACCCTGCAGGGGGAACCCTCGTCCTCTTTGACAGCGGGAAGCTCTTGCATGAAGCCAAACCGACCCAGCGCGATCGTTGGGCATTGGTCGGGTGGTTCATGGCGGCGGGGTCAGCATAACTCGATCCATGTTGCAAGTGCGACTCTAATATCCACGTACTAGTATGTAAATATATAGAATTGGTTGACCCAGTTCCTTGTTCCAAGTGATGATATTGTTCAGTTCACCCAAATTTGCCAAACTATACTTTACACAGATTATTAGTAGTAGTAGTACGTAGTATATATGGACTGGACCGAATCAAACGTTTGGATTGGCAGAAAGTCGACAGGACGTGATTTGATTGGCTTAGGCAGTTCTTTAATCCATTCTCTCGCGACATCTCCAGTTTCGAATCGACGAACAATATATATATACTAGTATATATATTATATACGAAGTATATATACACATTCAACGCTCCGTGTCAACTAATCGTCAGTACAATGAGAAAGGTCTGTGATTGGCTGCATATCATAGTTGATTCACATGTATCCAACCCATTCCTGCGGCCCATCTGTATACTATACTGTTGAGTGGCTGACATAGCAGGAGGACAACCAACATGCTAAAAGTCATCTATCGCTGGAAGTTGGACAGATGGCGGCGGCGGCCGAGGTGGTGGTGCATCTGGGGGTAGTAGGGTGCTGCTGGGTCGAGGTGGCAACTGTAGTTGGTCGTCGTTCGGAGGTTGTTTTTTTTTCTTTTTCTTTTTTTTCGTCGTTTTGTCTCGCAAGTGGGCGTCTTGGTCGTCTAGTATTTGTTTTTTGTGCAAACTTTTTTTGGATCGTGGTGGAGGTTGAACCAGATCGTCTTGTCGGTGCTTTCGCCGGGTTGGCACATCCTGGCGCTTTGGTCGATGGGATATGTCTAGTCATGGCATCGATAACGTCATACATGGATGCAGCGTACTATCATGATGAGGGAGAGAGCGACAACGTAATCACAGATGCGATACAGGTACATGCGTACCGTGGGAAAGCCCCCGTGCTTCCATCATGCGCATGTCGGAGAATCGGGCGACCATATCTGGATTCAAGTCCAAGTACTCTTCTTCGTCAACGTGATGAGCGTCCGAGTTCGTGGCTGTGACAGTGATGTATTGCATGGACATCGCCGGGGCGTCCACATAACTGAACGGGATGTCGTCGAGGGCATCATTCTCCACAGAAGGTCGTGGCGATGATGCTGGCTGGGGATGGATGAGCGCGCTGTCTAGATGCACCGCGTCCACCTATTATTAGGAACATAAAGCGAGCGATCATCACATGTATGTGTACAAAGGGCGTATGTACATGGTCTTCTTCGCCGCTGTCGATGTCGAGATCGTTGTAGTTGCCACGACGCCGTTGTTTCGATTTGAACAGCGCGTCGTTGCGTAAGCTCATGGGACGAGCGGAAGGTCGTCGGATCGAGGTCGTCGGCGCTGCTGTGTCAGTCGCAACATGGTGTTGCGCTTCCAGAGGGGGGGGGTTTACCGGCGTCTCGTCATCGATGACGGGTCCTGGCTCTACAAGATGAAGGCATCATCAAGTCGCAGGTCGAATAATAGCAATACGCTGTGCATACCCGTAGCGTCCGAGAGGCGGACGTAGGATGCAGGGGTGTGAACGACGGCGGCAGTGCAAGAAGACCCGACGGACAGCCGATCGTACACGGCGATTGCCGTCGTCCATCGGACCTTGTCCTCGAGCGTGTCGGCCGAGCAATGAAAGAGCTTGCTCTGCAGCGTCTCAACCACAAACGCATTCGGATACGTGTGCAGGTTGCCTTTTCCAGTCCATTCACCAATGCATTTCACCACATGCGACGACACAAACGAGTCGATGGACGCGTGGCGCGCCTCTTCGTGCTTGTACGATCGCAGCATAACCTTGATTTTGGGCGACGAAGACGACGGCTGGGAATCATCGACAACCAGCATGCAGTACCTCCTTCGCATCAATGGCAAGTTGGCACAGCGCTTCTTCAGGTACCCTTCCACAAGAATGAGCATCCTGCCTCACCAACGTCACCGTCGTGGTCGGATCAGCTGTGACCGAAATACAGTGAGAATGGAAAACCTACAGTATGACGACACAAAATATAATACTTCGACGTAGTAATAATATAAAGAAACAAGAGCATTTTTATTGTTGATTTCAAAGAAAGCTCACGAATTTGCAGTGAAACAACATAATATTGAAGTTCAGATACATTAAAATAGAACGAGGTAGGAGGTGATTCTGCCGAATTCAGGTTATAAATTCGAATAGATTGGACAATTTTTCACAAAATAACGCCAACAGCGGAAAGGGCGCGCGACATGTTGAACATGGAGCAACAGCGCCGCGAGAAGCGGCAGGAAACAGCGGAGAAGCTGGCTGCGGAATTTCCAATTCCCAAATGGTTCGACTTGTCACTTCCAGCTCTACAAGCAGGTGATGCGACAGCGTCCGCGGTGGAATCGTCCACCAAGTCACCGATGAAACCCCGCGTGTCCCTGATGAACAGCGCGGTGCAGCTCGACATCCTTCGTCAACAGATACAAACGGCAGGTCCTACGTCGTCGGTGGATAAGCTACAACGACGATCCACAATGACGGCGCTCCATCCCAAGCGAAGCATGCCCCCGCCGACCCTTCCCCGCTTGCCCAACGGCGCAGACCAGTACGGGTTGTGGCAGATTCACACGAGTCCGTCGAAACACGCTCCTCTGCAGAAATCCATGACGTCCACAGACATGCTTCGCGTCATGCAAGCACAGCAGCAGAATATCTCACTGAAGAAGATCGTCGATCCCTGGGCAACCGTCGACCCCGTGACAGCGCCGCGGTCGCTCAAGTCGCATGCGAGCGGTGGTTCCCTTCGACATCTGTCATCCGTGTATTCCATGTCTCGCGGCGACGATTCCAACAACTCCCTTCATGTACACACACCATACACCCCACATTTCCATTCAACGTTTGCATTAGGCAGCGTTGGAAGGACTCCATCCTCCCAGTAGACGCGCTTCCCAAGTCTCGGACCATCCATCGTCGTCGATTGCACTCGATGACGACATCTTGGACGACTCGTTGTCTGAACAAGACGATCGAATCAACCAAGACGACAACAACCCCACAACCATGACATCGCAGCTATCGACATCGTCCACCCATTTGGTGGCCAGTGACCAAAACACCAACAGCATGGCATGTCGTCGCCAAATGTCCATGCAGCAACATGACATAAAAGGGGCGGCGCTCTTGACGCTCGGGACACAGCGCCGCCAAACCATGACGGACATCAGCGTGTTTGCCGACACGTACTTGATCAAGAAGATCTTCAAGCGATGGGATGCCGTCGAGTTTGCGTTTTCAGGTTCCGTACATGTACAAATCTATATATATGTATATATAGGTAGATTTGTGGATCTAATTTATATATATACTAACTAGTATAGGATTTGTGGATATAATATATATACCAGTAGGTAGATTTGTGTATGTAATATATATATATATATACATATTACATCCACGACCAACCTTGCCACGTTGTATATTCTGGAGGCATCCGATGTAATATATATTGCTGTGAAAAAAGTTTGATTTTCCATCGTATGACTGATACAATCAGTAGAATACAATCATCGACGGATATATTTTGATAGGCGGAGACTTGAACCAGGCGCAGGTCGAGCGCGTGCTTCACACAAACGGCATGAGCGCCACCGCCATGGACATGGAGCGCATTCGCACGGAAATACACCAGTACATGGCGTCGCATTGGATGCCTCCAGCAGACGACGACGACGACCAAGGCGTAGAGGATGTGACGACCATTAACACGGACACGGTGCACGTCCACGTGGCTAGAAAGGACGCCGTCGCTGCCCATTTCGGGCCACGGCTCATCTCGTACGACATGATGCGCGACATATTTTACCCCAAGGACCCGTCAGCGATTGCCACGTGGACGGCCGAGTTGGACGCCGAGAAGAAGGCGGCGGCTGCCGACCAAGCTGAGCGCGACCGACAGCTCGAGCGCCTCGAGCAAAAGAGTACGATCTGCAACACTGTTGTTGGAGTGGGTGTACTAGTAACTACTACTTTCTGGTTAGTCAAGCAACGGCTGCAGACAACAGCCCAGGGCATGCTGCGGGTACTGGACCGATTCGACTTTATGCACACGACATGGGCGAACGCGACAGTGCAAGCCGCCACGACCACCCAATTGTTCAAGCTCATTTTCCGCCAACGGAACCAAAAGCTCCTCGTACACGACGACACTGCCGACGACCATCGATCCGTGCCAGCCGTGCTGCATGCGCTGCTCCAAACGTACTCCCGAAACCGAGGCCTGGATGACATGGACCTTGAAGATGTACGGCAGATTCGATGATCAAACTTCGTTGTTTGGGATTACACTGTGTTTTCATGTGTGTTGTGGCTATGAATCATTTGGTTTGATTGCTGAAATGTGTTTCTGGTGTTGGGGAACAGTACTCAAAGTTGTGCAGTAGACCTAGATGAATTGATTTGTATTTTTTTATACATTGTATATTTTCCTGTCCGTATCTCGATATTTTATATATACATGTATCGATTTATATTCCTTGTACATCGTATCTTCTCCTATGTCCTATCTCTCTCTCTCTCTATAAATATATATATATATATATATGCATTTATATTCATTCGTGTCGTATAATAATCATATACGATGTATCGCACACCGAACGTGGTGAATTTGTGCTGTATTCCTACATACTAGTATATCGTTTCTGTACTAGTATCACATTCAACAACTAGCACCAAACAAAAATACATTTATATTTTTTTATCCGAATTAACTCAACACCAAGAGAATATTTATAGTGTTCGTTTATATTATAATTAAAACTTAGACCGACGAACTATGATCTTTTTTGTAGCATCCATACATACATACATATGCAACACATAAACAATCTATTTATGTTTGTAAATGTTAGGACAACAACTAGTACTGTATTGTACTCTATGTCTTTCGGATTTTATACAAGATCCTATTCTAATTCGAAATGGTGTATATATAGTGACTTTTATATTTTTCATCATTCCCAATCCATTGTTTTAAAGTTGCTTGAATATATTCGTGGATACAGGTAGGATACAAGGTCGTTGTAGTTTATATATTTTTATCAAATGCCAGTACAAACGGAGTACGACTTCAAAGCCATATTGTCGATTTGATACACATTTGGGTAGGGGGTGCAATCGAATCGCGCCAACCAAACCGATCCACAATAGATCTGATTGGTTGAATTTTATTGAGAAGTGGGTTTTGATTGGCTGATAATTTTGAGCTCATCTGAAGTAGCCAATCAAATCGATTTAAATTCCAACGAGAAACCACGCCACAATACAACGAAATTTCACTCGAATGCACAATATATCGTTATAATTTCCTTTTGCGTCTAGGCCGCGCATGTCTTTCACGACGTGGCCGCGACCGCGATTCAAAACGGCGCCCGCCGGTACTTTGACCGGAAAGCCACGTTTTGGTTCCCCGAGCGCCAACAGTTCTTTGCGTTTCAGCTCAAGAAGCGCGTGTTCCGGGCATGGCGGGGCCGCGCGCAGCAGCTGCATCACCAGCGCATGCTCGTGTATCGCAAGTTTGTCGCGTGGCGACACCATGTCGTGCTCGCGGCGCGGTATCGGGAAATGTATCGCATTTGCTTTTGGCCGTTGTACGTGTGGAAGCGATATGTGCAGTTTGTGCTGCTCAGTCGCAGCAAGTCCATGTTTCTCCGCCTGGTGTTTCACACATATGTGCAACTGCGCATCCTTCGGGGGTGGCGACGGTACGGTACGGTCGAGTTGGTATTGTCCTTTTACCCAAACAATTTGGACAACAATTGGGACGACTCTTGTGCTGAATGGCCGAATCTATATCGATCGATTCTTGTTTAATATTGTATGTCAAAAGGGAGTTCTGTGGTGGTGATGGGTGATATGTCACACTAATTCAAGTCACACACTAAAATTTGACGTTGATGATAGTTTCCTGTAATCTGATTGGCTAAACCCTCATTCTGCCGATGATTCTTTCTTCTGTACATTTATTTTGTGGTGTCGATGATGCATTCTCCATGTACCTCGCTCCAGTTTAGAATATAAACAATATATGTTGATGGAAATGTGTGCTGTACGTAGATACGTGGCCAGAAAGCAATGGGGTCGGGGGGTTATCCAAGCTCGGAAAGTAGCGCGCAATGCTTTGACAGTGGGGAGTATCGTCACAGCGTGGCACGCGATCATTCAAGTGTCGGCTCGATTAAAGCGGGTATATTTATTTATATAGCATACATGAATATGGAGACGAACTAGATTGAGATGGAAAAAATGAGTGACATAGATATGGGAGAAGCGGGGATTGTCCATGCACTGGCAGACCAAACACTACACGATTCAAGTGGCTATGCACCTGTGGCGGTACGATCAGTAGAAATATGTTGTTTTGAATCATATATATACAGAAGTAAGACGTATATGGCACTTGGTAGGTATTACACTATCTTGCGGCAGGACATTCGCCGACGGAAATATGTGTGCTTTCACGGCGTGTTGGCCAAGAAGAACGACCCGTGGGACGGCGACAGTTCACACGAACATGTGCCGCTCACACGGATAATGGAATCACATTTGGGTACACTACCACACCAAATATCGTGTTTCGATGGCAAATATATATATATATATATATATTATTTCACACGGCATGATATGGATGCAGGGTCGAAAATCAAACTCAAGAGCCACACCCACGACCTGGGCATTGCCATGTACATCAAGTACCGGAAAAAGGATCGCCAGGCTATCCTGGCCATGGTATGTTGTCGACTATTTTTCGTTGTTCTGTACCTATATATACATACCAATAACATATCGTAGGCCATGGTATTCCAACGGGTAGCGCCTTTGTTTTTACGCATCCTGGTGATGCACCGAGAACGCCGCAAACGAGGTCGATTCGCCACCGATTTGGGGCTGTTTCGGCTCTTTGCGGGCCATTTTTCGACGTGGGTGCGGTATTTACTGTACCGCAAGCATGAGGTAAGTACAGAACGACTTCTGAAAGTTTTGATACGAAGCAGGGTTTTTTGCTTTCTTACCGGGTAGGTTTGCCTTTTATCCTTAGAGTTGTTTTACAACCCAAAATATCCCTTTTTGTTCAACCTAGAGGTTTTACTCCACGTACCCTTATTTCTAATTAATTTTACTTCGACTAAAAGGACTATTTATTTTTAAGTCATGGGATTGTATAGTATTTATTTTCTTGGAAGATAAATGACTATTCTGTCAATGTTGTTAAAAAGAAACTATATTTATAGAATGCAGATATATATATTTCAAACGGGCATTAATAAATAATAGTAATCATGTCCATCCGTGCGGTTGCCCTTTCAGCGTACATTGTCAGGACAACATTGGTGTGTGATATTGTTTATGTCTTTATATTCTAAACTGGAGCGACATGGAGAATGAATCATCGACACAACCAAAGAAATGTACAGAAGAATCATTGGCAGAAAGATTGAGCAAATCAGATTGCAGGAAACCATCATCAACGTCAAATTAGTGTATGACTTGAATTAGTGTGATACCAATCACCACAGGACACCTTTTTACATACAACATTCAGTACAAACAAGAATCGATCGATAGATTTTTGTCGATTCAGTACAAAAGTCAACCCAATTTTGGGTAAAAGGACAATTGTAGTCCTAATGTATGTATTCCGATCGAGTTGTTTTCGTACACAACATGATTATTACTAGTCTCCGTCGTTTGTGTTTCGAATCTACTAATCGTGGAATCGCAGGATGCGCTCCGCCGCGCCTCGTCCAAGCGTCTGCGCGACCAAACTCAACCGGATGCATCATCTCGTGAAGTCACCAAGGCAGCACCAGCTAACGATGTCAAACCCATGTCCAAACGTGCGCTGCAGTGGCGAGCCGACCGCGAATGGCGCGATGCAGGTCCTCTCATCGTATATACATTCTTAGGATATATATATTCCACAAACAAGAGTATTTGACATGTCACAATCTCGAATAGGCCTCGCACAGGCAGGTGTGGACGCCGTGGACTTGGCCGTGATGTTGGAAACGTTGGCCCTTGAACGCCTGGACAGCTCGCGACGGTTTGCTGACCGCGAAGCCACGCTGGTAGGCGTGAAAAACGCAGAGTTGCGGCTGCAGCAGGACGAAGAAAGCAAGTCCAACGGCATGCGATCGCAATTGCACCATTGTGCATCCCAGGTACTTTGTTGAGTCCTACGAATCGTGTATCTGGTATTTTATGTACCCCTATGGGTTTTTACTAAATCATAAATGTAGTAGCCATTGAAATACGTCTACTTTTAGTTTCAAATTATTTATCCAACATAGCAGTTCTCGTTAACTCTTGAAATAAACAAGGATAAAAAAAAAAAACAGTTCTTTATAAAATAATTTTTTGAATATATATATATATATATATATGTATCCATGGTTAGATTTTACACACGCGCGTGCGTCGGCTGTACGAAACGATCTGTCGCACGTTCGATGTGCTGCAAGACATAGCCAATCGCATGCTCCTGAAATCCACATTCCGTACACTGCGCCTGCCTCGCTCCGACAAGCACGCGGCCATCCTCTGCCGTCGCGCACGACTTCGCAATTGGATTCGGCTTGCTCGCTGGTATACACATCATCCCGCCATATTGTGCTTTCGAGTGAAATTTCGTGTTGTGGTTTCTCGTTGGAATTTTCAATCGATTTGATTGGCTACTTCAGATGAGCTCAACATTATTAACCAATCAAAAGCTTCTAAATGAAATTCAACCAATCAGATCGATTGTGGGTCGGTTTCGTTGGCGCGATTCGATTGCACCCCCTCCCCAAATTTGTATATCAAATCGACAATATATATTGTCTTTCTTTTACCCCAAGTTTGGTTGACTTTTGTGCTGATTCTTTGCCAAATCGATCATCGATCGATATTCTTTGTACTGAATTTTGTATGTAAAGATCGTCCAGTGTCAGACTGATTCAAGTCACACCCTAATTCGATGTTGCATTGGTCAAAGAGTGGATAATTTTTGATTGGCTACTAGATTCGTGTTGTGGGTTTTGATTGGTCGATTTTCGATTGTCTGCCAATTTGGTTAGTCTGCTCATTCGATTGAGCAGCACCCAAACACTCCAGTTTCGAATAATCGACTTGACAATATATATATATATATATTATTCAATGGTGAAGACGACCGTTGTGTATGGTTGCGGTCATAGTTTCGGGTACTGGGAGCAAAATATGGAGCGGTTTCACACACTCAAGTCGCTGTGGCACATGTGGCGGACGTGGCTGGCATTTCTTCGGCGTCGGGCGCAGTACGAAAGCCCGGGATTGTCGCGCCACATGAAGCGCCGTCGGGTACGACGCCCCTCAATTGACCTGTTTTGCTACGTTTGGTTGAATTAAGTATTCTCGTCCATATATATATATATATTGTAGATGCTCGTGTCGAAATTCGAAGCGTACTTGGTCGAACAAGAGTTTATGCTGATCCCGACTGTGCTGGGGAAAAAGCTCGTGTACAATGCGTTCAAGGCAGTGTTTGTACGATGGGTCGAGTGGACTCAGCTCACGTTTGCCACCAACGCTATCACGCGGCAGTTTCGCACTAGGTATACATATATAAAACTCAAACTCAATCGAACTAGCTACTCCAAACCCCCATGTATTTGATGTCCTTTGCGCGTCTTGATTATTACGGTGTGTTGGATGCCTTGAAGGGTTTGTATTGTTTATGTGTTTATATTCTAAACTGGAGAGACATGGAGAATGAATCGACACAACCAAATGATGTACACAAGAATCATCGGCTGAATGAGAGTTTAGCCAATCAGGTTGCAGGAAATCAACATCAATGTCGAATTAGTATGTGATTTCAATTAGTGTGATACCAATCGCCACGGGACACGTTTTGACATTCAAATTTCAGTACAAAGAAGAAAATTGATCGATAGATTTTTGGCGATTCAGCACAAAAGTCAACCAAATTTTGGGTAAACGGACAATACTGATTTGTCGTCGTTGTTGTTCAAGTGTATTTTTGTCCATTTCCCCAATATATGGACTTTAGTGCTGATTCGTCAACTCTATATATCGATCTAGTGTTTGAAAATATTGTATGGAAAGAATTGAATCCTGTGGTGATGCCAACTCGATTAAGTAGAGTCATAGTGGTTGATCATGGGGTTTCGTACAATCTGGATTGACTCTATCCCTTCATCCGATTCTTGTGTACATGTACCTACGCAGTATCTAGTAGTGCCGATGATTCACTCTCCATGTCGCAAACCACTCAGTTTAGGGAAATAAACAATACTTCAATATTGTCGATTTGAAATAAATTTGGGGAGGGGGTGCAATCGCATCGCGCCGACCAAACCGATCCACAATCGATCTGATTGGTTGAATTTCATTGAGAAATGGGTTTTGATTGGCTAATAATTTTGAGCTCATCTGAAGTAGCCAATCAAATCGATTTAAATTCCAAACCACGTCACAATACAATGAAATTTCACTCGAAAGCACAATATGTAATATATAATACATCCAGTTGGTTGGCTTTCGAATCATAGTATTGCCACTCCTTCAGCCGTTGATGCCGTTGTCTGTGTCACATATATATATATTGTCCTTTTATCCCAAATTTGGATTACTATTGTGCTGATTTGCCAAATCTATCGATCGATTATTTGTATTGACGTGTGTATCTAAAAGCCGTCCACACTAATTAAAGTCACACACCAATCGATGTTTCGTTGGTCGACGAGTGGATTTTTGATTGGCTACTCGATTAGTGTTGTGGGTTTTGATTGGTCGTATATCAGATTTGGTGCTACTCATGATGGAGCACCCAAACACTCCAATTTCGAATATATCGACTTGACAATATCTGTTTCATGCATGGATAATATAAATTAGATCGGCAATACGACGTCTCGGTCAGGTCTTCGTCGCGTGGAAGGTTCAATTGAAGGCCAAGTACATTGTGCTGCCGTCATTCAGTGCCGAGAAGCGCCCGACGGCCGATATGGAGCGCGTGCGGTCGTCGCTGTGGAGCTTGCGCAAGCATTTGGTGTCGAAACGCATACGAAAGGTGCTCGGGGCGTGCGACCGCAAGCTCAAGCTGAGCGTGTGCAGCAACCCCACGCTCAAGCACTTGTTTGCCATGCACTCCAAGGACATCATGAAACGACTCAACTTGGAAAACCGACTCATGTTTGTAGCATACAACGAACGCCAAGTCCACCACTACGAGGTAGTACGAATCTTACACCAAAACAGTCTACCCCCCCAGACCAAAGCAATATATATATATGTACGACGCCATGGGAGGATTCGTATCTGGGGAGGGTGGGGGGGGGGTATTCACCACGATAGATGGCTGCTTGCTAGGTTGAAATGTGTGCTGAGTATATATGTATCCTAGAGTTGGTTGGATTGATCTGAGGATCGTGATACATAGGAACGATTGAGCCCATTGATGGGTGGTGAAATCGGTCAGCGTTTTGATTATGTGGATGTGGTGCCATTTGGGCACATTCGCCAGCTCAACGTGATCTGCGGCAAGAGCGTCGACGGCATCGCAGTTCTCGTCAAGTCATATAATCACACGGTGGAAGGCAAGATCCACGGCAACCCATTTGGCAATAGCTCCGTCTTCCCCCTCGGACCTGGCGAGTTGTATGTGCAACAACTTTATCCATATTACGACGTATTGCATTACATGTGTCGCCCTTTGTGCCTGTTTACAATATATATATAGATATTGTCCTTTTGCCCAAAATTTGGACTCTAGTGCTGATTCGCCAAATCTATCGTTCGATCGAAACTCTTTGTACGGACATTTGTATGCAAGAATCGTCCGATGTCACACTAATTGAAGTAACACACTAATTTGATGTTGAATTCGTCGAAGAGTGGATTTGATTGGTCACTTGATTCATGTTGTGGGTATTGATTGGTCGATATATCGAATTCTCTGCCGATTTGGTTAGTCTGCTCATTCGATTGAGCCCCCCACTCCAATTTCGAATATATCGACAATATGTGATTTGAATGAGATGCCTCGATATCACAACTATTCCTTCCATACCAGCGTCTAGGAAATAGTGTGCTTAATTTGGTATTTTACGTTGTATATAATTATTTATACCTCAAAGGATGATGAGGAGAAGGGTGAGTTCACTTTTACTAGTATATATATATATATATCAAAAGGTCATGAGGTAGAGAGCGTGTTCACTTTATATCAACCAACATGGGCCAAAATCCGATGTGGTTTACGAGCAACTTTATATTTGTACCTTATATTTCATTCCCCTGTGTCTTGTTTGTATACATATATATATATAGTATAGTATCGATGTGTATGATTCTAGGTTGGTGGCTATCGAAGGCTATGCGACCCAATCAACGATCTTGGGCCTTCGCTTTGGCACCAGCCAGGGGCGGTGGTCCAAATGGTATGGCCGCGCCGACGCCGGCCTTCCGTTTCTGCTGCAGGGGGGCGACCACGAGGAGATTGTGGGGCTGCACGGGTACGCCGCCAAGGACTCTGTGCACGGACTCGGCGTGTGCTTCCGCCGCACCACCGAGCACAACGTGTTTGAAGGGCTCTGGATCGACCACATCACACACAAGTTTGACTCAACCCACACGCCCGACGACGCCGCCTCCGCGCCACCCCCCGCTGCCACAGAAGACCGCATCAACGTACGTCCGACGATATCATTGTGGTTTTGTGCCTATTGAATATATACAATACACGTGGTTGTAATGAGGTTGTGTAACGTTGCGTATGGTTGTACTATGCCTATATATATATATCGTGCCATTTGTATGTTTTGGGTATATATATATCTCGTTGTGACGACGGAGAGGGTAGAATTGCGATCGGCAGTTTTCCTACTTTTTGCAAATGCGGTCGTGCGACGTGTATGCAGCGATGGATCGATCGCACAAGCTGGCGCTTCGCATGTGGCGGTCGGAGAGCATCCCTGACGAAGTGAAGCGCCTGCGCATCGTCATGGCCGTGTGCCGGTGGTTTTTCAACGCTCAAGTCCACGGTACGGACTTGTCATTGATCTAAACCCTGGCGTTGTTTTGGTCCATACGAAGTCTCATGTTTGTTAAAGTTCTCATGATTGCAAACAATAATGTAAACGATATATTGGGAATTCGCTATAAACTTTCAAACTTCGAGGGGTTGTTTGTCTAATCAATATGGAATAATCACGCTCGAGTTCTGATTGGTTGAATATACTTGTCCTTTCGAGCCAATCAAATCCACTCAAAACATTGGATTAGACAATAGCGTCGATCATTCGTGATTCGATTCGAGATCATTGGATTGTTCGACGGGGTCTGGAAATTCGTATCGAATCGACTATATATGTATATATATATATATATAATACAGTATGGGTTTTGAATCATGCATCGAAATCGTGTGATGTGTTGACGAAGAAACGTGTATGGTTGAGTGTTGCTGTCGTGTGCAGTGGAGGGGAAACGTGTGGTTGGGGGATGGATGTGCACCCGAGTTGTTGAGTTGGTTTTGAGCGTCAACCTGACTCGTGTAGCCAAATATTAACGTGGTATTTTCATTATATATATATATATATGATGGATGAATAATAAATATTTCGACCTGCTTTGTCGTCAATGTATGTATGTATGGTCATATGCTGACAATGTTGGGGTAGGTCTGGTGGCCTTGACAGACAAGGAAAACGAAGGGCGGCGGATCCTCCAAGATGGCATCAATATCCGCGCGAGTGGCGAGAAACTGCTCGCGGAAGGCGACGCGGTGATGGCACTGGTCGACAAGTACAGGGAAGGCCGCAAGCAGCAGCTGAATTTGACCTTGTTGGGGTTCAAGAAGATCCAAGAGTTACGACACAACATGGAAGTGGGTGACGACAAGATCAAACGGGTATGCTTTTAAATCCCTCCTATCTCTCTCTTTCACTCCTACCAGATCTACATGACAGACACCTCATATGTTGTTATATTATTAGGGCAAACAACTGATTGCGGACGGCAACACGGAAATCCTGCGTGGCAAGCAGTTGCTGCCCAAGATTCCCCTCACAGAGCGCATGCTGCACAACATCCGAGGACTGTACCGCGTGGTGCAGACCAAAGACAGCATGGACGCCATGAGCGACGGCATCAAGAAGCTGCTCCTGAATGGACAGCCCATCGCCACCGACACGACGTTGGTGGACCTGAAGGAGGTGGCCGAAGCCAACGATAACGCCGCGTTCGACATGGGCCAGGCGCGCGCCGAAGTCGTGTCCAGCAAGCTGCGGGAAACCCTCACTCGAGTCGCGCAATAACAATGTCCCAAGCAAGTGTGAGCTTTCTTTCGATATCAAATGCGGCGAGATACACGGGAAGCGGTGGAGATGCTCGTCATACTCTGGAGACTGCCAAAACGAAGCACACAAATCGAGTCTGAACACAATAAGCATGTACTGTACATGGAGCGCTGACGGTGTACGAGTAGCGGTGTACTGTACCGTTCTTACACAGGCCTAGGTTAACCCCAATGGATTTACGAGTATATATATATATATATATATATACGATGTATGTGGAATATCAGGCCACGATATCGAATAGTGTGGAGCTGGTTAGCATTGGATTCCCAACGACATATGAAAATATGCCGGTGGCCATGTCAACTATACACTGTACTACATATATTGAATTGCGTTTCTTCTAAACTGAAGCGACATGGACAACAACCAAATATATGTACAGAAGAATCATCGACAGAAGGATTTAGCCAATCAGATTGCAGGAAACCATCAGCAACGTCAAATTAGTGTATGACTTGAATTAGTGTGATACCACCCATCACCACCACAGAACTCCCTTTTTACATACAACATTAAACAACAATCGATCGATATAGATTCGGCGATTCAGCACAAAAGTCAATCAAATTTTGGGTAAAACGACAATGAGTAGTTTGCAATGTACTGTACCCGATAGAATTGGCTAAAGGGATGTCGTTGGAGGCATGAACGACTACCATGTATAGCCAGAGGTTGGGTTGCATGGATGTATGAAAAAGCAAGTCTGTTTCGTCTGTGTATTGCTTCATCTCGAGGTTATTTGTAATGGGATGTAGGACGGGCGGCGGACGCTTGGAGCAGCAACGAGTCGGCGGTGATGAAGTTGCGCAGCAATGGCGTTTCAATGTAGCGGAGTTCGTTCCAAGATGGCAGAAATGGAGGCGCGAGGCAATGCAAATGAAGATGGTTGATCGAGTTGAATGGCGGCTGGTGGAATCCAAACACCGCTCTACGTCAAGAGGGACATGAGGATGCCAAGCATAGAGGACTGGACGGACGGTTTGGACGGGACATGGCCGTGGCGAAGGCATTCTTGATGCAACACATCCTTCCCAATATTCAGCATGTGCTCAACTACATGAAGCAAGGTAACGTGGGACGAGGGAATAGACTTGTCGTGGTGCGTACCTATGGATGCATGGGACGGCGTGAGGTTGGCGGTGGACTCGATGTGGTCCTTTGGCACGACGAGGATATGTGCAGTGGCCCGAGGATGCTTGTCACGGAAGGCCATGACCTGGTCATCTTCGTAGAGTATCCCATTGGTCTCCAAGTTAGCATGGTCACAGAACACACATGGCTGCGGCGCCGTCTGCCGCACGATCGTCAAGCGCTGCCAGAAGCGTTGCATGTTTGCAACACACCATCCGGATAACAAATATCCCTTGACCATAGCGTGATTGGATTGGCTATAATAAATTTCCGAATGTGTGTCTTATTGGCTGAAACAATCGTTCAATATTGTTTTAATTGGCTTAAATACTGTGAATTCCGTGAATTCTGCGATTTGATACGTCAATTGGCCGACCAATCGCCACACCACGCTCCACCACTGGTGTCCAATATTCATTCTCGTTGTCATCTCCCCATAATGACCGACTTTGTGCGCGACGAAAAGCCCGCGGACTTCCTCCTCCCTGACAGCGTCAAGGGATGGTTCTCCCAGATGTACACCCACATGATCGCCGGCAATGTCGAGGAGATGGATCGCTTGTACGACAAGGAATTCGCGGCGCTGACAGCTAGCTACTTCAAGCAAAGCCCGTGGCCTGAGCCGGATGGAGATGCCGTCATCTCACTCGTGGACGAAGACCCGGTGTTCCTGACTTTGTATGCGCAGATCTACTACCGACACATGTTCTCCAAGCTCCAACCTACCTTGGAGTTCAACCATGCGTCATGGGACAACTATGTGGCCATCTTCGACGGGATCCTCGACGGCTCGTTAGTGTTGGACGCGATGCCGTCACAATGGCTATTTGACATTGTGGGCGAGTTCGTGTACCAGTACCAGTCGTTTTGCCAGTACCGAGCCAAGGTCAAGACCGAGACCGAAGTCCCCTCCATCTGGACCACGAAAGCCGTCCACTCGTACCTCCACCGCCTCGTGAAGGTGTCCAACATCAAATCCATCCTCGTCAACGGCGACGTTGATGCGTCTCCATCGTCCACGACGCTCAAGGAACTCGGGTACTTTGCGCTCATCTGCCTCAGCCGCGCGCATGTGCTCATTGGCGACTACTTCACGGCGCTGCAGCTGCTCACTCCCATCGACTTTTCCAAGCGCGACCAGATCTACCTCAACTCGTACTCGTGCCACGTGTCCGTGTTTTACCACCTCGGGTTCGCGCAGCTCATGCTCGGCGACCTCGCGTCCGCCGTCCGTTCGTTTGTCAAGATCATCTTGCAAGTCCACCGCAACCGTACGTTTGGGATATCAGATCCAGTGTCTGAGTCATCTGATTCCGGTGTAGGCGCGTACTATTCCAAGTTTGCCGACTACGACCAAGTGAACAAGTTGACTGAAAAGGCCCTTGCGCTCGTGGGCATTGCCACGTATTTGGCTCCTGGCAACAACGTCGAAGACCAAGTACATTCGCTTTTGCGTGAAAAGTTTGGCGACAAGTTGGCGGCGATTCAAAAGGGGTATTGTCAAATGTTGCCTATTTGGGGAATTGATGAAAGGAGTATGATTGGCTACAAAGAATATAGGTTGCAATTTGATTGGCTAAAAAGATTGGAGTATTTCAACTAGTTTTATATGAAATTTCCCAAGATCCGGCGATTCTTCGGCGGTTCATTCAACCACCCACTGGAGAAAATATATTTTGAGTAGAACAAATCACAATATTATCTTGCTTATCCTAGACTTTGGCTGACGTTTGTGCTGTGATTCGCCAACTCTATATTGTTCGATCGATGATTATTCGTGGAATTGTCTTTCTTTTACCCAATATTTTGGACTTTTGTGCTGATTCTTTGCCAAATCTATCGATCGATATTCTTTGACTTTTGCATGTAAAGATCGTTCAGTATCACACTACTTTCAATCACACACTAATTCAATGTTGAATTCTTCGAAGAGTGGATTTGATTGGCTAGTTGATGATGGTTTTTTGTGTTTTGATTGGTCGATTTTCGATTCTCTGCCGATTTGGTGCTTACTGCTCATTCGATTGAGTACCCAAACACTCCAATTTCGAATCGAATGACAATATTGACTTTTGGATGGAAAGATCGTCCAGTGTCACACCAATTGAAGTTACACACTAATTCGTCGAAGCGTGGATAATTTGATTGGCTATACTTGATTCTTGATCTGGGTTTTGATTGGTTGATCATCGTCTATATCGGCCGATGTTTGGTTGGTCGGCTCATTCGATTACTACAGTTTCGAATCGACAACAATACCACTACCTACGTATCTATCTATATACCTACCTACCTCTCTCCATACCTTTCGTTCTCATGGTCGAGATATAGAAACACTCAAGTGCTCACGGAACTGTTTGCGTCGTCCGCGCCCAAGTTCATCTTGGCGAGCGTGGCCGCCGACGCCGAAGACGTGTCCAAGGATGCGCTGGCATTCCAAACCAAGCTGTTTTTGGACCTCGTCCAAGTCCACTCGTCTCTCCCGGCGCTCCGCTCGTACATCAAGCTGTACCGGTCGATCGATGCCGCAAAACTCGCGCGGTTCCGCTCGACGGACGTGGCGGCCGTTGTGGCCGAAGCCATGCACCTCAAGGTCGTGGCAGACAAAGTCAACTCGGATGTGCACTTTTACCTGACCAACGACCTGATCAAGATCGACGAGCAAAAGCGCGAACAGCGCAACGGACAGTACTTTCTCAGCCAAATCGCCAAGCTCCAGCGGGTGGTGGACACGTGTCACGCGCAGACCCACGTGCTCTAGGCAACCACCACCACATGGACCATAAATTGGAGGATAAGAGAGAGTTTTGTATTGTGAAAGGCTCGTTGGTTGTGTACAGGTACAGCCGGTATATTTCACACATTGTTCAATATACTTCAAATGATGTTCCACCTATTTGGATAAATCGACGTAGTAATCGACGAAGTGGCCAATGAAATTTCGAAAAAAACTTTCGAGAAATCAAATTTCAGGCGTATCCAGTGCATTGCTAAGCTTCTCCATTTCACAAAGAGTTCAACATTGTATCGGACAGACAGTGAGTATATTTAGTTCAAGTAAAATGACGTTCGACGACTTCAGGTGGATTTGACGTCGTTCGTCGAATCTACCGAAAATACCAAATTTAGCTCGAAAGCACAATATCTATGATTTAGACAAGTATCCACCACCTGCGATTTACTTGATTTGCTTTGAAAATAGAAATAGATGGAACATCATTTGAAATATATTGAACATGTGAAATATACTGGTTGTGGGGTGACATATACTGGACACTAGTCGAAATATAATGCAACGAAGAAGGGTCTGGACGAAATATATTGAATGCTTGGCGAACATAACGCACATGGCGTGAATCAGTTGTGCGTCAGACGAAATATACCGGAAATAACCTGAACTAAAACGAAAAGTGATGTAGTAATAGTAAGTATTAATAGTATTGTCGATTTGATACAAATTTGGGGAGGGGGTGCAATCGAATCGCGCCGACGAAACCAATCCACAATCGATCTGATTGGTTGAATTTCATTTAGAAGGTTTTGATTGGTTAATAATTTTGAGCTCTTCCGAAGTAGCCAATCAAATCGATTTAAATTCCAACGAGAAACCACGCCACAACACGAAATTTCACTCGAAAGCACAATACTTACTACTAGTACTATTTAGAAAGCGAAGAAAGTGTGATGTTACTTGTTATTAAGAAGGCTAACGTTATCTCCAAGTTTAGTGTGTGTTGGTGCATGTAGTACTTACTACTTACTATACGTATACATACTACGTACTACATATATACAGTACAGTATTGGGTGTTTGTTGTTCAATACTAATAGTACTACAGTAGTAGTACGAATAGAGTAACGTTACTAGTATTTGTAGAAGTCGTTTGCCAGTTTCAGATGTTGAGGTGGTTCCTGGTCGCAGCAGTGGCTAGACTTGTGGGGTGGCTGCAGTTTGCACGTACGCGACGAGTTTGAGTTTGGCGCCGACGAGGACAGACTCTGTGTAGCCGTCCATGTGGGTTTGGTACGCCGCGCGGGTCTGAGGGGACGGAGGCAGCGACTTGGGACTAACCATCCCTAAGACACAGAAGTTACATGTGACTATATATTATCAAGTCGATTCGAAATTGGAGGTGGGGTGGTCGGCAGAGAATCGATTGACCAATCAAAACGCAGAACATGAAAGGTTAGCCAATCAAATTATCCACTCTTCGACCAACATCGAATTAGTGTGTGATTTAAATTAGTGTGGCATTGAACCATTTGGACATACAACAGTCGGAACAAGGAATCGATGGATCGATTTGGCGATTCAGCAGCACCAACGTCCAAAGTTTGGGTAAAAGAAAGACAATATATATATATATATATATATACAACCAACTATGGTCAAGGCAGCGGACGGTATTACCAGGTCGCTTGTCATCCGAGGCGTTGGCGTGAACCTCCACGTGAAACGCATTCGTCGACACGTTTGTGTGCATGAGTAGTCGCATAAACTTGAGAATGCGATCGGGCACAACGCTCGAACCTTCTCGATATGCCACGACCACAGAGTAGTGCGGCGGCAGCGGCGGCGGTGTTGGGGGCAACGAAGTGGCTAAACTGGTTGCTGCTGGAGCGTGGTACTGGTCACTGTTGGGGGTGCCGATGGGAGTCTGCGAGCCGGCACCCCACAAGCCCAATCGCTGCAGCGTGTGGCGCAGTCGAAGTTCCATATCCGAAAGGAGAAATACCGCCGTCGTGTCACTTCGTGATGTCCAAGGCGACAAGTTCGATAGGGTGCTCCGGTATTGATGTACGATGGCCTGCGCGGGCAACGCCAGGAGGGTCGACACCACGGACGAGCCAAGACTGGACTTGCTCGTGCATTGCCTCGATCGATGGTGGCCTTGTATGTGACAGCGTCGGCACCGGTGATGAACCGTGTCATGGTCAGTGCCGCCGCAAAACGCACACCCTGGTGGAGACGTCGCTGTAGCCGACGACGTAGCTGGGGTTGTAGCCGGGGTTGTAGCTGGTGAATTTGTAGTCGTGGATGAACCAGGGGCGGCTACAGGAAGTGGTGGTGGTTCTAGACTCCGTATCGACGACGACGCAACGTGGCTACTCCACGACAACGCGACGGAAGACAAGGACGACCGTCCACAAGAGTTATGTTGTCCGCGAGTGTAGCAGTGGACGCAGCAGTGGTCGTTCGAGTCGTGGCCAGTGGGCTGACTGCCGCAAAATGTGCACTTGCGGTTCAATGGAGGAACAAGGGTGCACGTGGCGGTCGTGTGGTCTCCCATGCGATGACATATCCGACAGAGATGATGCGCGGCATCATGTGTGGCGTATCGTTGACATAGACTGCAAAACACGACAGTCCATGACGCGTTATCCAGTGGCACGGGGGCGTACGCGCGCGACCGAAGCTTCGTGAGGACATCGCGGACGCGGCCGCCGGTGACCGCGTCCAACGCGTTGATCTTGTCCATGATGTCTCCCAGGTACCATGTATCGATGACGTTCGAGAATGGGGATGACGAAGGCTGTGGATGATCGGACGTGTCGGCAGCGACGTCGACTTTGTCGCTGTCATCACCATCCTCGTAGCTGCAACTGCTGCTGTGCTGGGGAGAGAATGTGTCAAATGTGATCGCGACGCCGTCTACAGCATGCTGTTAGAACTGTCATCTCGGCAGGAAGATGATGCCATGTTGTCCGCACCAGGAACTTCGAAGTCCATCGCGCGACACTCTCAAAACCCAAAACATCCCACAACTTCAGCAATCGCGGTTTTAAATACCATTCTGTCATTTTAACCAGAGGAATGATGGTAATATGTCATTTTGACGCGATCATCCGGATACGTATCCAACACCGGTTAATGAGTGGTTTATCCGGATCGCTGTCCGTTTTGGACCCGCATCAACCCCAGGTTTTATAGTCGGCGGTTTCGACAGTGTGGTTATTTGCGAAAAGAGCCCAAAGACAACAAGATGCCGGTGAGCAAGGCGAGCGATGCTCCTCCCGATCCGCGGACGGAGATGAGGACATACATGACTGATATGATGTGTGTAGTTCACAGCTTCCGACGGAACGGAGTTCGAGGACCGCGACGAGTATCGCAAGTACGAGTTTGAGACGAACTACACGTTCAAGAACAAAAAGGACGAGACGCTGATCAAGGCGCCCGGACAAATCCAAGGGTACAGTGATGCGCGCATGCTTTCAATCGTCCTTGTCTTCTTCGACATGTCTCGTGCATCACAACCACCTGTATGTAGGCAACCATTCGACTTGGCCGACTTGGAGAACTGCCAAGTGTTTCTCGTCGATCACTCGGACCAGGTCCAAATCGACAACTTGGTCAATTGCCGCGTGTATATCGGTACATTCAAATCCAGGGAATAGGCGGTGTCACGTCATGTCGTTAGGACCAAGTTCCGAATCGGTGTTTGTGCGCAACTGTACAAACTGTTTCTTCACCATCGCGTGGTACGTGCGTCCATCCGTCATGCGTTCGTCATGCTCATGTTCGTTGTAGCAAGCAGCTCCGGACGCGCGATTGCTCGCAGATCCAAGTGTCGCTGTACACATTGACCGACCCGATCATTGAAACCTCGACGAACGTCGTGTTCTCTACCTTCAACGCCGCGCACCACGGCCTTCGCCAGGTATGTATGTTGACTAGTAGCTCACTGCATCCTTCATCTCGATCCTTGTCGATCTCTCATGGGGGACTTCATATATGTTATGTAGCAATTCGAGGCGGCGCACCTCGAACCCGAAAACAACCACTGGACCCAAGTGTACGACTTTAACGACCCAAACAAGACGGGCGAGAACTGGAAGTTGAGTCATGACGCCGTCGAGCCTTGGATCATTCCACTCGACCAAATCGTGCCGTCCCCCGACAGTCTCGGACCGCTGGAGAACCCCGTGCCGGCGACGGCCACGCCCATTGTCGCCCACGACACGTCGATGCAGTCGTTCTCCATCGACACCTCCCAAGTATTACGTGTGCATTTATTTCGTACCGCACCACCCTCGTAGTCATGACACTCGACTTTCCACTCGTAGGAAGCTGCGTCCGCCGCCGTCGATGCCGCCGCTCCTGCCGTCGAATCCCCACCTTCACCCCCTCACGAAGACGACTTTGTGCCGGCGCCCGACACCACCGATGCTTCGTTCTACGACGAGAACCCAGCTGCAGTGCCGGTGCACGACACGCCAGAGCCGGTGCACGAGGTGGCCGCGCCCCCGCCTGCCCCAGCGGCACTGGTGACGCAGCAGAGTTGGCCCGTGTTGAACGAGTTCGAAGCCAAGATGGCGGCGGAGGTAGAAGCGAAGCGCGAGGAGGAAGAGCGATTGATCCGTGAAGTGAAGAGCAAGGCCGAAGAGGAGTTGGACAAGTACTACGGCGACCGGACGGACAAGTTGGCCCATCGCGCAGCCACGAACCGGTATGCATACTGTCGTGGGTCCAATATGTGTATGCTGAAGGAGGGATGTACAGGGAAGTGGAGGATGAGAAGAAAAAGTCCCAGGAACTGTTGGTGGAAATGGCTTCGGAAAAGCCGTGGAATCGCGTGACCGACTTGGTGGATACGAATGTTGCGCCGAAACCCAAGGTGGAAGGAGCGGCCAACACGTACGTATGCATGACGAGAGGGTGACAAGGATGGAGACTGACACGGGGTTATTCGACACAGGGGCAAGAAGGACGCTGCCGCCGACGACTTCTTCGACACGTCGCGAATGCGAAGCCTCCTGCTCCAGCTCAAGAACTCGGGCGGACCGGAAGCGACTGCTCAGTAGAATCGTGGGACGACCTGTGCAAATAGATATATTCTCGAAACGGATTAATTCACGTCACTTTAAACTATCGATAGTTTGCACCCCATGTTTTTATATATGGCTGGGGCTGGGGAAAATATATTTAAATTTATTTTAGCTTGTCAATACTACGTAGTATATAATTTCAATATATTGTGGTTTGGAAGAACAATTCTTAATTATTGAAATTCGAACAACCGAAAAATTCAGTATCGCTGACTCGGAACAATTATTGTCCATATTTTCGATAATTCTAACTAAAACGATGGTCAAAGTAACAAGCCAAGTGCGCCCAGTTTTTCCTGAAAACGTATATTTTTGTAAGATGAATATATTCAAACAAATGATAATTTTTAACTATTAATATTCGAATTCATCGAACTCGTCATCGTCACCCTCTTCGTATGGACAACATTAGCAACAACATCTACAGGTCAATCAATACATACGGTTCATCTAGGACCTGAAAATTGAGAGGGAAACTGCTCGACAGCCTTCTTGACCGTGTTGGGGACGAATTCCCCGAGTGAGTGGGTTACACACCCACTCAATTGGTCAAAACCCACTCACTCAGGGAATTTGGTACTATTGACCTAAAACGTCCCTGAGTAAGTGGGTGGGACTAATTGCTTGCTACGATAAGTACAATCCTATGGTTAACGTGAAACACGAAGGCATACAACGTTGTACACCGTTAATCGTACCAACTACTGTATGTACTGTAGGGGAGGCAGTTTTTCACTCGTGGTGTTTTGGGGTTTTGCTCATGGATGTTCAGGTAGAGTTAGACATGGGGCTTCACTCGTGGTTAAATGGTGTGGTGGAGTTTTACTTAGTGGGCATTACTGGGTTGTTGCTTTATAGTCGAGCAGCCCAGTA